TGATGAAACAAAGTACATAGATTGTGTGTGCAGAACTACTAGTGCCTACCTACCAAAAATGAAGCAGATCCAACCATGGGAAGGGGATGGATGGCAGGCAAGGCTTGTGGATGTAGCAGCGCTATGGGCGCCTCTGAAATAGACGCCCGTGAGCGCTGTGCTAACCCATACCATCAGTATGTGCACAGAGGGGCCAAAAATGCGAAGTGGGGGATAAATGGGGGGTCTACAGAAAGAGCACGCGCCTGGGAACAATCTGGCAGTGTTCTAAGAGTGAGGGGGCATGGGAAGGGAGGCACAGTGACGTCAAAGTACTATAGGGAAGAGAATGTAGGCAGAGAAACACTCACCTAGTACCTATAAACACTGAAAGCTTACCAAAACATCAAAGAGAAAGCTGAATCCATCTCACACAGAACTCGGTCTGTGCTCCAACGACCAGGCCACCCAAAATGGCAATGTCGCAGGCATCCCAGGCTCAGGACCACCGCTCTAAATTGGTGCATCAAGTAGGCATGGTACAGGAGCACAGGGACTGTGGGGGGCATCCTCCCACTCATAAGCACTGACTTTGGCCAAAAGCCAGGCAACAGAGGTGAAGGGTGGATGAGAGTCCCCCAAGAGAGGAGGAGCAGTGGCAGGAGCGATGAGAGTGCGCTGCTGGGGCTTATGTAACAGTTTTCTCACACACCTTATTAGGCAACTGCATCTGGGAACATTGCTTACACTCTCTATTGCTCATTTCATGTCCGTTTCTTATGATTTAAACTATGCCGAGTACGTACTCAAAGTGGCGTTTGAATGGTGTATGTTACATAGGCATATTCCCAGGCACAGTGGTATAACCCAGTCAACACTGCCAAGCAGTAGTTGCTACAGTATAGCAGCTGCAAAGCACAATACATAACATAACATATACTGTCTTGTAGCCCTTCGAAGAGGTGTTCTAATACACCTACATATATAGTGATTGGCCCAGAAACAAGCCTATAATCAGCCATATACAGTACATATAGTGCTGCAGCAGTGTTACTCAAACCATTCCATCGCATCTGCTTCTAGAATCACATGACCTATACCACCACATCCGCATTATCAATGCCCATCCAACGAATCTACAACTATCTTCAACAGACATCATCTGAGCTCATACCAATAGTTACAACATATGAACCATATGTCATTGACCTTGCAGTGCTTCCAACACTGCATTGATATGAGCGCTTTGTTCACATCTAGACTGGCTGCTATGTGGACTAGGTTCACGAATATAATCAACATTATAGGGAATTGATCTGATTTACTAGTAGGCAGGCATAGGTGCAATGAGCAGAGGCAGGGCGATACAGCCACTGGGTGTCTAATAACTTGCGGAAGCCTCACTTTTCTGAAAGCAGCCCTTCAAAATTCGAATCAATGTCTATAAATCTTGAGTATATTCATAGTAGTAGTCCATATAGAGTCTGACTGAAGTCCCCAAAGAGCGCTCATCTCAGTCTTGTTGAATAGGTGTGAACACTAACAGGCACTACAAAGTGTAGAAAGGAGTGAAGCGCTGGGCCCAGGTGGCAGTGCAAACCCAGCGCTAGTGGAACCCTACAGGGGGACCCTAACCCAGAGCTAGGGTGATGGGAGTAAGTAGCAAACCTATGCGTGGGAAGTGGCTGTGCTAGTCAAGAGTAATCGGAGTCTGGAATATATTCCCACGGCGTTGAGTTAAGGGTGTCGCGTGTCGCAGCCAGAGCCCACCCCATAAAGAACGATTCATTCGTACCTCATTAATCGTAACATGACGCTGACCAGAACCTCTCCTTCTCCTTTAGCGTGGAACATGCGGCCGTCGGCAGAGCGGATAGGGACCGGGGTGATATCACGGAACATTTTGAAGTTCTCGTGATGCGGTTCAAAGTGTCGGCTTGCCCCAGAGTCAAGGAGGCAAGTGTCGCGCGTGAGGCCGGCCGTGTTCTGGGTGACGTGCGCGAAGTCCGTTGAGACGCTAAGGTAAGCAAATGCTCCCTCGCTCGCGTTCTCCTCAACTACGGCTGACTTTGCCGATTCTCCCCCTGCCTTCCCCTTGCCCTTGCCTCGTCCTCGTTTCTTCGGGCCCTTCCCCTCAGCTCCTCCTCCCTTGCTCCAACAGTCGGCCTTGAAGTGGCCGGTCTTGTTGCAGTTATGGCACCGATCCTCGGGGCATGCGGCTGCAGCAACGGGGGTGCTCGAACTCGAGCTCCCGCTCATGGCGTGCTCGTCATGGGCGATGTCAATGAGGGTGGTGAGGAGAGCTTCTGGGGTGACGGCTATACTTGATATGGAGGCGGAGGCTTGGATGGCACGGATGGTCTGGCCATACGACTTCGGGAGGACGGACAGGATGTGGACAACGTACTGGTCGCCTGTTAGGTAGCCGCCGGCCGTGAAGTATTCAGCTCGGAGTTGTGCGAGCTCGTTGAGAACAGGTTGGGGGTCTGCGCCTTCTTCGCAATGGAGTGCCTGGATGCGGCAGAGGATGTTTGCCTGCACGAACGTGCCCTGTCGGTCGAAGCAAGTAGTGACGATGGCCCAAAGGTCCTTCCCTAGCGTGAGCGGGGTGATCTCGAGTCGGAGATCCTCCGGCAAGGTCTGAAAGAGAAGGGTTTTGATTTGGTTGTGGGCAGCCGTCCACTTGTCGACCTTTGTCTCGTACTCTTCCAGCGCCTCGTAGTACTTCTCTTGTTCCTCCTCCGGTGTGAGAGTGCTTCCTTGAGCGGGCGATGCGGTTACGGTGGTTGCGGAACCGCCGGCTGTCGACTGTGACGCTGATCGCGGCCGTGTCGCCGCTGAGGCTGACGCGGAGCGGCTGATCGCACCAGACGCGGCTGGAACCGCGTGCATGGATGTGGGAAGCACAGGAGGGTTGGGACGGCGGTCCGTACCTTCAAGGTAGCGCCGCAAGCCTTTTGCGTGGACAGCGGAGATAAACTGGTTCTTGTACATGATCCAGTTTGATCCGTCCAAAGCAAGGTGCAGGACTCCGAAGGACGCCCATCCACTTGAGGAAGAAGTTTCGGGATACGAGGAAGCCATGGTCGAGGCAGGGCTCATAACCTGTCAACGGGTACGAGCGCTGGCGAGCTAGCGAGAGCGTGGGGCGAACGAGCTCAGTCTCGGGGGGAAAAGACTCATAGTATTAAGGGTAAGTACCTAGCGAGAGCGTGAGGCAAACGAGCTAGGTAACGAGTAAGTATGCAGTCCAGAATACGAAGTATACGGATGGGGAGCTCACCTCAGTCTCGGGGGGAAAAGACTGAGGTGCGCGGGTCGTGTGAGAACCGGTATAAGTGATGCGGGTGCGTACGGAAGCTAAGGTACAGGTACGCAAAGAGATCTACGAACATAAGGGGAAACACATGGTGTGCACCAGACGCAACTCGTCCGGGCCGGGACATCTACCGCAGTCGTGGCTTGCCGTCCAACAGGAGTCGTTAGCCTCGCTTGACGCGTTGCATCGCTCCTGCCTCAGCACGGGACTTGTCGCTCACCTTCCTCTCTCACAGAGCATGACACAGGTGGTGCCTCAGAGTGCCACGAGCTCAGCGCGACCCGCACACGCTTCTCGCATGGACCCTGGCCACGCACCGTGACACGCTTCATGCGCGCGGTGCCGCACGCGACCGCTCTTGTCCCATCTGTCAGCCATCCCTGTATTTCTAGTACGAAATATCTACGTTATCACTCCAACGGTCTATCTGCCAGACTGCGTCCAGAGCTGGACGCCGTAGACTAGAGTCATGTGAGGGATGTCTAGCCCACAAAGATGAAGTTAACATAGCTATACATATATACAGGCAATCGAGATACTCACCTAGCCCACAAAGACCAAGAGGTCGAGATGAGGGCTAGGACACGAAGTGCAAGTGCTATGTGAGTCCGCGATACGGGCGCTTAAGCGCGGGAACGACCTTCCAATATAGTAAAAGGCAGAGAAAAGGCGAAAAATAATACATAGAGCAAGTTCAGAGTCCGTGCCACGACAGAGCCATGGTGAAAGACAATTGAGAGAGGAACTTGGGATGTCCACCAATTGTTAAGTTTCAACAATATGGTTCGTTGGAATCCTCCTAACAATTGTTGAGTTCACTCACAGGCTCATATAGGGCACTCTTCATGAGAAGGTAACAGCCCTTGTACCGTTGTTCAATTGATTGAAGTGACGCAGTAGTGATATTGAGATGGACGGACAAACAGAGCAAAGAGACACACAGAACGATGGTGGTAAAAAGTAGAGTGAAGATTTGTGCTGCACTTTGCAGGAGCACATTCATATACATGGAGAGGACAAAGAACTGATGCGAGCGAGAGATGAGAGATTACGCTAACATATCTAATCTAATCTAAAATTGTCCTATGACAGTTATATTCCCTTTATAGACATGATTTTAAGACACCTGTGATGATCTCAAGACTCACCTGAGGTTCACCACTCCCAGATTCTTACAAGGTCTAACCTTCAAGGACAATAAACAAATGTTGAAAAACATGCACATATAAGAACCTGTTGTTAGCAGTTCTCAGTAACCACATATGAAGTGTTAGGATTAGTGAATAAAAAGAGATCACATGTGTTGTGAACAAATTAGAGTACCATTAGAACTGTGAGGAAAGCAAAAAAAATACTGAATCTCAATCACAGACACCTGCCTATCACAAGCTGTTCAAAGGCCAATTAAACAATTCTAGTAGGGCCAAGTATACTGTACCATTTTGATCTATCTGAACTAGGCCTTTGTGTGTGACAGCTGGGCACACCATTCAAAGAGAAACAGAGAAGTTATCTATGCCACAGATCCACACAGAACACACCCTGAAGGCCGAAACTGCTATGGACATGCAGAATGAGTGCGCAAGTCAATAAGTGCCTATCAACCAGGCTCAAACCATGGGCTTGTGATGCGTGACATTCGAATAGATCGAAATGGTACAGTAACAGTGAGTAGGTATAACATCCTCTACCGTAGGGTTCATCATCTTGACAGACTTTCCTCTAACTCATGGTGAATAGAGAACGAGATCCTCCGCTGTGTTTTGGCTGCTCTCCGCCCTCCTGTGGTCCTGTATGTGTCCAGTCAGTATCCAATTTTCACGTCACAAGCAAGCTTCATCAACGTACGTCTGCTCCTGGCACACGAACGTGTCCGGCGCGCCCTCCCACTCATCCAGCACGTCCTGTCGCCCGTCGCCCTGCTCCTCCTCGCGGTCCGGGGGCCCGAAGAGGTCGAGCGCGAGCTGCGTGTGCGACACGCCCGCGTACGTCGTCACGCACCGCGGGTTCACCAGGATGCGCGCGGCGAGGAACACCGCGTTCGGGATCGTCAGCCGCGAGTCCGGGCTCTCGTATGTCTCCGGGGGGTCCACCGCGGGGAGGTCAGACGCGTCGTAGTCCGAGCCTACGTTAGCGTCCGCGTCGTCCTGCGCCTTCGGCTTGTCCGCCTGCCGCGGCGCGAGCGGCTCGCCGTCCGCGGGATCGGGGGAACGTTTCCGCTTCCTCGTCGGGCCATCGGAGTTCGGGTTGGGCGTGGACGAGGCGATGTCGAGGTCGTCCTTCATGCCCTCCTTGGCTTTGTATTGCCATAGATCGCGGCAGAACCACGCTTGCGTACTGTCCAAACAAGGCGCGTCGGGATCGCGTTCGGGGATGTCACGGTGGCTCGCGGTCGCGTTGAAGAAGTCCAAGCCAGAACGGTATTGGATGCCGGCGTAGTATGACTGCGAGGGGTCCACAACGTGTGTACCAGACTCGCAGCAGAAGACTTGGAAGGGGAGATGTTGTATGTACCGTTGCGCACTGGTGATGTCGCGAGGGGGCACGGATGTGAGGGCAGACTCAGAGATGGCGTTCGACTTGGATTGGCGGAATTGGTCGCCGTTGATATCGCGTGTTCTCCAGCTGCACGACTTTGAGGATGCGCCGGAAGAGCGAAGGAAAGGAAAATGACGCACCGGTCAGAGAAGATGAAAAACCCGTTGTGCTCTGCCCAATCCATGCCACAGACCATCGCGGCGTCGTTCACCACGCTGACCTTGATGGTCTCGAGGATATCGTTGGGGCACGTGAAGCCCTTGAGCCAGATAACGCGGTAGAACTTGATGCTACGCTTCTCGTAGAGCTCGTGAAGAGGTTCAAGGACTAGATTGCGAGTGTACGCTTCCTCCAACGGATAGTACGCGGCCGAAGGGTCTTCCGTCATGCCAGGGACGCGTCGTATGCGGAAGGGGATGCCGAGCATGATCAAGACTGCCTCGCAGAGATCCGTCAAAGTCTCTGTCGAGTCAGAGGAGTCGTAGTCCAACATGGAGACGAAGACGTTGGACGGTCCAAGGCGCTTGGCAAGCTGGACAATGACGGCAAGCTGGTCGACGAGGAAGTGGTCGGCAGAGTGGATGACCATACCGACGAAGTAGAGCTGGTTGCTGCGCGAGAGCTCTCCGTACGCGTCTTCGTGTTTGTTCTGACCGAATGGTCGTGTGAGAGTCGGGCAGAGGGCTGCCACCCAACCATTCAAGGTGAGCAGCTGCTCGATAGAAGACAGCATGCCTTGCTCGTCCATGTGCGAGGTTTCGTGGTTGAGGATGCTGCACGACGTATGAGGAAGCGGGGGAGAAGGGAGAACAGACAGGGCGCACTATGGTTTCTGGAACCTGTCCCAATAGTCCTGCACTCCGTCATTGATCACGTCCGAGAACAAGTCCGCGCGTTCATCCCTGCCGAGACGAGCTTGGAGAAAATCGTGTTTGCGGGCATCTAATGGTTTGTCTGAGCCGGTGACGAGGTCGAGCACGTTCTGTTTGCGGATCTCCTTCGGGTCCACGGAACGGCCGTAGAGTCCGGAAACGGCAGCGGGGGTGGCGGGAGACGCGAAGAGGACCTTGATGAGAACGGTGAGGGTGGCGAGAATGAAGACGCGGACAACGGTGCGTCGGCGTACAACGAGGGCCATAGCGGTCGTGATTGTGAGGAAAGCGTCGCCCGGGGCAGACCCGGCGGAGAGGAGGGTGGCAGTCGCGGCGAGAGCGGGGCGAACACCCGCCGCTCTCTCCACGCGAGGTGGCACCGGCGCTTCACGCGACCATTGAAGCAATTATCATAAGAAAGTAAGCTACGGAGCAGACACATCATCGTCTCCTTGTCTTCGCCCGGGCCCCGAACGCCTTGAACGTCGCCCCGTCGTCCGAATCGTCGTCCACCACCGTCGCCGGCGCCTTCCGCCGCGTCCCTGCACTCTTCCCCCGCCCTGTCGTTTGCATCTTCTTCTCCCGTCCGGTTGACCGCAGCGTCCCTCCCATCTCCTCATCGTCTGACCCTGCTCCAGCCTCGGGGGCGGCAGCCATAGTCCAGTCCTCGTCTTTTTCGTCTTCGTCGGACTGTATGAACAGTGGCCGCTTTGTCCCTCTCCGTCGTTCGGAGGCTTCCTTCCCTTGCGATTGACCGGACTTCAGTGTTCCGCTCTGCGTGGTGGTATCCACAATAACTGGTTTCTCTTCCTCGGAGTCTGAGACAAGCTGTGGACGGTGCTTGGATCCTCGGTGTTGTGTTGTCGGCTGGCTGGAAGCGTTCCTCGTCCCTTTTGTGCCCTTCGTCTCGATCGTGAGTGGCTGCGACTGAGAGTTGGACCCTACGGACGGCTGGGTTTGAGAGGACCCTTTCCAGTACTCTATAGAAAAGGTAAATCTCTGCTCCTCTCATTAGAGTTCATAAGTCGACTCACGAGAACCGAGACCCATGTCACATTGATCCTGCACATACACCTCCAGGGGACGAGCCCGCTCGCCAAACACTTTCTGCTCGCCCACAGTCAGCGGTTGGCAGAAATCTGAACTAAGCTATTACTCACCCTCTTGAACTTCTTGAAGTCTGGCAGACCCTGCCAATCCTGCCGTCCGTCCCCACGAACTAGCGTCCTCGTCCCCGGCTCGCGAAATAGCGGCATCTCCATTACGACCATAAAGTTCCCCCTGACGTCCCCATCGTCCCCAAACTCCTCGAGTATCTTCCACTCCTCGTCCTGCCGCTCGTACTCCAGGTCTGGCCTCGAGATCCGCAGGTTGTTGAACTCGCGGTCGAACGTGTCTTCGGTCTTCTTCCCCCGCTTCGTCGACGCGACCGCCTTCAGGAACGCCACGTCCTTGTCCACGTCGTCCGCGGCCTGCTGCGTGTCCTTCGCCTTCGACGCCGGCTTCGGTTTCACATACACCTGCGACTGCGCCATGTCCACGCGCGTCACAATCTTGGACATCGGTTTGGCAGGCGGTGGCGCCTCAGTCTGCGCCTGAGTCTGGGCGGGAGCTTCGTCTTCCTCCATCTGGACCTTCCTCTTTCGTCGCGGGGGCTTGACGTCCATCGCCTCGTCCTCCTCCCCACCGCTCGGCTTCCGCTTCGCGCCGCGTGTTTGGCTCTGCAACGAGCTTTCCTCCTCTTCTTCGGGCACGACACCCAGCTGCCTCCTGACGCGGACCCCGTCAGTCGACGTGCTCGTGAGGCTGCCGCTCGCTCCTCCCGCCATCGCAGACGGTTCGTACTGGGTGGTACTCCCTCCGCTGGCCATATGCTGGCTTGAATACTCGTCGACGCTCATTTTGGACACCCGGTCGGGATCGCTCTCCTCGAAGAGCGACTTGAATTTCTTAAGCGGGGGCTCTTTAGCCTCTGGAACGAACCCCGGCTCCTCTGATGCAAGGAACGACGGAACAGACGCGGCATTCTGTGCGTGGGTGCCTACACGTCTCTTCAGTCTTGATGGACGGGAAGGCGTAGGCGGCTGGGAGAGAACGTGTCAAATCATGCAAGCCTAGCTTGGCCGACAACTTACAACCACACTTTCAGAGTAAACCGGTTCTTCAGAAGGTTCCACTGACGCCCTGTTCAAAGCAACAGCTGCCGATATGTCTTCGGAGGGAGTAGGATCCCTGGCTCGAGCCCTTCTCACCAATGCCTAGAACGAACACAACCTCATCAGAATATAGGGATTAAATACCGGCGTCAGTCTCACCCGACGAGGTGGAGCCGCTGTTGGCGGCGGGGCCTCCACTACAGGTTCAGGGGCTGGATCTGGTACAGCTTGTGATACGGGCTCTCGCGCAGGAGGAGGTGAGGGAGCTCGTGAACCCCCGTGGGATGTTGCTCGTCGGAGCGGCCTCTTTCTTGTGAGTTGTAATGGTGGCTCTGTCTCCGCCTGTTGAGAAACAGCCCCGGTAGGATTGATGGATGGTTCATTTTCAATAGAGTTTGGGACGCCATCTGGTAATAGTGAGTCTTCGACTTCTAGAGGACCACGAATCGGTATCAACATACGTTCGGAAACAACTAACAACTCACCATCCTGGGCGTCGCAAGCAGAATCCACATGGTCGAGCTGAGCATAAGCCGCCGCGTCCACGATCTTCTCTGGCTCCACAAACTTCAAACCAGAACTGCAAAACCATGAGTACCATCGCAAACCCGCAATCTCACAGCATACCTCCTCGCCACCTGCACGAGCTCCCTCCACCCCTCCTTCCCGACCGCCGCGACGGCCGAGCTGCTCGCAGCCACCAGCACCACACTCGTCCCCTTCGCCTGCGCCTTACCCAAAGTCCTCTGAAACGCCTCCATGCCCTTGTCAATCGCGAACGCCTCGCAGCTCCCCCGCCCCCTCTTCACGAGCTCGTGCATGCCCGTGCCCGCTTCCGCCCCCTTCTCGCCCACGAACACGAACACGCACCCGGCGAACAGCGTCGCGCGCTCCTCGTTCGGCTCCCACACCTCGTGCTTCTTCAGCGGCGCCGGCAGCCCCGGAGAAAATCCTGGCCGGTACGTGCGCGTCGACGGCAGCACGTACGTCGTCTCGAGCGCCGCGGGCTCGCCTTCCTCAGCCGCGGTGCCAGCCGCGACGACCGCGCCGAGCCATTCCGGCTTCACGAACGTTGCGACGGACAGCAGCGAGGTCGCGATGGCAGGCGTGAGGGCGTACGCGGGGGCAAGGTGGTGGGTGACGTCGGGGTGCGGGGTCGGGACGAGGTGGATGCCTGGAAGTGCTGTCAGCCTCGCGCGGAACCACATCCGCGAAGAGAGGAGGCGTACCGAGATCCGCGCACTGCGCTACGGAGACCCCACTTCCGCCTTTCCCTGGGGGGCTGTAGCAGACCACTCGCTCCCAGACAACCCTGCAGTCTCCTATCGGACCATGTTCACCACAAGGAGCAGCCAACACGATAACTCACTTGACGTATGTGCTCGCAGACATGTGTATGATGTCTTCGCTCTCCAACTCCATACTGGAGTCTCCCTGACAAGCCATGCGGGGCGTTTGCAGAGAGGGGCGTTCCACCGGCCGGACGCGCTTGGTCAGATTGCGAAGAGTGAGCGTCGGGATGAAGCTCGGGTCCGTCTATGCATAGCACTGTCAGCCAACGACGCGGAATAGTGCGTGCCAACTTGACACACCGCCTGGTCCTCATCGCAAGTACCAACGACAAAAGAGGCGTGCAACTTCGAGATAGCCTTGCTCTTGATCTGGAGGGGGAGCTCTCTTCTACCGAGCTCGTAAGTCTTGCCCGGCTTGAGCAGCTTCTTCTCTGAAGACAGGCGTAAATGTCATGCAATGCAGAATAGGCGACAGAACCATACTCTCTGGAGCCTGGCCTTCGTTGTGGTCCTCATCGAACGGGCCGGAGATGATCCACATCGCTCCGTTTGGTCGAGTTGCGATGTCCGCAAGCGCAGATGGGATAGGGATAGTAACAGAAGCGCAATCACAAAGGATAACCACGCCGGATTGAAGCTGAGGACCGAGTACTGGGTGGTGGTCTGAGCGAACGGTGAGCCGCGCTCAGCGCTCAGCCCTCGACGCGTCGAGACGCGTCTTTAAGCGCCAACCGCAGCGTCCGCATGACCTATATTTCGTTGATCACTAATAACGCCCCAGACGCAAACGAGTCAGACAATGCAACGATCTGTCTATCATTGAGAAACTTCGATGCAGGACATCCTCTGGAGTAGCAATAGAGTACAATGTAAACTGAGTAAGAACACCACGACATAACGGAATAAGTATACTAAGCATCAGCAACCACCGTCGTAGGCAATGCTTCTACCACTGGGGAAGCAGCTTCGGTCGGTATTGCCTCCGCAGCGGCCACCGTCGCCTGTGGTGAAGGGTTCGGAGTGGGCTGAGTTGCAACGGCACTCGTCGAGGGAAGGGTGGGGGCAGGAGGTGGAGTGGGAGCAATCTTAGGCCCCGCGTACGGGCGTTGCCAATTCAACATCATTTGCGAGTCCGCCGGCGGTCGATAAGGTGCGGGGGGTTGAGACGGAGGCGTGCTCAGCACCGGTGCCGCCAAATGGCCGTACTGGGGGTACATCCCGTACGACGTCGCCGCTGCCCCGCCCACGTAGGGGAAGTATCCTGAAGGTGCCGGCGGGATTTGAGGCGGCGGTGGATATATCGCGCCATGCGAATATGAATGGCTTGCCGGAAGCTGACCCACAGCGACAGGGGCCGGCGCTGGTTGCATTCCCGGAAGAGAAGCGTACTGGTACTGCGACCATGATTGATACTGCTGGTACGTGGATGGCTTAGAAAGATGGATAGCCGTCGTCTGTTGGCCGAGGGTAGATGCAGAAGGTCCTGGGGAGATCTGAAGCGGCGCGCTTGTCTCCGTGAATCCGGGTTGAGACGGTCCTCGAGGTGCTAGAGATGACAACGACGTCGACGGTGGTGGTGCCGATAATGATACTGAGCGAGACGGGAGGGCTGAAGGTGGTTGCGAAGGCCTGATAATCGGTATGACAGGCACTTCGACATCGAACCAGATCAGACTAAAATTAACTCCAACGGCAAAGAAATCGAGTACCTTTGGAGCGGTCCGGAGCAGCGACGGTTGGTTTCGAGCCGGCGACATCTGTGTCACCGAAGACAACGCTTCGCCACTTGAATTCTCGCTTCATGCCCTGATCCCAGAGAACCTCGACAGAGGCCGACTCTTCGATGAGGCGAACGAGTGTAACTTCGAAGACACCAGCGGTGACGCGCAACTTGATTCTCGACATGGGCGGCAGAGCAAGAAGCTGTTTCCGGATCCTATCCTGCTGCTGTGCCTTCTTGAGCGCCAGCGTGTCCTAGATGCGGATGAGCACACATCTCAGTCGCATTTTCAGAAGAACGTACCGGATTGTGCTGATGACACAACAGCTCGAACTCTGCTTTCTTGATAGTCCTAGGTGCAGGTTCTGGTTCGTCTGGGGATGGAAGCAACGGCTGAGAACAGTTCCCGTCGACGTCCATAGGTTGCTCTACATGTGCAGAAACCGTTGCCGCCGAAGGCTGATCAAGAACACAGAGGGATGGTGGGGTGATCGCGAGCCCAGGAGCAGGTGGAAGAACGTTGTCGCATGGCACGGGCGCGGGAGTAGGGACAAGTGAGGCAGAAGGGACTTGTTCGGCGGAGGGCGGTGTTGGAATAAACGATGATGATGAAGACGCGGCAGCTGAAGTGCTACCAGGATGCAACATGAGGACTGGATCACTTGTGGGCTGGGAAGATAGAGCTGGAGGTGCCATCGTCTGGTTGTCCACGGCGACAACTTCCTTCTCGACCTCGCGAAGGACCTTGAAGACAATCCCTGATTCGTGCCCTTCTTTCGCACATGAGACGTGGAATGCCTTCGAACACCGACCCTTCGTGCACTGAACCGGTGCACCGTGTGTCTTGTGTCTCACCTTGCTGCAAGCGGAACATTTCTGCAAAAACATGAGGACGTCATTTATATCCATGAGACCAGTACTCACCAAATTCCACCGATCCTTTACGATACCATCAACGCCAAATACTACACGCTCCTTTTCTCCATCGGGTTCGAGCTCGCCACCATCAAGCACATCCACCCACGTCTCCGGTACGATACTTGCACAATCCGCGTGGGCCATGCAGGTCCCCGCCACGGCGGCAGCGATGTTTCCCGGCTCGTACCACCACGCAGGAGGGTCTTGCACTCGCAACAAGCCATCGTGAGACATTGACACGCACAAACAACACGGGAACGGTTCCGGCTGCTTGGGCGGGGGTGGAAGCTTTAGCGTGACCTTGAGCTGCTTCGTGGAATCCGCCAGCTTAGAGGATGACGCGATTGGCTGTTCTGACGAAACAGTAGCCTTCGTCCTTTGTTTCTTGGGTTTCGGAGCGGCATTATCCTCTGCCTTGCGCTTGTGGGGAGCTTGCGGGTGAGGCTGAGGTGCCTGGGCTTTCGCCTCCGACTCACTATCCGGGTTGCTGGGCGGGAGCAATTTGATGGAGCAAAGCTTCCTGCGATTGCGGTAGACCTCGTTGCCTTCCGACGCGCGTTCATACAAGAGTTGATCGACGTCAATGCGGACACTAGGGAGGGGAGTCATAAGCTCTCACGCTTAAAAGGGGTGAAAGGGATCAGGCGTACCTGAAGTCGACGCAAGTGCAGATCTTGGCAGTCCGGCCAATGTCGATCCAGCTGTCAAGAGCAAAATTGACGCTCTCGGCACAATTGAAGCCGAGATTGAAGCCTGCATGGTAGCCACGAGGAAATGTGATGACGAACTCGCCCTCGCGTTGAACGAGGCAGTTTGGGCGGCAGGAAGACCCAGCAAGGAGAGTCGGAGAGGCAAGATAGGACTTGTGTCGAAGGAACTGGGGGCAGTTGTTGCCGGGGAACATGCCTAGGAGGAGCGTCAGCTATGGCGACGAGAAGACAGAGGAAGATGCGCACTCCTCAGTGTTTGTTCTAAGGCCGAGGCGCGTGCTTGAGGTACGGCGTACCAGAACTTGGGAGCACCGAAGTGAATGTAGTTGATACTGAAGAGGTCCATGTCCTCGACGTGCCAAGCAAAAGTAGCCCTCCACATGCCGAAATAGAGGTAGGGAGTGTTGACCCCTGGTAATCCCTTTGAAGATGGCGACAGCAACCGCGTGAGTGTTGAAGGAAGGTGCGCTACATTCCACGTCGTCGTCTCGTCCGTGAACAGTGAGCCTACGACGCCGATGAGCCTGACGCCCATGGTAGATGACTGGCCAAACGACGACGCGCACCTTGCATGTCTGCACCGTACCACGGCGCCTTGCCGAACGAACACGTCTTCCAGTACCGCCGCTCGAGCTCTTTGCAAAACTCCGCCGTGTAACTGCTTGCTTCGGTCTCGGGCGGAAGCCACGCGGCATGCGGATCGAAGTTCTCCAAGAACTGGGCGTCCTTGCGTGCGTTCTTCTCCGTCTGCACATGTGCTCGAACCCTTTTTTGCTTTTTGGGCTTGACGTCTTCTGCGACCTCGACCAGATCCTTAATCTCCGCCCCTTCCTCTTCCTCCTCTCCCCGCGCTGGCGTGTGCTCTAGCCTCGAAGGCCCCGGGACAGGCGCCGAACCTGCAGCGGCAGTCTTCTCCCCATTCTCGACGACGGGAGACAACGCGCGATTGCTGTGCGGCGGGGAGATCAGCGCAGACGCAAACTCCGCGGGGCGCCCCTCCTCCTCCTCCGCCTTCACGTCCACCTGCATCGCGTCCGGCTCCGCCGTCTCCGACGCCCCGGCCACCGTCGTGCCCCTCCTGCTTCCGCCACTCCTCCTCGTCCGCCTCGCACCGGTCCCGGCGTCCTTCGCGCGCGCGTTCCGGCCGCCCATCTCGTGCACGCCCGGCGCGCGGTACTGGTCCTGCGCGCAGAGCTCCGCCCAGTCGCGCACGCTCATCGTCCTCCGCTTCTCCATGTTGCACTGCAGGTACCGCCCGTTCGAGCCCTCCATGCGCTGCTCGATCGGGCTCGTAAGCTTCACGTGCCCGAGCTGCGGGACGACCGACGGCAGCCGTTCCGTCCTGCACGTCCAGGTGTGAATGACTCGTTCAGAGAAGGGCAGAAGGGGAGGGACGGAAGGGGAGCGGAGGATGATGAACGGACTACGCACCACTCCTTCGGGGGATAATCTTCACGATCCCGCTGCGCACGCCCCACGGCTCGACGCGGTTCATGTACTCCTCAAAGTCTGCGAACTCGGCCATCGTCGGGCGGAAGACGGGGATGCCGCGTTCCGCGTTCGGGTCGTCCTTCGGGTCGAGCCACGCGCGGCCCTCGGAGTGGGGAGAGGGCGGGAACTGGACGGCGTCGTGGCCGTAGAAGTGGTCAGGCTGCACCGGGATTGCTGGGGACGATGCCCGGGAGCCAGGGCCGCGAGAGGAGGGTTGCGAGGACGAGGGAGAGGAGGCTGCTGACGCCATGGTGGCTAGCCCCTCGGGTGAGATGGTGTATGCGCTCGGCGCAACCACCGGGGATGAAGGAATATGTCGGGGCACTTGGGTGTGCGAGAGTGGATGCTGCGATGGGCCAGGACGAGGTGGTTGCGGAGGACGAGGAGAGTGCAGCCGGGGTCGTCGCGGCGGCGGAGCAGGCGCCTCTTTCCCTGCGGTGCTCACGTAAGCGCGACGCCCCATCCCTCGAACACACCGCCCGGGCTGGCTCGAGCCCAGAACTCGACCAGCCGTGGCCAGAGGCCCTCGTCTCGCCTGTTACTGACCCGACTTTCGCATGTTGCGACAAGGTGACCTTCATGTGGTTCGCTCGCTTGTTTTCAGTGCGTTGTTCTTCAGCGCTTCCTTCTGCGTTGTTTCCAAGTTGTGTCACTCTAACCACCCAGTCGCGCGTTACCATCTATCATACACTCTCTAGTACACAGGTAAAGATCGGACGGCGCGACATCTGCTAGTGGCTTCATACATACACCACCAACCGCATATCATATGTGGCGCCAAGGAGGGGAACGAGGAGGAGGGGAAATGCTCGACCATCAACAGCCCGCCGACGTGTCCACCACGCTGGCTCAAAAAGGGCTGCCTGTGCTCGCAGGCCAGCGTGAGAAGGTGAAAGGGGGAGGAGGAGAACGCGGCTAGCCCAGCTGGCGCCAGAAGGTCAAGGCAAAGGGGGAACAAACTTGAAAGCCTCAAAATCTCTCCAAACGACTCTTTCCCATCGAATGTAAGTATCAGTCCATCAGCGCACTGTACGAGCGACCGCCGCTATGACACATCCGGCGTCCCTGCTGTCGAGCCGGCCGCGGACATGTCGTCTCCGCTGCCTCTCCGCACCGCTCCCGCCCCCAACGGCGGGCGCTGTCGCGACGACGGCGGCGAGCGTGGAGGCCCAGGCGTCACAAGAGGCGCCTCCGATGTCAGAGCGGACGCTGCAGAGAGCACCGACACACTCGACGGCGACGCCGTGAGCGCGATGGACGAGTTCCACGACGTCGGCGGCGGGTGCTGCTCCATCATCGGCGACTCCACGTACGGCGGCGACCTCGGTGGCGAACGCGGCGGTTCCGCAGGGTTCGCGGGAAGACCAGGGTATCGTGGCGAGCCCTCCGCGGGGTACGGCGGCGGGAGCTCCTCCACCACCCCTCCGTCCCGGTGCTGGATGATGATGTCCGGCCCAAAGCCTCCCACCTCTGGGATCGTGCCCGCAGCCATCCGCGTGGACGAGCCTGCTCGTCTTGGTACGGAGCGCTGCGGGAACGGACGCGTCACCCCCGCGCTTTGCGACCGCTGCACGCGAGGGCCCCCGCAGAGTTCGACGGCCCGGCGGCCTGGAAGCCCCCGCTGGAGCTCCCGCCGAGGACGATCCGCCCGCGCGCGGCCTGCGCCTCGGCGTGTGCTTCGAGTGCCTTGCGGTACCGCTGCGAGGGGGAGAGCGTGGCGGCGGGGGAGGTCGAGTTGGGCGTGAGTATCGGTGGGGTGAGCGTCATCGGCGTCATAGTCATCGGGGTGCTCGAGTGCGTTGCGGCGGCCTCGGGATGGGAGATGGGCGACCTTTCCATCGACATCAACCGCGAGACGGCCGAAGGGGGCACCCGTTGTGACGACGGCGAGGGCGTGATTGAGGAATTCGACGCGTTGGCAACATAGCGGGTTGAGGTGAGATACGGGACGGGGCCGTCCGAACCATGGTTGCCGAGGTCGGCAGTGGACATGTCGAGCGACGAGGGACTGTCCGTCCGGTGCACAGGTGACTCCTGTTGCGCGTCCACGACCCAGGACGCCGTGCGCTGGCGGTGTGCGGTGGTGCGCACGACGGAGGTGTCGACGTTGAGGCTCGGGCGTCCTGGCGCGCGCTCCTCCATCCTGCTGTCCCACGGGCGCGCGACGAGTCCTCGTTCGGCCTGGTTCTTCCGCCACCACCACCAGAACGCAATACCAGCAAGGATCAGAGGCACGATTAGTCCGAAGACGATGCCGAGAGCGATCGTGGTTGACTTGGCCTTCGCGGCCGCCACCGCGGCCGCAGCACGGTCAGAAGCTTCCTGCTGGATCTCGGCCGTGGTCTTGGACGTCGACGGGAGCCCGCCGCAGAATGTATCGGAAGGGCCGCCGGACTTGACAATAATGGATGATATGCCCCATGTCCCAGTGCTAGATGTCAGGAGGTCAGAAACAAGCAGCATATGGATAGAAGGCTACTGACGCATCGACGACCGCGGCTGTAAGCGGATATTAGGTTGTGTGAAGCCGCGGAGGAAGAGTGACGTACCTAGAATCTGAGTGCCGGGGTCCGCACGATCAATGAACGTGAAGACGTCGTCCGCGGGTCCCATTGTGACGTTAGTGATCACTGGGGAGTCAATGGCTGCGAGCGAGACATTGTACGGCTTCTGGCCTCCGGTGATAGTCAACCCCCAAGGATCGCAGGTGGTGAGGGAGGTGACGTTCGAGTGTACGACCGCCGGATTTGATGGTGCGGCGGGGATGCAGGACGTGTCCGAGCCCGCTGTGGAGGTGAATAAGGAAAGGGAGAGGGAAGAGGAGAGAAACGATTGGGGCGCACCAACGACGTTGTAGAACTGAGCAGGGAAACCACCAATTTTGCCTAGACCATCGACTACGGTGAGGAGCAACTTGGAACCGCGGGGATGCTGGTTCTGCCATGAAAGCTGGGAGGGATCGTCGCCAATGAGAGAGACTATGGTGGTGCTTTCCGGGGCGAATGCCATCATATAATATGGGGGCTGGCCGATGTCGGTCGTCGACGCATTGAGAGGGATAAGATTGATTGCATGGCTCTCGCACTCGGCGAAGGAGGTTTGGATGAACTGCGAGCGGAAAATGATCAACGAATGCCGTGTGCGGAGAGGCGGGGGGTGGACGTACGTTCTGGCCAAAGCCCCAGTTGAAGGCGTGTTGGGCGAGGGCGGGGCGGAGGGAGGCGAGGAGAAGGGTGGCAAAGGATATTCGTCGAAGGGAATCCATTGGAGAGGAGTAGGGGGAGCAGAGAGAGAACAAGATAACCCCAGGAGACCGGTAGAAGGAAAGAGGAGAGGGCGCGCAGCGGAGGGTGGAGAGAAAACGCCCAGCGTCAGAACATGAAGGCGGACGAGAACCCAGAGGAGCTCGCGCAGGCGGAGGCGGGAGGAGGACAAGAGGCGAGAGACGCGGCCAGGGGCAGTCGGCTGCAGCCCACGCGCGGGATTGATTCCAGCCACGATCATCTCCTCCTCCCCATTGGGTCCCCCGCCCACACGGGCCCGATCGCTGCCACCGTCGCCCACCGTCCCGCCTGACGACCGCCGTTTGGGCCCGGACGACGTCCACGACCGACAACTGGCTTCTTGCTCTGCTCGACCCTTCTGCGTCCGCACTCGTCCTCCGAGCGACGAGCAAACACCTTCGCAGAAGCTCGACGCCGCGCGCAGGCCTCCGCGCCCAGATTGGCAGCCTGGGATCCGGGCGCGTCTCCATCAACCGCAGGGGATGATGAGATGGCGGGCCCGAGAGATGGGACAGGCGGGCGCACACGCAGGACAGAGATCCGACATGGCAACCACCCGCGCCGACCGCATGCCCAAATGAACTCTGCTTCGCTCACGACACCCTTCTTCCCAAGGCACCTCACCCAAAGTCTCGTCCGTGCTTTCCACTCCGTCCACGCACGGTGATTGTTCAATCCAACATGGACGACACCGCCTCCGGGTGGCGAGCCGCAGCCACATCTACATCACTAAGTACCAGCAGGTACCAGCCCGGAGTTGTGTCCCCAGGGACAGAGGCCGTATCACAACAAATCGTTTCTAGAACGATCCCCCATCGGCACACGCACATCTCGCTCTCGGGGCCGCCCACCATCATCTCCCGTTTCTCACCGTCTACGTCCTCAGCCGGTCCCACGACTTCTCCTGATTCTCCCGCGTTCCTTCCGGGCGTCCCGCTCGCTGTATCTAAGAGACCTGTATGTTCTCCCAATGCATGAAATTCTCGAAATAATAAGCACACGCTGTCATACCCACAGTATTCGTAACATCACGAGCAGTCGTCCAAATATAATCACCCAGAAATATCCCTTCGTTGCCTCGCACACAAGCCGCCAAAAGCCGCCGCGCTCACCCGCGATCCCGCCCTCCACGGGCCTTTGTGTCCGTCAACACCTTATGTGTTTGCCACAGCCCAGTGAACGATTTGCGCTGCCGCTCAGCGCTCAAGCCTCAGCGCGAATGGCAGCGGCAATACCACAACGACACTAAAATGGCTTCATCACGTTCTGCCAACATCCGACGTACGGCTGTGTTCCCAAACGCGACAACTCTGACGGACGGAAGCTGCGCAGGGCGCAGGGCATAGCAATGTAGGGGAGACTAATAGCAATGATCCGCGACCGGACTCGAGTTCATTGAGTGCCTGGTCCGCCAGCTGCGCAGTGCGTTAGAGTAGGTTAGAGTGCGTTCTGCTGCGCTTCACCCACCGACACCTACACCCGTAACATAGATTGAGTGTCCCTAAAACAAAGCTCCAACGCAGGATCTCGCTTACAGCGAAGCTTCACCTCCACATGGTCTCCAAACGCCTCGAAGGCGTCCCTCAACGTCTTGGCCCTCTCCTGCATGACCGCCACGTTCCCCGTCAGGATCCACGAGCTGTACCACTCCATCCATATCTGGCCGTCGAGCCACACTGTCAGCCTCTTGAACGCAGGAAACCGCCGCCTGTCGAGCAGGACCTTCGCCAGACGGTCCACGAGAGAATACGTCACCCCAACGATCACCCCGTTCCGCTCGACAACGAGAAGCATGAGGTTCTCCAGCGTGAACCGCAACGGAGGATCGCTCTCGAGGAGCTCGCAGAGCGACTGGAGGAGTGTCCCCTCCATCGTCTGCTCCCTGTTGTGCGGCTGGTGGCGGAGGCCAAGATACCGGAGACCCGAACACAATCTTAGCAGGCCGAAAAGCCGAGTGGTGCTCGTCGCTGCGTACCGTTCAGTGCCATCGTCTTCAGATATCGAATGAACTGGCCCACTCACCTGGCTCTCCATCCGTAACTGCCTCACCGTTCACCGCCACCAGATGGCGCAACGTCCTCGTGCCCGCCCGAATGAGCGCATACCACTGGTGCGCGTGCTCGCCCCCGCTGATCTGCAGCTGCTCGAGCGCCGCCGCCTCCAGACTCTGCCTCCCCTCCAGCGCGCAGAACGTCTGGGTGATCATGCACTGCTGCATCGTCACCCTCCTCAGCGCTAGCTCCCGTCCTCCAGCGCGCTCCCCAGCCCCCAGCCCCAGCCCCACCCGCAGACCCGGAGGCCCCACGTCCACCGCCGTCGAGCGGCACACCAGCTCCTCCAGCCCCAGCGGCAGCCTCACGATCGCGCACCAGTCCGCGAGCGACCGCACGCGCATCGAGTCGAGCGTGAGCGTCCGCAGGCCCGTCAGCCGCCCCAGCACCCGCGCGCGCTCCGCCGCGAACCGCGACCGGTGCGAGCCCATGAGGCGCTGGTAGAGCCGCAACGTGCGCACGCACGGCGCGAGCGCGGGCGTCGCGTCCACCGCCGCCGCGAACGCGTCCAGGAAGACGTGCCGCGTCTGCGGCGACGGCTGGTGCGCGCCGGCGTAGACGTGCGTCCCGAACAGGTCCCGGTCCATCTCGTCCCAGTCGCAGTACACCGCCACGTCCCTCCAGAGGTGCGTGCGGGCGCGGGGAAGGAGCGCGGGGCTCGCACGCGCGCAGGCGGCCAGCGTGCGATGGTCGTCGGCGGCGTGGTCGAGGATTTCGTTGAGGACCTCGATGGGGAGTAGGGTCCGCGTGGCTGTGAAGGCCATTTCTAGTTGACGGAAGCGTTCACTGTTTGTCACTCCGGATATTCGCCAGAGAAGACGCACCGAGCGGGTGAGAGTTGAAGTTCGAGGCTACAAGATGAGCCTGAGCGCTTCGGGCGCAAGCCTGCTGGAAACAGGTCAAGGTGGTTAGAAGTGACGGTATACAGACCGGAGTACCCACCGAGAGGATGTCTCGTGCAATCGGGGCTCGGAGGATGAGGAGACGCGAAGTTTATATGTCCGCGACTAGGGGTATGACCCACGTGCCCGAGACACGACGCTCGGAGCTACGAGTGGGTCCCCTTAGGGCCATGGAGAAACGGAGTTGTCTCGGGTTTCGAGGTGGCTCGGCATGTACGCCTCCACAGGCGGGCTTTGTCGGAGGAAAAGTGGGAACGATATACAAATTGCCGCAAAACGTGGAGGACGATACGTAGCGAAAAGAGAAAGTAGATATGCAGTCTACGTATGGAGCAAGGGAGACAGAGACTACTTAAGCTTCGACTTCTTCGTCGCCGGCTGACCGCTGAGCGCAGGACTATTTCTTGGGTTGGACGCGCCGCCGTCAGAGGTCTTCTTCTTCTTCGCCGGCTGGTCGCTAGCCGCAGGACTATTCCTTCCGCTGGACGCGCCGCCGTCAACAGCCTTGAATGAACGCTTCCTCAGCACCCGCAAGAGCGCCTGCTTCGTCTCCCCTTCGGGGAATGTCGACGGATCGAAGTAAGCCTTGGCGTACTCAAGAAGCCTGCAAGAAACAGTCAGACCTTGTTCATGTCAACGATGATCAGAAGTGCACTAACCACTCTATCCTAGCTTCTGAAACCGTCCGGATGTATGGCTTCGACGTCAGCACGAACTCATTGAAGATCACCCATTCGGGCGACGCGTCCAGCCCGCATGAAGGATGGAGTGACACGACTTGGTTGTCCTTCACGGTAAGATAGTTGCCCTTGTCCCCTTCTTTGTGTGCAACCTGCATGAAGAACCCGCAGACGAGCGCCTTGCGGATATCCACGAAGAGCTTCTTCTCGTCTTGCGTCGTCACAAGCTCGATCTCGTAGCGCTCCATAGTCCGGAGCAACTGTGACCGAACATTATCCGCTTGCTGTAGCGCACGGGCAGAAAGATAGTTGTTCCAACACCACTTGCTGTCATGTTTGTCTGTAGAAGCACAATGAGCGACTAGTGATGACCATCGTGGCGAGTGACATACTGTTCATGTAGGAGTTGTACACGTTCATAAGCGTTAGATGATCGCCGTCCGGTATGGTGAGCATCCCTTTCGCGGCGTCAGCTTCCTTGCGCTGATTCGGAGGCCTTAGCCAGACGTTGGGCACTAGAAAAGGAGTAAGCGTCAAGAAGCCTTCCGTGGTACGCATACATACCGGATAACATCGCGACAATGGTCAACATTTCATTACTGCAGTTGAACTCCGGACTGACGATAAGCATCTTGGCCATCTAATAAAGGTGTTCAGAGGACAACCCGTTGCAGCAAGAAAATACCGACGTACCTGGGGATCCAGTGGGAAGTCGGCCATGATCCCGCCTAGGTGAGTCAGGTTCCCGTCGTCGTCCAGAGCGGCCAAGAAGTTGAGGAGTTCCAATGCGCGCATCAAAGTCTCGGGTGCAGGTGCGTCCACGTAATCGAAATGAACCAGATCATTGACACCCAGCTTCGCAAGCTCCAGAACGGTGTTTGCGAGGTTGCTCCGCAAGATCTCAGGGTGTGTTTGCTCCTCCAGTTCGGTCATGAAATCTTTCTCGGTGTATAGTCGGAAGCATTTGCCCGGACGGGTACGCCCTGCACGACCTGCACGTTGTTGGGCGGAAGCCTTCGAGATAGGGGAGACAAGCAGCGACTCGACACGGATCCGTGGGTTGTACACCTTTTGCTTAGAGAAACCGGGGTCGACGACATAGACTATACCGTCGATTGTGAGGGATGTTTCGGCAATGTTGGTGGAGATCACAATCTTGCGGCCCGGCGGGCCGTTCGCAACGCGGGGCGTTGGTGGAGGGTCGAATATGCGCTGCTGCTGCTGCGGAGGAAGAGACGAGTAGAGGGGGATACAGATAAGGGGTCCAACGCTGTCCGGGTCCTGGTTGGTGAGTTCGTCCGCTTCCAACTTGATCTTCCTGCAGGCGTCCTCGATTTCCTCTTCACCGGTCAAGAACAAGAGGATATCTCCCGGCTCCTCCGCGCGGTGGATCATGAGCACAGTCCGGATTGCCGCTTCGACGTAGTCGGGCTCGGGATCCTGAGTGTAGAACACCTCAACGGGGTGGGTTCGACCTGGGACCTTGAACAGCGGCGCGGGCTTGTCGGGGCCCGAGATGCTGAAATAACGCTGGAACTTTTGGGCGTCGAGGGTTGCAGACATGACTACTATTTTGAGATCCGAGCGACGTTTTGCGAGGTCCTTGAGGAGACCCATGAGAATATCGGTGGCCAGAGTACGCTCGTGGGCCTCGTCGAGAATGATCGTGGAATACCGGGTGAGGTCGGGGTCGTTCATCGCCTCTCGAAGAAGCATACCGTCGGTCATATACTTCAGGAAAGTGGTGCCCGGTTCGGTCATGTCCTCGAAGCGGATCGAGTAGCCGACTTCCTTCCCCAATTGCACTGTGCCATCTCCGGTGAATAGTGCGTCTCGCAGCACTAGACAGCCAACGCACGTACCGTCCATCTCATCTGCTACACGCTTTGCCACGGACATCGCAGCCACTCGTCTTGGTTGTGTACACGCCACTAACTGGCCCTTGGAGTGGGGTAGGTCCGAGTAGCAGACAAATTGAGGTATCCTAAAGAGACAAGTACCGTCAGGGGGAAACCGAGGAGACTCTTGCGAAGAGTTGTGTCTCTCACTGAGTTGTCTTGCCCGAGCCAGTCTCTCCCACCATAACAATGATCTGGTTGTTGGTGAACTTTTGCCGGAGAATTAGCTACGTCCAAATCGGCCGGGGGCGCGGTATGTCTGAAGCAGACTCTGACCTCCCCTCATTTGGGAAAGAGCAGACGATTGGACGTACCATTTTGAGGAACTCGTCCATCTGACCGAACACGGGTAGCTTCTTGCGAGCCTCCAGGATCTTCTTGTACTGGGTCGAGTGTGGGCGTTTTGTGAAAGGATTATGCTCGTGGTGCTGAGAGTGCTTATCGTGAGCGAGTGTCTGTTTCCACAGAGCAGTAGCACACACCAGAGCCTTGGTGACTTGCGCCGCTGTCACTTTTCGCGGGAAGAGGCCAAAGAGAGGGTCATTCGCGCCCAAGTTTGCCTTGAGGGGCGGCGCCTTCGTGTATGGGTTGGCCATAGATAGCTCTAGAGGGCAGGAGTATATGCAGAGGAAGGAGAGAGAGAGATGGAGAGCCACAGTCCGAGTCCGAGCAAGGTGCGGACCAAGTTCCAACTGCAGCTCGAAAATGGCACGCGGCCCGCGGGGGAAAGAGGTCACGTGGACAGCCCACTCGACGCGCGTCGGGCATGCACATCCAGACGACGCGTCCACCTCTCTTCCTCTCCTTCTCCGCACACCACCACCATGGACCACTTTCCGACGAACTGGGGCCGCCCGGTAGGAATATTAACTCTATGACCGCTGTTTCTGGCTCATTCCCTGTAGCGCAACGATGCATCTGACCCATACGGCACATATCCCATCCACCAACGCCCACCAGTAAAGGACACCTTCGCGGAGGGGGTCCAACGAACACAGTGAGCAGCCTCTCGACGCACTGAAGTGTTTGGGCCGACGTTTTCTCAGACAACCCATTGTGACCGGTACATCCGTGCTTGCTATCCAGTACAAGGATGGGATTATGATGGCGGCCGACAACCTCGGTACGTACCCTACTACATCCTCACGTACCTACAGCCGCTGACCCACCGTGTGCAGCTTCCTACGGCTCTCTCGCCCGCTTCAAGGACATCAAACGTCTCCACCAAGTCGGAACGTCCACCGTCATCGGGGCATCCGGAGACATGTCCGACTTCCAAGCCATCCAGGCCTTCCTCGACGAGATCGTCACGGACGAGTTCACCCATTCGGACGGACACGACCTGGGTCCTGTGGAGGTCCACGAGTACCTCTCCCGGGTCATGTACGCTCGCCGGTCAAAGATGAACCCCCTCTGGAACTCCCTCCTCGTGGGCGGCTTCCGCGACGGCAAGCGGTGAGTGCGCCACTCAGCTCTTGCACACCCCTTCCTCGAACGCCCTCGCTGTTCCATTGCCATCCCCATTCCGTGTGTTTTCCCATACACGCTGCACTCCCATCTCTGGACCCTCGCCCGACTTTATCGGAAACCACTCATCCACACAATCTCCAGGTTCCTCGGCTACGTCGACCTCCTCGGTACGACCTACTCAGCCCCCTCCATCGCGACCGGATACGGCGCGTACATCGCCGTCCCCCTCCTCCGCGCCGCCGTCGACGGCAAACAAGACCAGCTCACCGAGGACAAGGCCAAGGAGCTCCTCCACGAGTGCATGCGCGTCCTCTTCTATCGCGACGCGCGCAGCATGGACAAGGTGTGCCCCGTCTCCCTCTTTCTCCAGCCCACGCGAGATCCTCACCGTCCGTCTCCCACCACAGTACCAACTGGCGACCGTGACCGCCGCCGGGGTGCACATCTCGGACCAGATCCAGCTCGAGACCGCGTGGGGCTTTGCGGAGGGCATCCGCGGCTACGGCGCGCAGACGCAGTAGGCGGTGTGTTGTGCGAGTCGGACGGACGCGGTGTAGCATGTATGTGTACAGTAACGGAAACCAATGCGATGCTTCTCGTCTGGACCCGCTCTCTGAAAACTCCAGGTTCCCTGCGCGGAGGGCGGAATGTTGATCCAGTCGAAACCACCTCAAGCTCAACGCATAGCAGTCGACATCAGATTTAAGCAACGTCTGAACGTCACGACAATAACAGAGTGGTATGCTACAGGGTTGTGAGAGACGCGATAGCGCATTGGTGCGGAACGGAAAAGCATATGTAGATCGAGCAGAAAAGGAGCGGCGCAGAGCACAGTCCGAGCGTCCTGCGCCCGCACGTCCAGCCCACAGGGAGACCGCGACAGACCCGGTGACCGAGCCCTACGCCCCCACCGCCGCGCTCGCCCGCGTCCCCGCCGCGTCCCCCAACGCCAAGCCGAACGACGCCGACGACGATGCCACCAGCGGCGGGGGCGGGGGCGCCCCGACGCCCCTCAGGTGCGCCGGCACGCACCCGAACTCCTCCCTCTCCCGCTCCCTCTCCCGCTCCCACTCGCGCACGCGCCGCTCCGCCTCCGGGGGCGCGGGCGCGGGTGCGAACGCGTCGCGGAACGCGCGCTCCGCGCGCTGCAGGCCCGTCACGAGCCGGAGCACGTCCGCGCGGACGACCGCCGCGCAGAACCACGGGAGCATCCCCGGGCGCGTTGGGTGCCCGAGCGTGCCCTCCGGGACCCGCGGTGGGTCGCGGCGGGGCGGGGGCCGTGGGGTGGGGTGTGGGAGGTACGGCAGCGGCTGCTGTTGCGTTGTTGGTGGTGGAGGTGGAGGTGCGAGCTGCTGCTGCTGCTGCTGCTGCGATTGTGGTGGGGGGTTCTGGTGTGGCGGATGCTGCTGCTGCTGCTGTTGCTGAGGGCGAGCTGAGGGTGCGGTCGCCGTACGGAGTGCGGGCATCGCAAGGGGAGGTGCAGCTGGCGAGGGTTGTTGCGGCACGAGCGGCGATCCAGTCGGGGGCACCGAGGTGAACAGCGTCCCCGCCGCAGACGTGCCGTGGAGGCTGACCGCCTGGTTCGCGTTCGGCACCCCATGTCGCGCCGGGGGAGCGGCCTTGGGCTGCGACGCTGCAGCGCAGAGACATGTCAGCCCAGCCCAGCGTGAACAAAGGCTCGCACCACGCAAACGCAACTCACCTTTCCGCGGCCACAGCCCGTCGAGCGTCGCCGGCATCCGCACCCTGCGGTTCGCGAGCACGTCCTCGGTGATGATCCCGGTGAAGAACCTGCCCATGCCCGCCCCGCTCCACGCCATCTCCGCCAGGACGTGCGACATGCGCGTGAGCGCGACCATCCCCGGCCGCGGGTCGTACGCGCCGCTCAGCTCGTGCTGCACCCCGCGCGCGTCCGGGAACGTCCCCGGCACCGGCCGGTACACCCACCCGCCCGCCGCCGCCTTCCCCTTCCCCCGCGCCCCCGGGGCCTGCGCCGGGACGCCCCCGCACGGCTGCGCGAGGTTGCCGAGCAGGTAGTCGAACACCACCGTCCCCTCGCTGCCCCCGTCCGCCTGCTCCCGCTCGGGCACGACCCACGGCGTGTGCCACCGGTGCCAGCAGTCCCACGGGCTCCGCACCGGGAACCGCGTCCGCGTCGCCTCGTACAGCGCGAGCATCGACTCCCGGCTCTCCCGCGTCGCCTGCGCCGACCCGCCCGGGCGCGCGCCCGGCCCCGCCATCGCGGTCTGCATCACGTGCGCGAACGCCTTCGCGTCCGCGGACCGCAGGCTGAGCGGCGCGCGCCGCTTCGGCAGCGCGAGGATGCGCTGCGCGGGCGGGGGGCCCGTCGACGGCGGCGGGGGCGGGGGCGGGGCCGCGGAGGGTGTCTCTTTGCCCTTGCGTGACGGCTGGGCGACGATCGGGTACGGGAGGCGCGTCACGAACGGCGCGTTCTTGTCCATCGGCGCGGGCGGCGGGACCGTGGCCTGCTGCGAGGACGTGGAGGAAGATGCGGCGCCCGCGTCCGTCGCGCGCGCGGCAGCCTCTGCTCGTGCCGCCGCGCTGCCAAACGGTGCGCTCTTCTCGCGCTCGCCGGGGCCCGTCTGCGGTTGCGGTTGCGGTTGTGTCTGTACATGGGAGGCGTCCGCCGCTGGGGCCGGGACGCGCGTGTCGGCGCGCATGCGGGCAAGGACGACGCGCATGCACCGCTCCTCCTCCCTGCTCTCCGCCGCCTGCTTCCCGAACCACTCCTGAAGCGGGCGGGTGATGAGCACGTTGTTGTACGCCTCGGCGAGGAACGTCCAGCCGTGCTCCGCGGGGGGAAGTGCGCGGTGAGCTCGAGCAGGAAGAGGACCTCGAGCATCGACCACGGGTTCCGGGCGAGGAACGCCTCGGGCGCAGGCGGCGCGGGCGGCGGCGTGTTGTAGTTCTTCACCGCGTGCGTGTGCGCGTGTCCGAGTGACGAGCCGGCGGTGGGCGAGATGCCCGTCGGGGTGAGCATCGGGGGCCCGTTGTGCACGCGCGGGGGCGCCGTGGGCGGGGCGGCGGGTGCTGGGGGTGGAGGTGGGACGAACGGCGGGAGGGACGGCACCGGGATCGGTGGGGGCGGGAATGGCTGCGGGGTGGTGAAGTGGATGGGTGGGCGTATGTCCGAGACGGGGCCTGAGTCGGGCTCGAGCTCGGTGGGCCCTGTCCCGGACTCAGAGGGCGCGCTGAAGATGTCCGAGGCACCGTCTGAGGTGCTGTCCGCGTCGCTGTCCTCCTGCTCCGTCGTGGTTTTGCCATTCTTGAGTGAACTCGGCGGTGTGCTAGCGAAGGCCTCCGGGAAGTCCAGCGCGCCCGGCATCCTCTCGTCCTGTCCCTGGCCCGAGATGGCTTTCTGGTCGACGACGGCACGGACGCGGAGCTCGAGCCTCGCCGTCTCGCGCTTCAACGCCTCGATTTCCCCGGGGCCGACCCGCGCCTGCCAGCGCTCCATCCTGCCCAGCATGCGCTCCATCCGGCGCACGCTCTGCAGCACCTCCGCCCGCCACTGCGACGGGTCCTCCGCAAACGCGTCCCGGACGCGCTGCAGGAGCCCCGCGCCCTCCGCCTCTCCCTCCGCAAGCCCGCCGCCGCCGCCCGCGGTGAGGTCGAGCGCACCGACGATCTTCGCGAGCTCCGACATGGACGCCATCAGCTCCCGCGGCGGGCCCATCGACAGCTCGCCGTCGCCGTCCTCTCCCTCTCCCTCGTCGTCGTACTCGTCCCGTTCGGGCTCACGTTCGTTTTTCTGACCCACCCCCACCCCCGCCGCCGCCGTCGCCGCTCGGCCCCTCTCCATCTCCTTCGCCCTCGCCCTCGCTCTCTGTCGCTTCTTCTTCTCCCTCTTCTTCCCCGCCGCCGACGACTGCGCCGGCACCCTCCCCGTCCCCGTCCCGCCCTCCGCCGCCGGCGCCTCCTCCTCCTCCCGATCCGAGTCCGCCGCCTCCTCCTCCCTCTCCCCGCCCTCTCGCTCTCCCGCTCCCGCCTCCCCGTCCTCCCTGCCCGGCCGCGCCCATGCCCATCCTCCACCATGTGTCTGCACCTGCGCCTGCGCCTGCGCGTGCGTGTGCGTGTGCGTATGTGTGTGCGGCCGGAACCCGTACGGCCTCGCCCCGCGCGCATGCTGCCACCGCGTCCGCGCCCTCACCGCGCCCCCGCGCTCCTCGACGTCGAACCCCCGCGGCTCGTACGGCATGTCCCGGTCCAGCGCCGCGTGCGTGTGAGACGTGGTGGCGGGGACGTGGGTGGCGGCGGATGCGGGGCTGTGCCACCGGCCTGCGCTGGAGGACGGGGACGAGAACGAGAATGGGGACGAGGACGGGGATGGGGACGGGTCGCTTCCGTGCGCCACGAGCCGGGGCATCTCGTCCCGGGCGCGTGCGCTGTTCTTTGGAGGTGCACCACGGCGGTCACGCAGCGGAGAGGTGGGTGCGCAGAGGGGCGGCCGAGGGGGAGACGGATGAAGTGGCGGGCTGGGTGGAGCGGAAGAGACGAACGGCGTCGGGTGCGCTGAGTCTGAGCAAGAGACGGGCGATTGAGAGGCGGAGGTCAAAAGGCGGGCGCACGCGTTTTAGCCACTCGCCAGAGCACTGTGTGCAGTGTGGTCGCGTGGGCGGCGGTAGAGTAGAAAGATGTGGCCGCGTCTCGCCAGACAAAGGGTGGCCCAGCTTCGCGAGAGAACAAGCAACGGACTTCAGGCGGTGGAGACCGAGTCGGGTGGCGGGCGTCGGGGAGGGGGTTCAGAGGCAAGAAAGAAGAGCGAAGGCGACCGCGTCGCGCCGCGTGTGACTTGCTCAGGCGCCTCTCGTTCTGCCGGCCTCCTTGTCCTCTGCCTCGTGTCTGCTCGAACACCACCAGCTGGCTCGCAAGCACGATCTATCCGATGCGTGATGTCTATGCTTGTACAGGATCATATACACGAGCACACCGAACGCGTAACCGACAGAAGAAAGCCCATCGCACTCACGCCTCTTCCCTCTTCGCCTCCAGCACGTCCGTCCACACCATCTTGGACCCCTCGCCCGACTTCGCCGCCATGGGGTGGAACTCCGTCTCCGCAGTCGGCGGCTCAAACCCGCTCGGGTGCGCGACCGTCCCGTCCTCGAGCACGACCTCGACCGGAATCTTCTCCTCCCGGTGCCGCATATCCGCGGTGATGAGGCCCTCGTGGAGGTCGTGCATCATCCCGAGCTCGCCCTCGGCCGCCTTGCGCCCGACGTAGAACTCGGGCACGACCCCATCCGGGTCGTCCGCCTTGAGCGACGCCGGGGGCACCCACAGCGTCGAGGGGTCCGTCCCGGCTGCGGAAAGGGCGTCGACCGCGGTGAGCCCGGCGTTCTCCCCCAGCGCGAGGTCCTCCTTCAGCTTACGCTCGATCCACACCTGCTCCGTCTCCGCGCACGCCTCGATCGGCTCCGCGCCCAGCTGCCCGACGAACTCCCGCTCGTCCCACGCCTGCCTCACCCCCTCCTCCGAGGCGACCTTGGCCGCGACCGGGTGGAAGTCCGTCTCCGCCGTCGGCGGCGCGAACCCGCTCGGGTGCTCGACCGAGCCGTCGGGCAGGCGGACCTCGACCGGCATCTTCTCCTCGCGCGCGCGCGTGCCCGCGGCGAGCCCGTCGGCGAGGATCCCCGCGTTGAGCTCCGCCATCAGCCCGCCCTCCTGCTCCTTGCGCTCCGAGATCGACGCCCGCTGCTTCTTGCGCTCGAGGTAGTACGTCGGCACCACGTCCTCCTCCGCGTCCTGCGACGGCCGCGGCGGCCGGCTCCACGACGACGCGGGGATGTCCTCCCGGCGCCGCTGCGACGCGCTGCGCTCCTCGGCCTCGTTCTGGAACACCGGGGACGTGTGCAGGCTGCGCACGGTCTTGAACTCCTGTCGGAGCGACGCGAGCGCGAGCGGGACCGCGGGGGACGAGTTCGAGGACGAGCGCCTGGACGCGAAGTGGAGGCTGTAATCAATGCAGGGTGAGCACAGACCGAGCGGGCGGGGCTCGCTGCTTGTCGACAGGAAACGCGAGGACGAGGTGGCGGACGAGCGACAAGGGACGTACCTCTGCGATCCACGGCGGGAGAGGCTGTCGTCTGGAGTGTGGGTGCCCGAGCTAAGGCGTCGGGCGGAAACCTTGGAGGCAGTTTGGGTTTGGCCAGGAATGGCGCGGGCGAGGGCAGACGCTGCGGGGCGCGACATAGGGGTAATCTCGGGGTGGTAAGTAAGAAGTGGGGAGTGCGTAGGAGTCGGCGGTGAGTGAGGACGGGCGATGAGACGGGTCACAGCGCACGCAGGCGGTGGGGCGAGGAGAGAAAGAGGGCAGACGACGGGCGGCGGCGGGGGTATATAACGAGGCGTGCCACCGTCGCTGCTTCCACTCCACAGACGTCACTTGCACCCCGGTACCCCGGTCCGTTACGTCTCGTCTGCACCACCCCCAATCCATCCACTTTCCTGGTCCTTCCATCCGGCCCATCGTTGTCCAACGGTCGCACGAAATGCAGCATGCACCCCAATCCCACAGGAATGGCAGAAAAGAAGAGCGGCCACCTTCTGGGGTGCCGCGACCCTCCTTCGCTCGGCACGACACCCTTAAGCGCACCTCCAGCCCTGCCGGCCGAGGGCTTGCCGCTCGGCCTGCTCGCACTCGCCCCAGCGTTCACGTTCATCAACACACGCCATTATCCATTACTATAGAACCATCGGCAACGAACAATCCAAACGGTCCACACTACAGCCAGACCGGGGGTGCAAACGGGGAACGACCGGCAGGCATCCAACGCAAGGTGCGGGGGCGTGAAAAGCGAAGAGGATGGACAAGGAACACAACGAGTGACGAGGAGAAGGGACGAGGGAGATCACAGGGCACAAGCGAGCGGCAGTAGGGTCGGAACGGGTATCATCGTACGGTCAACACTTTTGGGATCGAGGGAGAGAGACATCACGGCTGAGCTCGACGCCGCCGCCGCCGCCGCCGCCTCACCGCCTGTTCGAGCCGCGGTAGCCGACCTGGAGGTTGTCGAGCTCGGCCTCGAGCGCCTTGATGGCCGAATGCGCCATCTCGAGGTCCTTGTTCAGCCGGTCCCGCTCCGCGATCAGGTGCTGCTCCCACTGCCGGAACCGCGCCTCCTCCGCCTTGACCTGCTCCGTGAACCGCTTCCGGAGCGCCTCCTCCTCCTCCTTGAACTTCGGGTTCTCGAACTTGCGCGGCTTCTGCTCCCCCCACTTCCGCGTCTCCATCTGCGCCCCCCGGTACGCCTCGTAGTGCATCTCCTCCGTCGTCGAGATCAGGTCGAGCATGTACGTCCGGATCAGCAGCGACCGCAGCTTCCGGAAGTCGCAGTGGTTCTCGTTCTCCACCTCCGCCACCCCCCACAGGTACTCGCGACCCTTGACCGTCCGCCCGTCCTGGGTCTGCACGTCCTCCGTCGAGCCGATGATCGAGAACGGCATCGCCTCCGCGAGGACCCGCGCGTGCTCCGCGCTGACCTCGTCGTCCGACTCGATCGGCGGCTGGTAGATGCGGATGCCCTGGGCCTGGATGACCTGACGAATCTGCAGTGTCCTGTCAGCGTCCAAGTCGCGCCCGAAAAGCCTAGATATACGCACGCGCTGCTTGAACGTGTACAGGTCGTTCTGGGTGAGCGTGTCCGCCTTGGCGACGACGGGGATCAGGTTCACGCGCGTCCCGAGACGCTTCATGATCTCGATGTCGAGCGGCTTCAGCGTGTGGCCAGTGGGGCGGATGAAGTACAAGCACGCGTGCACGCGCAGGTCCGTCTTCTCCTTGCGCTCCGGCTGCTGCTCCTGGCGCATGTACGCCTCGTGCTGGTCGTCGATGAAGTCCACGATCGGCGCCCACGAGTCCCGGTTGTTGACGTAGTCCCCGAAGCCGGGGGTGTCGATCACGGTGAGCTTCGTCTTGAACATCTTCTCCTCGAGCTCCGCCTTGATGATCTCGACCTCGGTCAGCTTGTCGAGCTGCTTCGTGTGCCGCTTCGTGTAGCTCTTCGGGGACGAGAGCTCGGTCGAGAAGAGGGTGTTGATCAGCGTCGTCTTTCCGAGCCCGGACTCGCCTGGAGACGAACACGAACGTACAGTCAGCACCGGAGCGTGAGCGAAAATCTGCGTTGGGCGGGGCGGTGTAGGCGAACACGACGTTCCCATGGACGCGACGACGAACGAGGACACACATCGAGGGCAGCAGGATGACGGACAGCGTGGCACACCGCCCTGCGCGACCCCACCTGCCCGCCAACAATAGCACAACGAGCGACTCACCGACGACCATGACGGTGAAGTGCGTGCCGCGCTTCGCGACAATCTTGTGCCTCTGTGCACCAAAGCGACAAACGGACGGTCAGTCCCCACTCGAACCCCCCTCGCCCACGGACGCGCGCTGGCGCCCGAGACGACGCACCTGGTTGGGGAGGTTGGCGATACCGATGCCGTCAGAGAACGTGGGGGCGGCCATGGTGGAGCGTTTGGGAGAGGAGCGGGGGTGCGCGTAAAGAGAGAGAGAGAAAGGGGAGAACGGGGACGGAGGCGGAGGACGCGACCGAGCGACGGGCTCGTCCAAAATGCAGTCGCCAGCTCGGCCTTCCCAGGATTTGGCGCTGTTTGGCCCCCGTGGCGGTCGCGACCGCGCTAGCTCCGGCGCTTCGGAATGGATGCCTCGAGATCTTCCCCGCACAAGAGATGAAAGGTAGAACATACCCTGCCTGAGCTGGTGTTGGACTCATGGTCTTCTACACAGGCTACCATAGGGTGGTATGTTTGGACCGATTGCTCATACCATCTGTACTTTGCCAACTCCGAATAGCGATTCACTCTCTTGCCCAGCTATATCTGGATGGCACTGGCTTTAATTGGCATTGACACGGAAGCTCTGGCACTTCTTACTCCATGCTCTCAGAGCGTGCCGTGAAGATTGGTGACTCTCAAGTCCTCGACTCGGTACTGAAGGTTACACGTACGCGCACTCATCGCTCGCTCCCAAGAACACTCATCATATAGCACGGGCGCGATCGTAAAGACCCCTCGAGGCCGACTTGCTCATACCTAGGACGATCTCGCTCCAATGCACGCGCAAAAGGTGGTTCAAACGTGTATTACCTCCACTCCGACGTGGATCTTACATCTCCCTCCTAGAAAACAATTGTACACCGAGACGGGCTGTGGAATACGAAGACAAGAGCCGCGTCCAGCCAAGCGAGAAGAAAGAAAGTAGCGATGTGGGATGGGCGTCCGAGCACCCGACATGTTCTATGCCGGCAGGGGTGAGTGCTCGCGAACACGGCAGGGGCGCGAGACGAGCACTGACGATAGATGCGCTCGCGCAACGACACCTAGAGGATGATGGGTATGGGCGAGCAGCCGACGCTGAAGCCGCCTGGAGAAGCACGTCATCAGCGACCGCCGTCGAGTCGGCGAAGCAAGCGAGGCGTACCGTAGTGGTTGCCGTTGCAGCACACGGGCATCGCGTTGCTGTCGCGCACGTCGCGTCAGCGTCACCGAGGACAAAGCAGGAGAGGACGAACCAGCTGATACCGCCGCCGACGGTGACGGGGTTGATGGGGTCGCAGGCGAGGCCGACATTATCGGCGGCGTCGAGGTTGAGCTTGAGGGCGTCGAGGATGGAGGAGACGCGGTCGGAGCGGGCCGACTCGACCGAGTTGCAGCAGCGGAGGGAGCTGGTGGAGCACTGCGAGTTGGACTGGCTCGGCGCGGCGGAGACGGCGATGGCGAAGGCGAGGGCGAGGGCGGCAAAGGTCGAGGAGCGCATGGTGAGACGTAAGGGGGTAGTGGTGGGAGGTGGAGGGCGTCGGGTGTAAGGTGTCTTGAGGGGCTTGGGTGCGTCAATGGATGGACGACGAGGGTTTATGAGGCGGTGAGTGGGGCGGAGCTCTTCACCGACGCCAAAGCTAATGGCCCTTCACGGGCAGGAAGAGCGGGATGGACGAGCACGGGCCACGCTTTCGATGGCACGCAGGCGGGCAATCGAGGCAGACATGTTCACAGCTCGGTAAAGCGGACGAGTGATTCGAAAGGCAGGAGGGGGCGGAGACATGGCTGGAGTCGGTCGTCGCCAGCAGCTCTCCGTTCGATCGAGGCCCGGGCTGCTTCCCTACTGACTTCGTCGATGAGCTCAGAGCATCTACCAAGGTGCATGATTAGAGCCAGCTAAGGACGGCGATCGACGCCGAGAAGGCCGCCCCAAGCTTGGTCGCGCACTGTTCGAGCCCGAGCCCAGCTCTGTCACCGTCTCAACCTGCAAGCTGCTCCGGATCCCGCGACGTGTCGGCTCCAGGCCTGTTTCTCTGCGCTCTATAAGATGGTCCAGGTCGAGAGTCGCTCTGTTCACCGCTGTCCACTCTCTCAGCGCCACTCTCTCCCAGCAGTTCACGATGCGTCTCACCACCACCCTCCTCGCCATCTTGGCCACACTCACCTTCGTTTCCTCCTCCCCACTCCCCGTTCCCTGCGACACCGACGAGCCCGCCCCGATGTCATGGCCCATCTCCGCCCCCACCTCGGTCCCTCCCGTGGCCCCCGTCGCTCCGACGTCCTCCGATGACTGCGACCAGTCCACGACCGAAGCTGCCTCTTGGTCGGACCCGACCCCGCCTGCGACGGTGACGACCTCGGACGAATGCACCGACTCCGACCCCGCCCCAACCTCGGCCTGGCATTCGTCGACGTCGGCCTGGGGCTCATCGACGGTCACCTTCACTGTCCCAGCGCTCCCGACGTCCCAGCCCATCGTGCCCACGACCACCGACGACTGCGAGTCAGACACGGACGTGCCCACTTTCTCGCTGCCTTCCATCCCGCTTCCTACCACGTCTGTCGGCGCGCCCGGCTGGTCCCGGACGTGGACTGAAGCAGCGCCCACCGTCTCGTCTTCTTCGACCGTCGCTCCTTCGCCGCCTGCCATCCCGGTCTCCTCGCACTGGTCCGCCCCCGCGGCCCCGACGTCCTCCGACGACTGCTCCGAGACCACCTCCGAGCACCCTTGGACGTCGTCCGAGCACACGCCGACCACGTCCCACCTGCCGACGCCGACGTCCTCCACCCCCACCGTTGACCCAACGTCGGTCTCGAAGCCCTCCGGCCACAGCCTGTCCATCCACTCCCACCCCTCCAAGCCCACTCCACCCCCCGTCGGCGCGCCTCCTCCTCCGGTCGCCCCTCCCGCCACTGGCCCAGTCCCAGCACCCGTCGGCAAGTGCAACACCGGCAGCCTCCAGTGCTGCCAGACCACCGTCGACAACGACACCATCCAGGGCCAGCAGACCATCGCCGGCCTCCTCGGCGTCGCTCTCGACGGCATAACAGGCCTCGTCGGCCTCCAGTGCGCGCCCATCGGCGTCATCGCCATCGAGAGCGGCAACGCTTGGTCAGTCACGCACCCCACAACCCTCGACGCCTTTTTCTCACTTTTCCTGCAGCTCCGCCAAGCCCGTGTGCTGCGAGAGCGTCGCAGAGAGTACGTGTCTCCGCCGTCGCACTCGTACTTCCCTCGCTCACTTACTCGCACCAGATGGTCTCGTCAACATTGGCTGCGTGCCGATCGTGCTCTAAAGACTCCCGGGCGGATGCCGTCTTGTTGTACTTGTCTTTGTGTAATGTTGTTCTCCGTTTTGAAGTATGTCACTCTGTATCCGAGCGTAACCCAATATACCCCGACCGCATCGTCTTCTAGAACGCCTGCGCCCGCCCCACAGTCACTGACGTGCAGCCCTCCAACGTCCTTCACACCGCGCGCGAGCACACACATAAGTAGCCTCGCCTCCCGTCAAGCCCAAACCCCTCTCGCTCTTGCCTCCGCCCCCACCGTCTACGCCGCCCCCCGCCCCACTCACGATGCGCCCTGCCCTCATCCTCGCCACCCTCGCCTGCGCGCTCGCCGCGTCCGCCGGCCCCGCCCTCGACCCCCGCTGCGACGCCGAGACCGGCCACGATCACCCCCACCCCCGCCCAACGCACACGCACACGCGCGCGCCCACCCGCACGAGCACACGCCGCCCGCGCGCAACCGCGACGCGCACCGTCACCGTCTTCGGCCGCCCCCCGCCCCGCTCGACGCGCACCGTCACCGTCACCGCCGCCGCGCGCACCCTTACGCGCACCGCGACGTTCACCGCCGCCGCCGCAACGATCACCGCGGTTGCGCCCGGGGAGGGCGGGGCCGGCCGCGGCGAGTGCAGCACGGGCCCGGTGCAGTGCTGCGACCGCGTCGAGGAGGCGTCCGGCAGCGCGCACATGCAGGGCATCCTCGCCGCGCTCGGCGTCGACCTCGGGAGCGCGCTGGGCCTCGCGGGCTCGTCGTGCTCCCCGCTCGACCTCGGGGCTCTCGGGGGTGGCGTTGAGTGGTGCGTTTCTACCTTTTGCTCGTCCTCGGACGTTTATCGCTGACGCGGACCGCGGCCCACAGCAACCAGACGCCGATCTGCTGCAACAACAACACGTACCGTGAGTGCCGTCGCGCCGAATGACTCGACTTGGGGGACTCACACCATGTCGCAGAGGGGCTGATCAACATCGGCTGCGTGCCCATCATCATCCACTGAAGCAGGCCGCAGGACGCGCGCCCGCAAGCTGCCAGTCACACTTGAAGAACTCTAGTGAGCGAAGCTCGCAGCGTTACCTGCTCTGCATGCTGACCCGCCCCGCCAGTCGTCTGCACGCCGCTCCTTTGACTCTATCACACACATACATCGCTATCCGACCGACGTTCGCTTTCTGCCTTCTACCGTACTTAGCACTAGCACTTTGTACTCGTTTTCCGGTCCGACGCGGGGCGCTGAGGGAGAGTCCGTCTGGGCGACGACACGACGCATACACGGACCGTCCTGGCGAGAAATGAAATCAGAAATGGGGCCTGTAGTAGCACGCGCGGGGACCACATACTATCGTTGTTTGCGCCTCACACTGTTTGTCTCGTTTGCCTCGCTCTCGTGAACGCGCGGAGCACACGAACGTCAAGATGGCATTTCCGCGGAGCGCATACATGCACACGTCGCTTTATTATTGTTATTATTTTCAGACTATCCCAACATGTCACAGAGGCCATGCACACGTCGCTGGCCGAGGCCAGTCGCAGAGGCGGCCGTCGATACGCACGCGCTCGCCGTTGTTCTAAATCTCGTTCTGGCTCATGTTCTCGTTCATAACGAATATTTCCACATCTTCGCCCGCGCCTCGACCCTCAATCTACCTCTCCTCCCCCTCAGCCCTTACGCCCTTGGCCCTGCACTCAAAGCTCGCCCGGGAGGCCCACGCCCACGTCTTCCGCGGCGGGAGCGGGCTCGCGCTTGAGGCCGCCGGGGAGCGAGATCGGGAGGGACGTCGGGATGCTGATCGGCAGGCTCGTCGGGATCGAGGTGGGGAGGGACGTCGGGATCGAAGTCGCCGAGGACGTTGACGAGGACGAGGACGGGGTCGCTGAGGACGAGGACGCGGAGGAACTGCTGCCGGTGATGGGGAGGCTCGTCGGGATGCTGATCGGCAAGCTCGTCAGGATCGAGACGGGCAGGGACGTCGGGATCGAGACCAGGAGGGACGTGGGGATGGAAACCGGGAGGGATGTCGGGATCGAGATGGGCAGCGTGCCCGACGCCGAGGAGGAGGCGGAGGAGGAGGAGGAGCTCGCGAGCGGCAGGGAGATGGGCAGGGATGTCGGGAGCGAGATCGAGAGCGGGGTCGACGAGGTCGCGGTCGCCGACGAGCTCTGGTCGGTGATGGGGGGCGAGATGGGGAGCGAGATGGGCAAGGACGTGGGCAGAGTCGTGGGGATGGAGACGGGCAAGGACGTGGGGATAGAGACCGGAAGCGTTGTGGGCAAAGTGGGCAGGATGGCGTTCGTGACCGGCTCGCAGCCCTCCGCAAGGACACCGCCTGTGCGCGCACACAGAACCGAAGGTCAGATCTTCATATCCCGTCGACCGAGACGAGTGTCCACCCACCGAGGAGCACCTCCTGGCAGCACACCGGCGTCCCGCCCTGCAAGCTGCGCAAACAAACCGTCCCATCAGCGCCCACATCCTGCCCTCTCCGCGCAAAAAAAACGCACCACTGGTTCCCGACGATGTCCAGGGCCGTCGCCGACGAGCACGTCACCCCCGCAAGCGGGCCCAGCGTCGGCACCGGCACCGGCACCGTCACGCCCGAGAGGAGCGTCGTGAAGCTCGCGGGGAGCACCGGGAGCGACACCGTCTGCTGGCAGCACTCGACGCTCGCGAGGCACGACGCGACCGGCAGCGTCGTGATGTCCGCCCCGGGCGTCGCCGTGTCCCGCCGCGCGCGCGGCGCGGGGGTGATGACTGCGAGGGGGGTGGCGGCGGCAAGGACTGTGCAGGCGCAGGCGAGGAGCACGGGGAGCTTGAGCGTGACCATGCTGGCTTGTTGCTTGAGCTTGAGATTTAGTGCTGAGTGCTGAGTGCTGAGTACTAGTGCTGGTGCTGGTGCCGGAGACTCGAGGCCTGGGGAGGAGACACCGCCCGTGACGGTGTTTATATGTCGCGCGGGAGGTGCAACCGCAATCCTTGACGAGGGCCCGAAACAGCACGAACGTCGTCATCGCTCCCACCGCACGGGAGCACCTCCTCGGCATGTGCCTTGAAGTGCGGGATCCAAAAAGCGCAGCACGGGTCCCTTCGCCGTCCAGGCTGAATGGCGCGCGCACGCCGCGCAGACCACGGCCAACGCCGAGCACGACGTGCCGTACCAGGGGGCCGCTGCCTATCGCGTGCGATCGATGAGACCCCGCGTGCAGCACGGGAGACGGAAGACGCACGAAGGTGATGCGCTTTCAATTGCGAGACGTCGCGTCGGATGGCTAACGGGGGCCGTGGTGCCTTGCGCGACCGGATCGCCAGCCGCCAGTGGGACAGGGCGGCCACAGCGAGGGAGGGGCGGATTCCGGGCTTCATTTCGGAGCGGCGGGAGTGCGCCGCTGAGCTTCGAGACGTCCGCGGAGTTGTCGAGGACCATGGGACGAATATGAATACGAATGTCGAGGACATTCGGGAAGGGAGCAGCGTGACAGATGCTCTCATGGCGAAGGAGGATACAGGCAACCCGTTTGTCGTCTTCGTGGGAGCCTGGATCCGCGAGTGCCATAGGGACTTTCGTCGGGACGACGTGAAGGACCTAGCGCGCGGTTTGTTGCCTCTTGTGCAAGTGCGCGCCTTCAGCTGTTCTTGTGTTGCGTCCATACAAAGACGCGGCCACGTCATCGGCACATGCTTGCAGATGCGCAAGGTTGTTGTCATTCATTTCCGCCACGTTGCATCGGATGCGACGTCTGAGGTCTTCTCTGAGCGGTGATTGAGCGCGCGGGATGATGACGACGAGGGTGTGCAGTGCACGGGACATGCGCTTCTGCAGATTCATCCACGGGTGCGCAGTGAGTCTGGTGGGAGGAGACATCGCTCTGGTCGGACAGCCATTCAGTGTTCAGTGTTGTGTTGACAGTAAGACGTACAAAGCACTCACCGGGACTTGCTACGTTCCGACGGATGCGTTCGCGGGCATGCAAAGAGAAGAGCCGGAGAGCTGTGGGCCCCAAAAGCACCATATGTCTTTCCAGGGCGGCTCTGCACCCGCCACAGCGTTCTCCTTCCCTGCCTCGGCAGTCCTGGGACGTCCTGTGCAAGTCCAGCGCAGCATGGAGGGAAGAGGCAAGAAATATATCGTACACATGCACAGCACCTCCTAGATCGTCTCTGTCGGCCGCATCGATCCGTGGATTCGCGCAGACTCGCGCTCACGGCGTCAGCCCACCGCCGTCGCCCTGCCCGTCCTCCTCGACCTCGAACGCGCAGCAGAACGTCTCGCGGTCGAACAGCACCATCCCCTTCCCGTCGGGCGCCCACGCGACGTCTCGGGTCTCGAACTTTTCTGCGTGCCGCCGTCCCATCCAGCCCGCCGATCAGCGTCCGCCCCACGCGCAAGAGACAGAGACGCACTCACGAGCGGGCACGCCAACGCACTCCGCCACCTCCGCCTCTGCCTCGTCCTCGTCCCGCGCCCCATCCGCGCCAGGCTCGACCACCCACTCGTCGCTCCACAGGTACACGCTCTGGCTCCCGCACGCAACCGCGAGCCGCCCCGCCCGCCCCGGGTCGGGGTTCCACCGCGCCGCGCTCACCGGGCGTTCGTGCAGCAGCACGCTCCGCAGCCGCGGCTTCAGCGGCGCTGGGGGCGACTGCGACTGCGAGAGCGCAGGGTCGTCGCGGCGCGGCAACGGGAAGTCGTACAGGAGCACGGCGACGGGCGCGGACGCCGAGCGGACGAGGAGGAGCGTGCCAGAGGTGTTGAACCCGATCTGCGTTGTCCCCGAGCCCGTACGCGAGGAGGTTGTCGAGCTCCCGGATTGTGCGGAGGGTGTGGGGCGGGTTCCCTTTGCGCGTGTTTGAGATGCACTGGTGGGGAGGATGTATGGTGATTGTATGCGCTCGTCTGGATTTCAGGGTGGGCGTGAGGGGCAAGAATGTGAACAGTTGAACGGCCAAACGTACAAGACAGAAAGCCTCGCCCGTGTGTCGCCTCTAGCCATGCTGACGGCTCCTTCCAGACATGCTACGTTCAAAGTGAGCAGAGCTGCAATGGCAGTAAGATTATGCACGCACCACACCGGCAGGTATTCGAGTGGGAAGATCAAGAGTTGCCATTGAATTCCAAGTGAGGCTTTCGAGGATGTAGACCTGTGATCACGCGTCAGAACAACATACTCTTGATAGAAAACAACATACCTTGTCGTCATGCCCCGCGACAGCCAGAAAAAGCCCGGAAGGATGCCATGATACCATTCGAATGCCGAACCCTGGATCTGGCTCAGGGCAGAACGATCCGACAACACTCCCCGCAAGCGTCACAATGTACAGCTTGTACTGGGACATTGTCAGCATAGGCTCGAAAAACGATGGGGTGTGCGCACCTCTAGGGGCCCTTCCCACACGGCCAGGTAGTTGCCTGTCGGGGAAAGCGAAACGGAGGCGAGCGAGCTTGTGGGGAGGGGAAAGTGCTGGGCATCCATCCAAGAGACATCACGGTCTGTCCCACGCTGCACTCACAGACGGGCGACGCACCCGAACCATGCGGTACGCTTCGCCGGCGTCGTACACACCCAAGGTGTCTTTGGACTTGTGGCGCTCCGCGAGGACAAAGTATCGCGCATCGTTGCGGAACGCGTACCCTTCGACCTCGCTCAGCCAAAACCTCCACATAAAACGACACGGAGAAGGCGACTCACCTCGGTCAGGGTGGATCGGGTACTGCACATACGTCGCCGCGCCCGTCACGAGCGACCACATCGTCACCCTCAGCTGCCCGCCGCAGCCAAACCCATCATCAACCGTCAGCCCTCCCCCGCACAGAACGCCGAAAACGAACCGCTCACACCCCACTCGGAGAAGCAGAGCACCGTGCGCCCGTCCGGGGCCCACTCCGCCTTGACGAGCCCCTCGCTGCCGGCGTCGATCCGCGCGGTCCACGCCTCGTCCCGGAGCTTGAAGACCTGGACGACGCCCGCGCGCGCGCACGCGCCGAGCACGTACTCGGAGTCGCACGACCACCCCGCGTGCGTGATCCACCCGTGCGCGTCCTTCTCGCGCTCCTTGTCCCGCGGGAGCGCCGCCGCGGTCGGCGACGGGGTGGGGTCGACGAGCCAGGTGCGGGCGATCTGAAACGAGTCTGAGCGGCGGACGACGAGGCGGTCTTGCACGGCAGTGAGGAGGAAGTGGGTGCCGGGGCTGAATGCAACAAGCGAGGCGGTCTGGCGGTAGATCTCTGTGAAGTCCATCCCGGTACCGATGGGGATGGGGGAGGAGAGATGGAGAGACGCTGGAAGGACGCGTCGCGCGACAAGACCGCGTTGAAACCGCGCGCCCATCGCGAGCAGGACGGCGTCAATGACGGAACTTCGTTTCTTTGAATATTTACAGGGGAAGACGGGCATAATTCGGACAACGAGATACATAATGAATACCCAATGGCTCAGTGAGATTTCCCTGCACGCGACAGACCGTTCATGGACTGGATCCGCCATCAGGACTGGTGCTGAACCTGGTGTGAATATCAGAACCAACTTACGCATACAAAATCAAAACCCACGTACTGAGCTGCCTGGTTGTCTGGAAGTTGGGTCCTCAGCGTTGCCCGAGCCGGACATCGTTTCCTGCAGATCGCCACCATGTCAGAACTAGGCTTACGGCGTCCACATTTGTGACTTACACCCTAGTCCTGAGCAGTACTTGCTTGACAACAGAGGCTCCTCAAGATGGAAGTGTGCGGTCGCAAGGAGGAATAAGGCGAGAAACTGTGCGCGCGGATGCACCGGCGCCGTCATCGTGTCTGTGCGCCCCATGAGCGAGAGGACCGAACGAATGTTAGGAAGGCTGAGACGTTGGGAGAGAAGGAACCTCCATATTATTATAAGTCTCAATCGACCCGAGGAGACCGTCGGTCATTCTCATGGTATGCATGAGTACCGCGTGGAAAGAAGGGTCGGCAGTTCGACCGGCCATCGGGCTAGGGCGGTGGGAGTGGACATGAGAAACTTTGTCCACTTCATCGCCGTCATTGGACATGAGACCGAGACCGGTCTCGTTGCGCCCATCCTTTGTGTGGGGGCGGTAGTCGCACCCCGAACGTCAAGTGTCCGCACATACAGGTATCGCCCGCGGAAATATCGCCACGTTTCTGTGTCCGGCGCGTCCAGGAGAAGATCGTCTCAGGGGAGTCATTGAACAAGGAGATACCGTACAACATGATCGAAGAATCGACTGGAAAGAGTATAAGCAACAAACCACAGGAAGAACTGGACAAGACTTGAAGAACGGCGTAACATGATCCTGGTCATCCTTCGGATGTATCCATTGCCACCGACGCAGAGTCCCCGACATCACGCACCGCGTCTGGCTCTGCATTTGGCTCGTCCACCTCGTCCACCTCCTGGCGCGCCTTTGCCTGCGCTCTCGTCAACCCTCTCCCGCGTTTCCGTCCACCACGCCCCCTCCGAGAGGGACCCGCACTCCCAGCCATGACCCGTTTCATTTGACTCTGGACCTTCTTTGCCGTGTTGCTAGACTTGGCCTCGGTCGTCGGGGGTCCCGCTGCGGGCGCGTCGCTGCTGCTTTTGGGCTTGAGTTCCACTTCTCGAAAGCGAATGCGCTTCTCCGTGATCGCTACATGCGCAAGGGCCCTTTTACTCCTGTCCGCGCCGTCTTCTACGCGCGCGAGATTCAACTTGATGCGCATACATCATGAAGAAAGCAGCTTACCGGCTGATTCCGCGAAGAGCAGCTCGGTGCCCAGGAGGGAAACGTGCTGTCCCTTGAGCATTGTCCCAGAAAGCTGGAGAAAGGGGGTCGGGGAGTCTAGCCCCTGGTGTCACGCGCCCTGCGTATTTGAGCCCGACGCAGAGCGACACGATGGAAGAGCACTCACGATGAGTCTGTAGGCTGAGGAGCTCGGGACGAGGGTGGGCTCGATGGATCCGAGGTCGAGGGTGACATATTCGACCTCTTCTTCTACTTCCCCGTCGACATCTTCATAGTCCCCATCCGGTCCAAACGCGTCGACGTGGTTGTATCCGGGCAGGAGTGTGCTTTGAGACATATCGACCGAAGAGAGGACGACAAAGGGCCAGATCTCCGCTCGGCCGGGCCGCGGGAGACTAGGCGGGCGTCTGGATGGGATCGGTGGCGGGGCAGGGGAGCAGAGCCTCGCATCCGCGGCGTGCTTGTCTTCTTACCACCACCACTCTCTCCGTCGGCCACTCCGCCGCGCTTCTCCCCCCATCTTCACTCACTCAACACCCTCTCACAACAATGTCTGGACGTGGCAAGGGTGGAAAGGGTCTCGGCAAGTACGTCTCCTCCCTGCTCGTCCTCCTACCTCCCGACGTCCACCCCATGCCCCCGCGTCGTGCTCATGTCTTCCTCCGTCCCTAAGGGGTGGCGCCAAGCGTCACCGCAAGATTCTTCGTGACAACATCCAGGGTATCACTAAGCCGGTGGGTCGTCCTCTCATCTCTTGCGTCCCCTACTGTCTTCCGAGCCTTCCGTTGACTGTCTGCGCAAACGCACGTTCTCAGGCCATCCGTCGTCTCGCTCGTCGTGGGGGTGTCAAGCGTATCTCCGGTCTCATCTACGAGGAGACCCGTGGTGTCCTCAAGATTTTCCTTGAGAACGTATGTGACCATATTCCTCGTCCCATTGTGCTCGACTGACCCTCCTTGTCCTGCGCTCTTCAGGTTATCCGTGACTCCGTATGTCCCGTTAATACGAACCGTGGTACTGCATCCATGCTGACTGAGCTGTTCGCATGCAGGTCACGTACACTGAGCACGCCAAGAGGCACGTTCCCAGTCTTTATCCTTCCTCTCTATACTGACGCGAAGTCTTCTGCAGGAAGACCGTCACGGCTCTCGACGTCGTTTACGCCCTCAAGCGCTCCGGCCGTACTCTCTACGGCTTCGGTGCCTGATCACATTCATCGCGTCCAGCGCTGCGGTAGCCATGGTTCAGACAGCCACTGCCCTCAATGGCTGTTCACCTGACGCAGTCACTTGGAGATATCTGCTCCGGATATTATGTACTATTACTACGAGAATGAGTATGCAGAATATGTGTCGTTTATATCTTGTCATTTTCCGCCTGGTCCTTCGAAGACGGCCAAAGTGCCTATGCTATCAGAGGAGACCGCTTGGTCGTATCGCAAGACCAGTCACGCTCATTAAACCGGAGACGCCCAGCCACAACCGCGTCGCGCGCCCAGCGACCAGGCGCTTGTTCCACTGCCTTCTTGCTGGCCGCCATGGCCCTCCGCCCCTCCCTCCCCGTTCTCTCCTCCAACGTGGCCTCCTCATCGCGCGCGTGGCTTGCGCGTCAAGCACGAGACCCGTATGTGAAGGCGCGCCTTGCAGCGCCCCAGAACTACCGCTCGCGCTCCGCGTTCAAGCTGCTCGAACTAGACAAGAAGTACAACCTCCTCGCGCACCGCGACGTTCGCACCGTCGTCGACCTTGGCGCTGCGCCCGGAGGGTGGAGCCAAGTGGCCGCGGCACAACTGGGATGGGGCGATCGTATGGAGAAGGGGGCAATGGGCAGCGGCGCGGGCGTCCTCCCCGCGGTCGGGCGACCACCAAAGAAGCACGCGAAGGTCAAGCAGTCCAAGCGGAGAGGCAAGGGCCGAGAGCAGCTCCAGCAGCTCGGGGAAGATGGCGCGGAGGCGGGCGAGGTGAGCGACCACGACGACGCCTGGCACGCGGTCCCCGTCGCGTCCGCGCCCGAGGTGGACTACACCGACCTGCTCGCGAACGACGGCTTCCCGCTCTCGCTCGACCCCGACCCCGCCTCCGTCGCAGAACCGCCCGCAGGGCGGGGACAGGTCATCGCGGTCGACCTGCTCCCGATGGACGGCCTGCGCGGGGTGCGCACGCTCCAGGCAGACTTCCTCTCTCAGCGCGCGGACGCGCTCATCTCGGCGCTGCTCCCGCCGGGCGACGGCGCGGGCGGCGGGCGCGTGGACGTCGTGCTGTCGGACATGGCGGCGAACTTCACCGGGAACGCGACGGCGGACATGGAGGCGGGCGTGCAGATCTGCGAGAGCGTGTTCGAGTTCGCGCGCCGGCACCTGCGGTCGGCGGAGAGCGTGCGGCGGACGAAGGGCGGGGTGCTCGTGTGCGTCGTCTACTTGCTTGGGGGTTTTGTTGTTCTGACCGCCGGTGTATTGGCTGCTAGGTTGAAGCATTTCATGGACCGGACGTCGATGAGTTTCCGACGGCAATTCCTGGATCCCAACTTCAATGTCGTGGAGTTCGCAAAACCTCCGTCGAGCAGAGCGGAGTCTCGCGAAGGATACTGGGTGTGCATGGGATGGAAGGGCAACCCTGGATCATGAGGCCTGAGGCTCTTGTCTAGGATAGTTGTGTTTCCTGTTGCATTCGAGACAATACATAATAATACTATTTCGTACAATATACATCCTCTGGTGTGAGCAGAGCAGCGAGCGGGGCACGTGCCGGTTACCGCCGCACTCGCCGCGGGATTGCCCGAGACGCGGGCGGACGGTGACAAGCACGCGTCGAGCGACGGCCAGCTCTCCTTCCACGTCCACCTATCCACCCGCCGCCACCATGTTCGCCGCCTCTGCACGCTCAGCAGCCCTCTCCGCTGGTCCCGGACGCCGCGCGGCGAGCACCATCGCGTCAAAGTACTCCAGCGCCGTCTTCTCCGCCGCGCTCAAGGCGTCCCCCCAGACCCTCAACAAGGTCCAGACGGAGCTCAACGCCATCCATGCCGCCGTCAAGGCCACGCCCGAGCTTGCGACGTTCGTCAACAACCCCACGCTCTCTACCAAGGACCGCGCCGCCGGCCTCCCCAAGCTCTTCACCGCCGCTGGCAAGGAGCCCGTGTCGGACGTGACGAAAAACCTCTTCCTCGTCCTCTCCGAGAACGGCCGGCTCGTTGAGACCGAGGGCGTCATCGAGGGCTTCAACGAGCTCGTCGCCGCCCACAAGGGCGAGCTCACCGTCACCATCACCTCCGCCACTGCCCTCCCGCGCGACGTCCAGACTCGGCTAGAAACCCTTCTCAAGCAGTCACAGGCGGCGCAGGCGGCCAAGACCCTCAAGATCACGAACAAGGTGCGTCCTCTGCTCTTGCTTCGCGAGTGCTGCCTCCGACGCGTCGTCCTGCCAGATCAACCCTTCCGTGCTCGGTGGTGTCATCGTCGACTTTGGCGACAAGACCATCGACCTCAGCGTTGTCTCCAGGGTGAACAAGCTCAACTCCCTCCTCTCCCGTACGTTGCAAGCCCTCGGGTGCGCTGAGCTGTGCTGACAGTTCGTTACAGAGTCGGTATGAGGGGCTGGACGGTTCGAGGCTCCTGGGGTGCTACAGGTTGGCTGCTAAACAGAAGTACATGTGACGTTTGCACGCTGTCAAATGGATAGATGAGGCGGCCTCCTGTGCGCTTTCCCCGTTTCCTATGCGAGCGACGCGGTCAGCGCGGAGGTCTTGTTGGAGGTGATTGTGCGCGTGGGATGTACCGCCTAGTTGGTGCCTGCTGAACGATGAGTAGGGTGCTTGGAAGGGCTGTGCACAAGGCGAGAAGCGCAGAGGTGTGTGTCATTCACGGGTGGAGAGAACCCCTTTGTTGATGGGGGCGCAGTGTGCTGCGGTATGTGTCCCAAGTACCACCAAGTGCCAAACTGTATCGCCTGCGATCCATTGGCTTTGTCCAGGTCCTTTATACAGGCCAGCCTTAAAACTTGAGCTCTCACGCTCCTCTCTTCCCCCCAGATACCACCTTCGTCATGGCTGGCTTTGGGGAACTGGTTGACCTAACCGCAAGCCTCGCGTCAGTGCTACGCCGCTATCCCTTTGGAATAGGGTTGCTCCGAGAAATACTACAGAACTCAGACGATGCGGGAGCGACAAAACAGGTACGCACTTCGGACTATCTTCTCGAGCGCTGAAATGAACCCCGGGCGGTGACTAGATTTTTGTGCTCGACGCACAACACCACCCGACCGACACTCTCCTCCGCTCCGCATTGAGCCATCTGCAAGGCCCTGCCTTGCTCGCATTCAATGATACCGTATTCAAGGACAAAGACTGGGAGGGTATCAGGACAGTCAGCCAGTCCTCGAAGAAGGATGAAGACGAGTTCGTGTCCTTTCACAACTAACTGACTTGCTCACTAATGCCATGTACTAGGAAAATAGGAAAACACGGCTTGGGCTCCCGAGCCTATTACCACGTGAGTTCTCGCCACCGTTTCACCTTACGCCTCTTCAACTTCGTTGCCTTGCAGCTCACCGACAATCCCCAATATCTGTCGGGCGACGCGCTCGTCGTCTTCGACCCCCACCGCTGGGCGTTCGAAGAAGGCGGCTGGCGAGACACGCTCTCGGAGCTCGCCGCTCATTACCCCCACCAATTGGAACCTTTCCAGCTGGAATCGTTCCGGAATTTTGGGCGTATGGACGACACTTTCCCGGGCACTGTGGTTCGACTCGCTCTCAGATCGCCCAGCTCCAACAGCAGGATCGGTACAAAGGCGCCAAGCGTCAAAGATCTCCGGGACCTCCTGCAGACCTTCATTCGCGAAGAGCTACACCTCGCCTTGCTCTTCCTCTCCCACCTCCAGTCGATAGAGGTGCACGAGATTGACTCCAAAGGGCAGTTTCACGTGCTCGCTACCGCCAACAAGGTCACTACCTCGGTCGCCCAAAATCTCAGTTGCGCATCAATTCAAGTTTCTGAGGGGACGCGCTCCTCAACATCTGAGTGGTACATCATCCGAACCACCGGTCCACCCCACGAATGCGAGCAACTGCTCGCAGAGGCCCTTGACGACTCTCCAGTATACGTTGCGGAAGAACTCAAACGAGAGAAGCTCCGTCCGGACGTCGCGCTCGCCTTCAATGCCACGACGTCATCCATCGAAGGGCGTCTATTCACTTTCCTCCCGCTCCCGCTCCGTACCTCCTTTCCTTGTCACATTCATGGCATATTCTCCTTGACGGACTCACGCCAAAACTTGCGAAACCCGTCGGAGACTATTCTGGCTGGGACGGCAGACGAGTGAGTATCCATTTTCGCTATTTCGATATCCATCTGACTCGTCGCGCGCAGGCTCGCGGTGGCATGGAACCGACTGCTGTTCAACACCTTCGTGCCCCGTGCCTGGCTGGCTTTTCTCGAAGCGGCCGTCAGTCGGGAACTCCCTCTCGATCTCTATAGCTTCATGCCGCCTTTGCAAGACACTCACACGAGCGGTGATGCTGCGTACTGGTCGGGTCAGCTTGACAGCGTGCTGCGGTTGGCCCTGGAGAAGCGTGCGGCCATCTGGTCCGAAGTGTCTGGGTCCCCATCCCGCTCGCCCCGAAACATATCCCTCGACAACGCGCTCATCGCATCCCCTCAAGATGGCGACGTTGAAGTGCGAACGCTGGCCGCCGCCGGCGTGTCTCTCATCAAACCCCCGGCCAATGTCTACACCGCCCTCAAATCTCGTCTCGAATATCGCCTGCTCTCACCCAACACTGCGCGGAATGCCCTCTTGGTGAGACCTTTTAATGCTACTTTCATTATTCTCGTGCTGATGAGTGAGCAGACTTGTAGAAATGGTCTACAAGCTCTCGATCAGAGCGAGAGGGATGTCATCATCAACTTCTTACTCCAATCCAACGATTTGACACAGCTCGTCGACATCCCCATCATCCCTCTAGTATCAGGTCGTTTCACCGACCTCCGAGGGCGCTCGCGGGGCTCGCCAATCCACGTCTTGTTCGACGCTCAAGATGAAGAGATCTTCGGACAGTTCGACTCCGATGCCATTGCCCTCGATCGACTTCCGCCCAAGGCCAAGAAGCTCTTGATCGAGAACGGCGCGCGCCTCGTCAACGTCAACAAGCTCAACAAAGCCCAGACGCTGCAGTACGTCAGAGCGGCGCAGAAGCAGTCTGGGACGTGGGCTTGGTCGACCACTCGGGATTGGTTCGCGCTGTTCTGGACATGGATAGCGGACTGCTCGTTCTCTGGGGAGCTCGTCACCGGAATCAAAACCATCCCCACGCTCCCAACTACCTCTGGCCGTCTTCGCTGCACGGGCGACGTAGATGTGTTCGTTAATTCCATCGATCTGTCACAATCGCGCCGGAATGTACTCTCTAGTTGTGGCATCACCTTCCTCGATCCCGCCGTATCGTCCCCCTTTCTCCTGGGTCACTGTCCCAAGCTCGTCAAATACGCCAGCTCGCCAGGAGATCTATTGGACGCTTGGCACGCCGCGCCCCTCCAGAACGTCCCGGGTGATATCGCCGATGCACTGAGGAGCCATCTCGCTGAGATCTTACGAAGGAGCTCCGTCCGGCTCTCCCAGCCACAGAAGACTGCACTTCGGAATCTCCCCATCCACCCCATCTTGACCTCGTCCAACCACACTGTGATGTCTCCGCTGAGTGCAAGTCGCGCTCTGTACTGCATCACTCGCCCAGCCGGGCTACCTTTCCCACTCCCTCACCTCCCGGATGGCATCTTTGTACATGCATCGACGGACGAGCAGCGTTTGTTGGAGGAGATTGACTACCAATCAGCTACCCACCCCCTGTCGGAACGACAGGTCTTTGATCTCGCCGTCGAGCACATGGAACAGCAGACTCCGGAGGTCCACCGTGACGTTCTCCGATACGTATCCGACCACCGCCGCCCCCTCCTCAATACCGTTGAAAGTAGGCTGAAGGCAGCGTCGATCGTACGCGTCGGAATCAACGGTGCTCTTACGCTCCCACCACAAGAGATCGTTGATCCGAGCTCTGCCCTCAATTCCAACTACCCTCCTCTCAACCGCGATGCAGAGCCATTCCTCGGTGCCCCCGTTAACGTTCGAATCACGGAGCTACTTTCGAGCCTCCGCCTCCTCAAACGGGACGTCGACGCGGACTTCATTTCCGACCGCATCCAGCAAATCGCCTCTCTTCCTTCGGACTCGACAGTTGCTCACTATGCTGCACGCTCCCTTCTCGCATCGCTGGACAAGAGCCGATACGACTGCACAGACGTAAAGTACGACCACCAGGCTGCGTGGATTCCCACCTCACAGGGCTTGAAGCGACCAAGCGAGTCGCGCGACACGTCGAAAGCTACGCTCTACAACAGTGTCTTGCACATTCTCGATCTTCACCTTCACTCAGAGTCACTCCGGACCTTACTTGGCTGGAACCAGCCCGTTCCCTTGGAGGTCATTATGCAGCAGTTCCGGCACATCGTGTCAACAACCACGGAAGAACGATACTACTTCGATCTCGTATGTGAATTTGGTCGACGCTACATGGGGCTCTCGTCTGTGCAGTTAGACGCCCTCCGGCAGGAAGCGCAAGACAAGGCATGGGTTCTGATCGAAGGCGGAAAGATGGTAGTGCCTCCAGCGCACGCACATTTCGATGACATCGTTCGGCTGCCTGGGTTTGCGCGCGTGTCTATGGAGATCGTCAACCGTGACGGAGTGCGGCAGTTCCTGCAGACCATGGGATGTTCAAATAGGTGAGACAACTCATTGTATGTAAGGAGACATCCTCTAATTTGTCGCCTAGACCCACAAACTCGACCATAAGCGCAGCGATCCGCAGGCTGGAACCGGAAGCAAACCAGAACGCCGTGTCCCACTGCATCGCTCTTCTCGCGGCGCTTGATTTCAGCGCTGTGGACCAATCAATGCGCGAAAGTCTCCGGGCCCCGGGAAACGATGGTCGTCTCCATCCCCTCTCGCTGCTCACCTACAATGATCGCAGGTCTGGTGCCCATCTTTACCAGTTTCCGGAGGAGTGCATTCTAGTGCACCAAGAAGTACCCAGAAAACTTTGCCAAGACCTACAAATACCTTCTCTCACATCGCTCAATCTTGGGCAGGCTCTGGACCTTGGATTCGAAGATATGCGGATGGAGGAGGACATCACCACACGCATCTCGAATGTCCTGCGTTCGTACACCATCGAGCAAGCATTCGGCGAATTCCTCGCGAACGCGGCTGACGCGGGAGCCAGGCAATTCGATGTCATGTTGGACGACGACTCTCGACGTCGCGCGGCTCCATCAGCCCTGGTTTGCGAGGACCTCGCGCCGTACTTCGCCTCTCACGCCCTGGTTGTGCACAACGACGCTCTCTTCACCGAGAATGACATTCGCGGGATCTGCCGCATTGGCCGTGGAGGGAAGGATGATGACTCCGCGTCCATTGGACGGTTTGGTTTGGGTGCTTTGTCGTTCTATCACTTCTCCGAGGTATGCTTATCACGGGTATATGCTCTTGATCTCCGATGGCACTCATATATGCGGTATAGCTGGCGATGATCTTGTCGGGGAAGTACCTGGTACTTCTGGAACCTGGCGGACAAACGATCCCTGAAGATGACCAAGGCCGTAGCCGGAACGCGCTTATTGTGGGAATAAATAACATTCGGGGGTAGGTCTATCTGGTGATATCATGACCGATACTCGATGCTGACCGGTCGTATGCCTTAGCCTTTTCCCTGGTCATCTTCAAGTCTTCGAAGGTCTGTTCGGCTACTGCGCAGGCGACGATTTCTACGACGGGGTACGCTTCAGTCGGCAACCTCGTGGACATAGCTCATGCAATTACAAATCAATCTTCAGACACTCATACGGCTTCCACTCAGGACTGGGGATCAAGCGCGAAAGAGTTCTCTCTCCAAGCACGCCGTGTCAAGCATTGAAGTGGTGTCTTTGATGCAAGCATACAGGTCGACTGCGGCTCAGTCACTCTTCTTCATCGATGTGGATAAAGTCTCTGCGTACGATCGCGGTTCAGATCGACCCTCGGCCCAGCTGTGGTCCATCAAAGCCCATCGCAAACGCACTAACCAGTACCCCGCACAATATGACCTTCGTCATGTCGACCTCACCGAGACCCTTCGCTCAAGCGGCTTCTCCTACCCGGTCCCAGTCCCCCATACGTCAACTTCCAAGTGGAGGGTGGTTGAACGCAACATAGACCCTAACGCGCTCCCCGACTGGATACCCTCTATCGTCGCCAAGTATCGCTTGAAGCGTCTCAGCGTCGCGCTTGCCGCTCGTATTGCTCCAGCAGATTCCCCGAACTCCGACGCACACTCTTTCTTTTCGTCCCTTCCACTTCCTGTGCCAACCGCACTACCGGTTCATATCCATGCCTCTTTCGTCTTGGCTGACGACAGGCGCAACATTCGATGGGATGGGGATGGCTCGATGAACGAAGAGTCCAAATTCAACCGCTGGCTCCTCACTTCACAACTGCCGGACCTCTACATTTACCTCCTGGAAGTCTTCGCGCAGGGAGATCCAACTGTTCACAGCCCCTGGCCATTCATCCGGCGGGAAGGCCATGATCCCCTCTCTCTGGCGATTACAGAGAGCATATATCGCGACGACTGTTTGGGTTCGACGACGCGAAAGATTTTCCGTAGCGTCACGGGCAAGACTTTAGGCCCCTCACAGATTTTCGTCCGTGGTCCAAGCCAACCAACCGTCGTCAATGCAGTGTTGGAATCCCTCCGGCCCGACGACCTCGTGGGGCTTCCGGCTCTCGTCCTCTCGAAGGTTCGCACCCTGAATGCAATCAAGAAGACAGACACACGTTATGTGTGCAGCCTTGCTAGAAGGAAGTCCGATATATTCCTTGAGCACTGCAGCCTTGAAAGCGACGTGGTCAAGACGGTCAATGAACTGCTCACCTACTTCCTCGAGCCTACCCGTAACAACGACTCAGCAGGCCCCCTTACAGTACAAGAGCTCATCGGCCTTCCACTTCTCCCTCTCGCCGACGGGTCACTAGGCGTTCTTCGGCCTTCGACTCATGTCGACGGAGTGGTTTACGCGTCCTCCTGGGGGGTACATACCCCCTGGCCGCTCTTTCCCGCCAAATCCTTCGTGGCTCCCGGGCTCAAGTACGACAACCTCGTGGGTGACCCCAAATCGAACGTCAAGGCTTTCGACGGCGCAGCTGTAGTCTCTCTTTTGAAGAAAAGCCCTCATATTGCAGATTCAGCCATCCAGACTGTCTCCGAAGCGGCCCAACGGTGGATCTTGGATTTCTGGGCCACTTATGATTCCGGGTGGTTCCCCGGTCCGGAGCTTGAGCACATCGCGCAATTCGCGCTCATCCCCACGGCGAAGGAGCGAGTCTTCGTATCACTTCAACGAGCACGGTCTCTCCCAACCATAGGCCAGCCCCCGACATATACACTCTATGCACGCCTTTTGCAGCAGCGCGCCGCATCGGAGGCGCAATGGATGGCAGAGCGGCTGGTCGCGCTGGGGGCAAACGTCATCCATGAACCGGAGGATCGCAACCACAAGGCTATTCTCCCCCACAAGCTGCGTACCGAATTGAAAGACGTTGCTTTCAGTTTCAAACGGGTCGTGGATGTTCTGAATCACATAGGTTTATCCGCCCTCCGAAGCAGACTTGCGAGCTGGCCTGACGACGATCTAAATCGGTTTTCGGCGTGGCTCCAGACCGCTCTCGAGACCTCCGTCGTCGGTGTCGGTGGTGGCCCTTCCACCTCCATCCTAGCCAGTCTTCCAATGTGGAAAGTGTACCGCGCTGATCGATGGGAACGATGTCCTCCGAAGGCTCTGACTGACTCCAGCGTTGGTGTGCTTCCCATGATCACGGGAGTCACAGCCGATCGTCTGCAGGAAGTCGTCACTTTCTTGGGCAAATCCCGCTTCCCCTTCTTCGTCCACTTGAACGCCTTTACGATCAGCGTCTTCAAGCCGCACGTCATCCCGATGTCGATCTCGGAATTCTGCTCAAGCCTCAAGTTTCCTGACAATCTCGACAATGCTTCATTCTCCATATACTCTTATATTCTAAACATCATCCTAGCGACTCCGGACTCCGGCAACTCGGGCGTAGCTCTCTTGGCTCCGTGCAAAACCCTCCGCATGGTGCAGATATCATCGCTGTACCAGCACGACATCCCGGAGTTTCTCGCGGCGTTCAATCATCGACCGCATTATTTCCTTCACGCCAAGCTGCACTCCAAGGAGCCCCAACTTGTTTCCAGGTTTGGCCTACAGAAAGAGAAATCGCTTGACACGTTCGAAGAGTGTCTCAAAGCAATCGACGAGGATTTCGACAACAGCGACACTGCTGACCGGAATCGTTCTATGGTCGTATACCGTTGGTATTGCAACCAGGTGCCCCTCCTGGCCTCCTCTCAAGGGTCCAACTGGTGGCGCCGCCTCGACAGGTACGCTTTTGTCCCACGCCGAGGAGACCAGCGCCGGGTGGGTGGGTCAACGACATTCCGAGTCGAAGATTTCGCAACCCCGCTCCCGCTACTGGTGCGGCCAACCCAGGTGGTCCGCGACGAGTATGCGTCTGTGGCATGGACACAGCGCGCGCTCTTCCCCACGAGTGTGGACACGGGGCGACTGTTTCTGGCCGACCAGTCTCTCGGAGTACCAACCTCGTCCGAAGTGGTAAGTCCCTCTGTGGCTCTCTTGTTTTGTATCCCTGTTTACGCGGCGGCCGCAGGTGGAACATCTTCGCGTTCTGGCCCTCAGTGTATCCCCGTCTTTCCCTCGCGGCAACAAGGACCTGCTCGCGGATCTCAAAGCGACGTACGCATTCCTCGCCACCCTAACAGGACTCGCCGACCTCCTCCACCCGCACCGCGACGAGCCGCTTTTCCTCAATGTGGCCGATCCCGAACGCGACCCTTGGGTCTTTGTGCCCGCCACGCTCCTCACGCTCAACGTCCCCGACGACGGCGACTACCGCGAGGCCCGCGCGTTCCTCCAACCCTTCCGCGCGCTCCTCGTCGCCGCTGGCGCGTACGAGATTCGCCGTGTCACCGCACCAGCGCTGGCGCCTCCTACCCCTGCAGACGACGCGCTCTCCCTGCTCCGCGCCGGCTTCGACGGGCTCCGCACCCAGCGCATCCTCACCGACGTCGTCTTCCGCGCGCCCGACGGCGAAGGCGGGGAGGTGTGGGCGCACCGCGCGCTACTCGCGAGCGCGAGCGAGCACTTCTACGACCAATTCGCGAGCGGCTTCACCGAGGGCGGCCCCGCTTCTGCGCAGGACCCGATCGTCGTTCTCGTCGAGAACGCGCAGGAGCTACAGTGCACACGGCTGATCATCGGTGCGTCCATTGTGCTCAGTCGGGGTGCATCATCATGACCGTTGGACAACCTTGCAGAGTACATCTACACCGGACATCTGGGAAAGTCGGAGGGGATGTCCACGCAGCTCGCGCTGATGCACCTCGCACACCGACGGCAGGTTCCGCAGGTCCAGGTGCACGCAGAGGTCCTGCTCGTCGAGCACATCCAACCGGGGACGTATCTGCAGCGTGAGTCTACCTGACTTCGCGCGGGAGCCCGTACTCACCACTATTCCAGTCCGTCAAGATGCCACCGCAGTCGAAGGAAAGACGCTCCTGGGCAAGATCGACGAGTTTGAGCAAACGAACGCAGTAGCGCTTGGCCAGATGGCGAGCTTCGCGTTTCCCACTTAGCCAGCAGAAGAATGACGCGATCGAGGTGCTGCAGTGATGATGTCTAAGAATGATCCATACTTGCAATGTACACGTATATGATACGTATCGCCCGTATTTTCTTGTTTATTTCGGCGAGGGTGCACACTCCACTACAGCGGATCCTCAGCTCGGGATGGACCTCGAGGAGAAGCGCTGGATCTGAATGGTGCACTTGCGGACGCGATTGGTCGTGAGAAGTCCTTTCAGCCAACCAAGTGGTCCGTATCCAGAATGTCCTCACGGAAAGTACAGCGGTACGACCGCAGGTGTCCCGAGCCCACGTGTGACAATGACACTCAACATACCGCACATACGCGGGCCGTTCACACATGTAATCCACAGGTATCGATACAGCGTGGTTTTACATCTTCTCGACGCTCTACGAGATACAATCACGGCGTGGCCTCTTGTTGCTTCGCAGCCTCCGCTGCCGAGTGCGCCTTCCCCTTTTCTATAGGCTCCGCGGCTTCCTGCGGCTTCGCGTTCTTGCCTTTCCCGGGTGGGGGCGGGTGGTAGACCTTTTCCTAGAGAAAACCCATCCACGTCAGCTCGAGAACAGGCGTACCCACACCCCTCCGGCTCACCTTCTTCTTCTTCTTCTCCGGCTTCGCGTTCGGGTCCGGGTACGCCAGCTTCTCCACCGCCTTCCACTCCTCGTCCGCCTCGAACGCCTTCCGGACCGGCTCCAGCAAGTTCACGATCGCGTCCGCGACCGCCGCCTTCAGATCCCCCGGGTGCACCTTCTTCTCCGCGTAGTCCGCCTTCAGCCGCTCGTACCCGTCGTAGTGCAGCGTGCCCCCGTGCTCCGGCTTGCGCACGATCGAGAACAGCGTCCCCTCCGGCGCGCCCTCGCCCGCGAACGGCTTCGGCATCGCCCCCGCGTCCGCGTCCGCGCCCGCCTGCGCCTCCTTGGCGTTGTCGATCCGCAGCTGCGAGACGGGGATGAGGACCGCGTCGACGAACGCGAGCACGCCGTTCTCCGCGACGTTGCCCTCCTCGCAGAACGCGCTCTTGATCTTCCGCCGGACCGCCTCGGGCGGGTCGAGGAAGTCGATCTTCGAGTTTGGGTCCGACGAGGACATCTTGCCGCCGGCGAGCCCCGGGACCATCGGGTTCATGAGGTGGGCGCGCTTGGCGTAGCCGAGGCGCGGGAGGTAGAGTTCCGCGAAGGTGAAGATTTTGCGCTGAGGGCGAGGAGACGGGGATCAATATTCCGCATGAGTATCCGCATGATAGTCAAGGAAAGGAAACGCAGCGTCTAGAGTTAGTGTGGGGCGGACGAAAGGTCGTCTACGTTAGAGGAGGAATCCAGGTTTCGGACCGGCAACCTTTGTCATCCACGCACGATCTGATGTATGAACTCTCTAGACGTTGGCGGTGCGGACATCCCATATTCTGCACCGCAAAGCACGATTTGGCGTTTACGTCAAGCTGTCGGCGGATCGGGTGTGGTTAAGGTGACCTGATCCACACCCGACCCGCCTTCTTCGTCAAGCACGCTCAATATTCACCTGATCCACACCGCCGAACTGCATGTCGCAGCCAAGGTACTGCTCGTCCAGCGCCTGCAGTCCAGGGTAGAGCAGCCCGCTCAGCAGCGGGCTCTCGACCTGCTTGACGACCTCAGCGCCGGCCTTCTTCGCGTCGTGCTCGGTGACGACGGAGGAGAGCTTGTAGACGTCGAGGTTGTACTCGCGCGTGAGCTGGTAGGACATGCCCTCGACGAAGCGGAGCTTGGAGATGGGAACGCCGAGCGAGGTGAAGACGGCGATGAGGATCTTTTTGTAGTAGGCCGTGCGGGAGCTGACGAGGTCGAGGGGCGCCTTGAGGTTGTCGAGGAACGCATGGAGGTCTGAGAGCAGTAGCAGGGGCGGTCAGCCTGTGTGCAGACAAATGGTGACTCCGAAAGCGCTACCGGCAAGCAGGATGGTGACCTCGACGCCGGCGCGGAGGAAGTCGGCGACCTTGGTGAGTGGGACGAAGTAGCCGATATGCGCTGTGTTGGGACGTGGTGAGCACAAGGCATGTCTCGATATGAGATTCGAGACTCACGACGGCCGGTGGGGGCGGTGCCTACAGAACGAGAACGGAGTCAGGATGGGGCACGGGACGGGCGGCAGAACACAGACCCCAGTAGAGCTTCGGGGTCCGTCCTTCAGCGAGGATGGCCTTGATGATGTCGCCGCCCAGGACCTCGTGGAGCCTGCGGGTGATGAGCTCGTAGGTGTCGTCGGCGGAGGCCATGGCTGCGTCGTGGGCGAGTGCAAGAGGCCTGTGTCCACCGAGTCACGCTGTGCTGGCCACAAAACAGGTGCACGTGGCCCGCTGATCGATCTCCCATATCCGGTCGTATGATATGCTACAGTCTACCAGGACAGAATGACTACAGTCTACAGGACTGGGCTCATGAGGGACCCGCGGTCGAGGCGCGGTACGAGTCTCTCTGTCGGCTGTTCTTGGTCTCCACCCTCACGTACTCGCTCTCCTCCTGCACCTCTTCCGACTCCTTGCGCACGCCCATGTACGCATCCCCCAGGATCTGCAGCGCAATCGCCCGCAGATACACCTTCTGTCGCGGCACCGTTGCGTCCTCCAGCACCCGATCCACCGTCTCCCGCAGCACGGACTCGATCTCTAGTTTCGCGCCCTGTTTCGTCCGCGTGAGCCCGAGTGGTCGTAGCATGACATCGACGTGAACGTACCTTGAAGAGCGTTTGGATGCCCTTTTCCGCTGCTTGCTCCTCCAGTTTCCTCCTCTCGTCCGCAGACAGATTCCCTGCCTTCTCCGCAGCCTGGATCTGCTCAAACACACTCTTCAGCTCCATCGCAGCCCGGAGAGTCGATACTCTGTGACAGCCGTCAGCTTTCCACTGAGCTTGGGGTGAGAGGACCACGTACGTCTCGCTGAACACATGGTACTTGCCCTGCACGTTGTGCAGCCAGCCACCCATGCCCAGGAAGGTCTGGTTAGTCGCAAGGAACTGCTTCGCCTTCGATGCGTACACGAAACCAATCGCCTGCAGGAGCTCGACGCCATACGACTCCTGCTTCAGCTCCCTGAGAACACGACGAACGATGAGCACCGTTCCAGAGAAAAGACGACAAAGAACGCACTCGGCTTCGAGCTTGCAGATTGTGCGGAAGCTGTCCGTCACCTGCCGGTCATCCGCCCCCGTCGCAGACTCGGTGAATATCGAGATCTTCCGGTCCAGGCTCTCGACCAGCTTGTTCACCCGGTCTGTCCGCACCGCCGCTTTCTGTCCCGCGATGAGCCCCCGTCCTCCTCGCCGAAAACACGCAAAAGCGACGCACCTCCGCCGAGATCTTCCTCTGCTTCTCCTCCCTCCTCGCCTTCTCCTCCGGGCTCAGGATCTCGCGCCCCTTGGCGTCGCGCTGGACGACCTCGCCCTCGCCCTCCTCCTCCTGCAGCGCCGACTTCATGTCCTTCGCGAGGCTGATGTGCCCGATGATCGGCACGAACCGGTCCCCGCCAAAGATCGTGCCGAAGATCTCCTCGGGGTCGATGAACCCGCCGTCGGGCGCGGACTCCTTGGGCCCGAACTCGTTGTACTTCCGCCGGAGCTCGGGGTCGGACAGCGTCTGGTACGCGACCGCGATCTCCTTGAACACCTCCTCCGCGTGAGGGTTGTCTGGGTTCTTGTCCGGGTGGTGCTTGATCGCCAGCCGGCCTGCGCCCCGCGGCGGTCAGCATACGAGCACACGCCCCGCATGGCCAGAAGAGGCACAGGAGCGGCACTCACGATACGCCTTCTTGATGTCGTCCGCCGTCGCGTCGACCGGCACGCCCAGCAGGTCGTAATACTTCATCTCCAGCGGCTTCTCCTGCGTCCCGATCTTCCTGCTCCGCCGCTGCCCTGCCACCCCACCGGCACCGCTGCCCGACGCCCCCGCCGCGGCGCCGACGGTGCCCCCGTACTGCGCGGGGACCTGCGCGGGGTAGAACGCGTGCGTGAGCACGGTCCCGCACTGGAAGCAGCGCACGTTCAGCAGCGCGCCCGGGCGCGGCGGCGGGCTCGGCACCGGGAACTCGAGCGCCGCCGCGCACTGCGGGCACGACGTCGGGATGTGCGGCACCGCCGGCCGCGACTGGATCGTTTGCGTGTTCATCGCGCGTGAGGGGCGTGGGCGAGGGGCGCGCCGACGATGGCTGCGAGGGTCTGTGGAGAGGTTGGGGGCCGCAGGGATTCAAAGGGTTCGAGGACGGAAGGCAGGTTGCGAAGAGCGGCGGGATTCCGGGCGGCGGTTGTACGATGACGGGCAGGAGGAAAGGTAGCTTGGTGGAGGGGGCTGAAAGAGGATGATGGAGGAGGAGAGGCAGCTGCAGACGGCTTCAGCTTGCTCGGCGCTCCCGACCCGACGCGCACTCGAGGCTCCTCGGCTGCGGCGGCAGCAGGGCCGCCTCGTGCCGGACGGCGGCTGGGCTTCTCATCCGCGACTTGGCCACGACTGCGAACCACACATCATGCACCATCATGCACAGAGCTCTACACAACGATGTACAGCACATCTTGAACAGTGCACGCACTAGATATGCAACACGTGGTTGTTTTTTGTACTGCTCGAGTCAAGGATGCGGCCACATCAAGGACCAAGAGGACCAAGACCATTGCAACCTACATCTGGACTTCGCGCGGCATTGGCCCGGAACACGCCTCCAAAATCCATCCAGCTGCGCGAACTTGAAGGATAAGCTGGCTGAGGCCTACTTCTGAGCCTCAGTCACTGTCGCAGAGCCCATATGTGATCCCATCAAGGCGCTCCCACCACTCTCCTTGAATTCTATCAAAGTCCCCTCGATAAGTAAGTACCCTGACATGCCTAGCAGGGCACAATGAAATATCGACGCGACCCACATGATTGTCATCTGCACCCCATACGCAACGATGAGAAGCAGCAAATGAGCCTTATGAGGTATATCCGATCCATCCAAATCAAAACCATAAAGAAAAGACCATAGGGACCGCATAGTATGTACGAGTCAGCGTACATCGTGTTCCCGTGCAACGATCCTCAGCGGGTGGTGTCTCTGGCGGCGTCACTTGGGCGGTTTGGGTCTGAATCTATCTATAAAGAAGGGAGCGGTGGTGTTAGTAAGCCGCGTACGTCGCTTGCAGCGATACGCGAAGTTAGCGAAGTTGGCGAAATAAGCGAAGCTAACCGAGCTTTTGCCATGTGGCTGCCATGTGCGCCGGTAGGCCGAGCTTGCGAGGCCTGCCCCCTGTTTCGGCCGAGCCTGCGAGGCCGCCCGCATCTGGCCGAGCCTGCGAGGCCGGTCCCGCATCTGGCCGGGCCTGCGAGGGGCTGCCCCGTTCCAAGTCCAAACGTCCCCAGTCCGCGCGCCAGCGCCTATTCCGTGGATGTCTCGCCCTGCCCCGCCCTCTTGCCCGTTTCCTTAGAGTTTTGGCAGCAAGCTGTATAAGTACAATTAGCACATGTCTTCAAAATCGTGTACTTCTTGCATGGTTCATGCTCCTAAAACAAATGATTTTGCGCGATGGGCGCCTATCCGAACGCGATATTGTGGACAGTACTTTTCACGCCTCACGCATCCAGGGTCCGATAGGCGCCTCCCGTCCTGTCTCACCTACTATGTGGAGGGGCAAGCATCTATCAGGTGAGCTTATCCCCCATTTCAAATCCCTGATAAGCATGCTCACAGGGTCCTTACAGCCTCCACTAAGCACACCACCTACTCCACATATCAAGTGCTTATCTCCCCTCTGCTTATCTCGCTCTCAAGTAAGTTACCTTTTGCTTCTATCCCGCATTGATGGCTTATCTACAGTTCCTTTCAGCTCATACTATCGCGCCTTAGCGCCTCATAGCACAGCCACACAACAATCCGCTCTACACTCCATCAAAGTGAGTTTCAAAGGTTGGATAGTGGTGTGAATGGCACTCTAATGGTGGCTTTCAGCTCATACTATTGCCGGCTTTAGCGCTTCATAGCACAGCCACATAACGACGCGCTTTACACCCCATCAAAGTGAGTTTACAAGCTCTGATAATGGTGTGAATGACACTCTAATGGTAGCTTTCAGCTCTGCATTAGCGCCTCATAGCACAGCCACATAACAACACGCTCTACACCCCATCAAAGTGAGTTGATAGAGCCATAAAACCATCTAATAAGGCCTAATATTGCCACTTTCAAGCTCCCCCACACCCTCCAGAGGTGTTGAGCTCTACCAGCCTACTATTCAACCCTGTGCACACCCTCCCTCATTATACTACGGTATAAGTGTGTGCTCAGTAGTGATGAGGCTGAAGTGCACTGCTAATTGAATGATAATAGTCCCAACTCCATTACCCACAATACATCCTTACAAAAGACAATGGATCCTTCCTACACAAACAATCCGTAAGTGCCCGCATAATTGATTGTTTGACTGTCAAATTAACCTCTGCCTTAGGACAACACCTGAACGTGATCGAGAGGAGGAGAGAGAGAGGGAAAGAGAGGGTCGTCAAATGACTTCCCCATCAGTGCGGCGAGAACGGAGACAGGAATCTTATCAGATTCCTCGGCAGCCTAATTTTGGGCAGCCTAACCAAAATTTGGATATTCCTGAGGGATCTAATCTTGGTCCCACTTTTGATGCTGGCAATGGGGGGCTTGCAGGGCCATACGGTGCATATGGACAATTTGGTGAACAATATCTTGGTGGAAGTAATATTCAGCCATTGAACATGTTTGGTGGGGAACACAATAGGCCACAAATGAACCAGCCTTCTGGCTCTCGGTTCCCTGGCAGTTTAGATTGGAATCCTAATCCAAATGCACAGCAGGGGAACTATGTAGGTGGACTTGAGGCTAATTTTGTGCAACGACAACAAAATCGTCGTGCCAATCGTGGAAGAAACCGTGGATCTACAGTTGCTGAAGCTGTTGCTGCACGGCGGCAACAAGAGGCTGAAGAGCGTGCAAACAGACAATTTGAACGACAGTCTCGACGGAGGCAGGAATCAAATCAGCAGCGACAAAGAGAGTTTCAACAAGTGTCTCAAAGGCAACTTGATATGAATGAGTGGCAGTATAGTCAGCATCAACTCCTGACTCAACGGCAACGTGAGGCGGATGCACAAGAGCAATTAAATAATCGCCAAGATATACAACGGCAGCAATCGGCTTATGAACATGAGCATAGAGAGATCCAGAGGCAAAATGCTCGCCAGGATGGTACAAATCGTGTATATAATAATCTTTCTGTTCGTAGCCGACGGGAGCGTAATGCACAACGAAATGCTGTACAGCAGACTATAAATCAGCAGCAACGCACATTACCTCCTGGCCGTCGTACATATGTTGAGCCACTTGCTCGCCACTCATTAGGCCAAATGAATATTGTGTGCTCAAAATGCATGGCACTGCACTTTATAGATGAACGTTTGACTAAGTCATCACTACGTGATCCTCGATTCAGCACTTGCTGTCTCAATGGGCAGATTATACTCCCTTTACCTGTACTTCCCCCCGAACCACTCAAAAGTCTAATGAACGGTTCTGATCCACGCTCAGGTGAATTCCTTCGAAACATTCGCTCATATAACGCTGCATTTGCATTCACATCTGTCTCAGTAAATCTTGATACTGCAGTGTTAGAAACTCCAGGTCCTTATTCCTTCCGAATGAGTGGAGAGCTTCATCATAAAATGGGCTCACTGCTTCCCTCTGAAAACAATCCCCAGCGCTATGCTCAACTGTACATTTTTGATCCTGATTTTGATGCTGCTACGGTTCGCCATCAAAATAATCAGAGCAGATTAAATCATTCAGTGCTACGGGACATTGGGGGAATGCTGGACCTGTGCAATCCTTTGGTGCTATTATATAAACGTGCATATACGATACTTCAAGAGAAGCCCCCAGAGCAACAGGTTGATGTGCGTGCTCGCATTGTGTTGCAAGCAACTACAGATCTACGTAGGTATAATCTACCTACTGCAGATGAAGTTGCAGCAATTATCCCTGGATCTGGAGCTGGCGAGGTGATCGATAAACATCGAGAAATCATTCTGCGCTTGAAAGATGGTCCTTTGGAGCGAGTGTCTAATTGCCATGCAATGTACACGTCCTTGCATTATGTGCTATTGTTTCCTACAGCACCATCTGGATGGCATACTCGCATTCCAATACGTCTTGAGCCAGGACAAAAAGCACGTGCAGAAATAATCAGCCAAAGGTGCTACTATGCCTATGTTCTGTACCCTAGATATATCAACGGTACTGAAGTTGATTATCTATTTCGTGGTGGTCGCTTATTCCAGCAATATATGGTGGATGCATGGGCCTCAGTTGAAGCCAGTGCACTTAATTGGTATCGCCACCATCAAAAAGAGATCCGTGCTGACCTTTACCGCAGTGTGCGTGATGCAATGGTAGAAGCTGACAATCATGCTGATACTGTTGATATGGGCCAGCAAGGGCATCCTGTTATTCTTCCCTCTACTCACCTTGGAAGTCCCCGTCATATGCATCAACTATTTATGGATTCAATGGCTATTTGTAGACGGTTCCGAAAGCCAGATATATTTCTTACCATGACGGCAAATCCACGGTGGCCAGAGGTTGAAGCAGCTTTGCTGGAATTAGCTGGCGGTGATAGAACACGTATGCAATCACCTGCAGATCGTCCGGACATTGTAGCAAGAGTTTTTCACTTGAAAAAACAGGCATTACTCAAGAAGATCAAAGACGGCTTTTTTTGGAAGTGCAGTTGCACATGTTTACACGATCGAGTTCCAAAAAAGAGGCCTACCACATATGCATCTCTTGATCTTTCTTCAAAACCAAGACAAGATCAGAGATGCAAGTATGGTGGATTCTATTGTATCAGCACAGATTCCAGATCCTCAAACTCATCCTATGCTATATCATACCATTACTACGTGCATGCTTCATAGTTGTGGGGACAGGTGCAAGGCAGACAATGGATCATGCTCTAAACGGTTTCCTCGCGACTTCTGTGAGGAGACAGTGTTTGGAGAGAATGGCTATCCAGTGTATGCCCGGCCAAACAATGGTCGTACCTATACTTCACATACAGGCGAAGTGTTCACTAATCAGCATGTTGTACCGTACAATCCTGAGCTCTCTGCAGAGTTTGACTGCCACATCAATGTGGAAATATGTACTTCAATTCAATCCATCAAGTACATTCATAAGTACGTGTACAAAGGCCCAGACCGTGCCACAGTGGAGGTCAGCAATGAAAAGGACGAGATTAAACGGTTTCTAGATGCTCGATATATTGGTCCACCAGAAGCAATGTGGCATTTGCAGGAATGGCCGATGCATGCAGAACTGCCTCATGTGTACAGACTTCCTGTGCATATTGAGAATGAGCACATGTTATATTTCAACCCTGAAGTGGACACTGCTGGACAAGTTTTGAACCGTGCAAATGTGGAGCGAACTATGCTTACAGAGTGGTTTGCAACCAATCAGAACGACCCTACAGCTCATACTTATCTCTATCAAGATTTCCCTGAGGCTTATGTGTGGAATAAAAACACACATAGATGGACGAAAAGGAAAGAAGGGTTTGCTATTGGACGGCTACACTCAGTGCACCCATCTGCTGGAGATCGGTTCTATCTTCGCTTACTCCTAACAGTTGTACGAGGTGCAACAAGCTATTTAGATCTAAGAACTGTGAACGGTCAATCTTTTGAATCATTTCAGGCTGCTTGCCTGGCACGTGGTCTTCTTGAAGCAGATGGTGAATGGGAAGATTGCTTAGAGGAAGCCTCACATATGCGAACTGGAGCTGCAATGCGCCAGCTGTTCACTGTTATTCTGGCTGAGAATCATCCATCTGATCCCTTATCTCTTTGGGAGAGGTTTAAGGCACACCTTTGTGATGATTTGGGTCACAGGCTTACTACTCTAGGTTTCTCAGAGCCTTCACCAGAGCAAGTCTTCAATTATGGACTATTTCTGCTCAAAGAATTACTGATTCAACGTGGAAAGAGATATGACCTGTTCAAGCTACCTGAGCCTGTTCCAGATGCTCGGTTTGGCATTCAGAATAATAGCTTAGTAGCAGAGGAGTTGAACTATGATCACAATGTTTTACAAGAACGTGTTACCACAAACTGTGAGCGCTTCAATGCCGCACAAACAACAGTGTTCAATACTGTAATGAGCTCTGTGACAAATAATCAGGGAAAGATCATATTTGTTCACAGTGCTGGCGGCTGTGGTAAAACATTTCTGTGTAACACAATTGCAGCAGCAGTGCGTGCTTTAAATACGGTTGTACTAACTGTGGCCTCCTCAGGTATTGCAGCTTTACTTTTGGAGGGAGGACGTACAGCACACTCACGTTTTGGCATTCCTATTCCTTGCTTTGATGACTCTGTCTGTAATAGATTGTTTCAGGATGGCTATCAAGAAATGCTTCGTCATACCAAGCTCATTATTTGGGATGAAGTTCCTATGCAGCATCGATTTGCTGTTGAAGCTGTGAGCCGGTCCCTTCAACGTGCGCTTCACAATCAGTGCCCATTTGGAGGGATTACTGTTCTGTTTGGAGGCGACTTTCGTCAAACTCTGCCTGTCGTTCCACGAGGGGGAAGACCTCAGATTGTGGGAGCTACACTATGCCGATCATATTTATGGGAGCACGTTCAAGTGATGCATTTGTCTCAAAACATGCGCTTAGAGCAGTCGCCCGAAAGCACTCAATTTGCACAATGGCTGCTACAAGTTGGACAAGGGGCCAATGCCACTGCTGATAGTATCGTAACACTTCCTGAGTCTATGCGTTTACCTCAGCAAACTGTTGAATGCCTTATTTCTTCCACATATCCTAATGTCAATGCCCCTAACAAGCCTGATCAATACTTCTTGGACCGCACCATATTGTCGGCAAAGAATGATTCAGTGGATGACCTAAACCACATCATTCTAGGACAGTTCCCAGGTGAACAATGCATTCTACACTCTGCAGACAGTGTAGAGAACGATGAGAGTGCACAATATACAACTGAGTTCTTACAGTCTATAAATGTCCCAGGACTCCCTCTCGCTCATCTTGCATTGAAACCAGGCTGTCCATTAATGTTGCTCAGAAATATTGATCCACGAAATGGGCTTTGCAATGGCACACGATTGGTGTTAATAGTGATTCAGCCACGAGTCCTCTTATGTAGAATCCTTGGTGGTGAGCATGCTGGAAGGGAAGTATGTATTCCGAGGCTTACTCTTGAGCCTAACACGGAAGATCTCCCTTTGAAGCTACGCCGCCGCCAATTCCCTGTGCGATTGGCATTTGCAATGACAATCAACAAAGCTCAGGGGCAATCAGTGACACATGTTGGCTTAGATTTGCGTACCGGAGTGTTCACCCATGGACAACTCTATGTCGCTCTTTCTCGCTGCACTTCACCTTCACGAATCAAAGTGTTGCTTGAAGATGGCAAAGAGGACATGACAACAGTCAATATTGTCTATCGAGAGGTTATTCCACCAGAGTAACAATGCTACTGTGTTGTGCTGTACTGTCTTTCCATTGCTATGCAAGTCATGTATTATAATCACTATGTCTACAACTCTGTTCCAGTTTCACTTCTTTTATTTATGTATCACTGATACTGTATTATATTTTATTTGCCTGACTTTAGGGCAGGCTCAAATAGACTTCAATCTGGCTGAGCCCTCTTGATTAACTTATTGTAGTGAGTATACAAATGAACACTTGATTTGATTGAAGCGTCTCAAGGGCCGAAGGCCCGCACATATCGTGGCAACGCCACGGGTACACACTAGTCTATAAAGAAGGGAGCGGTGGTGTTAGTAAGCCGCGTACGTCGCTTGCAGCGTTAAGCGTCGGCTATGAATCTAACCGAGCTTTTGCCATGTGGCTGCCATGTGGACCGGCCGGCCGAGCCTGCGAGGCTGGCGTCTGTGTGTGGCCGAGCTTGCGAGGCCGCCCTGGGTCGGGACTGTTTTTCGCGCGAGTTTACGAGGTCGATGCGGGTGGCGATGTCTGGCTGAGTTTGCGGCCGCTCCAATACAGGTGGGCCGTTACGTGCAGGAGCGGGAGTAGGGCCGTGTTTAGTTTTAACTTTTAGAGTGGGCCACAGTGCGTAGCGTCCTCGCGCACCACCACCCGAGTACTGTACGTGCAGCGCGAGTCCGAGCGTACCGCCGCGAGCCCCGCGTGCGTGTGGCAATATCTATGTGTACACCAAGAACTCCCCGCGCACGAGCCTCGCGAGGTGGGGCAACACTGGATAAACACATTGTATTATGGAATGGCCTCTGCACCTAGAGCGAGGCGCTGCAAGGGTATGCCTACGGGTAAAGTCCTGACAGAAGTCCGGACGTGAGCCCTCGCGTGCGAGCAAAATGCATGCGGGTATTCTGCAGTGCGCGCAGAGATATCGCCGCATGCGCGCGGGGCTCGCACCCACACATCGCGCGGCAGTGCGCGAGGGCGGTAGGCGCTGTGGCCGCGCTCCTCCGCGAAAAAGGCCTACGGGCATCGGCAGGCTGTACGAGCCGACCCCGCGCGACACTTCCCTTCTCGCGCGAGGGCACACACACACCGGTGCTACAGTGCACTCCTCGGCGCTCGCCTTCAGCTCACCCCGGGGCATGTGCGCGTGGGTTAAAGCGCAACTGACCGGGGTGTCCAATGGGCACATGCCCGGCGAGATATCGCGACGGGATAACTACCTCCCTTGCCTTCAGCGGATCCTTCAACTCCACACCACCAACACACGCGAGAGCATGTCGAGAAAAGCTCCACATGCCCCTTTGCAGCACACACTCCAGTATCTCTGTACATAAGTATTATTTATAAAATCCTCAAATATCTGCCCAACGTCGCATCTCGAGGGCCAAAGGCCCACACGCGCCGTGGCAACGCCACGGGTGAGAACTAGTGCACTTCGGTGGGCGAGAAAATTCAAAATCGGCGTCGGCTTCTTTCGTACGCGGGCTCGCTTGAGGTTCGTCTCAAGTCGTCAATTTGATCAAATTCGCCTGAAAACCCAACCTGCCTGTCGCTGTCCGAAGACACCCCGCGGCACCACCGGTCTAGAGATAATACTTTGAATGTTGCTATCCCAACTGCTCCGAGGACGCTGCCTCATCGGGGTCCAACAGGACCAGCTGCGCGGAAGCGTGCGAGCGTGGCTCAAAGGTACATTGCAGATCTTGAAGCCGCCTGTCATACCGGGACATCGTCAGACTCGATTCAAATAGCGCATCAGACACTTACAAAGTACTGCGCTCCGTCTCCCTGATCGTGGGGGACGCATCTCGCAACGAAATAGAGAACACGTGAAGGACGCAAGCAATCGCCGTGAAGAGTTGTGCTTCAGCAAAATGCCGCCCGGGACAAATCCTGAAAATTTCGGTAGGGTGTAAGAACCGTGCTTCCGGACGACTCACTAACGCACCTTCGACCATATCCAAACACAAAGCTCGCAGGGTCCAAGACCGCGGGATCAAGTTTCCCATCCTTCAAGAACCGCTCAGGGAGGAACGACTCAGGCTCGGGATACTGTATCGCGTCTCTCGAGAACGCCCTAGATACCACGCAAGTCAGCTCTGGACCCCAGGACGCATGTTAAACCCTCATACCAAGCGTTAAACATCATCTGTACTTTGGTCCTACTTCTAAAACCTCTAAAACCTCTAAGTTTTTTTTAGAGATTGTTAGAGATCCTTAGAACTTGTTAGAACTATTGAAGGTTATAGAGGTCTTAAGACGACTTAGAGAAGTGGTGATTCTGATGTGGTAAGGACGAAATATATTGGTGTCAAGGCGATATATTACACAAAATAAGTACACAGGGACACTGTGCCACAGACACGACGGCACAAGGGGCACGCCCACGATGTGCAAGGTGTGTGAGGTGTGAGGGCGCCGTGAGACAGAGCACTCAGGCGCGATGTTATGACTCCGAAATACGAGGCGCATGGAGGGCGGATGACGCGGAGGGCTCAGGGTGATGCGGAGGGCGGGTGATGTGGAGAGCGCGGGCAACGCAGAGGGCAGGTGATGCAGAGCGTGCGGGGCGTGGACAACGCACAGGGAGCTGAGGACGACACGAAGAACGCGAGGTTGGCGACACGGCGAGGGCGACGAAGGGGTACAGTAGATGACGCGGGTGTGATGCGGGCGTGGACGACGACGACACGGCGAGGCGGAGAGGGTGAGGCGGGTGTGGGCGACGCGGGGGTGAGACGAGGAGGCGAGACGGGAGAGCGGGGCGAGAGTTAAGACGGACGGGGCAAGAGGCGGACGAGGCGGGGATGTGGGCGTGATGCGGGAGACGCGGGCGTAGTGGGCAAGGTGGTTGACGCAGGTGTGAAGCGTGTGGGCGCGGGCGCACCAGATGAGGGCTACGCGGGCGCAAGGTGGGTGACGCAGGGTCGAGGTGCGAGACGCAGGCCAAGACCGCCAACGAGGGTAAGACGCGGGCGTCGCGGACGATGCGGGCGAGGTACATGATGCGGATGAGGATGACAAGGGAGATGGATGGGGGTAAGGCGGTCGGTCGACGTGGGCGCGACGCGGTCGGCGCGGCGCGACACGCGGGTGAGAACGTGGTGGGCGCGTGAGACGACGCGGGCGACATGGGCGACGCGGGCAAGGGCGACGCGGTGGCCACAGGGTAAGGGCGCGAGGGCGCGGGTGGAAGGACGAGGACGCGGAGGACGGACGGCGGAAGGACGCGGTGGGCGAGGGTGCGGTGGGCGAAGACGAGGGCGGGGAAACGCGGAATGTGGAGGGCGGAGAACGCGGGGGTGAACGACGCCGGGGTGGAGGACGTGGAGGGTGCAGGGGTGGATGGTGTGAGGGTGGCGCGGTGGGAGAGGACGACGCGGACGAGGGCGCGGAGGGAGACCCAGAAGACATGGGGGCAGTAATGGCGACGGGGGCGACGCGGGTGAGGTGGGCGAGGGCGAGACGGGCGACGCGGGCGAGGGCGTGAAGGCGGGAGGGCACGGGAGGGCGGAGGCGTGGACAATGCGGACGCCGTGGGTGGGCAACGCAGGAGATATGGGGGCAAGAGAGCGTAGTGGGCGACGGGGCGAGGTGGCGAGCAACATGGGCGAGGGTGGGGACGAGAGAGCGGGTCAGCAGAGGTTGGGGGATGCGGGGAGCAGAGGGGGCAGGGGAGTACTCAACTGGGGTCACTGCAATCCCACAGAACGGCCGCGCGCATGAGTGCGATGATGCCGCGTGAATGGAGGATCCGGCGACGCGGGGCAGGCGGGGGACGGTAGGCGATGCGTGGGGCTGCGAGTGCAAGGGACGGCGTGTGAGCGACGCGGGCGATGTGGGGGCAAGATGGGCGAGGGCGAGGCGGAGAGGGCGGCAACGCGGACAACGCAGACGAGCCCGACGCAGACGAGCGCGAGACGGGCAAGGGCGTTGTGGGCGCGACCGGAACCTGGGAGGGGAAGGGGACGCGGGAGCAGAGGAGGAGGAGGAGGAGGAGGAGAACTTACATACATAAGTACTCACCAGAGGAGGCCGCGGGAGCCCACCGCGACGGCCGCGAGCGCGAGCGCGATGGCGCTGGGTAGACGGAGGATCAGACGACACGGGGAAAGAGAAAATACGGGGCGAGGATTAGCGTCGGGGCGGCGAGGACGGGAGACGGGCGGAGGGGATTGGGGTGACGAGGAGGCTCGAGGAGGACGCTGCTGGCAGTGCCAAGCACTGGAGGTCCACGCAACGCGCGTCGATTCCCACGCGTCTGGCGTTGCCAGCACGTCGCTCTGACCGCGCTGCCTGTCCTCCCCCTCCCCGTCCTCCCCGTCCTCCCCGTCCTCCTCGTCTTTTCCTTCCGGCGCAACGTCTTCAAGGAGCACCCGAACGCGCCCATCGCCCATCGCTTCCTCGACGAGTTGTTGCGGCTGCTTTGATCTTGGTGAGTCTCCTGTTCTGCCCTCTTGCACTTCCCTGTTCGCCCACCACCTCCCCAGGCCCCGGCCGCACCGCCGACCCCGTCCCTATGACGAGCACGTCCCAACGGGCGTGCGGGTGGTGGTACTCCACCGGCGCAGTCGTGTTGTGCCGCCATTGCTGCCGTGTTGCACATCGCCCACCTCCCGCCTCCCGCCTCGCCCGAGTTGTTCCCGCGTCACCTGCGGCGCCCTCGCCCACCGCCCTCACCCGCGTCGCCCACTTCGCCTTTCGCATCGCCCATGTCCCTTGCCTACCTCGCGTCGCCCCGCCCTTCATGCACGCGGGGTCATCGCGCTTCCGCACGCAGACGTCCTGTGGGGTAGCGGTGAGCCCCCACGGTCCCGATTTCCTCTGGTGAGTTCCTCCCGCCCCCCTGCTCCCCGTGTCACCTCTCCCTCCCAGGTTCTGGCGAAGTTGGTCCCCTGCTGACCCTTTTCGAGCCCTCCACGCGTCGCCCTCGCGCCCTCCACCCCCCGCTCCTCGTCCTATCAAACGCGCGGGGTGCGCGTTCATCCAGTGCCCCCACAATCCTCCGCCTTGCCCCCCTAGTCGGTGGCGCACCCGACCGGCTGTCCCCCTCGATGCTCACAACACGCGGAGGATTCGGGACTTCCACCCCGACGTCTGTATGGAGACATGATTGCTGGGGTTGCGGTGAGCTCCCGCAACCCTGATCTCCTTCGGTGAGTTGTCCCCTCTGCTCCCTGCGTCCTCGCCCACCTAACCCTCGTCCTCTGCCTCATCCGCCTCATCCCGGCCCTCCCTCCCGCATCCAGGTCCCTCGGCTCCGCCTCGCGTCGTCCCCGTCTCGCCGCTGCGTCGACGCGCCCCGCCGCCGCCCCCGTCTTGCACTCGCCTGTATCGCCCGGCGCCCACATCCTCTGCCTCCCCTGGGTTTCCCGTGTCCCGCGGCCAGCCTGCACCGCCGTCGTCTCGCCACCTGCATCACCCTCCCCCGTGTCGCCCTCATCCTCCACCACGTCTCACCCTCGCCCACCTCCCCCACGTCACCCACTCCGCCTGTGCTGCCCCCACGCCCACCTCGCCGCCACGCCGCGTTGCTACCTCGTCTTCACCCACCTCGCCCTTGCCCACCACCTCCCGCCTCACTCACTTCGCCCGCATCTCACCTGCGTCTCGCCAATCTCGTCCACGTCGTCCAACCTCTCTCCCTCCTCTGTGCCCTTCGGCTTGTGCCCTGTCACCCCCCTGCACCCACGTCAGGGCCCTCGCCCGCGCGCCTCGCATTAGTGCACACCCGCCCACGTCACCAACCACGGTTTCGCCCACCCATGCTCGTTCATGTCCCTGTAGTACTCTTGTTAATGAAATACAATCAATATATTTTCTCTAAAGCTACATCTTGTGTGTGGATCTGTGGGTTGACCCACAATTGAGCCGGAGTGTGCGCTCATTAGCAGCTCTGAACATAACCAAACAAGTTCTAAGTACCTCTAACTCATTTAAGACCTCTAACCTCTCTACAAAATCTGTTCTATCTCCACTAAACATCTAACTTCACTAAAACCTCTAAAACGTCTATCGATAGGGCTTTTAGAGGTTTTAAAAGTAAGACCAAAGTACAGATGATTACGCCCGTTCCTTTGGGGATGTGGTACCCCATGTACTCGTCTTCTTCCACCGAGCGATGGGCGACGCCCAGCGGCACCACGGGTTTCCAGCGCATGACCTCCTTCATCACGGCGGTCACGTACGGCAGGTTGTGCCTGTCGCTCGCGGTCGGGAGGCGATCCGATCCGACGACCGCTTCGAGCTCCCTTTGCGCGCGGACCTGCGCCTCTGGATGGCTCGCCATAGCCAAGTAAAACACGTCGAGCGTCGCAGTCGACTGGAAAGAGTGCGCGTTAGGGCGGCGGTTCGCTTCGCAGACTTCCCACATACAGTTTCCGAACCCCCTGCAAAACCGTGAGCCAGCAATTTGTCTGACGGTTCGGACACACACACCCGCATAAACAGAAGCCGCCACGGCTTTCGCTACCTCCTCTCCTCCGCACTGTTCCTCCCGCTCCATCAAGAACGACGCCATCGAAGGTCCAGTGTTCCCTCCACGCTATCGCCGGCCACGCCAACCGCACGGTCAGGACTCTCGCGTTCACAAAGCACCGAACCACGCACCGCAGCCTTCTGTGCGGCTTCCCACGGGACCTCGAGCGTCCTCCTCGCAGCACTCCTCCATCCCTCGCACTCGTGCTTGAAGCCCATCCCGGGCACCCACCCCGGCAGGTGCCGGAGGAGCGGAACCTGCGCGAGCGGGTACTTGCCGAACCGGAACGCCTCCCCGATAGCCTTCTGCGCGTCCGCGACGGTCTGGACGTACTCCGCCCCTCCCGGTGCGTGCACGTCCAGCCCGTACGTGACGCGCAGCACGACGGCGCTGAACAGCCTGCCGGCAAGCACTCCTGCAGTCAGGCATCCACCGCTGGTAGCGCGAGTCCGGCGGCACTCACTGCGTGGTGTGGTCGCGGTAACGGGCCGGGTCGTCTAGAAGGCAAAGGAGGTACTTGCGGACTTCGGCGTCCATGACGTGGTGGTGACGCGGGACGGCGTGGGCGTGCATGAACTCGTGGAAGGCGCGGCGGGTGCGCCTCCACCGGTCGCCGTACGGGCTCATGACGAAGAACCAGTCGAAGCCGGAACTGGCGAACCAAGCGGTAAGCTGCGCAGCGGTGTTCAAGGACGTCTCACTCACATTTCGGCCATAGGTGGGACCCGTCTGGTCGAGTAGATTGACGAGCGCTTCTCCAGAAGGTCCACGGCAGCGGCATGCGAGCCCAGGATGACGGTAGGTTGTCCAAGGACATCGAGGTAGACCACATCCCCTGTAGGTTTTTGTTAGATATATCCGCGGATGGCTGAGAACGGTACCCACCGTATTTGTCGTTCAGGTCGCGATACACGGCTGGCCTATTCTTGTGGGGTACGTCAAGAAAATTTCCAATGAATGGTAGAGGCCGAGGTCCGGGAGGAAGGGGTTTGCGCTTTGAGTTGCGCGATCTGAGCAGCCATAACACTCCGATGACAACAAACGGGAGTATGGAGAGCGAATGGTCTAGTCTTGGCATTTTCGAGCTGCGAGGATCCGGGAGGGCGAGGCTCTCGATGGTGGCCGAGAGTGTAGTCTATGTAGCATGCTGCTCCGTGCATGCGGCCGATTTAAGACTGATCTGGCGTATGGTTCGATGCGAGATGAACTGCAGACGCTTGTGAAGGGCTGAAATGGGAGTTTTTCGGCGTTCATGCGGGGAAGATGGGCAGAGCCTGGGGCTACCCGAGAGAGGCTGCCCGTTGCTGTTGAGCAAGCGGAGATCCGTCAGAAACCCGCTTGTCTTCAGTGTGCATACACTTACCTCTCGCAAGGTTCAGACATGAGATTGTTCGCAAGCTCAAGGATGGACTGCGGTGGCGGCAGTGGCAAGTACTAGCTAGTGCCCAGGTCTTCTGCGAGCTAGATCCCCAGCCTGAACCGGCGCCGGAGGCAAGAGAGATCTTGAGCCGCTGCCACACTTCGTTAATGCCGAGCGAGACGAGGAGGGCGGATGATGAGAGCAGGACTAAAGCACGGGCCGGTCTCCGGCGCGTTAGATAGAAGGCTGCGTGGGCATCGCATTGCGCTCGTCGCCGTCCACCACGCCACCGACGCTCTCCTCCTCGCTCTCTCTCGCGCGCACTTCCTTGCTCACGACATGGCAGACCACGGCTACCTGCGCATCACCGCCTTCCCCGTCGAGATCCTCTACTTCGTCTTCCAAGAGCTCGAGCAGCCTGACCTCGTCCCCGTCCTCCGCGTCAACACCCACTTCTACGACATCGCCATCCGCACCCTCTACCGCGTCATCCCCGAGTTCCCAAACGTCCGTCGCTGCATCGCCTGTCTCAAGGCCCTCTCATCGACCCCCGCGAATGCCGCCTTCGTCCGCCGGCTGAGCGTCGACCTCTCCGCTCGCCGCTGCGTCGGAAACCTCTTCCGCCTCCTCCGCGACGCCCTCGCCCGCCTCACCCACCTCCGCCACCTCTCCATCGAGCTCTCCCCGCACGACAACCAATACTCCCTCGCCTGGGTCCTCGCTGCCGTCCCCACCCCCCTCCGCTCGCTCGGGACCTCCATCCGCTGCGACACCCCGCTCACCGCCGTGCTCGAGTCCCAGCCGGAGCTCACCGAGCTCTGCCTCCGCGGCTTCCAGACGAAGCAGCCCTTCCTCATCTCCCCCGGCGCGATGCCCCGCCTCCACACCTTCCGCGTCGTCCACGCCGGGCCCTCCATCATCGCCGCCGTCGTCAAGGGCCGCCCCGTCGAGGGCGTCTCCCTCTCCATCTTCTGCGAGGACGGCTGCGAGCCCCTCGACGCCCTCGCCCTCTCCGCCTTGCCTCTCAAGCGGCTCACGATCATGAGCCTCGACCGCGGCCTCCGCCCGGACGTCCTCATCCCGGAGATCGCCCGGCGCCTCCCCAATCTCGAGGCGCTGCACCTGGTGGTCCTCATGACGCAGTACGACTTGGTGAGTGCCCTCTCTGGATCGATCTTGCGTTTGCGTTTGTTTTTGTGGTTCGGGCGCGCATCTTCCATGCATACAATGTATTGGGACCCTGGGCACTGAGGAAGATGAAATACGAGGCTCTCGAGGTTGATCCGAGCCTAGTCGATCTGCGTGCGCCCGTTCGTCATGGCGCACAAGGGCGAGCGTGTGCGGTTATGTCGGTGGACAGTCTCGCGCCGGCGGTCGCGGTCGTCCTTGGCTCCGTTTGCCGCTACGAGAGTGGTCAAAGAGTGCTCGAGTGGCGGCGTATCACCGACTACATCGCTGCCTCGTCTCAGGCCGAGCAGCGGCGCAGCGGTCGGGGTCTTCGCAAGAAGACCAACCGGTGGAATGCGCCGCTTCCCTTTGCAGGTATTCCGAATGTCTGCTGGAGCGCCGTTTCGTTCCTATTTGTCGTCGAGCTGGAGGCGGTGCGGAAATCGATCGTCACATGCTGACCGACCCTGCCTTATAGCAAATGCTGCGAGACACGGGGCCGTGTCTGTCCGAGTTCTCGAGCCTACGGTATCTCACTTTGATGGTGGCCACCACTGAAGATTCATCGATGGAGGACGAGGAGAAGATGGCGGAGTCGTGGGCCAAGGCTTGTCCCACGTTGCGAACCATAATCCTCCCGAAGGGCAAGGTCTGGTTCCTCAGGGATGGGAAGTGGTCGTGTTGCGCGAGGGGAGATGAAGACTAGAATCCTGACTTATAGTGAGTGTCTGTCCGCACTTTACACACGCTCACACCACTGACTGGACAGACAGGAAAGACGCACCGACTGGCGGCGCGCGACGGACGCGCGGACCGGACCGTGGCCCTGATGGGATGCAGAAATGGCCGCCGTCGGCTAGCTTGTATATTACCTGCGGCACAGAGCTCTGGGAAGGTTCGGCTCGAATTCAGATGTACACTATGTTCTTCACAGCTCGTGTCTCCAGGGCCACCTGCCTCTGGCAGAGCTGCGTCACGTCCCGCTCAGCTGGATGCGAGTCGGCGTGAGCGTTACGACTCACTGCCCCGACGTCAAAGATCGACCTGTACCCGCGATTCCCACCGCGCAAACGGTAGTATGGCTCCCTGAGCGACGGACCCTGCCTGCGCGCGGAGATGACCCTCGAAGGAAGAAGCGCGCCAGCCGGGGCGTGAACAGGATCTGCTGGGCTCGCGATAATGCCGGCCCCCGCCTCTCGCCCCGAGCCGCTCGCGCTCTCCGCCAAGCGTCCACGAGGGTCCTCTCAGATCTCAGTACAAGACAGGCCTATACATATGCGGGTGCGGAGGACGCCCCATGGCCCGCCCGCAGCGCCAGGCAGGGCCCCCCTCGTGCCGCCGTTCGCAGCTTATCGACCGACAGGCAATGTTCCCCGCGAGCCGCCTGTCAAAGTCGAGGCTAGAAGACCGGGGGCCCACACCACGTTAATTCCAAGCTGGCGCCGTCGAGCCGCCCGCCCGTCCTCTCCTCTCTCCCTCTCGCCCGCTCTAGGGCGCAGGTCCGGTCGAGCCACTAACTCCTCTCCACCCGCAGGTACCTTCCGCCGCTCAGAGCGCGACACGCTCGTTTCGCAGCTCGAGACCGAGCGGCGCCCCTAATTCCCGCAAACGGCGCACGCCCTGAGCACCGGTTACCGGTGGGCGGGACAGAGAAGAAAGTGCGGCGCGCGCCACGTGTCCTCGGTGAGTGCTGATGTCCCTGCAAGCTACCACCGTCAGATCTCCGGGCCGCTGCAGACAGCTGGAGGATCTTGGGTTCGGACCGGGGGCGCGCGCTGCGCAAACTGGGGAGCCCTCCGCCGTCGCGCGTTCTGGGTCAGGGCGTCGGCGTGCGCTCTCGCTCTCTCGGTGGGTGAGCCGGCTCACGACGAGAGAGCGTGACGATGCACGCACGTAGGTTCTCCAGCTTCGCCGGCAAAGAGTGGTAACAGCGTACGAGCGGCGACGGTCAGACTCTCGTCGCGCTCGCACGCTGCCATCTCGCTGATGATGATTGACGTACTCATGCCAGAACCCCTAAGTAACTTCATAATGCTAAGTACGGGCTTTCTCGGAGACGGCGGGTATCCCGCATTCGGTAGAACGCTGCCATCTCGCGACGACGACGACGCTCACCGGGTCGATTTGTGTCACGGCTTGATATATGACGACGAGCCCGCCGCTCGTGCGGTCTGTATGCATAAAGTTATCTATAGCGCGGTGCGCGCCAGATCCGGCTCCCAGATCCCAGAGTCACGGCCGTACGCTCGGGGAAATGCCCCATCACACATATGATATACTTGATTGCATGGCTCAACGACTACCCTCTAATGCGCCCGGTCCCTGCCTGTTGACGTCAACCGGCCGGGCCGCCGGCGACGGATAACCTCGCACTGTGGGCACTCGCCGGGGCACGAGGGGGCCAGCCCCCGCACGCTCGAGCTCCGACGGCACCCCGCGCCCTCCACAGCGGCCTAGTCCAGACTCCGCCGCCGGACGCACGTACAGTCTCCAACGTACGTACGCCCGTCGCCGCATGCGCGTGCGTCCGTCGCTTCGCGCGCGACGAACCTCGTCGTCTGTTCCCTAGTTTCGCCGGAGCCGAGGGCGATGGGGGAGGGCAAACGTCCCAATGCCACCCCGAGGGGCGCGACTCACACGGGTCGCGTGCGCGATTTCACATGCGCCCGCGCCCGCACGACCGCAAGGGCGCGTCCGGAGTGCTGAGCACCGAGTCCTGACGTTCGTGCGCATGTGAGGAGAGGCGGGTGTCATTGAGACACCGTCGGGGGTAGTCGCTGCACACGTACGCCGCGCTGCTGCGTCGTGCGGGGATGAACGTGTTCTATGTCCTTTCTCCAGCCTTCTCTATTCTGCATCACGAGCCGAACCTTCGCAGCGACCGCATAGACGTGCGTCTCGCGGGCGCAATGCGAAGTTAATGCGCCCGTTGCAGGGCGCAGATAACCCTGAGCCGATGCGAGCACGCCCGACGGAAATCGACGCGGTCATGGCCCCCGTCGGTGTCCATCGTATCCGCGATATCCACGCTGCGCGCACGCGGGGCTCCCCCCCGTCGGGTCGCCGCCTTTCGCAGCGACAATGCACGGCGACTTCTTTCCGGCCGTGCAATCTGGGCAGCAGCAGCCACGGTCGCACGCCGCACGCTGCATATCCTCCGCACCGGCCCACGCGCACGGGGTGCGCGCCCCGGGCCACAGCAGCCTTACGGCAGCACGCGCCCAGAGCACCCCGCGACGCTCCTTCGCGCTTCCCGTCCGAGAGAAGCACGCAGCCCGGGAAAGGCGTTCGTCCAGGCGCGAGCCAGATCGGCGTAGGCCGCACGGGACGGGAACGGGTGGCCCTCTCCTGCGAGTCTCGATACTGGGGCACCGTCGCCTCAGGGGCGGAATCCAAGGTCCAGAGAACGCTTTGGGCGACGGGCGACGGGCGAGAGATATAGCATGCGGCTCGGCGGCGGAAGCATTCGATATTAATATTCAACCTCGACATTTTCTTGTCGACCTTGTCCCCGACGCCCGGCCGGGATCCGCGCCCCACCCGTGGCGGGGGGTGCGGCCAGAGCTCAGGTTGCTGGGAGCTGGGAGGAGCTGGGAGCCTCTGGGAGCACACGATCCCTGAGCAGGCCGCGTCGGGAACAAGAGCCCCGCGTCGGATCCCTGGCCAGGGTCCTCGTGCTCCGTGCAGCCGTCAACTGGCCACAGCGACGGTGCGGCACGTGTCGTAAACTCGTGTGCGCGAGCCCCGCTGCGAATCGCAAGGCGCCGCTCGTCCGACCCAGCGTCCGCCCCGAGCGGCGTGCGGGAGCATTGGCGGGCGCGCGCAGGGCTCGCAGGAAGTCGCAGGAGCGCAGGGCGGGAGAATCTGGATCGTTGCGCCCGGCCGTGCGGAGTGCGCGTCCGAGATCCGGCGACACGTTCCTGAGCCCGACCCGTCGGGCGTTCGGGCGTTCGTGCGTGCGCATCCCTGCGCAACCCAAGCTGGCGGAGTGAGCGGGCAGACAAATGGGGGGCACGTTGCGGCCACTCCCACCCTCAGGGATATCCGTGCACGAATCACGATGGCAAATTCCATTCAACGGAAGAACAAATCCCACCTTGATTTCACCAGAGTCGCCCGCGCGCGGGTGGGCACGCGGCATCCCGGCCCTACGGACGTGGGCCCTTCCCCGAACGTCGAACCTTGCCATTGAACGAATGAGCACAAAGGCTCGTATACATATGGGATCATCGATGACGCCGACCCCACGCCGTCGTCTGTCATGGGTCGAGGCACCCTCTTGAGCTTCAGGCCGTGAGCTTGAGCTTGAGCTTGGAGCCTGATGGCTAACTTTCGCGGCACCCCAGGCCCGGGAGGCGCGCGCGCGGGTGCAGCGGCGGGAGGGGGGGGCCGGCAGCCTGCAGCAGCCCAAGCTTCTAGCGTGCGGGGCGTGCGGGGCCGTTCTCGGGGGTCGAGGCTGAGTGCTGCTTACGTCCAAGTATTTCAGTCCGGGCGACGCGCGCGAGCCCGAAAGAACGAGACCAGAGACGAGGGCGGCGGCGGCGGCCCGACACGATTGCGCGCGCTCGGCGCGACGGACGGACGAGCGGCGTCGAGACCGTCGGCTGACGCGCGGACGCCTGCCAAGGCCATGTAGCCATCGCGGCCCTCCTCGGCCGGCGCCACCGCGGGCGGGCTGGTGGTTTGGGCGCGGAGCGCTGGCGACGGCACCGCCGACGCGAGCGGGCGGGCGAGGGTATTAATGTGGCGGGCAGGATGGAGAATTTAAAAAGGTGCATCATAACGATAGCCGTGCGTGTAGGGTGCATGGACGGGACAAAGCGAGAGCGAGAGTGAGCTATGATACATCATGGTTCGTAATTCGTCCGAAGCGCATAGGGCCCCCCGACTCGACCCGCGGCGCACCAGGACCGGGATGGTGGTGGTCGAGAGCCGGGGGAACACCCCGCCAGCGTCGTCGCCGCGCGCACGGCCCGACGCAACAAGCACGCACCGCTCGCCCGCCCCCCACGCGCCCATTCAGTCGCACTCCGCCGTCACGTCGCTCTGCAGCGGGTCAAAAAAGCCACGATCAGCCACACCGCCAACAAGGAAGAAGAAGAGCACGAGTGTCGGGGAGCTCGGAGGGTAGGGGTAGGGGGGACAGGGAGGACGGGAGGAAGGAGAGGAGGGAGGAAGCACACGCACCGCTCGCACGAACGTCAGCATGTGGCAGGTGATGTACCCCTTCGCGAAGCCCGCGCCGGCGTACGCGAACAGGTACTCCCACTTGCGCAGGAACGCGGCGTACGTCGCGTCGTCCGCGAGCGCCGGGTACCGCTCCACCATCGTCTCCCGCGCGAGGTTCGCCTTCAGGCGCCGGTCCCACGTCCGCAGCGTGCGCGGGTAGTCTGCGGTGCGCGGGTGGTGAGCGAGCGAGCAGGACTGCGGCGGGCGAGATAACGGCGAGCGGGGCGGAAAGGGACGGAAAGGGACGGCGAAGGCGAAGTGGAAGGGGAAGGGGAAGGGGGAAGGACAGAAGACGTCGCAGTCATGGACGCAGAAGGTGGGCGGAGATTGCGGGAGGGAGGGGGAAAGGGTCGGAAGCGGGAGAGGGGACGTACGTGGTGCGTGGTTCTCGACGGCCTCGAGCGTGAAGCGCCCTTGCGAGGCCGCGTACGCGGCGTCGATGAGCACCGTCGCGCTCGGCAGACACGAGTTCGGCCACATGTACCGGCGCATGAAGTCGTCCGCCCTGTTCCGGGAGGGAGGGGCGCGAAGTCAGCCGCGGCGGAACCAGGTGCGGAGTGCGGCGCGAGAAGAGGAAGCCCCGCCCTGGTGGGAGCGGAAGGGTACGCACTGGTAGGTGCTGTAGCGGCCCTCAGGGAACGTGGAGCAGGTGACGACCGCGGCCGCGCCGCTGCGCTTCAGGCAAAAGTCGACGGTCTCGAAGTACTTCTTGTAATACTGCAGGGTAGGCCGGGCCCAGCGCGGGTCAGCGACGTCCGCACGAAACCCCGGGGCGGGCGAAGGCGCGAACCCCACCTTGCTCCCGACGTGCTCGAGCATCTCCACGCTCACGAACGCGTCGAACGCGTGCTCGAACGACGCGGGCACGTCGCGGTAGTCGAGCAGGTGCACGCGCACGCGCCCGTCCAGCCCCCGCTCGCGCACGCGCGCCTCCGCGAGCGTCTTCTGCTCGACCGAGAGCGTGAGCGTGTCGACCTCGCACCCGTACGTCGCGGCCGCCTGCGGCAGACCGTGTGAGCGCGCGCACGGACGAAGGGGGGCGCAAACCCCGCGCAGAGACGCACCTCGATCGCCAGCCCGCCCCAGCCGGTGCCGAACTCGAGGACGCGGTCGCCGGGCTTGAGGCGGGCGGTGCGCAGCATGTGGTGGATCTTGCGGTGCTGCGCGGCCTCGAGGTCGCCCGGGGTCGGGCCGTGGACGAGGTCGCCGCGGAGGCCGCCCTCCTCGTCCGACCAGAGCGCGCACGAGTACATCATCTCTTTGCTGAGGAAGGCCTGCGCGGGGGTTTGTGTCAGCCAAAGCGTGCGCGCGCGAAGAGGAGAGGACGGCGGGGACCTCGAAGAGCGCGTTCGACTGGTCGTAGCTCGCGACGACGTTCAGCCGGGCGCGGGAGCGCGTCTGGCCGAAAAAGGCGTTGCGGAGGCCGGTTGCGGCGGCGGCGAGGCGCGAGTAGAGCGAGGAGACCGCGGCCATCGTCCCCTGGTTCTCGAGCCAGAGCTGCGCGCAGAGAAGTCAGCGCAGCACTCACCAGGCCACGAGGGGGCCCGATGGGCCCCGATGGCTGATGCGCCGCGCCCGATGCGCGGGCGGGTGCGGGCGGAGACTCACGTCCATGATCGCCTTCAAGTTCGCGACCTCGACGTCTCCAATCATGTACGCTTCGCTGACTGAATGCGTGCGTGAGGAGCGAGTGTTAGCGTGGGCGGGTCCGCGAAGAACGGAGCGGGCGACGTACAACCCAGATCGCCAGAACTGTGGTGCGAGGCGTGAGCATTGCTCGAGAGAGATGGAGGTGGACAGGGCTCACCTAAACACTCGTGTCCAGAACTTGCCGCTGGTGACCTTGAGGCGGACGGACAGTGTGCTTGACTTGCTGGGACCGAAGCGGAAGGTCTGGTCGACGTCCTCGATCTCGAGGGAGCCTACCTGGATGGCGGAGGACAGGACGTGGAGAACGGATGACCGTGCTAAACATGGAACGAGAGTTGAGCGGCGATGCGAGGTGTCGTGGACGGCGCGGGGAACGCACCGAAGGAGGTGAGGAAGGGGTATGGACGTGCACGGGTGACATTGGGAGGGCAAGATCCATAGGAAGAGAGGCTCTCCTTGGAAGCCAGATGAATGTGAGAAGGCATGTCGGAGATAGGGTGAGGAGAGAGAAGGACGGGGGCGAGCGGGGACGGGGTGGGTATGAGTCGTCGGTGGTTGTTTCTGCAGGGGAGAATTTATAGAGCCTATGGGGGGAGGGTGCCGGATGGAAGAGGGACATGGATCGAGGGCAGGAAAACATCCGGCGGGCCCAGCAATGTCGCGCAGAGAGCTTTCCGTCTGAGTATTCGGGGACCGGGTCGTAAGCGGGCGACGCTGGGGTCTGGAAGCGGGCGTGTGGGCGACGGCGGCCCTGAGGAGCGGGACTGCGATTGAATCGAGATTAAGTGGAGAGGGGAATCTCATGGGAGAGTGAGTTGAGGCCCAAGGCACGGCTCGCTGGAGAACCTGGATCGTCTGCTGATGGGCGGCTACCCTCATAGGGAAGAAGAGGTCACAGCGGTGACTGCTCGGATGCCTATAAACGGGCTCGGAGCCTGTTGGACGGACAAGCTGAGTACTGAAAAAATAGGTAGGAAAGAAGGGCGTGGGGACGAATTCATACGGACGGTGACGCGTGACGCGTGCTGTACGACGCGAGTAAACAGGCGTTGTCCGGGGTCCCTGGATGGGCCCAGTCGGAGGCGTCGCGGTGAGCAAGGATGCCCACGGGGGCGGCGCAGGGGACGAAAGTGCGAAGGCCGGGCCCGGGAGGAGAGGGAGAGCCGCAAGGCTAGGCGCAGAGTGCGGGTAGGGTTCTTGCGACGTCGGGCTCGGAAGGGACTTACCGTCCGCCTGGTGAGCACTGCTTCCCGGCGAGGCCACGGCCGGTATGGTGAGGATCAGCAGGTGGGAGCCCGCTCTGTCGTCGGCATTTTTGCGAAGTGCGGGTTGCAGCGACCGACTGGGACCTCCCACGCCTGCTACCGAGTGGGGAGGCCGTTCTAGACAGAAAAGGGGGGCAAAGGGAGCTGGAAAGACTGGAAAGAGGACTGCGTTGAAGGGACTTGCGGTACATTGTCGCCCAGCGTTGGCTCGTTGAACATCGCCGCCTTCCAGAGAGAAACCACGCTGGGCGCGCATGACAATTGCGGTTCAAGCAGGACGCACGCGCGCGCAGCAACCAGCGGCGCCGTGAGCGCGCTGTGACCTGCCGACCCGGGTCCCGTGCGTGTGACGCGCTTCAGGTCACATCATACGAGATGGGCGCGGCGGGCGCCTGTGGGCCCAACGCCAACTTGTACCACCCCGCGATGGCCATCCAGAAGACCCGAGCGCGATAAGGTGCATCACGGGCCACGGCTCTTATCGACAGAGCGCAACACCGCTAGTGCAACCGCTCGAGCTCATGCATCATGTCGGACTCCGTTCCGAACATATCGGATGTTTTCTGTCATATCAAGTAGTATTATTATCAGCCTTGACGGCAAGCTTGACCACATCCATCAAAGATACAGCGGCGAGGGCACGCTCTGTCCTCGTGAATGTGGTACCACGCGATCACGGAAATCGCTGGCTTGTCGGGGGAAGACGTCACCGCCAAGTGCTCGTCTGCAGCGTAGGAGAAAACGATTGGTCCTGTGACGTCTCATTTCAAGCCCCAAGGCGGAGCTACGTTGAGGCGCAGCCTGTGCACCCATGCTAGTTCGATCGTATCTCTGCCCGCGCCCACGCTGGCATCGGACGAAGGAGAGCTTGGAACTACACCCCTCTTGCTTAGATTGCGCCGTGTAGAAGCTTCTAGTGGCGTTGGATGAGCGGCGGGAGATGTGCCGGCACCGCTCTGAGCAGATATCCTCCCGCCGCCGGGGCTCGGGCGGGTCCAGGACGGGATCATCGGTGCCCGCCGTTCTTTTCTGCCTCTCTCGCCGGGATAATTCTTTTCGGACACCGGGCACGAACGACCCCGTGTTGTCGCCCATCTTCACGCGCCCGGCCTGCGCTTTCGAGAACACCCTGGCGCTGAGTTCAATTAAGCTGCTTTCCGTGCTGGCCGACCGACTGACTGGTGGTTACCTCTGGGCGTTTGCGGTGCACGGCCGTGGCTGGTGGTAGGTGCTTGCTCCCGGAAGCACGCGCAGCACACCGCCTTGGACGCTATCCGCGGGGCCGTATGCGATCCGCACCGGGTGAGTGTGTGGCCAGGGTCCGCCCAGCCGCTACTCCCGCGACTGCGTCCAGCGGCGCGGCCCAGCGTTCTCTTCGCCCCCGTGCTCGCAATCGACCCGCCCTCGGTTCCCTTCGCTCGAGCTCGAGGCTACCACCGCAGGTCGCCTTCTCCCAGCGATCCGCTCGACCACCCGCCGCGCGTTCGCACAGGAACCGCCGCCGGTGCGTGATCTCCGTATAATGTATTTCAGCAAGCACCTCGCCTTCCGCACTCTGCCTCACCCAGCGGTCCCGCGCAGATCCACTCTCCGAACACGCTCCCGCGCGCCGTCTCTCCTCCTCCAGACGCAGCCGCTTCGCGCACGCCTCTTCGCCTGCGCGGCGGGTTCGACCACAGCTCGCAAGCTCTGCTCCCCGCGTCGATCCCACCCTCGAAGCCGTCCTCCGTCCGTGGCCGCCACCGCCGTAAGGTCGGGTTGAGAAGGTGGACGGGCACCACGCGGCGAGCGGGAGACGGGGGCCGCCGCGCCGAGGCGACGAAGTGCATCAGGCTGCGCGTCATCGTTGGCGTGTCAGCGCTCAGCATTGAAGCCGTCCTCCGCTCCGACGGTGTTGAGCCAGGGGAGCTCGTCGTCCGCGCCGTCCGCCTACCACCACCGGCAAAACACCACGGCTTTGGCGCTCGTCACTTCACTGAGCCCGACCGATTGGTCCTTTCTCATCTCCTTGTCGTCCTTGTCGATGCGCGCCAAGAGCTCAAGAACGTGGACCCCTACTTCCATCCTCTTTGTGAGCGGTCGTCCTTCGAGCGCGAGAGGGGAAGAGGTTGGGAACGACATCGGGTCTTCTGCCAGACTCTCTAGGGAGACCACGTCGAAGAGACGGTTGGGCGTCACCACGGATGGTTGGCAGCCTGCACAAGACTTAACGCTTCTATAAACAACTAAACACTAACAACACTGCAACACCGGTGAGAGCTCTCACCTTCGGCCAATACATGGTCCTGGAAGCCCAAACTCGGGATAGTTGTGGGCCACGACGGGACGCGTGGCGTCGATCAACGTCGGGCTCGGACATAACCAGTAACCTGCAGTTGATGCGAGCAGTGGCTACTGCGGCTGTCAGCGTGATGGTGAATCCCTCATACACGCACCTGTAGAACCCCAAGTCGTTCTCGCAATCATCTTTCGGAGCTTTGATGATGAGAGTCCTGGGTCGTTCCAGTCAACGGCAGTGCAGCTCTGTAAGGCTAGACACCTTATGACGGCGCGCGAAGACGAAGAGGGAGTGTAGTGAACGAAGAGGCGAGCAAGTCGCGAGAACGCGCGAAACGCGGTCGGCGATGAGTACGCGAGGCGCGGTCGGCGATGGGCGCGCGAGGCGTGATCGGCGATGGGAGCGCTGAGCGCCTGTGGCGAAGGGCGATAGCCGGCAACGCCGGAAGCGGACGAGGTGTGGAGGAATGGGACTAGAACTGCGTTGATCGCTAACGAATGTAGTACAGTAGTGTAGTATATATACATGCACAATGTCAGGAGTCCGTAAGCATATCGTATGGAGAATGCGGGACTAAACGAGTGGCAAAGAACGTAGCGCGGGACGGATGCGGGACGTGCGTAACGTAGTATCGTAGTGTGTCATAGCCGGGATCCTGACACCATCCCCTCTTTAAGGAAAAGAAACTACAGATTAAGACGAGAAGGAGGGTGTGAAACGCGTCCAGAACGAGTCGTGGTACGGTTGGGAGGTACATAAACAGAGCGAAGCGGAGGAACTGGTGGTGGTACAGGTGAAGGCGAACGAGAGTGGGCTGCAGAAGCCGATGGTGCAATAGGAAGTGGAAACGGAGGCATTAAAGTAGAGGGATCTGATGCGGATTTGGAGAAAATGATGGGGTGAGCGCGTGGAGCGCGGGGGTGACGACGATGGAAGGTTTCAATGAGCTCGTGTGTGCGATCATGTGTGGGCAGATCGTAGAGCGGAACCCAGACTGTGTCTGGAGACGATCCGAGAGTGACGAGGTAGTCGTACCGGCGTCCGACTTTGCGAGAGTCAAGGACAGCAGTGATAGACGACGCAGGGTCATCAGGGATGTCAAAAGGAACCGGGTCGGCTGTTGTGTGGAATGCGGATGGGTCGTGATAGGGTTCAAGAAGGTTGATGTTGAACACAGGATGAAGTCGTGAGAGGTAGGGAGGGAGTCGCAGGCGGTATGCGGACGAGCCAACCTTTGAGTCGATGGGGTATGGGCCGAGGCGGCGATGATCGAGTTTGTCGGAGGGACGTGTGGTCGTGATATTGCGTCGTAGAAGCCAAACCAATTGACCCGGAGCGAACTCGGGTGGAGGCGAGGCATGCGCGTCGTAATACTTGGCTTGGACAAGTTGTGCGTGCTCGAGTTCAGCACGAAGCTCAGCGTGAATGATGTCTAAACGCTGGACGAGATCAGTTGCGGCAGGAACGTCAGCAGGAGCAGCGAGAACAGGTTCAAAGGTTGGGTGGTAACCGAAATTAGCGAAGAATGGTGTTTGTCGAGTGGATGAATTAGGAAGATTATTAAAAGCGAACTCAGCGAGTGGAAGATAATCAACCCAATCGTCTTGTTGGTACGAGCAGTACGCACGAAGGTACGTCTCTAACGTCTGGTTGGTGCGTTCCGTGAGGCCATCGGTTTGAGGGTGGTAAGCTGTTGACTTGGACGAGTTGATTTGGAGGAGTTGGCAGAGAGCGGACCAGAAATGGGAGACAAAGAGCGAACCGCGGTCGGAGACGATAGAGTCGGGGAGGCCATGGTGACGGAAGACGTGGTCAAGGAAGAGGTGGGCGAAGGATTGAGCGTCCATCGATTCGTTACAGGGCACGAAGTGTGCTGCGCGTGTGAGCCGATCGCAGACGACAAGAATTGAATCGTACTTGTGTGAGATAGGTAGCTTGACAATGAAGTCGAGCGTGATGGCACGCCAGGGACGGTCGGGGATTTCAAGGGATTTGAGAAAACCGTATGGTTTGTGTCGAGGGATTTTGATACGTGCGCACGTGTCGCAGGCTTCGCAGTAACGGCGAACGTACGTTGTGATGCCGGGCCACGAATAGTCGCGAGAGACGAGCGCGAGGGTGCGCTGACGTCCAGGGTGGCCAGCCGAAGGAGCATCGTGGCGGGCGCGGAGGATATCAGCACGGAGGGAGGGAGGAACGTACAGACGACCACGATGAAATACAAAGTCTTGCTGGACGGTGAAGTCGTCGGAGCCTTGTGCGAGTGCGTCGCGCCAGGTGCTGTCAGCGGCGAACGCAGCAGCGAACTTCGCGGCGAGGTCCGAACTATCAATAGACAGTGTTGTGAGAGCGGCATGGATGGCGGCCGAGTGTGTGGGAAGAAGGGATGTGGTGTGGGAGGGCTTGAGAATCGTCTGTTGCTGGGAGATGAGAACGTCATCCCCTCTTTGAGGAACAAAGTCTGCGCGTCGTGAAGGCGCATCAGCAACATTGGAGTGGCCAGGTGCCCAGGTGAGCTCGAAGTCGTAGTCGGCAAGGAACATGGCCCAACGGGCCTGTCGACGGTTGAGAGACTGAGAGTGCATGAAATACTCAAGGTTGCGGTGGTCGCAGACGACGGAGATCTTGTGCGGGGAGCCAAGGAGCCAGGCGCGCATGTCGCGGAAGGTGTCAATGAGGGCGAGAAGCTCCTTGTCATGGACGTCGTAGTTGATCTCAGCGGGTATGAGCTTGCGGGAGAAGTACCCAACAGGGTGGAGGTCGCCCGAGTCATCTGGTTGTTGCAAGACACCAGCGATAGCGTAGTCGGAGGCGTCGGTGAGAATGGTACAAGGGCGGTGGGGGTCGTAATGACGGAGGACAGGTGCAGAGAGGAGAGCGGTTTGGAGGGAGTGGAATGCGGAGCGTTGAGCGTCGCCGAAGATGAAAGGAGTGTCGGCCTTGGTCAGGGAAGTGAGTGGAAGTACAATGGAAGAGAAGCGAGGGACGAAGCGGCGATAGAAGTTGGCGAACCCAAGGAAGGATTGGACTTCCTTAATGGTCTCCGGCTCGGGCCAGTCGGCGACAGTCGAAAGCTTCTTCGGGTTCATGCGAATGCCATCTGAGGAGATGATGAAGCCAAGGAATTCGACTTCAGTCTTGTTCCATTCGCATTTGCGGGGATTGGCGTAGAGTTTCGCGTCACGAAGCTTCTCAAGGACGAGACGTGTGTGACGTTCATGCTCCTCTGGTGTGCGGGAGAAGATGAGTATGTCGTCGAGGTACACGACGCAGAAGACGTCGATGTACTCGCGCAACACATCCTGTATGAAAGACTGAAAGGCTGCGGGGGCGTTGGTGAGTCCATAAGGCATAACGAGGTGCTCGAAGAGACCGAGCGGAGTGCGGAAAGCAGTTTTCCACTCGTCGCCATCTTTGATGCGGACGTGGGAGTAAGCGGATTTGAGGTCGAGGGCAGAGAAGATCTTCGCGCCCTGGATGCGGTCGAGGAGATCGTTGACGAGCGGTAGCGGGTACCGGTTCTTGCGCGTGATGGCGTTGAGTCCCCGGTAGTCGACACAGAGGCGTAGCTCGCCCGTCTTTTTGCGTGTGAAGAGAACGGGGGCGGCAGCGGACGACGTAGAGCGTCGTATGTGACCGCGCTTGAGATTGTCAGCGAGGTGCTTCGCAAGCGCGTCGCGCTCATCGAGGCCGAGACGATAGAGTGGTCCGAAAGGTGGAGTCTTCCCAGGCTCAAGTTCAATGTCGACATCGTAGGGGCGGTGTGGCGGAAGATGGTCGAACTCGGCAGGGTTGAAAACCGTGTCTTGGAAGTCTTGGAACTCTGAGGGAATGCTGTCGTGTATGTCGTCCCACTCGGATGGGTCCGGAGGCGCGTCGTAGTGAGCTTGGAGCGCGTCCTGTAGATCTGTGGAGATAGTCCGAGTTGTGGGATCGAAATGAAAAGAAGATACTATGACGCCAGGTTCGCGGCGAAGAGCGCGAAGGAATTTCTTCGGCGTGAGCGTGCGAATGCGGCGGGGAGACGAAGGCGATGTTGAGGACAATGGGCAACCGGAGCCGGCCGAGTCCGAAGCAGGAGACGCAGGGCAACCGAAGCCGGCGAGCGTTGACGATGTTGAGGCCTGATGCGATGTGAGGTGTGTGTTGGGATCGATGGCAGGAACATGGATGGGTGGAGTAGAGTGGAAGGGATCGGAGAAAGTGGGAGGAGACGAAGACGATGTAGGGGAGTGGTGAGTAGAAGTGGAGAAAGATGTTGATGGAGGTATGTCGATGTCGGATGGTGTGTCTTCAGAGCAACAGTGCAGTGTAAGCTGCATGCGGCCCCAGTCGATGTCGGGGTTGTGTTTGCGTAACCAGTCGAGTCCGAGAATGATAGGATACGAGACAGACACTATAGAAAGAGAAATGACTTCAGAATGCGTACGTATGGAGAGATTTGACGTTATTTCTTGTGTAATGAGACCTGTAGCTATAGGACGGTTATCAACGGCGAGAATAGGAACGGGAATGGCTTTGTTTTTTCTTGGTATGGAGTGACGACGAGCAAAAGAATCTGAAATAACGGAAGACGAAGCACCTGAGTCGATCATAGCGTAAGTACGTATTGGCTTTGTTTTCAGAAAAGTAAGTAAGATAGAAACGAAGAAATGTTGTGGAGAAAAGGAGACGGTACCGGAAGCGAAGACAAATTGAGGAGCAGGGAGAGGGCGAGTGGTGTAGTGTCCGTTATCGAGCCGAACATGTGTAGGTACTGGCGCATTGTATGTAGAATGTCTGTAGATGCCGTTCTCATCAACCAGTAGCCGTACTTGGGGAACGGTAGAGTGCGAGCTTACGATCTGGCCGCAGTAGAAGGCTTCGCTTTAGCTGCTTTGGCAGCGTCAGCGTTGCGCTTTTGTGCGGCAGGTGAAAGGTTAGGGCAGTTGGGTGCGATATGACCGGCGTCACTGCAGTAGCGGCAAAGGCCAAGCTTGTTGCGACGGTCCTTCTCTTCTTGGGACAGCGGACCACGAGGACGTGCGCTGGTGCGTGTCGCGTCGATCTCCATTGGGACCTCCGTAGAAGTGAGGTCGGCGGCGGAGGTGGAGGTGGAGGGCGCGGAAGAGTGCGTAGCGGGGTGTGCAGAGTGACTGTGGCTGTTCCCATTGCGCGAAGAAGAGGTGCGTGACGAGGTGGTGTTGCGCATGGAAATGCGAGCGTTGTGCTGCTCATCATCAATGTCGACGGCGTCTTCAATGAGCTCGATGAAGGTCTTGGGTTGGTTACGGCGTCCGCGCGAGGCAAGCGCGTTGCGGACGTCGGGTTTAAGTCCTTCCTTGAAGTAGTGAATCTTCACTGACTCGGAGAGCTCAAGGTGTGCAAGAAGGGTAACAAATTCAGACCGATACGACGAGCAAGCACCAGTCTGACGAAGAGACTGTAGCTTGTGTAGGGACGTCGCGGCAATGTTCGGGTCGGCGAAATGTGCCTTGAAGGACTGGGTGAAAGCGGTGTAGTCATGGAGAAGGTGCGGGCTTGCAGCTTTGACAGACTCAAACCACCGTGCAGGTGTACCTGCGGAGAGAAAGGTGCCGAAGTAGGCGACCTTGCGGTGGTCATTGACAAGCGAGTCGCCTTGAAGCTCAATGACCGCTTCCATGGCATGGAGGAATGAGCGGACATCGGAAGCTTTGCCTGTGAACTGGTTTGGGTCCTTGAAGCGAGGGATCGGCAAGGTCTTGGGGGAATTGGTAACACTGGTGATCGTATTGACTTTGTTCGCGAGCTCCAGAGAACCATTACCAATCTGCGCGACTGCAGACGAGAGTGCTCCAAATTGTTCAACCATAGTGTACTGCCCCGCTTGAATGCGCTGCAAGAGGACGAGGTGCGCGACAGCAGGATCAGTAACTTTCGTAATGTCGAAGTCTGGAGGGAGATCGAATTGGTGCGGGAACGGAGGTGGTTTCGGAGAGAAGGGATTGTTGTCGGGAGTGTTGTTGCCGCTTGGGGTGCGGAAGGGGTTGTTGGATTGGTTGGCCATGATGGATTAGAATAGTGCCGGCAGGGTAGAAAGGGATAGCGATCAAACTGTAAGGCTAGACACCTTATGACGGCGCGCGAAGACGAAGAGGGAGTGTAGTGAACGAAGAGGCGAGCAAGTCGCGAGAACGCGCGAAACGCGGTCGGCGATGAGTACGCGAGGCGCGGTCGGCGATGGGCGCGCGAGGCGTGATCGGCGATGGGAGCGCTGAGCGCCTGTGGCGAAGGGCGATAGCCGGCAACGCCGGAAGCGGACGAGGTGTGGAGGAATGGGACTAGAACTGCGTTGATCGCTAACGAATGTAGTACAGTAGTGTAGTATATATACATGCACAATGTCAGGAGTCCGTAAGCATATCGTATGGAGAATGCGGGACTAAACGAGTGGCAAAGAACGTAGCGCGGGACGGATGCGGGACGTGCGTAACGTAGTATCGTAGTGTGTCATAGCCGGGATCCTGACAAGCTCACACACTCCTGCGGCATGGATTCGTGAACGTTAGATCAAGAATGGACATATTCTCGGATGACCGATGCAAGGCCGCGTGACAAAGCACCCGCGTTGGACGCACGCAGTCCATGTGCGATTTTTAGTACTAGCACATGCCAAACAGCCCCCACACATCGTTGTTGGCAGCATACTTATACTTGACGCAATATTGTGACCCCAGTGGTCTTTTCAGCCAATCAGCAGAGAGAGTATGTAGCGGTGTTGCGCACCAGCGGCTGAGATCAGTTGAAGGACGAATGAAATGGTGGAGAGGTAAAATCAACCTGAGATGATGCTTTTCGTGAGGGAACGCCGTTCGGTGGCAGAGAGTGTTGGTCAGCAGTCGTTAAAGGCGTTTAAAACTTTTACAGTATATATACGTACAAAGGGAAAGTATCCATGGTCCGATGGTGTAGTTGGTTATCACGTCTGTCTCACATTACAAGCAGTGTTTGTATGTGCACAGGAGGTCTCCAGTTCGAGCCTGGATCGGACCATTTTTTTCACTATCCACGGTGTTTTGAGAGCTTCATTACACTTTATCCTGCTTTGATCTAAAATTCGATGTGGTTTTGACAATTGGCGCTTTCATTACATAACCGCTCATGTCACATGTGCGAAGTAGTCGCAGTAATGGCATCGGCGCTAATGCCGCCTGGACCTGGATTCTGCCAGAACTCGTCCTCTCACAACTGGAATGCCGCCACCCCCAACTCGCCGGCATCAGTTCGCTCCGCTTGGATCCACAGTGACCGAACCAGCTTGCACTCGATCCGTCCCATGATTGGAACAGCTTATGTATGGCTGTCAGCCTTCGTTCACAAGCTCGAACTCACTCGTCAGCACCTGACGTCACCAACTGTGTTGCGTGGCAGCCCTCCTATATAGTCCATGCTCACCCGTTTCTCCCCTCGTGCCCGCCTCTCGCCGCACACCATTGCCGTCCTTTACTATACCATGACTTCCCAAAACACCGACAAGGCGACTCTCCAGAAGCTCTTTCCCACCCCGCCGCCGCCGCCGCCTTCAGCTCAGTCCCCCGCACGGTTCCCCGGAGTCACCCCCGAGTCAACGGCAACGCTGCTGAGAACTCTTGAGGAGAACCATGTCAAGTGGCACGTTTTCTTCAACTCCAAAGGTTTTCACAAGTGAGTTTGCCTGGTTCTCCGTCTTGATAGATCCCTCGACCTTACCTTTTGGCAGCCATAACTCTCACCAGCTCCTCGCCGTTTACCAGCTCGGAGCGAATGGCGCCGTGATCGAAGCCGCGTACGGCAACCACGCTTCTTACATGCGCGAGGCTGTGGAATCCCCGGAGCCCATCACTAAGCAGAACTTCTGCAAGCACCTTGGCGATGAGAAGTAAGTCTCATCCCGCTCCACAGTGGATCACACAGCTCAAGTCGTCGATAGCTTCTACGCCGCTTACCTGAAGTTCTTCCAAAAGGAGCTCATCAAAAACGGCCCCGCCGTCGTTCTCGAGGAGTACATCTTCTCGCCCCAGGCGAACATCGAACCACCGGAGGCGGGCAAGGAGCCTATGCAGATGGTCAACCGGTTCCATTCGGGCCTCCTGCACCCGATGATCCACACGGGTTACGGGGCCGAGTTCGGGCTGCCCGGAATGTTCGCAGAAGGTAAAGTTGCGCCGGGGGCCCTCGCAACTTCGCTCTCACTATCTCATTCCCATAGGACTGGCTCAGACTGCAGTGCATGGGTTGACAGCGGCAGCGCTGACCCCTCCTTCCATCCTGAAATATGCTCAAGCAGCAGCCACCGACCTCGGCTCCGCAACCGTGTCGCGCCTCACCTCGCTCATCCCTTCTCTCTTCCTCAACCAGTTCCAGGCTGCTGCGGGCCCTCAGAAGCCGACGAAGGGTGTCCACGCACTCACCCTCCTAGGTCGCGTGCTCAACGACGATTACTACTCATGGAAGACTATCGCGCTCCCTCCTCCGAAGGACAGCGAAGACGACAGCTCGCTCGAGCGGGTTCTCCACCTTCGTGGCGAGGCTCTTGCGAAGCTCGTGGACGAATGGACGGTCGACGGGACCAACGCGCATGAGGTCCACAACAAGATCGAGGAGATCTTCTGGATGAACGCGACCATCTTCGGTGTCGGGGGCTGGTGGGGCCGCCACAAGTCCAAGACGGGCAAGTTCAACGGCGACTTCCTCTTGTACGTCTGTCTCGTCGTGTGCCAGTTCCCGCCACTGACCTCGCATTTCTGGCAGGTTGCACCTCGTCACCTCCTCCCTCTTCCTCCCCTCCCTCGTCGCCTACCTCTCCCCGCAGGCGACGACGATCCTCCTCCGCACCCACCTCCTCAACTCCCTCGCGATGTATGTCGCCCGCGGCCGCCCGCAGCTCCCAATCGCCGACTTCATGTCCTCCGTCACCACGACGCCCGCCGCGCCCTCCATCGCGCCGACGCCCGCCGCGTGCGCCCCGGGCACGCTCGCGCCCGACGACCGCGCGCCGAACCCGTGGCTCGCGCTGCTGCAGAGCACGGTGGCGCACAAGGACGACCACCTCTGCAAGCTGCAGCGCACGCTCGCGCACTACGCCGCGCTGTACGGCGCCGCGCGCCCGGGGCACGTCGCCGCCGCGACGGAGCTCGCGGGCGCGGACGCGCTCGACGGGACGCTCTTCGTGCGCGTCGCGGAGCTCGCGATGGACCGGATCGGGTGGATGCGGGAGGGGGAGGAGATGCGGGAGTGGGACTTTGACGCGTTCTACCACGACTGAGCGCAGAGCGCGCGTGGGGGGTTGTGTGTGCTTGTGTCGCTGTCTGTGGGCTCCGTTGTAGGAACGTAAGCTTTACGAGTGTATGAATAGTTCGGAGCGGTTGTATGCAGCGCTACTTGACTGTCGCTTGAATCTACTTCCAGGGATCCGACTCTGTCTATTGCTTTGTGTTATTGAGCAGGCCCTTAGTACGGGAGATCCAAGCACACCGCGAGGGGTTGAAGTTGCCATGGACTGTGGCAGAGCCAGAGTCTGAACTTGCTGAAACTGCGCTCAATCTTGGCACCCGGAGTTTCCGATCCGTTGGCCTACTTATCGTGCCCAAGGGAGGTCTATACTAGTTTGAAACAGGAGGGAGGTGAACACGATGCGCGTCGGGGGCCCTCGGGGGCCTGACTCTAATGTTTGAATGCCGGTAGCACAGCTTCCCTGATCGGCTTGGCGGCTGGCGGCTGCGTCGGCGCCCGGGACGGGGCTCCGACTCGAACCATGACGGCCACGAGACCCCCTGCGCGGCTTACAAATCTCTCTCTCCCTCTCTTCGCGCTTCGCCATGCCGGCAATTCCGCCATCGACGCTCCAGCAGCCGCACTCTGTCCACTCACGCGTCTCTCTGCGCGCAACGCCCCGCTGTCATGGCGTGGCGTCGGGGAGACTGGACAAAGTCCGGTGCGTCCGGCATATCCGCCGTCGATCTCGTACCTGCACGGGAATACAGGTTTCACCCGACCAGAACGTTGAGGCGGCCGTCCGATAGCCAAATCCTCCATCACCGTTATCGGCCCTCCACCTTATCTCTCCGCAGACTGCTATAAGTCAATCCCACCACCCGGCGCTCGGTCCTCGCTAGCCTCCACCGGCAGCGCTCCCCACTCTCGCCGCCCCGTGCTCTGCCCCCGACGCAATGGTCTCTTCCACCATTCTCAAGAGGCTCGAGATCAAGCACAAGGACGGCGAGGAGAACCCGTCCGCCTGGGTGAACCGCGACATCGTGCCCCTCCCGCCCTCGCGCCGCACCTGGGGCGCCTGGTCCTTCGTTGGCTACTGGGTCCTCACCGGCTTCAACATCTCTGGCTGGACGACCGCGTCCAGCCTGCTCGGCCTCGGCCTCTCCGTCTGGCAGGCCATGGTCTCCGTCATCATCGGCAACCTCATCGTCGCCGTCGCCGTCGTCGCCACCGGCTTCGTCGGCGCGGAGTGGCACGTCGGCTTCCCGATCTACAACCGCTTCACCTGGGGCGTGTTCGGGAGCTTCTTCCCCCTCATGATGCGCATCATGTTGTCGATTGTGTGGTACGGTGTGCAGCTTGTCTTGTGAGTCGTCTTACTTTCTTAGTCACGTGAGCTTCAAAACTGACTTCATCTGTAGCGGTGGTCGCAGTGTATGCTTCCAATCTCGCCTGTGGCAGGGAAATTCACGCTCACGCGTCTCGTTTCATAGCTCAAGGTTGTCATTGGCGCCATCTGGCCCAGCTTTTACACCTTGAAGAACACCCTCCCCGGCAGTGCAGGGATTGAGTACGTCATGATGGCCTCTATTCAGCGAGTCGTTCCTTACCTCAACTTTCAGGACCAACGACCTCGTTGCCATCCTCATCTTTGCCTTTATCTCCCTCCCTCTGCTCGCCGTACCCCCAGAGCATTTCCGCAAGCCCTTCCTCTTCGGCTCGGTCATCATGACGATCATGGTCTTCGTATTCTTCATCTGGGCTCTCGTTACGCAAGGCGGCGGAGGCCCCCTCCTCGACGACCCCTCCGCGCTCTCTGGAGTCGACCCGATCACGAACAGCACTCGACTCGGTTGGGCCATCGCTTACGGTATCTCCTCCACCATCGGCGGCATCTGCGCCGGCATCCTCAACCAGAGCGACTACACCCGCTTCGCGTCCTACCCGCGCGCGCAGATCGTCTCCCAGCTCGTCATCGTCCCCGTCAGCTCCGTCATCATCGCCGTCATCGGCCTCATCGTCACCTCGTGTGCCGCCGGTCTCTACCCCGAGGAAGGTCTCCTTTGGGAGCCGTACGAGCTCCTCGAGGTCATCCAGAGGAACGGAGGCTCCCGCTCGCGCGTCGCGTGCTTCTTTGCCGGCTGCGTGTTCGTTATGTCGCAGTTCGGTATCAACATCCCCGGCAACGCCATCTCGGGTGGCATCGATATGTCGGGTCTCCTCCCCAAGTACCTCAACATCAAGCGGTACGTCCTCGTCGCGACGTTCCTCTAGACACGGTATTCACTTTTTTTTTTTTTTTTTTTTTCAGTGGTGCTGTTGTCACCGCCCTCCTCGGTCTCGCTATCTGCCCCTGGAAGCTCCTTGGCGGATCCAGCACCTTCCTCACCGTGCTCAGTTCCTTTGCTGTCTTCCTTGGCCCCCTTACTGTACGTCTTCCGTCCGTATTCCAGCCATTCCACCGATCTCACACATAGTACCACTTCAGGGCGTCATGGTCTCCGACTACCTCGTCATCCGCAAGAGCAAGCTCCGCCTCACGCACCTCTACATGCCCAACCCGAACTCCATCTACTACTTCACCTCCGGCGTCAACTTCCGCGCCGTCGTCTCCTGGGTATTCGGCGTCTGGCCACTCATGCGTAAGCCCGCCCCGTCCCTCCGTCCTCTACCGCTCACCCAGCCGCCTCCGTTCCAGCCGGCTTCATCAACGCCGTCTCCCCGAGCCCGATCGGCGTCGCGCAGGGCTGGACGTACATGTACGACCTCGCGTGGCCGCTCGGCTTCGTCCTCTCCGCCGTCGTGCACATCGCGCTCTCCAAGGCGTTCCCCCCGACCGGGCTCGGCGAGGTCGACGACGAGGACGTGTTCGGCACGTTCACCGAGCTCCCTGGGGGCGTCTACGACCACGGCGCGGGCGCGAGCGAGTCCGGCAGCGTCGACGTCAAGGACGCGAAGGTCGCGGTCATGTAAGAGGTGACGGAGCGACGAGGTTTGGTCCACGGCGGAACGTGTTTGTGATATGTTCTATGTTCTCGGAATATCTCGTCAGTGGCCTCACTTTGATTGCGTGTTCTGCTGGGGCTGACGTCGACGAATGTGTAGATAGTACTTTAGACGAATCCCTTCGTATTACCCCATGTATTTTTGACAGCCCGCTGAAAAGGAACTTATGTTCTCTCTACATCGCGCTTCGACGAGCCCTGTGGGTTTATCGCGTTCAGCGTCCTTTCTGCTCGCCGAGTCCATTGCGGACGAGAACCTCCGGGTGCATATCTGTGACTACAACCATGTCTACATTGTGCTGCTCCTTTGCAGTTTCTCGCCAGTTTTCTGCTTACGCGCAGGCCTTCTATAACTTCTGCCTCGAATAATCCCGCGACGTCCTCCTCAAGAAGAACTCGGCAGAGGTCCTGGGGAAGTACGTCTTCTCCGAAAAAGCCAACGTCGATGGGTCCCGTATCGAAAGTCAACCGCGGATCCTAAATTGCTTCCTCCCGGCCGTTTCGCATCATCTACGTTGGCTATGGGGCTTAAGCTGACATCCTCTGATCGAGTGCGGAAGGTAAGTCAAGTTCGCGGTCATGGGAATCCGTGGTTCTGTCCGTCTCATCAATCTCATTGTTGCTCAGGAATCGCCCAGGACCTTCCTCCGCAACAACGACGGGGCCGAACCCATATGCGTTCTGACCTCGCTCTTGAAGACATTGGTGGGCTCAACAACTCCTTACTCAAAACTCACAGCGAGCCCACCAAGGCCGTCCGCGCCATTTACGCACGCGTCATCGCCGCAAAACGACCAATACCCCCCCCCTGAGGGATTTCCAGAAGCTTCGTCTCACCAAACCTCCTCAGTGAGGGCCTCGGTCAGTAGCGGTCAGTGCGCTATCTAATCTCTTCGATAGACGCGCGTGCTGCGGCTTCCTGGGACACGGACTGCCTCTCTCCTTCCCTCTCTCACTCTCTCCTTCCTCTGTATATACCCCCTTCCCTCTGGGCCCATCCATGGCCAACCCATACACGAAGGCGCCGCCCCTAAAGGCAAACTTGGGCGCGAATGACCCTCTCTTTGGCCTCTTCCCGCGAAAAGTGACTGCAGCGCAAGTCACCAAGGCTCTGGTGTGTGCTACTGCTCCGTAGAAACGGACACTCCCTCACGATAAGCATTCGAAGCACCACGAGTACAACTATTTTACAAAACGCCCACGCTCGACCCAGTACAAGAAGATTCTGGAGGCCCGCAAGAAGCTGCCCGTGTTCTGCCAGATGGACGAGTTCCTCAAAATGGTACGTCCAACCGTCTGCTCTTTCCCAAATGAGGGGAGGTCAGAGTCTGCTTCAGGCATACCGCGCCCCAGGCCGATGAGGACGTAGCTAATTCTCCGGCAAAAGTTCACCAACAACCAGATCATCGTCATGGTGGGAGAGACTGGCTCGGGCAAGACAACTCAGTGAGAGACGCAACTCCTCAGAAGAGTCTCCTCGGTTTCCCCCTGACGGCACTTGTCTCTTAGGATACCTCAGTTTGTCTGCTACTCGGACCTACCCCACTCCAAGGGCCAGTTGGTGGCGTGTACACAACCAAGACGAGTGGCTGCGATGGCCGTGGCAAAGCATGTAGCAGATGAGATGGACGGTACGTGCTCGGCTGCTAGGCTACTCCTGCGAGATGCGCTATTCACTGGAGATGACACAGTGCAATTGGGGAAGGAAGTCGGCTACTCGATCCGTTTCGAGGACATGACCGAACCGGGCACCACTTTCCTGAAGTATATGACCGACGGTATCCTTCTTCGAGAGGCGATGAACGACCCCGACCTCACCCGGTATTCCACCATCATTCTCGACGAGGCCCACGAGCGTACTCTGGCCACCGACATTCTCATGGGTCTCCTCAAGGATCTCGCAAAACGTCGCTCGGATCTCAAAATAGTAGTCATGTCTGCAACCCTCGACGCCCAAAAGTTCCAGCGTTATTTCAGCATCTCGGGTCCCGACAAGCCCGCGCCGCTATTCAAGGTCCCAGGTCGAACCCACCCCGTTGAGGTGTTCTACACTCAGGACCCCGAGCCCGACTACGTCGAAGCAGCAATCCGGACTGTGCTCATGATCCACCGCGCGGAGGAGCCGGGAGACATTCTCTTGTTCTTGACTGGTGAAGAGGAAATCGAGGACGCCTGCAGGAAGATTAAGTTAGAAGCGGACGAACTCACCAACCAGGACCCAGACAGTGTTGGACCCCTCATCTGTATCCCTCTCTACTCATCACTTCCTCCGCAACAGCAGCAGCGCATATTTGACCCTCCACCAACGCCTCGCGTTGCGAACGGCCCGCCGGGCCGCAAGGTCGTGATCTCTACCAACATCGCCGAAACATCGCTCACAATCGACGGCATAGTCTATGTCGTCGACCCCGGTTTCTCCAAGCAAAAGGTGTACAACCCACGGATCCGTGTCGAGTCGCTGCTTGTCTCCCCTATCTCGAAGGCTTCCGCCCAACAACGTGCAGGTCGTGCAGGGCGTACCCGTCCGGGCAAATGCTTCCGACTATACACCGAGAAGGATTTCATGAGCGAACTGGAGGAGCAAACACATCCTGAGATCTTGCGGAGCAACCTCGCAAACACCGTTCTGGAGCTTGCGAAGCTGGGTGTCAACGATCTGGTTCATTTCAATTACGTGGACGCACCTGCACCCGAGACTTTGATGCGCGCATTGGAACTCCTCAACTTCTTGGCCGCTCTGGATGATGACGGGAACCTGACTCACCTGGGGGGGATCATGGCCGACTTCCCACTGGATCCCCAGGTACGTCGGTATTTTATTGCTGCAACGGGTTGTCCTCTGAACGCCTTTATTAGATGGCCAAGATGCTTATCGTCAGTCCGGAGTTCAACTGCAGTAATGAAATGTTGACCATTGTCGCGATGTTGTCCGGTATGTATACGTACCACGGAAGGCTTCTTGACGCTTACTCCTCTTTTCTAGTACCCAACGTCTGGCTAAGACCTCCGAATCAGCGCAAGGAGGCTGACGCCGCGAAAGGGATGTTCACCATACCGGATGGCGATCATCTAACGCTTATGAACGTGTACAACTCGTACATGAACAGTATGTCACTCGTCACGATGATCATCGCCATGTCGCTCATTGTAGTTCTACAGACAAGCACGACAGCAAGTGGTGTTGGAACAACTATGTTTCTGCTCGCGCGCTACAGCAAGCAGATAATGTACGGTCACAGTTGCTGCGGACTATGGAGCGCTACGAGATTGAGCTCGTGACGACGCAAGACGAGAAGAAGCTCTTCGTGAACATCCGCAAGGCGCTCGTCTGCGGGTTCTTCATGCAGGTTGCACACAAAGAGGGGGACAAGGGCAACTATCTTACCGTGAAGGACAACCAAGTCGTGTCACTGCATCCTTCATGCGGGCTGGACGCGTCGCCCGAATGGGTGATCTTCAATGAGTTCGTGCTGACGTCGAAGCCGTACATCCGGACGGTTTCAGAAGCTAGGATAGAGTGGTTAGTGCACTTCTGATCATCGTTGACATGAACAAGGTCTGACTGTTTCTTGCAGGCTTCTTGAGTACGCCAAGTCGTACTTCGATCCGTCGACATTCCCCGAAGGGGAAACGAAGCAGGCGCTGTTGCGGGTGCTGAGGAAGCGTTCATTCAAGGCTGTTGACGGCGGCGCGTCCAACGGAAGGAATAGTCCTGCGGCTAGCGACCAGCCGGCGAAGCGTTCCCTTAAGTCCGCTGTTAACTACAGCAGCAGTGGCACAGATGCACCTGCAACTGACGCCGTCCAGTCGTTGCAGTTGCACCTGTCGGCACTCCAGTTGAGACCGTCGAAGCGTGCCCGGCGCAGGCAAGGTGGAGGGTAGCGATCTCTAGCCAACCTCGAGTCCAGGACGGGTCTGTCGAACTCTTCAGCGCTTCTGAAAGCGTGTACGGAAAGACGAATCGTCGATGTATCAATCTGAAAGGCGTGGTACAGTAGTACGGGGGAAGTGTATATCGATACAAATGATCTGGAAATGTCTGGACATGACGTCATGGTGCGTCATAGAGCGTTTTCCTTTGTGGCGTGGTGTTTGCTGGGCCCCGGGAACACTCTGCTCTTCCCGGAGCCCCCGCTCATACGACACAACACAGGCCGCAGGTGAGGCAGGCGATGGCCGCCGCGATCCCTTCGAATATCGCTGCGGACGAGGGACCCCGCGATCAATATATGGACTCCATCACGGAACACAACAAACGCACCGAGGAATACGCATTCGAAGCACCCAACAATTGCCACCGCAACGGTGCAAATCACGTCCGCGAGACATGCGAAGATGCCTGTGGGCAGCGCGAACGGTGCTGCGCTCAGCACCGACGCTCCGGAGAGAGATATGATGTCACTCACCTACGATGCATGATATGATGATCCTGTGCTCAGACAAACATCGCATGAGCGACAAGAACATACGAAAGACGAGTCACTCACCCCATCGCGCAGAGGACGTGGGGAGAAGAGAGCAGCTGGTGATGCGTGTGGGTACGCGGCTTCCATGGGACGACTTATGACTCAGATATGCTCCGCAGCTCCCACACGGGAGACGCCGTCTAGGAGCATGAGAAAACCGTAACCTCACCTTCCTTCCTGGGGCCTGAGAAAAGAGCCGCACAAACTGGTCATCGTGTGCCCTCTTACGTCGTACGTCTCAAGCTCACTAAGGCTGGGGAAGTGGTTGACGGTCTTAGGAAGCGCTTACCTTACATAAGGCGATCCCCGAGCACGTTGATCTCAATGCCCGTTCATGAAGCCGAACAAAAACAAGTACTCCTGGTCAACGTCGCAGACTCCAAGAACATCAAGAGGGCGTCATCTAGATTATGGAAGATACTATGGATACACATGCATCAAAATCGACGTAGTACAGTTCGTCTATCATACCGAAACTCTACCCAGTCTATATCTATGTACAACCACCGACAGAGCAAAAACCCAGAAAAACCGGAACGTAAAAAGTGCAAAACAGGAGAGAAATTAGCGGATAGCGATGAAAGTCCGCGACCTGTGGATGTCGTGAAGATCGTGAGTCGTGTCCATGAAGCCGTCTAAGCCTCGAGGCTGCGGCGGAGCGCCGCGACCGGCACCGTGGGTCCGTCTTCCTGCGCCGCGACACTGTCGGCGGCGTTTTGTTCGGCCACCTCCTCGACGACGACCTTCTTCTCCTCAGAAACGACCTCCTCCACGTCGAACGCCTTCTCCTGGACGACCTCCACCTCCTCCTCCACCGCGCCCTCCCTCGACGTCCTGTAGAACACGAGCATCGCGATCCACTCCAGCGCGACGACCGCGAACAAGAACCAATACGCCGCCGCCCGCCCCGCGTACCCCTCCGCCCCGCCCGCGCTCGTCTTCTCCACGCTGCTCTCGATCGAGCCGACGGCGGAGATCCCAATCGCGCTCCCGAGCTGCAGCGCGCCGTTGAAGATCGCGCCGACGGTGCCGGCCATGCGCGGCGGGCTCGCGCGGAAGAGCGCGATGTTCGTGTGCGTGTAGGTGAGCATCGCGCCCGCGGAGCCGGCGACGAACGCGGGGAAGATGAGCGGCCAGTAGCGCGCGGGGCGGTCGGCGAAGACGAGGAGGGCGGTCGCGGCGAGGCAGAGCGCCTCGCCGGCGAGGATGATGTACTTCGGGCTGACGAGGCGCGAGAGCGCGCCGGTGAAAGACATCGCGAAGGCGAGGACGCCGAGCGGGATCCTGTGTGTGTTCCGTCAGCGCCGTTCATCCGGCGAGCGAGCGGAGGGGCTCACATGTGGATGGCGGTGGAGATGGCGCTCCAGCCCCAGACGTCCTGCCAGAGCGTGGTGTAGATGGTGAAGATCGTCGTCCACCAGAAGTAGGGCAGGAGCGCGGTGAAGAACAGGACGAGGAAGTTCGGCAGGAACCACGTGCTGGGCGGGATCGCGGCGATGGCGGTCGGGATGCGAGTCTCAAACCAGAAGAAGCCAATGACGAAGAGGACGGCAAGGATGAGCGGGACGAGCACGCCGGCCGAACCCCACCCGGACGTCGTGCCGGAGGTGACCCCGTAGATGAAGAGGATGAGTGCGACTGCAGCACGGTCAGCTCGTCGCTCTACGACCGTCAAAAGCTGAGGACTTACCAGTCAGAATAGACACACCACCGAGATCGAGACTCCTCCAGCGCGCATAGGTCTTTGCGCCAACTTCTTCGAGGTGCGGTTCTTGGGCCGGGACGAGGAAGACGCAGGCGACGGAGATCGGCATGCAGACGAGCGCGACAAACCAGAACACCCAGCTCCATGACGCAAACTGGACGAAAATGGCGCCGACAACGAGTCCAAGGACTGCACAAGCGCAGAGATAGCGCAGGTTACGGGATTCGCGAAGCGATACGAACAGGGGAAGGCACGCAGTCAGCGCCCCGATAAATGCGAGTCGGACCGAGAGGCACGTACCGTTGCCGACCGCCCCGCAGCCGCCGAAAACGCCGATGGCGCGAGCCTGTTCAGTCGGCTCCGGGAAGACGTGGACGAGGAGCGTAAGCGCGGATGGAATGGTCAGGGACGCGGCTGCAATGAAACCGCGTGAGTGGCGACGGAAGTTGGGACGGGCACGGAGGACGTGGACTCACAGATACCACTCAGGGCGCGGATAACAATGAGCGGAATCTTGCTAGTCACAAAGCCGGCACCGATGGAGAGCACGCCGAGGCCAGCGACCCCGCCGATGAACGCGAGCTCTGCACAAGGAAGGGAAGCGCCGTCAGCGTTTGAACTTTGCTGCAACCAGGAAGCCGGTCCGGCGGCTCCGACGGCCCGACGCCAGAAAAAAGTTGCGTTCGGGACACAAAGATAAGCACACTCACTCGGATTATACACGTCGCTGATACGCCCGCTCTGCGCGTCCAGTCAGCCATCGGCCCGCGTGACAAAGAGCAGCGCAGGCACTCACGATGAGGAGGAAGCTCGCGAACGTGAGCTGGAACGCGGAGATGATCCACGTCGACTCGGCCTCGGTCATCCCCAGGTCGCGCACGAGCGCGGGGATCGCGGAGAAGAGCGCCGAGTTGTTGAACGCGTCGAGGAACTGCGCGAGGCAGAAGATGAGCAGGAGCACGTACCGCCGCGCGGGCGAGTACCGCTGCAGGACCGGCGCGCGCCCGTCGACTAGAGTCTGCGCGGGCGAGAGCACCGTGGATGGGCTTTTGTTGGACGGAGGGGGGATCATTTTTAGTGGGGCGGTGAGGGACGCGCGCGCGCACAGAGGGGAGGCGGGAGGCGGAGAGAAGGGGAGGCGGGAGAGGCGGGGGGCGGGGGCACGACTGCGGAGGATGCGCTACTTGTACTCGGTTGTGTCGCTAATTTGCAAGTGGGCGAAGGGGCCTGCGGCGGGGTTCGCCGGCGGTGAGCGACCGAGGCGCGAGCGGAACAACGGAAGAGCGGGAGCGAGCGAGTGCTGATGTGCCCGTGCCCCAGGCGAGCTTTTATACGTACTCAGGCGGGTCCCACATGATGAAGACGAAGCCCCGCGCGTAAACCGCTGCCCCTGCGGATCCGTGTGTCCGTGTGTGGTCGGGGGCCGCCGCGGGCAGAGTCAGAACTGAGACGGAGCGCGAGGCGGGTTCGCGGTCGTGCGCTGCTGACCGATGCGTCCACGGCGGGCGCGCAGCCAATCGCGAGCGACCTCGCGGCTGAGCAAGCCGGATGAGAACGTTCGACAGCCCTGGGCGGGCGCCAATGTTGCCTTTTACGTCCCATCGATCGCCGCCAAGCGCCGTTGCCGCTGTGTCATTGTGTGGACTCGCTTTCGTATCTTATAAATCGCGGCATATATATGCAACGGGGAAAGTATATCATCTCTTCCGCACTACTACTACGTGCGTTATCTCCGCGGCAATTGTGTCGATCTACTTACAAGCTACAGCACTGTTCATTTCAGTGGCTGCTGACTCATATCCCGACCTCTTCAACAAGCTCCCGATTGGCATGATGTAAGTAGGTTCAAGCACACAGCTCTTCTTATTCCGTCCGCGCCTGGACAGCCTCAATGGGTCGATCCCTTGCCTTACTCAGCACAGAGGTTGGTGGGTGTCTTCGTCGGAGTGCTCACGTTCTCTGCCTATAGATATCGCGACATTTTGGATCACAACCACATGCAAAGCACGTACAGCGAATTTCGTCTCGGGCGACGCATCTAGATCTACTCCGAGGGAAGCTTGTAGCTCAGACGCAGTCACGTGGTACTTACGCGTCAATCAATAACCATATGCTGTTCTCATCACTGTACAGTCTCCCTCGATCTACCTCTAGTCGTGCTCAGACTGATCCTGTCCTCGACGCCAAGAAGGAACCAAGGCGAATCTGCACACTACAGCTATGTTCTAGAATGGTACGTACCAAACATACAAGTACACGTATGTAACGTGGTAATAACTAATTAGGACAGTGACACTGCACGTCGGGGCTCGCGGGCCCCCCATACTTATCGATAAGAAAACTACCGCCGTCTGAACGGGGACCAAAACGTAACGTACTCGTAACCCACCATCGTCGCACGCGATCAGAGTCCAACGCGTCCCCGAAGCTCACGCAGAAGACATCGCGTGCTCGCCCTTCGTCTTGCCCCCGCCGTGCCCGCCTCCGATCTTGGCCGAGTTCGCGGTGGCCTCCTCCTGCACGCCCTCGGCGCCGTTGCCCATGATCTCCTCGAACCGGCGCCGGTAGCGGTCGATCATCCAGTCGTAGTCCGACGTGACGAGGTGGCCGTGGTCCATGACGAACGCCTCGCAGTCGCGCACGAAGGACTCGAGGTCCTGCACGCGCCGCTGCGACGCCTCGGGCTCGTTCGACCCGCGCGCCTTCGCGAGGTACGACGCGGCGAGCGTGGACATCCCGCCGAGGATCGACGTCGCGATCGAGGTCTATACGAGCGCTGTGAGCCTTCCATCGTGTCCTTCGCTGCCCAGAAAGCGCTCACCTGTCGCCCGGTCGTCGCAGCGGCCACCCCAGTGGTGAGCGCGCCGAGGACGACCTGCGCGCCGATCGCGATGTTCAGCGACCATCCGTGGCTCTTCGCTGTTCATCCCAGCCCAATTAGCCCTCGCGCTCCATCCGAAAGCCGACGCGCACGCACCTCTCACCGCCGCGCTGTCCCGCTCTTTGATCGCCGAATCCAGCGTTGGCTTCAACCGGTCTTCAATCGCCTTCTCCCCCGACCCCAAGGTCCGGGTGGTCGCGCACGTCCCCCCAGACAACACCGTATCTCGCCTCCGCGGCGCGCTGTTCGGCGGCCTCGCGAGGGCGGGGCTGATGTTCACGTCGAGCCCCGACCGCTGCGAGACCATCGCCTCCGGCTGGTAGCTGTAGTCGCCCTGCATCCCGATCCCGTGCGGCACGACGATCGGCCCCAAAGCCGCGCCCTGCCCCAGCTGCTGCTGCTGTTGTTGCCGGTAGCTTCCGCCGCTGCCCACGCGCGTCTGGCTGTACGCGCGCCCCGGGACCGTCACCGCGGGGTATCCCTGCCGCCCCCCGCCCGCGCCGACCCCGGCCCCGTTCTCCTGCCCCGAGTCGCCCGCGCGGTCGTCCTCCGAGTCCACCTCCGCCGTCCCGCGCCGCCGTCCCGCGTACGTCGGGCGCGAGGGCCCCGCGGCCGTCGCGCTCACCGGCGACCCGTACGTCGCCTGCGTGCTCGGGCCCGGGGGGAGCAGGATGGACACGGGGCGCCCGTGGTGCCCGGACGAGTGCGGGGACGGGTCGCGCGCGTCCGGTGGCGCGGCGGTGAACGGGGTGGCGCGCGCGAAGGACGCGGTGTGCACCTGGCCGTCGCGGGCTGGGGAGGGGGGAGGCGGGGTGGAGCTGGTGGAGGCGGGGTGCGCGCGCGGGGTCGTCGCGGCCTCAGTGGCGTGCATCGTCGTGGTGGGCTGCAGATCTTGCGCACCGTGGTGGGGGACGGGGGGGAGCGGGGCAGACGAACCGGACTCGCGGCTGCTCCGTTTTGAGTGGGGGTCCATCGTCCTTGCGGGGTGCGGGGGCAGGGCGTGGCCGTGGGGAGGACAAAGACACCGTGGACGAGTGGCGGAAGGCGAAGGGCTGGGGAGGGGGAGGTGGGCGGCGGGCGCGAGAGCAGAAGGTGGTATAAGTACGCCCAGCAAGGGCACACACCGTTCGCGGCGGGTGGCAGGCGTGTGCGCAGGGGCGGGCTCGGTGCGCGGGGCCTGGCGCGTCTGTCGCTTCCCCGCGAGCCATCACGGCCAGATCTGGGATCTCTTCACCTGCGAGTATCCACGCGATCGTCATGGCGGTGGCCCCTGGTGCATGGCAGCCCGTCTGCTAGCGAGTCGCGGTACGATCGAGTGGCAACATACGTACAGGAGCCGTCCGAGCGAGGTGCCGCGGGCGCACCGCTTGCACACGCCCACATCTGGCAGCGCCTGCGCCTCCCTGGGACCTACAACTGCGTCCAGGCGCCGCCACACACTGCACATTCTGCCCGCCCCCGAGCCCTCCGCCCGCGGCCACAGCGCGGCGAGAGCGCACGACCCGCAGCGCGCGCGACATGGGGCCTACTTCTCTGCAGCCGGCACCGGGGCGAGAAGCGAGCGCGAAGATCCCCGCCCCGGCGCCGGTGCAATCTCCCACTCACGTTCATGTAGCATCAGGTGCGCATCACCTCCGATAAGTGAGACGCGTCGCGCTCGCGTCCATGGTCCACAGAATACACCCTTCTCCGCTCTAGCGCACCTGCCATATGTCACTCGGTGGATTCGGTCGCCGCGTTGTCTCCGCATGGGCGGAGCTGCGGACACAGGCTTCCCCGCACATCGCGGACGTCGCGCGCACACCCACGCGCAAAGGTCTCGGTCCAGACATGGCCTCTGTCAGAACATCCGCCAGGAGCAGGGACCGGATGGCAATATGTTGAATGTTCTCCCGCGTCCGATGTGGATGATGGACGAACGTTGCTACGGGAGCCCGCATCGACGGAGACCGCTTACGGCCGTGGTACGGTAGCCACGCGCCGGCGAAAAGTCCTTGACAGATCCGTCTCTGTACTCTGCAGTACATTGCGGCATAGGTCTTCTTTTAGCCTGATGCCCGCCTCGACAAAGCAGGGAACACCCTGCTTCAGCTGTCGATCTGCCCGGAGGGCGACTTAGGCTCCAACCTTACTCGCCTTGCAGCCCGCCCGAGCCCGTTAATGTGGACGCTCGTCGTCTTGACTCTCCACAAATTCAGGAGCTCCACGTCCGCGTGTGCTTTCTGAGGCATCTTTATTGTTCTATCGAAGCCAGTCGGATCCACTTCTGCAGCTTCCCAGCACGGACGCCGTGCACAACATACCCCGGCAAGGAGGACCGGGGCGAGTCAGAATTCGTGCCCGACCGCGGAGCCCCCTCGGTTGTTGTGCTCAGACACGGCGGCGGTTGCCCTCCGGATTGACAGGGCCGGTCTAAGATGACGTCGACACAAACGCGATACCCTTCCATTCCTTGCACTCTGTTGAGCCGAGCAGATATGTCGAATGTATCTGAGCTAATCTGTGTTTATCGGAGCCGAAAATGAGCACATGGGAGAGGTGAAATTAGCTATCAGAAACAGGGGCGGAAAGCGGGACGATGCTTGCGCCCCCTCACCCAGTGACCAGGTCGATCTAATAGGAAGTCGAGATACTGCGGGCAAAGAAAGAAAGGTTAGCGCACTGAGACGGCTGATGTGGCTCACAGGATCCCTGATAGCAGAAACTGGGAGCGACGCATAGTACTTACCTCGGGTTGGAGTCAAGGGATGGATCAGTGGAGAAACTTCTGGCAGGGGGGCACTCGAAAGCATGCGACAGTTGCTAGACAGAAGCAAATGTCTAATTCCCGTTATCCTCGGGATCCACAACGAATTAACTATTGGAGATGGAGGGTTAGTGAAGCCTGAAGGAGAGACGACCCGAGAACCCAGCACTATGGCTTTAGTTCGCGAGCGGTGAGATAGGAGATTAGATGGCGACGCGGTCTCGTGATAGCAGCAACGCGATCTCGTGATCGTGATCATGGCAGACGCGTATTTCCATCCCCACAGAGGCCCACATTCCCTCTTCCACTGGTTATGTTTTCTGGTATGCTGCATGAAACCATGTTCTTGCACAACTAAAGAAAGTTTAATCTGAACCCTGTTTTAGTGTGTCTGAAATATGTGGCAACGCTCTTGTGTATATAGCCACTCGTCTTAGGTTACCTTGCCGCATACTTTCTCTGAAGGTGCTACGATACTATGGTCCTAGTTTACAGTATCACACAGGCGTGTTAATTATCCTTCAGAAGAGCGGGTCACATTATGCTTTGATTCTAAAATGCAGACCACGCCGGGCGCATGGACCACCTCACCGCACCTGCGACCAGGCTCGGGCGGTGGGGTCCCCGGCTCTCGGGCGACAAAAATTCCCATGGGAGAAGCATATAGCTATTCAAATATTCACTCTTCACACTGGCCTGAAAAACAGTAGAAGATGAATCGATGGCAAGCTCCGCCCGGTTAATGTGTTCGTCCAGATGACTATTCGAACTGGACGCCTCAGTGCCTGCCTGTAGATGCCGCAATGTGCGAGGTTTTATAAAGGTAGTGAGAGTCTGTGGGAGATACTCAGGTTCGTATATGAAGGACCTTCAAGGCGCATGCCGTATGGTCGCTCTCACTGTCAGAGGGATGGTCGCGTGCAGAACACTGTGAAGGGCGCTCCTCTAAGCGCCAGAGAAATAGTGTTAGCCGAAATCTCGCTTGCATCTAAGCGGGACGCACGTGACAGAAGAGGGGGATTTGAGGCATCGAAGAAGACGCCTGGTCTTTTTCTCTTCCTCTTCACTCGCCCCCACCTGGAACGAGCGAAGAGGAAGAGAAGGCGGAAAGTACCCCATCAACACTTCAGGGGATCCCAATCCACTCTTTTCACTATCATGGCCCAGTCCAACCCCGCCCAAAAGACACACATCGCCCGCCCAGGTCTCCCTCGCTCCACCACAGGCCTGCCCCCTCCCTTTCCGCCATCGCCCATCGCAGCAACGTCCATCCACGAAGACGGGTCTGTGATCGATGCAGTACTTGAACTTGCGGATGGTACCGCCGTCAAGGGAGTTAGCTTCGGCGCGGAGGGCAAGAGCGTTGCGGGAGAGTGCGTTTTCCAAACCGGTGCGTTTTTTCTCGATTTTCCGCGCTCGCGCCGGCGAGCTCACCCCGCGCCCCAGGCATGGTCGGCTACACGGAGTCCTTGACGGACCCCTCGTACGAAGGTCAGATCCTCATCCTCACCTACCCCCTCATCGGCAACTATGGCGTCCCCGCCCGCCCCGACCCCGCCGCGCTTGAGGACATCCCGCCCGACTTCGAGTCCTCGCGCATCCACATCGCCGCGCTTGTTGTCGGCGCGTACTCAGAGGACTACTCGCACTTCCTCGCCAGCTCCTCGCTCGGCCAATGGCTCAAGGAGAGCGGGGTGCCCGCCATCTTCGGCGTCGACACCCGCGCCCTCACCAAAAAGATCCGCGAAAAGGGGTCGATGCTCGGCAGAATCCTCGCGCGCCGCGCGGACGCACCCCTGCTCCTCGACCAGCGCCGTGCCTCACTCATAATGCCCCCGTCGACTCCCGGCTCACGCGCTCCGTCCCCACCGGGCGCGCCCAACGCCCGTTGGCGTGAAGACTACCAAGACGTCCCCTTCCACGACCCGAACCAGGACAACCTCGTCGCCATCGTCTCCATCAAATCCCCACGCGTGTACAAGCCCGTCGGAGAACCAAAGATGCACCCCTCCGGCGCGCGCGCGCTCCGGGTCCTCGCCGTTGACGTCGGCATGAAGTACAACCAGATCCGGTGCTTCACCCACCGCGGGGTCGAGCTCAAGGTCGTCCCCTGGGACTACGACTACCTCGCGGGCACGGAGGAGCCCTTCGACGGCCTCTTCGTCTCCAACGGCCCCGGCGACCCCACGATGGTCGCGCCCGCCATCGAACGGCTCGCGTGCGCGATGGAGCGGTCCGACCGGCCGATCTTCGGCATCTGCCTCGGGCACCAGCTGCTCGCGCTCGCGGCGGGCGCGAAGACGTCGAAGATGAAGTACGGCAACCGCGGGCACAACCTCCCCTGCACGGACGCGCTCAGCGGGCGGTGCTACATCACCAGCCAGAACCACGGCTTCCAGGTCGAGGCGGGCTCGCTCCCCACGGGCTGGCGCGAGCTCTTCCAGAACGCGAACGACGGCAGCAACGAGGGCATCCTCTGCGTCGACCGCCCGTTCTTCTCCGTCCAGTTCCACCCCGAGTCCACGCCCGGCCCGCGCGACACCGAGTTCCTCTTCGACGTCTTCGTCCAGAACGTGCGCGACTGCGCCGCGACCGGCGCGCTCGTCCCGCTCGCCATGCCCGGGGGCACGGCGGCGGAGAACGCCGCGCGGACGCCGCGCGCGAGCGTGCAGAAGGTGCTCATCCTCGGCTCCGGCGGGCTGTCCATCGGCCAGGCGGGCGAGTTCGACTACTCGGGCTCGCAGGCGATCAAGGCGCTCAAGGAGGAGGGCATCTACACCATCCTCGTGAACCCGAACATCGCGACGATCGCGACCTCGCGCGGGCTCGCGGACAAGGTCTACTTCCTCCCGGTCACGCCCGAGTTCGTGCGGAAGATCATCAAGTACGAGAAGCCGGACGGGATCTACGTCACCTTCGGCGGCCAGACCGCGCTCAACGTCGGCATCAAGCTCAAGGACGAGTTCGCCGCGCTCGGCTGCGCGGTGCTCGGGACGCCGATCGACACCGTCATCATGACGGAGGACCGCCAGCTGTTCGCGGGCGCGATGGAGGAGATCGGGGAGCGGTGCGCGCAGTCGAGCACGGCGACGACGGTCGACGAGGCGCTCGTCGCGGCGCGCGAGATCGGGTTCCCGGTCATCGTCCGCGCGGCGTACGCGCTCGGTGGGCTCGGGTCGGGCTTTGCGCAGGACGAGGCGCAGCTCAAGGCGCTCTGCACGAAGGCGTTCGCGACGAGCCCGCAGGTGCTCGTGGAGAAGAGCATGAAGGGCTGGAAGGAGATCGAGTACGAGGTCGTGCGCGACTGCCGCGACAACTGCATCACGGTCTGCAACATGGAGGTGCGTTGCGTCCGCCGACCGTGCTCTTCTAGCGGCTGATCGCCTGTGCAGAACTTCGACCCGCTCGGGATCCACACCGGAGACTCGATCGTCGTCGCGCCCTCGCAGACGCTCTCCGACGCGGACTACAACATGCTCCGGACGACGGCGATCAACGTCATCCGCCACCTGGGCGTCGTCGGCGAGTGCAACATCCAGTACGCGCTCAACCCGGTCTCGCGCCAATACTGCATCATCGAGGTCAACGCGCGGCTCTCGCGCTCGTCCGCGCTCGCGTCCAAGGCGACCGGCTACCCGCTCGCGTTCATCGCCGCGAAGCTCGGGCTCGGCATCCCCCTGAACGAGATCAAGAACTCGGTCACGAAGGTCACCTCGGCGTGCTTCGAGCCGAGCCTGGACTACGTCGTCGTCAAGATCCCGCGCTGGGACCTCAAGAAGTTCACGCGTGTGAGCCCGCTGCTGAGCAGCAGCATGAAGAGTGTCGGCGAGGTCATGAGCATCGGGCGCTCGTTCCAGGAGACGATCCAGAAGGCGATCCGGGCCATCGACGACCAGTTTTCCGGGTTCGCGAAGGTGAGTAGCCATTTGTCTATTCACCCGCAACGTGTCTTTACGATGGGCCCAGAACGACTTTGTTGAGGACATCGACGAGGAGCTCATGAACCCTACGGACAAGCGCATATTCGCGATCGCGACAGCGTTCCACCGCGGTTACAGCGTCGAGAAGATCTGGCAGATGACGAACATCGATAAATGGTTCCTCACCAAGCTCCAGTCGATCTTCAGGATGGAGCAACGCCTCTAGTGAGTTCTTAACATAACCACATCTGGACTGCGATTTTGACGGTGCGTTTGCAGCCAATGCAACGTCAACTCGATCGGCAGCGACCTTCTCAGGCAGGCGAAGCAGCTCGGCTTCTCCGACCGCCAGATCGCGACCTGCATGGGCTCCACTGAACTCGCTGTTCGTCGTCTCCGTCAAGAAACCAGCGTCATGCCTTTCGTCAAGCAGATCGACACCGTCGCCGCCGAGTTCCCCGCGTTCACGAACTACCTCTACACGACGTACAACGCCATCGAGCACGACATCACTTTCGAAGACTGCGGCGTCATGGTCCTCGGCTCTGGGGTCTACCGTATCGGGTCCTCGGTCGAATTCGACTGGTGTGCCGTTCGCGCCATCCGGACGCTCCGCGAGAACGGCCTCCCGACCATCATGGTCAACTACAACCCGGAGACGGTCAGCACGGACTACGACGAAGCCGATCGCCTGTACTTCGAGAACATCTGCCTCGAGACGATCCTCGACATCTACGACACCGAGCGCTCCCGCGGCGTCATCCTCTCCATGGGCGGCCAGACGCCGAACAACATCGCGCTCCCGCTCTACCGGCAGAACGTCAAGATCTACGGCACGTCTCCAGAGATGATCGACACGGCCGAGAACCGGTACAAGTTCTCCCGCCTGCTCGACGAGATTGGCGTCGACCAGCCTCTCTGGAAGGAGCTCTCGAGCTTCGACGAGGCGCACACGTTCTGCGAGAAGGTCGGCTACCCGGTCCTCGTCCGGCCGTCATACGTGCTCTCCGGCGCGGCGATGAACGTCGTCTTCTCCGAGGACGACCTGAACAGCTACCTCTCGCAGGCCACCGCCGTCTCGCGCGACCACCCGGTCGTGATCACGAAGTACATCGAGGGCGCGAAGGAGATCGAGATGGACGCGGTCGCGCGCGGCGGGCAGGTCCAGATGCACTACATCTCCGAGCACGTCGAGAACGCGGGCGTGCACTCCGGCGACGCCACCCTCATCCACCCCCCGCAGGACCTCGACCCGGAGACGGTGCGGCGGATCGTGGACGCGACGGTCAAGATCGGGAACGCGCTCAACGTCACCGGGCCGTTCAACATCCAGTTCATCGCGAAGAACAACGAGATCAAGGTGATCGAGTGCAACCTCCGCGCCGCGCGCTCGTTCCCCTTCGTGTCCAAGGTCACGGGCATCGACGCGATCGAGCTCGCGACCAAGGTCATGCTCGGCATGCCCGCCGAGCCGTACCCGCACGTCCCGCTCCCGCCCGACTACGTCGGTGTCAAGGTCCCGCAGTTCAGCTTCAGCCGGCTCTCCGGCGCGGACCCGGTGCTGGGCGTCGAGATGGCGTCCACCGGCGAGGTGGCGTGCTTTGGCAAGGACAAGTACGAGGCGTACCTCAAGGCCCTCGTGTCTACTGGGATCGTTCTCCCCAAGAAGAACATCCTGTTCTCGATCGGTAGCTACAAGGAGAAGCTCGAGATCCTACCGTCGGTCCAGAGGTTGCACGCAGCAGGGTACAGCATTTTTGGTACCTCTGGTACCGCGGATTTCTTCACCGAGCACAATGTGCCTTGCAAGGTAAGCCAATAGCGTGCTCCGTGATTATACATTTGACGCTCATCTCGATGTACAGTACCTCGAGATCCTTGGAGAAGAAAGCGAACAGAAGTCGGAGTACTCCCTTACACAGCACCTGGCGAACAACCTGATCGACATGTACATCAACTTGCCGTCGAAGAACCACTACCGCCGTCCTGCCAGCTATGCCAGCAAGGGGTACCGCACGCGTCGTATGGCCGTCGACTTCGCTGTTCCGCTCATCACGAACGTCAAGATCGCGAAGCTGCTGTTCGAAGCCCTCGTCCGTAAGATGCCGCTCGAGGTGTCCCCCGTCGACTTCAAGACCTCGCACGATACCCACACCTTCCCTGGCCTCGTCAACATCGCGAGCTACGTTCCAGATCTCACCATGACTGGAGAGGACTTCGCCAATGCAACCAAAGCGTCCATCGGTGGTGGTTTCGTCACGGCGCTCATCCTCCCTGTCGGTCTGAACACCAGGATTACCGACCGCGACTCCCTCAACAAGGCCACGAGCAACATCGCAGGTACCGCGTACTGCAACTACGCGATGAGCATCACGGCGTCGTCCTCGAATGTCACTGCGCTCGACGAGGAGCTCGAGGCGGACGTCAAGTCTCTCTTCGTTCCCTTCCGCTACGGTGATCCCGACAGCCAGATCACTGCGGCTGCCGCCCACTTCGCGTCGTGGCCTTCCGATAAGCCGATCTTCACAGATGCCCGGGGGGCCAACCTCGCACCCATCTTGCTCCTCGCGGATCTTCACAACAGCTCGCTCCACGTCACCAACGTGCAAACGAAGGAAGACATGCTCTTCATATCGCTCAGCAAGGCGAAGAAGCTCAAGGTCACCTGCGATGTGTCGGTATATGCGCTATTCTACAACCGCGAGCAGTTCCCCGGCACGACCTGCCTGCCTAGTCCGGAGGACCAGCAGTACCTATGGAACAACCTCGATGCAATCGATCTCTTCTCCGTCGGCCGCGTTCCCTTCGAGCTTGCCACACAGCTCGGGAAGGAGGCCTCCGCCGCGTCAGGTATCGAGGAGACGCTGCCGCTCTTGCTTGGGGCCGTTGCGTCTGGTCGTTTGTCACTCGAGGATATTCGCCTGCGCCTTCACGACAACCCGCTTCGCATCTTCGCGCTACCCGATCAGAGCCACGCCAACGTCGAGATCGTCGTCGGCCGCAAATCCCAGTTCCACAAGCGTTCTTCGGCATGGTCGCCCCTCGATGGTTCGATTGTCAACGGCGCCGTCCACCGCGTTCAGATCCACGGCCAGACCGCGTTCCTCGACGGCGAGCTCTCCGGCGCGCCCCTCGGCAAGGACCTTTCCGGCGCGACGATCGCCCATCCCCCCGTTGCCGAACGCAGGGCGTCCGTCTCCGGCGCGAGGCCGGACGTCCCCACTCTCGCCGCCAAAGCCACCTCTGAGCTGCCTTCCCACCACCCGCAAGCGAGCTCCATTGCAGCAACGTCCCTCGCACCCGTTCATGGCCCCGCCGCGAGCATGCAGATCTTCAGCCACCTGCTCCCGCACCCGGCCTTCAACCGGCGGCACATCCTGACTGTGAAGCAGTTCAACCACCGGGATGTGCACGACCTCTTCACGCTCGCGCACGAGATGCAGCTGCAGGTGGAGCGCAACGGCGCGCTCGACGTGCTCAAAGGCAAGGTGCTCGCGACGCTCTTCTACGAGCCCTCGACGCGCACCTCGTCCTCGTTCGACGCCGCGATGAAGCGCTGCGGCGGCGAGGTCGTCAACATCAACGTCGACCAGTCCTCCGTCCTCAAGGGCGAGACGCTCCCGGACACGATCCGTACTCTGGGCTGCTATGCCGACGCGATCGTCATGCGCCACCCTGACGTGGGCAGTTCGCAGCTCGCGGCCAAATTCTCGCCGGTCCCGATCCTCAACGCGGGCGATGGCATCGGAGAGCATCCTAGCCAGGTAAGGTTTCCATATAATGGTTAGTCTACTGTAAACTGACACATCCTCTAGGCTCTCCTCGACGTGTACACCATCCGTTCGGAGCTCGGGACCGTCAACGGTCGCACCATCACTCTCCTGGGCGACCTCAAAAATGGGCGGACCGTCCACAGCCTCGTGACGCTCCTGGCGCTCTACTCCGTGCGCTTGAACTTCGTCTCGCCCCCATCGCTCACGATGCCGGCCAGCGTCATCTCCGCGGCGCGCAAGGCCGGCATTCCCGTGTACCAGTGCGAGTCGCTCGAGGAGGTCCTCGCCGACACGGACGTCCTTTACGTCACCCGGATGCAGAAGGAGCGCTTCAAGGATGAAAACGAGTGGAACGCGGTCAAGGACGCCTACCGCATCGATCACGGCGTCCTCGCGCGGGCGAAGGAGGAAATGATCGTGATGCACCCTCTGCCCCGAGTGAACGGTATGCGGATACATGCGCCTCCTCTTTCCATTGATGCTGACAACGTCTGGTGTAGAAATCGATCCCGATGTTGACTTCGACTCTCGTCGTGCTGTGTACTTCCGGCAGATGCGCTATGGGCTCTTTGTGCGTTCACACTTAATTTCTTTGCTTTGTGCTTGCTTCTGACTGCTCCTTTCTTCGCAGATCCGGATGGCACTCTTGGCCAGTGTTATGGGATGATTGTCGTGACTGAGTACTAACAAAGGCATCGCAAAGAACGGACAACGAACAATGATATATGTATGCTAGTAGACAGGCCAAAGGAGCCGCCCCAAAATGTAGCATTAGTTTACACGTGCCATCAATTCATCTATCGAGGCGGGTGGGGTCGAGGCCAGCCCTGGTGAGCCCATGTTGATTGTCTGGTGGTCGGGAAGACGCGGTGGCGGGCGCTTGTCTGGCACGGGAATCGACGGAGCATCGGAGTTTGAAGCGGCGGAGGCGGCAGCGCGTGGAAGTTGGGAGCCGGAGTTTTCGGAGCCTCACCGCGCAGTTTGCATCTCCCTCCGCCCGGGGCCCCTCAAGTCCTCCATCGCTGCGATGAAGTTCGTTCCTGGGCCGGGTGTCATTATATGTAAGTAATCTCTTTCATTCCCCGGGCGATATTCTCCGCGCGCCTCGCTACTAACCAAACCCACCCATGCGTCACAGCCGCTGACCACCTCAAAGTGCTTGAGGAGCTCGAAAGGCGCTCCCAGAGCGACATATTCGCAGAAAGTCTCTCAGCTGGAATGCTTCCTGATTTTCGAGCCCAACCAAAATATGCACACTGTATACACATTCCCGACAGGATCCCTCTTCCACCCTGGAAACCCAGGTTCATGAACGTCGCATACTGGACCAAGGCCGTCTCCCCTCCCAACGATGCTGGTGTCCCTGGGGACGTCTGGGGGCGCTGCATTCCAGATGAAAACGACAACCACATCTTCCTTCGTGGAAAAAAGGAATGGGAGCCTCTGGCCAAAGATGCGCTCGTGAAAGACCCAGGACCGCCGCACCCCTTCGGCGATCACACCGTGCTTTGCTTCGATCCTCCGGAGCGTCTCATGTGGGCGGCAACGACGACGTCTTATCAGGTTCGCCGGAGATACGTTAACACCAAGCCGGTCGAGGGTATCGGCAACTACGCCAAGATGTCGTGCGGGGAGTTCGCCAGGCTCCGATACAAGCTCTCCGACGCGACATGGGAGGAGACCTTGCCCACTGCCCCGTCTTATAGGACCGTTATCGACGCGATCAACGACAAGCGCGGGCCATCGGTACGCAAACGGGCCAGTGGCTTCGAGCTCGAGCAGATCAGAAAGCGCGCGCGTCTGACCCATGTCGACGAGGAGCCTCCGAAAGCGCCTTTGAAGAGCTCGCCACTAAAGTCAAGGATCCGTCGGGTGTCTCCGGAGAAATCCTCGCCTGACCCAACCGATGAGATGGACGTGCAAGAATCAGGTACGGGTTCGTTTCATCTCATCTTTGAGTGATTGGCGGAAGGCTGAACTGCGTTTCATCGGCAGCCTCGCCTGTGGACAAACCTGCGCCTAGTTCTTCCGAAGACGTTGAGGAGCTGAGAAAGGACGCTTCAGGTATTTTATATCAGATCAAATTGCCTGCTCGCTGCTTACACGCATCAGTTTTGCGACTCGAGAGCCAGCCCACACGGACGCCAGAAGCAGCACCCGAGCCCGCGTCTGTGCCCAAAACTCTGCCTCCGCCTGAGCTACTCGCACAACCTTCATTTACCTATCCTGCTGTCATCGCTCCCTCTCCAGCAACTGCGAACCCGAACCTCTGCATGCCGCCATCTGGATCGATTGAGCTTCCGCCTAATTTCGCAATATGCACGTGGTGGAATGGTGTTCGAACCGCTCTTCCTTTTCACTATCCTGATGGTAAGAAGGTAAGGATCTCTTTTCATATTCAAAAAACCTACGTCTAACGTAGCGTCAGGGGTATGACATCCGTCTGGTAGAGTGGGCGGCAAGATGCTCCATAGATCCGACTATGCGGTCCGGCGACCGCCAAGAATCGATAGCCGATGTGTTGTATGTTGCTCCTGCGTTTCGTAGTTTTTCGGAAGAACCTGCACCTGGAAACGACACCATTACTCGACCTATACGTGCTAACCTTGCACGAGGACGCCCTGTCATCGTGAGGGACACTCAGTTGAGCGGCGACTGGAGTTGGACTCCAGCATGTATACGCAAGATTACCGAACCACTGTCCGCACCGATTATATGGCAAGGTGGCCACTCATTTCATAGCTTCCCGCAGCACTTCATGCTGATTATTATGCGCATATATAGATGCGTTTGTCCGGCGAGCCTTACAAGAGCCAGAATTTGGAGGGCAAAACGGCATCACCACACTCTCGCAGGTATTCACAACGGGCACCGCGGATCAATATCTTGCCACTGCAAATGACCCTAACAAGTGCGCATTGTTGCTCGAGCGGCCGATGGTACAAGATGGCGTTACTCCTTGGTTCATACGGTGAGTAGTGTTGTCATTCCTTCTACCGGAAATCGAACTGATAGACCATCAGCCGAGTGAGCGACGACCTACGCGCATGGCATGTCACCAACAACATTGGACATCGATACGTTCAATCTCTCCAGCCCGGTGTCATGCGGCCTCAAAGCGACTATCAGGGTCCCGAACGTATTCCAGCGGATTGCGTCCATGCTTCCACCTGGGGTGCTATGTCGAACGCAGGGTACCTCATTCATCCTCGACATCAGTCTTCAGGAATGGTGTCCTGGGTCACTGTCGCCAGCGGGGTGCAGTTTTGGACCATATTTCGCCCCCGTTGGGACGACCCCGATCGTACTAAAGCTGCGCTCCGTGTCATCGCGAATGCGACTCCACGCGACAACCCCGAAGATTTGGAGCATATGTTCGATATTGGAACAGTGATGTTAACCCCCGGCAGCGTTCTGTACGTCGCCTCCTCTGGCTCAGTGGCAACATATGCTAATGATCAACCCGCAGCATTCTTCCGCCAGGCGCGTACCATATGGTCTACACCCCAGTCAAAAGCGTTACCCTCGGCGGCAACTTCCTTACTATAGATTCGTTGCATCATACCCTAATGGCTCGTCAAATCGAACAATATGCCTCCTTCAATACTACAAATCCTTACAGCGCTGGAGTTCGGCGAATGCTTAGTCGCCTGGCCATCGCGTTCACCCAGATGAACGGCAACTCCAGTGAGTTCGTCAAATTCCCATCGCGTCCCCCTTACTAAACTCGCATTGAACTAGTACCCAAGCGACCGCTTATCGCGCTGGCGCACATGCTCGCATACGAGCGCTACTACTTCACCACGACTCAAAAGTCGTTTGTCTGGACGGCCCCGCCTCCTCAGATCAAGACAGAACCCAACGCGACCGCTCTCCCAGCCCCATACGCCGACGGCTCCCAGACCTCGCCCTCCGGTAACTCAGATAGCGATGACGACGAGGTCCTCGAACTCCTCAACGAGCAACGCCCGCCCCGCCCTGCCCCGCCCTCGGCCTCCTACTACGGCCCCCCCGCACCGCTCACGCGCCACCCACCGCCGTTCGCGTGGCCGCTCCCGCCAGACGTCGAGAGCGACAACGACCTGGTGCACGCCGCGTTCTGCGCCGCGGAGACCTGCGTCGCGAACAACCTGCCCTTCCCGCCCGCGTTCGAGTGGCCCGTGCCGTGGCACGCGCCGAGCGACCCCCGCGCGATGGCGACGATCCCCCCGCTCCCGACCCACCCCAAGCTCGCGTTCCAGCACGGGCGCTACGTCATGTACCGCCCGGCGCTCATGCGGCCGATTCCCGTCGCACCCACGCCGAGTGTGGGGCGTGCGGGGTCGGCGGCGTCCACGGCAGCGGTCGGGGCGGCGTCGGCATCGACGGCTCTGCGTCCGGCGTCGAGTTCAGGGCTCGTCATTCGCCTCCCGCCTCTTGCCTCGCCCTCGAAGCCTTCGGCTTTGACCGCGGCCTCCACTTCTGCTTCAGCATCGCAGCCAGAACCGAAGGTAGACCCGGCTCCCCCTTCCGTGCCGAGCTCGACCTCCGCGTCAACGTCCCGTGCGGTTGGGTCTGCAGCGGTTGCTGATGCACCTACGTCCAGTACCGCGACGCTTGCGTCTGTGCTGAGCGCAGCGGTCTTTCCGCCTACTCCCACGTCTGCCCCGAACCCTGCTTAGCGTACCGGCCGTGTAGTAGTCCATTAATCTCTTCAGCTTTCTCGCTCTCGCTCTATCTGCAGTTATTGCTTTCAATACATCCCAATGTATTTGTTGGTACAGTACGGGTAACATGTTACAAGACTAAAGCCCCGAAAGACGTCTCATCAACCCGGACGTGCGAGCTTCGACAACTTTGCGAAGCTTCCGTTTACCAGGCCTCCCCGGCGACGCGGAAAGAGTGAACCGCTCCACGTGCTCCCCGTCCCCACTGACAGCCACCGTCTCCAGTCCCCTGCACTGCAGCAACGAGTACTCAAACGAGTTCAGCACCTCAACGGTGCGCGCGATATTGATCTGCAAAGGCGTTGCGCGTCATCAGCGATCTGGGCAACATGTGCTGAGCGACCCAGGACTGACGTCGGCGTGCATGCACAGCTCCAGCGTCTCCAGCTCTGGAAACACCCTGTGCAAGTCGTACAGCTTGACCGGGAAGCTGACCATCCACGGGAACTGCGCCTGCTTCTCCAGCACACACGGCCGCATCGTTAGCCTCCGCACCGCGGGGCACACCACCCCCGACAGGTCCGCGATGCACGCCCGGCTCCCGCGTTTGTGCAAGCAATGCGCGACGTCCAGCTGCTCCAGCCCCTCGAGCGCCACGCCCGCGAACGCGGCCACCGCAGGCGGGTCCATGCAGAGACGCTCGAAGCGCAGCGGGATCCCTCGAAGCGCCGCCCGCATGTCCTCGACGCGCTTTGGCTCGCCCGCTGCCGGGGTCGCGTTGAACAGCCGCACGTCGAGCGCACGGAGCGTGCCGGAGTGGCGGGCGAGGAAGCGCGCGAACGCGCCGACCGCGCCGTCGTCGCCGTTGAGCACAAACGCGTCCCCGAACGCGAAGTCCCGAAGGGCGGGGAAGTGGACGTCACGGAAGAACCAGGCCGGCTCCGCGTGGACGTTGCTGAAGCGGATCGCGAGCGTGTGGAGCGCGGGGAAGTTCATGGACGGCGTCGGAGGTAGGAAGCGGGAGTCCGTGTCGTAGACGCTGCGGATGGAGTGGCCCTCGTCGAACTCGAGCGCCAGGCGGCGGATGGAAGGGAAGGTCGGCTGAAAGAGTTGGTTTAAGTCTGTGGCTGTGAAATAAACCAAACCTGGTACTCACCGCTGAGCGCCACGATTGGAGGCTGCCGTCAAATCGCCAGAGTTTGACGCGGAGCTCTTGGGCTGTTGGGGGCAAGATACTGAGGATATCGAGGAATTGTTCCCAATTTCCCATACATGGGTTTGCGCGGGTTGTGTCTAGGGTTTGCAGATTGGGGAAAGCTTGAAACAGTTTTTGGAAATCGTGTCCACCCCATGATAGGCGCAAGGTGCGGTTAAAGTCACCGGAGATCCGCACGTCGCGGACATTGACCAGGCGGGGGTCTCGAACCGAGACCTTCTCGTTGACGAAGCGTTTGAAATCGTGGTCGGTTATGTGTATCCTACGATACAGGACTGGTATGGCGAGGGAATGAAACCGTCGACACGTCAGCGCGAAGGGTAGAGCTGAGCTGGGGAGCAGGTAGTCGAGGATCTCGCGGACGAGCTCGACGGGAAGGTTATCGAAAGTGATCGGTTCCTGGGCAGCTGTGCCGGAGCCGCGCTGCCTTTCGCCGCGGCTGCGTTCCTGTTCGCGGGGCCGATAGCAGTGAGAACGCGGAAGCGGTGGAAGGACGGCTGGAATGTGGACCTTTAGATTGCCGCTGGACAGAGCCAGGCGTCCGATCTTCCTGAAGATAGCTCGCGGGGTCATTGTCCGGGTATCTTTCGTCAACGGTGTGAGGGAGGAGGTGTTAGCAGCGCGGGTCGACGCCGCTCTGTACTATATCAATTGGAAAGACGTGGGAGTGGGACATGGTGGGTGGAGAGCAAATCATGCAAGCTGCCAGCCGACCCTGTCCGCGGGAATCGGCACAGCGCGTGGTGCAGGCGCATCAGCACTAGAGACCGCATAAGTGACTTATTAAGTGACAGATGCGGGGAACCCACCTCGGGATTTGGGGTGTGTGGTAAACGTGGATACGAAAGCCCGTGCTACTATCTCGGTGGGCGGTGCGCTCGCCGAGGAAGATACGCAAGATCAAAATGCGGATCGGTGAAAGACGATAACGTCACCCAAGGTGCCCCTCAATCGACTCAAGCCATGCAAGCGGAGCTATTCGAACATCACTAGAGGACCAAGTAATGCTAGGGTACTACTCAGCTCCATTTGGTTGATCCCTACGGCTGGAACGAGGACAAAGGCAGGGAATATGGCAGGTGATGGTTGAACGGGCCGAGAAGAGACAACAGTGTAAGCGCGCATGAGACTCAGGCGCTCACCCTGCGAAGTGCTCCTTGCTTTCGACTCCCACCTTGGCCAAAATATTTTCCTTCTGAAAGCGCCCCAATCCTCGTTTTGTTGTACAGTAAGTGTCCCAATAGTCTCCTTGGACGGTGGCTAAATTTGCGGAGTACCACAAACAGTTCATCATGTCACTTTCGTCAACAAATTCGCTCGGCAAAACCACGGCGTGGCTTTCGGATCCAGCTCAACACCGCCGCGTTCTCCTCTCTCTCTCTCTCATAGCCTCTCTGGCCACGTTTCTCCTTACTGCCATCAGCGCTCAGTTTCCGCCCTTCGATGCGTCCCCGAAAGTTCTCCTCTTTTCCAATGGCTCACCATCTCTGCCACGTGCGCTCGCGAGCACCGTACTACGCTGGGACGCGTTCTACTTCGCCCACATCGCGCGAGAAGGATACGTTTACGAGCAAGAGTGGGCATTTTTTCCGGGATCTCCGCTGATCATGCGCATGGTGGGGAGTGTCTTTCCACAAAGCGAAGAAGGGTTGAGCTGGGAGCTGGCCCTACTCGGGGGACTTGTCGCGTCGAGCGTGTCCGCGTTTTCCGTGCTCACGCTGTACGACCTGTCGCTGCTCCACCTAGGGTCCCCGGATGCGGCGCTACTCTCGTCGGCGCTGTCTCTACTTCCCAGCAGCCCAGTGACCCTGCGCCTCGCCGGATGTAGTGAACCATTCTTCACCGCGCTTTCCTATCAGGGTAGGCCGAACTTGATGTCGTCTTTTGAACGCGTACTGACTTGGGAGATCGGCAGGCATGCTTCACTGCGCGCGTGGGCAGTGGCTCCTCGCAACCCTCAGCTTTGCATGTGCAGGCGCGTTCCGATCGAATGGCATCCTGCTTTGCGCGTTTATCCTCTGGGGTTTGGTCGCCGAGCCGCTGCTCGTTAAACGCCAGGTAGTCATTCTGAGTAACAAACCCACACCAGGAGCTGAATATAAGCCCTAGATTCCCCTACGTGACACATTCTACGCGGCGTTCCTGTCCGTGGTGGTGTGTGGCCATTTCGCTGTGCATCAGTACACCGCATATCGTGCATTCTGTACGCACTCCACCTCACCCGCAGAGTGGTGCGCCTCCTTTCCTCCAACCATCTACGCAGCCGTCCAGTCCAAATACTGGTACGTCGGCTTCCTGCGCTACTGGACGCCTCAGCAGATTCCCAACTTTCTCCTCGGCGCACCCCCACTGGCCCTGCTCTTCGCGTTCACCGGTCACTATCTCCGGCAGTCTCTCGTCCCCCGCACCCTCGCCTCCTTCCGCCCCTCTTCACCCGGCGGCCACTCCGAAGCCCAGCGCTCGCCCTTCCTGCACGCCAGTCTCGCCCCACACGCGCTCCATGCGTTTACGCTCTCCCTCATCCTCCTCTTCGCCTCGCACACCCAGATCGTCCTGCGTTTCGCAGCGGCGATGCCGATCACATACTGGGCCGCGGCGTGGCTGTTGGTCGAGTGGCCACGGCTAGGCCAGTGGTGGGTCGGCTGGAGCGTCGTCTACGGCGCAGTGAGCTGCGTCCTGTGGGCGAACTTCTTGCCTCCCGCTTGAGGTGAGGCCGCCGCAGTAGAACGTGAAAGTGAGTCATCTAACCTTCACCGTGTTTTCTCGAGTCTCACTACTAGGCATAGCATGTTCAGCATTTCCCGCCAGGTGCCGCATGAGGCGTTCGTCAATCGTTATACCTTTGCGTACATCCCACTCTCTTCACCACTTTCCCTACAAATACCATCGCATTCTAACCTACACCAACGCATGGGTAGTTCGGGCTCGTCCTCGTCTCCATCGTCCCATACTCCGCCTGGGGCACAGCTGAGACCCCCCGTTATGGCTCAAACTCCGCATCCCTCTCGCAAGGCGAGGATCTACCCAGGCTTTCATAGTGTGTTTCTATCCAGAGCAGGCAGCGATTGGGATAATGCTCGTGTTCTAGCGCCGTGGCTGTAGTGCAGGAGGTGGCACATGCCCTCCCTCGCACCGCGGGCATTAGCCGCTGTTACGGTCCGTTTCTTTGTTGTTACATGCCTGCATCATGTTGTATGTCTTCACGTGGGGACTTTTTGAGAAACATCCACGAGACATTGATCGTCAGCCAATCAGAACTCGAGTTTCCAAATGTTACAAGGATGTTGCAAGAATGTTTTCGGCGCGTAGCATACTGCATGAGGCAAACATGACGCACCAAAGGAACACCGGGATACATTGGCTTATGCCCCCGGTGTCGTGCGGTTTCACAATGAGCGTTTGATGAGCTCGGCTTTTTGATCCTGACTATAGTAGGCTCGACCAATGCTCAACGCGTTCATCGCGGAAATCTGGGACTTTGAGAGGACTTTAGATGTCGAAGCAACTGGTTTGAGTGACAGTGGTCGACTGATGAAGTTGAACAATCATACCAAAAGAAGTGCAGAACCTGCTTAGGTAGTAACACATGCTGGGGCGAGGCACGACCACGTGCCCCCATTGGCGCCGGGCATGACCTCTGGGGAGCGAGTGCGGCGCTGGGAACTTGGAAGAGAGGCAGGACTCGCGCTCAAGGCCGTGTCGGGAGCATGAAGTTCTCCCAACACCATCCCTCGCCCTTCTCGAGCCTCTTCCAAGGCCAGCGCCGCGCCGCGTTCAAGGGCCACCTCCTCCGCTCCGGCACCTTCATCCGCAACCACACCGCCCGCCTCTTCTCCCAGTCCTCCCCCAACCAGTACTCCGACCCCGGCACCCGCGCACCGCTCTACAGTCAGCCTTCCTCCTCCCATACGCGCAGCTTGCTGACGACACCCTCGCAGAACGGCTTTTCGATGCATGGCAAAACACCCCCACAAAATGGTACCCGCTGCCGGTAGCTGCGGGCGCGCTGCTCCTCGTCATCATCCAGTACCGGAGAAAGTCGACCGCGCGTGAGGTCGTCGTCGACGAGCATGGGCACGAAGTCATCAAACTTAAAGGACCTTGGCATGTGAGTGCTCCGTTCATGCTCTTCTTGCATTCCCCATTTGTCCCGTGCCGCACCTTCGCGCTATCTACACATTGAGTCATGTCACACGACGCATGATTCCTGGCTCGTGCTAAACCGCTGTCGCGCGGGGGGTATATATCCTCTTTGCTCCGTTTGCATTGTTGGCTGGGTAGCTCACGGGCAGGGGGCATGCAGTCTTTCGAGTACTGACTGCCTCCGCAGGTGCATGTCATCGGCGCTCTCCCGCTCCGCAATCTCTCCCGCGTGTGGGGGTACATGAACTCTTTCGAACTCCCGGTCTGGTTCCGTCCTTATGGCTTTCAAATCTACTCTGTAATCTTCGGCTGCGACCTGGACGAAATCGACCCAGACGACCTCAAGCAATATGCCAGTCTGGGAGACTTCTTTTATCGGAAACTGAAGGACGGCGCGCGACCAATATCCGACTCGATACTGGTGAGCGCCCTCCTTCCTGCACCGTTCTGCCGCGATCTCAAGCTCGCCACGTACCTTGTAGGTCAGCCCGGCCGATGGCCGCGTACTCCACTTCGGCATCATCAAAGACGGCCGAATAGAGCAGATCAAAGGCAGCACTTACTCGCTCGACGCTCTCCTTGGCGTCGCCCGCCCCAACAACCCCGCCGCGCAGTCAATCGAGTTCCCGGACGGCGCGATGGAGGAGGTCAACCACCGGCACTTCGCCGAGATCAACGGCATCGAGTACTCCCTGCACGAGCTCCTCGGCGCCCCCACGCCCTCCTCGTCCGGCACGTCCACACCCGTCTCCGGTGCCATTGTGCCCCGCCCCGCCGCCGCCGCGAACGAGAAGAAGCACGGGGAGCGCACCGACGCCTCCGTCCCGCGCGAGCAGTCGCTCCCCGACGCCGCCGTCTCCGACGCGAGCATGGCGACCGAGGTCGGGATCCGCCCCAGCGGGCTCCGCCGCGACAGCTTCACGAGCGTGCGCACGCGCCCGGGCAACGACACGTTCTTCATGGTCATCTACCTCGCGCCCGGCGACTACCACCGCTTCCACAGCCCCGCGGCGTGGGTCGTCGAGCGTCGGCGGCACTTCGTCGGTACGTCTGCATCTGCGCTTGGCGCTGCCCATTGCTCACGACCGTGCAGGCGACCTTTTCTCCGTCTCGCCGTGGATGGCGAAGCGGCTCGAGAACCTGTTCGTGCTCAACGAGCGCGTCGCGCTCCTCGGCCGCTGGAAGCACGGCTTCTTCAGCATGGTCCCCGTCGGTGCGACCAACGTTGGTAGCATCAAGATCAACTTCGACAAGGTCCGTCCTTAGTGCTCACTCCCTTGCCCCACCCTCCCCATGCCCGCCGGTCCGCTCACCCCACCCCCGCGCCCCACAGGACCTCCGCACAAACGTCGGCTCCCGGCGCGGCCACCCCGCGGGCACGTTCACCGAGGCCGTGTACTCGGGCGCGTCGCCGCTGCTCAACGGCCAGCCGCTCCCGAAGGGCCTCGAGATGGGCGGCTTCTGCCTCGGCTCCACCATCGTCCTCGTCTTCGAGGCCCCGCACGACTTCGACTTCGCGGTCAGCGCCGGCCAGAAGGTCAAGGTCGGCCAGACGCTCGGCGACATCGCCGCGTCCCCCCACCACTGAACCGAGCTCGGAAACGCGCCTCGCGGCCCACGAAGCGGGGGCCACTCGGACGCTACGGACACACACTCACGTACCTCCCCTCGCCCCTCCCCCCTTAACGCACCATACCACGACACGACGCGGACACGCGCGACTCCCCTCGCGCTCGTGCTTCGACCTTACCCCAGTAGCGCCGCCCGCTCGATTCAACTCGGCTTGTACGTTAGTAGTAGGCTAATGACGACGCTCCGCCCCGCGTCCCTAGGGCGCGGCCGGCTTTCACTTCCTTTTTACGTAGTTCCCTGTGTGCTGATTAATGCTAGCTAAGGGTGCTCGTGCCTCGCACACCGTCAATATCGCTGGGGAGGCTGCAGTCCACGCTGCGGCCCCTGCGGGCGGCGAACAAGAACTACTTGTACATCCCTGTCTGCGGCACCGAGCCTACCGATCGCCCTAGCACACTTCGATCCAAAGCCCCTCGTCGCCCTACACCACGATTCGCAGACGAGAGACGTCAGCGCGCGCGGCCCGGTCGACCTTGCCCAGTCCTCCACCGCGGCCCCGCGACCCGCGGAGCTCCTGTGTTTCAGCTTCGGAGCTCCCCGACGCCGAATCGATCGTCCAATCCTGTTTGCTCGGAAGCCCGGGGATGGAAGCTTCAAGATCGAGCACGAGCGCACATGTCGGTTTCCGGGCACCACTCTGACCTACGTCGCCCCCTCAACACCTTCGCGGTATGCATATGCGTGGGGGCCGCTCCTGCTGCGCGCGAGTCCTCTCCCGCTGCTACGTGTGCTGCACACGGCCGCCCGGCCGCGCGCGGAAATGGTGGTGCGCGACGCGATTTTAGTATAGAGCGCGGCGCGTGGGTCTGTACGTACTACTGGGGGCGGCAAGTGTCCTCGGAGCCGCGGCGATTAAGGTGAAGTGAAGGGGGGGACGCGAGCGACGGGATGCGGGAAGGAAGCCATTACGGATGTGGGAGAGGCAGGGGTAGGGAATGCGGTGGGCTCCAGATGGGATGAGGCTGGGGGTTATAGGGGTGGGGTACAGCGCAGGGGGTGGGCTACGGCGGACGGTACAAGACAGTATAGGGCAAACGACAGCAGCTACTTCAGAACAACAACACAAACCAGATAAGGAAAGACACCGAGACACCGAGAGAGAAAGACACAGGGGGAGGGGAGGGGGGCCACGGTTCGTCACCGCTTGCTCTCCTCACTGAAGCTCTTCCGGCCGTGCTCGCTCTCGCTGCCCTCGCCCGCCGCCGCCATCGGCACGTCCTCCGCGCGCGCGCCGCCGCGGCCCGCCAGCCGCTTCATCCACCCGGGCACGATCCCGCCCGGGGGCACCGCCCAGCGCTCGGCGAGGTCGTAGTTCGGCGGGAGGACGCGGCCGCCGGAGGCCGTGCGGAGGAGCGCGGCGCCGCCGTTGAGGAGGACGTAGGAGAGCACGCCGGCGATCACGCCGTACGCGATGTTGTACGAGAGCGGGATGATGATGAGCGTGAGGAAGGCGGGGACGGCGTCGCCGACGTAGTCCCAGTTGATCTCGCGCGCGCTGCGGACGCCGGCGGTCGTCAGTTCTGGGGAGACGGGCGGAGGGGGAGGGAGGGAAAAGGGCGGGAGGGTACGCACTTGCGGATCATGAGCGAGCCGACGATGACGAGCGCGCCGCCGGTGGCCCAGGACGGGATCGAGGCGAAGACGGGCGCGAAGAAGATGGAGACGAAGAACATGAGCCCGGTCACGATCGCGGTCAGGCCCGTCTTGCCGCCCTCGGCGATGCCCGTCGAGGACTCGACGAACGCGGTCACGGGCGAGGTGCCCATGAGCGCGCCCATGGAGATCGAGAACGCGTCGACGCAGTACGCGACCGTCGAGTTCTCAAAGTCGAGCGTCACCGGGTCGCGGAGCCCCGCGAACTTCGCCATCGAGTACAGCGTCCCGGTCGTGTCTGCGCGCGGGAGGGAGGAGGGGGGTGAGCGGGCGGGGTCGCGTGCGCGGACGCGGACGCGGGACGCACCGAGGATGTCGACGTAGAGGAAGGTGATGAGCGCGTACCAGACCTTGCCGTTGCCGTAGTTGTACTGGGGGGGCATAGAGGTCAGCGGGGCGCGCGTGAGGGGTGAGAAAGGAAGACGGACGTCGAGGGCGTTGCCGATGTGGGTGAGGGGGCGGAAGGTGACGACCTTCTTGAAGAAGTCGAAGGCGGCGTCGCCGGCATCGGTGTGCGGGAACGCGGTGACCGACGTCGGGCGCGGCCAGGAGATGATCGAGGTGAGGAAGATGCCGATGAGGAGCGCGCCCTTGACGCGGTAGAGCATCAGGAAGACGGTGAGCAGCCTGCGCGCACACGCCCGTCAGCCCTCGGTGCCTCGCCGCGGATCGCACGCAAAGAAGAGACGGACCCGCCGGTGAAGATCCCGAGCCACATCGTGGGCGAGCGCATGACCTGCGTGCCGCAGTAGTTCGCAAGCGTCTCGTCGCCGACGGTGATGTAGTCCGACGCGAGGCAGCCGCCGAGCCCGACGAGGTTGGTCGTGTCGCCGCCAATGAGGCCGAGGCCGGACGGCGCTGCGGGGCGGCCGTGAGCGGGCGCCTGAATGATGGACGGGAGAAGGGAAGCGACGTACAGAGCCCGATGAAGGCAATGAACAGACCGATCCCGGCACCGACGGCCATGACGAGCGACTGCGGCATGATGCGCGCCAGCCACTGGCGGAGGCCAAAGATGGAGAGGATGAAGAAGATCCAGCTGAGAGGCGAGGGATGAGCGCGGTTTGGAGACCGAGACGCGCATATGCTCACCCTTCCATGAAGACAGCAGCCAACGCCTCCCTGTACGTGATGAATCCAGTCCCGTGGAAACCGACGACAGAGTACGTGAACTGCAGACAGATCCGAACAACGGGTTAAACCCCGTTCAACGTGCTGAGAGGCGAATAGGAAACTCACGTAGGCGTTAAGACCAAGACCTGGGGCGAGACCGACAGGGAGGTTGGCGAAGAGACCCATGAGAACGGAGGAGAGGCAGGAAATGGCCGCGGTGGTGGTGATGAGGTCCCGCCGGACCTCTCCCACACACGCGGCGTAGGTGGGGTCAGTAAAGCAGCCGTCGCCCGTGGGGCACTCGCAGGTTCCTCCGGAGTCCTGGATGATGGACGCGTTGACGGAGATCTGGAGAACACATGCGCGCGATTTGAGCGCAAGAAGCGCAAACGGAGGAAGAGAGGCTACGCACAATGTACGCCATCGCAGCCTGCGCGTGTGCACACAACGCGGTCAGCAGCCGCAGCGGACGAAGTGAGAGAGACACGGACCCATGTTGTCAACCCGGCGCGGATCTCGGTCTGGAGCGTTGGGGGAAGGAATGAGACGCTAGGCGGTCGCGGGAGAAGACAAAAGACGGACCGTGAACCGCGACCCTTCGCGCTCCTTGGGGTGGCCGGAGCCCTCGAGGCGGAAGTGCCTGCCGACGACGGAGTCCGCGACCTGACGGGGGGCGGGGAGCGGGGGGCGTGGGTAGATGCACGTGAGGGGGTCCGAGACGGGCGCACCTGAGCGTTCAGCCTGTCGATGAAGCCCACCATCGTGCAGCGGTCTGAGGGAAAGGGGAGGGGGAAGCGGGCTCGAGCGATAGAAAACTCATCGTTTTATCGGAGCGGGTGTCGGGGGAGAGGGCGCGATAAGCCCAACTGGCGCTGCACCAGTGCGCCTCCGTCGCGTCCGGCTCGCCGAGATCTCGTCGCTCGCGTGAACGGTCTTCCCGCCCGCTGCCACGGCCCCGGCGGCTGGCGCGAGCGATGACAACCAGCCACTCCACCGCAGGACTGAGCGAGCCTGTGAGCTCGCGGCACCCACGGCCCACGTCCGCTCGTCTCCAAATGGCCTGAACTCTACCGCTATCTCGTTTGCGCAGCGCACGTACGCCTTCCACAGCCAAATCCAACTCGGTGTGAGCATCGAACACCCTCGGCGGGCTCCGGTGGAACCGCGAAACGCACGCGGAATTCCTTAGGCTATGTCATTCCACCGTCCCTGGCGGTGATGCGCATCCGGCGGTGAGCATCCGAGGGCCCTGATCGACCATCCACTCGCGGGTCAACGCAAACCACCACTCCGACATAGCAGTACGCCCATGATACCCTGGCCACCTGAACTCGAGCCTCCTCGGCGTCCCGGACGTGCACTCCGTCGGACTCCACGCGCCCACAAGCTAGAAGCTTCGTCCCGCCGCCGCCCGCGCAGCAGATTCCACGCGCACACGATGTGCGGTGATGCATCACCCTCCTTCCGGCTAGCGTCGCAGACGACAGGTGCCGGTGCTGCACGCACGCACGCACGCTTGGCCCCGTCGCTCGTCGCACGCTCGACGGTTCTCTCGAGAAGATTTCGGCGCGGTCGAATTTTCTCTGTCGTGCGGACGGCCGGCCTGCAGATTGTATTAAAGTTCGCCCCCTGGCGCCCGAACGACTCTTCCAGCGGCGGCGCCACACAACTTACGTACCGGCGTTCGGGGCTCGGCTACGTTTCTGTCCAGTGTCCAGGAACTTCGCTCCCAGCCCATGTCGCCCGAGTACGCCGACTGTCAGACTACTCACCGCACTCCCATGCGCGCATGGAGCCTCTCGCGTCAGCGAAGCCCCTCCGCCTCCGCCTTCTCGCCTTCTCGCGTCGAACCCCACCTGCTGGCTTCTTCGAAGCTCGGCCTCCCCGCCTTCACTCACCCAGGCTCCCCGGCGCCGTGCTATTCCCGCCCCGAGCGTAGTCAAGGGAGCCATGTGCGGCCGCGTACCTTCGCGCACGACCAGACGGCTCCTCGATTATTCCTCGCACGCCTCGAGGCTCTCCGTCGTCCCGCCCAAATCTTCCTCTGCTCCGAGTACTAGTCGTCCCTTACAGACGCGCGTTCCGAAGTACGCACAAGTTTGTCCCAGCGGCAGTGCCCGGAGATTGCATCCCCTGGAACGGGACCTGACGCGGTCGAGGAACAGCGAGGAACAGACTCCGAAAGCATGAGACAACTCTGATAGGCCTTACGGATTGCGCGGTGCGCCACCGTGCCTCTGAGCATCAAGGTCCGAATGCGGGTCCGCTCGTCGTGTGAGCCCTCGTGCGGTCAGAACTTGAGCCCTTCTGTCGAGAACATAACCACGATGCAGACCCTCGGACAGCACGGAAGAGAAAGTAAAGGGTACATTATACGAGTGTACTAGATCGTGAGCACATGCGCGCATGGCCGTCAATGCGTTTCTATGGTATCTCCACGCCAAAAACCGAGGACGAACGCCGACGCTCACTGCGTCTTTTGCTTCCCGAACGAGTACGCCTCCACCTTCGCCTCCGCCCGCAGACCCTCCTGCTCCGCCTCGAGGATCAGCTTGCGCTCCATCGCCGCGAACTCCTCCTTGGTCAGGTTCAGCTTCTTCATCGCCGTCACCCGCTTCCGGTACTCCCGGTACTTGTCGTCCGTCCCGAACAGGCGGTCGAACCACCGGAACGACGTCGAGAAGTTGTTCACGAACGCCATGTGGTGGAAGTCGTGGTGCTCCGCCCCCGACCAGAACGGCACGATGTGCTGCAGCGACCACGGGAAGTCGTACCCCGAGTGCGCGTCCACCGCCTGGAAGAGCCGGAGCGTGATCCACAGGTAGACGGTCACGATGTGCAGGTCGTGCCGGAAGGCGCAGTAGAGGAGCGGGCCCGCGATCGTGCCCGTGCCGAGGATCATCACCTCCGCCGGGTGCGCGTACTCGGCCGCGAGACCGAAGGGGGCCGAGTACGTGTGGTGGATCTTGTGGATGTGCTTGTAGAGCGGGCCCCAGTGCAGGGCGCGGTGGGCGAAGAAGTGGAACATGTCCTCGAAGAAGAAGAAGAACGCGAGCTGGACGAGCTGCGACTGCCACGGCGGGAACGGCACCTGCCACGTCGACATCCCGAACATCTCCGCCATGGGGTGGAAGAGCCAGATCTGCGCGCGACGCGACGCGTCAGAACGCGGGAGCACGTGAGAGACGCGTGACGGGGGGCACGTACCACGGGGAGCTCGACCATGAAGTGGGAGAAGAGGACCTGCTTGGTGCAGTCCCACTGCTCCTTCGCGGTGGGGACCTTGTTCGGCTGGAGCTTCCACCGGTTGAAGTAGGGGATCGCGTCGACGATGATCCAGGGGATGCAGCGACCAAAGTACACGATCTGGCAAACCGCGATCGGACGCGCGCACGGGCAAAACGGGACGCGGCGTGACGTACCTCGTGCAGGAGGAAGCTGGCGAGCCCGGTCGCAAAGATCGGGTTGTCCCAGTAGATGTACCAGGACGCCCAGAGGGCCTCTGCCCAGTTGAGCTGGGAGAAGTCCGTGCTGGCATACAGCTGCGTGGCGGTCGGGTTCGTGGTCGAGTTCATGCTGGCCGAAAAGGGGGTGGGCGCGGGGGCACGGCGGCGGACCAGAGGATGGGTGACGAGCCGTGCAGTGGGCCGAGGCGCGTCGTGGGCAGAGGAGTGACGACGAGGACGAGGTCGCCGTTGGGAAGCCTGGAGAAGCGCAGGCGGGGGTTTTATTGGAGTGACCGGTGGTCTGAGCCAGCGGTCGTACGATCGGCTATGGGAATTTGTGTCCCCCGCACGTGCCCCACCAGCTCTCGCTCCGCCCGCCATCATCCTCTGGCCCCCTCTGGCCCTCGCTCGAGCCGCGTTCGAGCTGCGAGCCCCGTGGCCCAGCTTGTCCAGCTCGTTCACAAAACATAAAATCGTATGAGGCCCCTCTGATTGCGAGGCGTTCTAGAATCTAGGCGCCCATCCGTCTGTCACGAGTGTCCTGAACGGTACTCAGCATGACGCAGAGTGTATGGCTTTTGGTAAAGTGACCGGAGAGGTTGTTTTGCGTGGCAGCGTACTTGAATCAAGGACGGCAGATCGGAAAAATCACGTACTCCTCCCCGCCGTCGCAATTCTCCAGAAGCTCAGAAGACCGATGGGAGAGCCACTAGAACAAGGCAATAGTTGGGACACAACATGACTTTGAGCTCCCGAAATCAACGTTTACTCGCGGTCAACCATACGGGTGTTTCTGGTCCGACCCGTCACAGCCCGTCACCCGAGCGTAGTTTGGATCCTTTGTCCTCGTCCACCTCGAAACACCCTGGCTTCCACCGCGGCAGGTATGTTGTACTACTAGGCCGTCTACAGTTTTCCAGAGGCGTGGCCTCGAGAGTTCACATGTCCATGTCACTTCCAGGGAGATTTATCTTCCTGAGTGGGCTCGTGCGCTTCAAGTGTAGTAGCCCCCTCAATGGGCCCGGAAACATGCTCCCAAGGTCGAAGGCCCCGCGCCCCGCGTTTCGGGCCGCCGACAACGTCGCCTTGTCTTTCCGCTCTACACTCGTGTCCCCGACCCCCGACGCGCAGCGGAACCGCAGAGATCACAGTCCCGACCCAAGCGTGCCCACTCCTGTGCGCAGGGACCGTTCGCCATCGTCCAATTGCAACCTCCACGCCCCGCGCTCTCCAATGACGGCATGGGTCCCAAGAACTCGGCGAAGACCTCCTCACACGCCCCCTCGCCCTCGCAGCCGTTTGCTCCCACCGGAACAGGCTCGAGCGCGCGCGCGCCGCGGAGGCCGGTGGCGTCGAGCTCGCGCGCGCGGTCCAGGTACACGTCGCGCGGGTCGTCGATTATTCACTGCGTCTGTAGACCTAGATTAGCACGATTTCTAAACTATAGCCAGTGCGTACAACGCCGAAAGCAAGACAACGCGATTGCAAAGCGAAGGGGCGTGCAAGCCGTCCGTAAGTTCCAAATCCACCTATCCCAAAACCGTACGCGCGAAAGACCGTGCCACCTCAGACGCAGCTTCGGTCGCGGCTCCCGATGCAGCCGCCGCCGTCAACAACTCGGTGACGCCAGTCGCCGTGCACTCAAGCATCAACTTGATCTCTGGTTGTCCGGGGTAGAACCACGCCGTCAGGGCCTGCAACGCACACCGTCAGCTCCCAGCAATCCCCATCCATGTGCGTAGCACGACTCACGATCATCACGTAGAACACGATCATGATGAACCCCTCCGCCCAGTTCGTCTTCGAGTCCGCGGTGACGTAGTTGACGAGGAAGCACGAGCCGACGAGGATCGCGACCTCGAAGTAGTCGAACAGCAGGTGCATCGGCCGGCCAGTGAACCAGCCGAGGAGCACGACGAGCGGCGTCCACCAGAGCGTGAACTGGATGCTCAGGTCGATCGCGCGCCCCTCGGCGAGGATGGAGGGCTCGATGTGCTGCTTCTTCTTGTGCGAGCGGATGCGCCGCTCGAGCCAGAACACGACCGTCACCGTCCCGTCCGCGGAGTAGGAGACGACGGGCAGCAGGATCAGGCCGAACCACCTGCGAGAGGCGCGTGAGCGTGAGGAACACGGGCGCCCCGGTCCAGAGCGTCGCACTCACTCTGTGGTGATGTTGCTGCCCTCACGCACGCTCTCGATGCTCTTCACGAGCAGCCCCGCCGTCGCAGAGAGGAGCGCGACGACGACGAGCAGCATGACGAGGCACGCCCACGGGTTCGTCAGCGGCTCCTCTTCCAGCAGCCGCAGCTCGTGCTCCTTGAGCGCGTCGTGCTCGTCCTCGTGGAGCGCCAGCGCGTCGCTCTTCTTCCCGGTCGGGTTGTGCAGGTACTTGCGGGACTGGATGTACCTGCAGACGCGCGTCAGCGAGCTGGATCGGCACGAAGGAAGCGACGCACACCAAGATGAGCAGTATGGCGAGACCGCGGCTGATTTTGAGGATCTCGCCGCGTGTGAAGTCGCTCACGACCGCGACGGAGAGTTCTTCGTTGACAAAGACCGGGGTAGGGTTGTTCCCGCGATCAAGCGCGGCAAAGAACGCAGTGGGCAGCAGGGTCGCGAGAACCCTTCCTTCGCGCGTGAGTGTTGTATGCATTCAGAGAAATGCGCGACCCACCCCATGAGAAGCAGGGACTGGTTGAGACCCGAGTGATGCGACTGCAGTACTTGATGCTGAATCTCCTTGCCGTTGACCATGAAGGAGGTACCGGGTATAAGGAGAAGATGGAGTAGAATGACCCCCACCAGAGTCGCTTGCAGTAACCTCAGTCTGACCGGAATCGTGAGATACGACGCAAAGGTGAATAAAGATGGGCACTGACTCGCACTGAAAGAGCAGAGCGATCGCTAGAACGGCCTCTACAGCGCTGAGGTACGGATGAGTGCATATCTCGCTTTTCGAGCAAACCGATCGGTACTTACTTGTTGAGCGTGATGATCAGCAGATCTCCAAACTGCTTTCCCAGATACAACGTCATCTGTTCTCCTCCCCAGTCCAGCATACCCTCCATAGGGATGATGGAGAGAAAGCATACTGCGCGAGCGCGTCAGAGTCAGAACGGACCTCCTAGTCATTAAAAGCTGTAACTCACGAACAAACACGACGGCGCTGTTCCACTTCAAGTAATGCGATATCCACGCCACGGGAACGACCGCGAACAAGATGTTCAGATCTGCCAACCGTCGGTGAGTGCCACAGACCGCAGTCAATCCCACACTCCAAGACTGACATGAGGACTTGAGAATGTTCCCGACACTCTCCGCCCAGCCCGGCACCCTCTTCCGCCCCTTCCCGCTCAGACGGTACCAGAATCGATGGCCGGCACTCCTCGCGGCGCCATACGCCGAGCGGTACACCGCCGCAGGCGATCGTGGCGCCTGATCGCCGCCGTGCGTCGTCGGCGGAACCGTCAAATGTTCTGGGATCTCGACGTGGAGCGTTTGCAGCGAGTCCATGGACGGTGAGTGTACGCGCATGGTGTGGGCAGGTCGCGGGCGTTGCATCTCCATGTCCTTCTCGAGCAGATTCCCTGCGGGCCCCGCCGGATCGTTTGATGACCCGTGGAAGGACCGGTGGTCGTCATGCTGCATGACTCTGGGCGCTTAAAATGAGATCGAGTGGGGGCTGTGCCACAAGGTCGACACACCTTTAGGAGAATGGCAGAGATAGTTCGAGGACAACAAGTAGACTACGGCCCAGCTGAGGGGGAAAACGAAGGAACTCCGAAGGGCGAGGCGACGGGAAGTCTGTGGACCAGATCTTTAGAAGAGCGGGGGGAAACCAGAGGAGGGATGGCCAGATCTTATAACAGTCCGCGGCGCCAGCCAGGTTGAGATCGGAAATTCGCGCCGGCAAACGTTGCCCCCCCGGACCAAAGACGGGCAGTACACCCCGGTCCAATCTTGCGCTTATCGGTTCCACGGTGACCCTACCAAGCCCTACCAGTGCCGACGCGGAAGACATGAATGCTAAGTGATAAAGAGCGAGTACAGTTCGGAAAGCAAACTCTACTAAGCTCGAGTCCGAATCGGCCCCCGAGGACGGCCGGCGCAGCAGCCGCTGGGCGCGTGGGCGGCTGGGTAGCCTTAGCAGCGAACATTACGACCCCGCCGCAGCCAGTCAGATTTGATTCTCATGGCATTTCAGGTTGACAGGGGAGTGCTTGTTGTACGCGTTTGTTGGAAAAGGTGCAGCAGCAGTCGGAGATGAGGTTGCGGGGGCATTAGTACTATGGGCAAGCGACCGGGGGAGCATTTCTACGCGCCATTGCCGACTAGTTCCGAGATCGCGGATAGCACCCGAGCGTTGACCTCGTTCCACGCCATCTTGCCGGGAGTCGTTGGAGTACTTGTTTCAGCCGGTTATAATCGAAGGTATGGTTGCGAGCCGAATGCGCTGTTGCTTCGCAGAGAACGTTAAGACAAGGGCTGTGGGTCGACAGGGTCGGAGGGGAAAAGGCGCGGGCGGCAGTGGCGTACAGACGATTGCTTATAGGTTTATGAAACTCCGAAAATCCCGGTATTCGAATTGTAGTGGACAAATTCCCACCCCGATATCCCCTCTCCCCAGCTGCCAAGCCTTTCTTCTCATCCGCCCCGCGGCCGTCTAATCCGCCTTCTTCACGAACCTCCCGATACGGTGCCACCACAAGTTCTCTTCCGGGTCGTCCGGCTTGCCCCACACGCTCGCCTCCGCCCACGTGTCCATCGCGGCCACCCAGACGTGCGTCGGGCGGTCGAGACAGCACCCGTCGAACGCCGCGCTCCAAATCGGCGTCCACGCCTTCTGCCACCACCCGACGTCCTCGCGCGGGCTCAGCACGTGCTCGTAGAACACGAAGGTGCCCCCGGGGCGCAGCACGTCGCGCACGAGCCCCGCCAGCGCGCGCTCCGGCTCCGGCACCGAGCACAGCGAGAGCACCGCAACGAGCGTGCCCGCCGTGCGCTCGCCCCCCAGCGCGGAGGTGATGAGCGCCGTGTCCCCTGCGCCGTATGGGAGGATGAGCAGCGTCCCGTCCTCCTCGGCGAAGCCCGCGGAAGCCGCAAGCCTGCGGATCTCGGCGTGCATGCGCTCGTTCGGCTCGAGCGCGACATATTTGGTGACCTTCGTGCGGTCGAGATGGAGGGCCGTGTGTCCGAACCCTGCGATATCAAATGCGATTCAGAACTCGTGTGCGAGGCTGAGGACGGGACCGCCAAACGCCTCCGCGTCGTGGGGAGGCGGCGTTGATAACGAAAAAGTGCCCCTCACCTGCGCCGATGTCGACGACGACACCGGAGGCGTTCGCGGTGATGAGTCCCTGCTTGATGTCGCGCGTGTTTTCGTCACTCCCAGGCCCCATTTGCGCCCAGACGTGCGTGAAGAAGATGCGTCCGATCTCGCGGGGACGCAGGAGGAGGAGCGGGTTCTGCAACACAGCTCGGAGGGTGGGTAGGAACGCTATCTGGCACGCCATGGCCAGTTGCGACGCAGGCTCGAGCGCCGCGGAGATTTTCATGGTAAGGGTGGGGGGTGAGGTAGTAGGGGGTGAGGTTGGGAGCAAGACGAGGCAACCTCCAGTTGACCCCCACAGACGAACTTGTTTCTCAGTCACGGCTGGTGCGCCGTGACCTCCCACGACGAAGTGGGCCAATCCCAAGGGGCGGAGGGGGCGAGCACTGCTGACCAATTCGCTCTCCGACTGGCCGGAGGACATCATGCCGAGAGGTGGTTAGTTGCTTCTTCACCGCGAGACACGACTAGCGTCGGTGGCGCATGGACTATTATGTGCTGCATCTGAGCACTTACCCTTACCGCGTATTTTCTGAACGGGCTAGAACATTCTCAGCTCGGATGAAAGAAGTCTATAGAATTCATGTTTGGATCCCTAAGATACGTCTACCAAGCTTTTCAACATCCCTCTGAATCACAGCGGTTACCGCACTCCTCACTCTCGCGATCTCTATTGCCGCCTCACCGTCCCCTATGCCGTGCAATGCCTGCGCTACCGGTCCGTGCAGCCAACCACTCATCGCAACTTCCGCGCTATGAGTTTCTTGGGCAAGTCGGACCGGATCACCAAGCCCGCCTGATGTGCCTCGAGGCGCTCCGGGTATCCCGCGCCTCGAGATGAGCGTCGACAACGTGTCACGAAGTTCGTCTGCGAGAACGGGCTCTCCAAAGGTGACGCTGATGTGCGCTCCCCTTTGAGGGATGTATTTGTACGGGAAAGATCGTCCTTCGGGCATCAGTTTGTCAAACCCTACGAGCAACGTCAGCTGCAGATGGTCGACGAATGCGCACAACTGCCAACCTGTGATCCACATAGGAATGATGATAGGTGCGTGTTGTGCTTCCATGATGACACGACCACTGGAATATCGTCGTCAGCTTCAAAGCCATGCACACTATAACCCCGTAAAAATGACTTGTGTAGAGGCTCAGGACCGTGTCATGCTAGTGCCATCCAACATGGAAGTGCGAGGCCCTCTCAGACCAGCAACATGGTTTAAAATACCGTGTTCGGGGGACAATAGTCTGATAGTGGACCAGACAAGTACTGCGACAGCACGCACTGTTTGCGCGGGTACGCGCTTTGTGCGCGATCAACGTCAAACAGACGAGATCCTTCAACTCCGGCCAGTACGTGGACAAACCAAGGGAGTGATGGAATAAGCAAGCTGCATCCCGCAGCCGCGGGTGCAGATGGACGAACGCGCCGAAGTGCCCCAGTCTGTGTCCGAGACTCACAGCTCCAACGCACCCGATTCCCACCAGCGTGTCGACGCGAGAGGCTAGATAAGAAAAAGACACTTACACGCCCCACTTGAAACGTAAGAGCTTGCCGGCCATTGGACTCTTTGGGTCGCACGAAGCTGGGTTGACTTTTCCTTCGCTGAAGAAGTGAATCTACATGCTCTTACATGAGAACCGGCGAGCCCGACACGCGTGAAGACTGATTGCACGTACCCAGTCCCCCTGGTTTAGCCTTTGAATCGCATCGTCGATGGCGGGCTGGAAGATCCCTTTCCCCCTGAACGTCTCGATGACTTGGCCGGCCCGGAAGAAGTGAGAGAACATACTATCTGACAAAGCAGACGGACTGAGCAGCAAAACCATTGACTAGAATCGAGAACACGCACGGGTTCGTGAAGATGACGTCCGACGCGCCCAGAGTCCACCGCGTCATACGCGAGCAGTTCCAGTAGTGGCTTAACGGGAGAACCCCCCAAGCTCCGGGGTCATCCAGGCTGTGTGTTTTATGAAATGAGTCTTCTTTCAGTTATACTAACAAAATATCTCTCACGTGGAAATGTGATTCGCCACTGTCGAGGTAAGTCCGCGCTCAGCACCCGAATGCACACGTTGGCGGATCGAACTCACCAGTAATGATTCCCCTCCCATTACTGCGTTCGTCGTCGGCCAGCGCCTTCTTCAAGTTGTCGAGACCATTGACCGTTACGGAGGCGGAAGTTGCAGGACTGAGGAGGGTCTTGCTGAAGAGGCCGATCGTGCTGACTGTAAGCCTCGAAAGTAAGCTCATGGACGGTGAGACCGCCCCCGTCTCTAGCACCTGAGGCAATACCAGTAGCAAGAAGGGGGGGCTGGGGGCTAACGTATCCAGCCGCAAACGGAGAAGTGAAGGCAGGGGAAGTGGCGAGAGTCGTTACGCGCGTCGGCTTGGCGCAACTCGGAGTCTCGGAAGACGGTGCCGCCCAGCTTGGCGGCGCGCGTCGCAGGGGCGCTCCGCCGCGCGCTGACCGAACCTCGCAGCACCCCGCAGCTGGTCATCATCTTCGCGGACGCTGCCACTCCGCGCGCATCGACCCCACCCCCAGTCTGTCACCCAAGCCGGTGTTGTCGTCCTCCCCAGCGGACGCGGCGTCCTCCCTCCCGCCTCTCCCAGTTCCATTTCCGGCAGCGACGTTCTCGTGGCCAACATTCGTTAGAGGATCAGGTTCTCGTCCAGGGTGAGTCTGAGATTGCGTTGTACGGCATTGGTTTCGGGCTCGACCGGCCGCCCCCAGTTGGTCTCGTAGGGCGCAAGTACTTCGCGGGGCGCGCGAGGATGCCGGGTACATGAGGCGGCGGTGTGTGCGAAGCTTTCCTCCTTCTCTTGTTTTAAACACGCCCGTTCATCGAGCTCCGAAGTCTATGCGCTTCATCCTGGGTGTCCGTGAAGTCTGCGAAGTCGCTGACAATCCCGCTCTCTAGGTGGCCACGCTTCTTCAGGATGTCGCTACTCCAACCCTTGAAGCGCACAGGCGCAGCCTTCATCGCTGCAGTTGGCCGCTTGGACAAGTCGCTCAATCCAAACGATACCATCAACCGCCTCCGCCAGCGCGGTATCTCAGCCGCGGACATATACTATCTCCCACCAATTGCCCTCTCCTTGTTCTGGGTATACATTCTGGATGGATTCCCGGTCAAGCTCATAATACCCATAATCTACATACTCGCCCTCCTGGTCCCCCTCACCTCGCAATTCTTCGTCCCGGCGGGGCCGATCTTCCTATACCTCCTCAGCTTCTTCGCGTCAAAATATATCCCCCTGGAGTACCGGCCCAAACCCTCGGTCGTGCTTCTGCCGACATTGGAGTCCGTGTTGTACGGTGCGAACGTCTCAGACATCCTCACGCGCTTCACCCACCCCATCCTCGACCTTCTCGCCTGGATCCCATACGGCGTTGGGCACTATGTTGTTCCCTTCGTAGTCGCAGCCTTCCTCTGGCTCTTCCGCCAGAAGGAGGTGCTGCATTTCTGGGGAAGGGCATTCGGGTACATGAACCTCACCGGAGTCCTCATCCAACTCGTCTTCCCATGTGCCGCGCCCTGGTATGAGCTCATCTACGGCCTCACCCCCGCCGACTACACCATCCGCGGCTCCCCCGGCGGACTCGCGCGCATCGACCGCCTCTTCGGCTCGAACACCTACACCTCCGCCTTCTCCAACTCGCCCCTCGTCTTCGGCGCCTTCCCCTCCCTCCACGCCGCGGCCGCCACCATGGAGGCCCTCTTCATCTCCCACTTCTTCCCGTGGACGACCAAGTGGGTCTTCGGCTACGCCGCGATCCTGTACTGGGCGACGATGTACCTCACCCACCACTACCTCGTCGACGTCGTCGGCGGCTCCTGCCTTGCCGTCGCCTTCTTCTACCTCCTCCTCCCCGACACCCTCAAGCCCGTCGCGGCCGCGACCGCGCCCCCGGGCGGCGCCGGCGCCGGCGCGTTCCGCTCCAAGTACGCGCTCTACGACCTCGAAGAGCCCCGCGGCCGCGACCGCAGCGCGCGCGGCGGCAGCGGCGGCGCGATCATGCGCGACGTCGAGGCGTACGGCCTCGACGAGCTCTCGGATCGCGAGAGCGACGTCGACGAGGTCGACATCACGTACCGCTCCCCCGTCCCGCCCACCGACGTCCCACATTCGGCCGTCCCGCTCATCGGTGGCGGCGAACGGGGTGGCGCGGCGTCCCCGACGAAGAAGAGTCATCGGCACACGGCAAGCATCGCTAGCCTCATTCGGGCGGAGGAGCGTGGGGAGGAGGGATGGAGCCCGATTGGGGGGTCATTTGCGTTCCCCCCGACGCCAACACGAGCGCAGGCACCAGAGGACGGACGGGCACGGGCGTAGGGACGAAAGTAGATCGGCTGTTTTGTTCGTAACTCAGAGCGTCTTCTGTCTATGAATGAACAACGTATTACGGAGGACCCGCGGTTCACTCCTGTGGAGGAGACGTGGCGCGCGGACCACGAGGTGCGCGAGCGCGAGCTCGAGCGTACACGAGCGGGTCCGGCGCATACTTATTCTACTCTACCTTTCGACACATTCGCCGTGTTGCACCCGCGACGTGTGTACGTGCATGCAGCTCGTCTGTTTGCACTCGTTGATTGGAGCACGACGGAAAGGGTGCCGCGCGAAGCGCGGCGACGCTTGTACATCTAAACATGATGAGTTTCGCTGTGTGTGTCGAAGTCCGAAGAAGAGCCACGGTATTTGAAAAAAGGAATCTGACAAACTCGTACATGCTCGGAATGAGGATCGAACTCATGACCTCAGGATTACCCGTTAAATACGGTCATACTGTCGTATGAGACCTGCGCTCTAACCAACTGAGCCATCCAAGCTGAACACAGCAGAGGATTTAATCAGTCCAGTGCAACTGACTGGAATAGATGGCGAGGGCTCCTACCACTGAGGCTAGAATGGCTTCTCATGCACAACTCCACCCCAACCTCCGCATGCGGCCCCGCTTCCCGGACGCGAACTTCAAACATGCACCCGGCCGGAGGCCTGGTTGCTTCCCATCACCCATCTTGGGCCCACACATCATCCAGTCAGTCGCCACAGTGGTGAAAACAATTACTTCCCCAACGCCCACCTGGGTCCACCGTCCCGCACTGGCATGGATCAGGGTGGAAGGATACAGTGTGCTAACCGTCTGTGAGTTGGTTGTTGGAACTTGGATGGATTAGGGTGATCTAAAGTACATATATGCAGCAATCCGCTGTGTTTCGGCCCAACTTATCTCCCCGTTGACTGCTCCATCGTCACCACCTTGATCTTCAACGGGGTGGTTGGTCGCCACTCATTCGGGAACCGAACGCGCAGGGTAATCTTGACGCGCCTCTACAGCCCGGATCTCCACTGACCCGGCCCTTTAGGGCGGAAAACAAGCTCCGACATAGCTGCAACAAATTCAGCATACTACGGCCGAACTGAAATGTTCGGAAGAGGTGGCATGCTCGGCACTTCACAATCCTGTTCAAATGAGAGTGCGTACTATCGGTAACGATGCATAACCATTCATGCGTGAACACCTGTTCTCGAAGGTTGAGGCAAGCGTTACCTGACCCGGCGTTCCCTGGATACGAGGCTGATGGCATCCCTTCGGCATCGTAGGCGTTGTACTGCTCAATCTCAGCTCATCGTTTCCGGTACTGGATTTTTGGTCCACGGCTTCGCCACCCTCGAGTTACCCCCGCATCCGAAGATCAGTTCCCCCCTCCTAACGATGAGGTATATGTCTTTCGCTTCACGCTCACAACTTTAGCTCACATGCATAGCTCTTCTGCGTCAAGCGTTTCTCGTGTAGCTCGAGACCAAGGTGCCACTTTTGGGGCCCGCGACAACCGGTATTGCTCCTGCGGTCCTAGACGAAGGTGCTGCCCATACGACTCCAAACTCAAAGTCTGCGTCACAAGATCATTAAATTAACCTCCATCCTACGAAATGTACCCTTCGATTCTTAGTACTCTTGGTTTGATGGTCCCCACTGCCGAGTTTGTGAGCCTTTTATGTCCCATGGTGCTTATCATCACCTCGCTAAACTTTTGCGAAGCTTCTTGTATCTAGCAGAGTCGAAGGCGTCCAGGGAACCGAACCCTCCAGCCCTCCAGCCCCAGTCCTTCACCTCGGCCACCTGTCCCCTTGAGCACAGACAGCCGTCAGTCTACCGCCATTGTGAAGGACAAACCCGTATACTTCGCACCCAACACCAGCTACTGCACAAGCGCCGATTTCAAGCCCGACGCAGCATCCGCCCACACCGGCGTCAGCTACCCTCGATCCCGTCTCACGGACGGCCTAGTCGAAGGCGGACTCACGGCTCCCCCAGAGCGTGAGCACAACTCCTGACATGTTCTTCAACGGTGACGGGCCCCAGAAGTTCCCGGGCGCTGAGGCACGACGCAAACCCACGGCCATAACGCATGACCTGACACTTGACCGAAGTATTCATCCAGTTCGCCGTTCGGGCTCTCCTGGACACCCGGCCCCATGCTCGTCAGGTGGTGGACCGAGCGTCCGATGCACATGCTCTTCGGTGCGTCACGCGGTACCTCTCTCGGTTGCGTAGATGACTGACGGTCGCCTGCCTTGCTTGATAGATTATTTCTCTTCCTTGAAGCGTGCGTGCTCGTCAACCACGTCGTCGTCGACCCAAAGGGCTCACCTCGACGCCATGGTTCTACGCAATGATTGTAAGTCTCTATCCTTCACCTTCAAACGATTGTCACGGGCGAGGTCTGGTCGTGTACATCTCTAGGCAGGCAAGGTAACACGGCCTGGTTCTATCCCGGGCAGCCGCAAATTGCAGCGATGCTCAACTGCTCCGGGAGCGTCGCAGTACTTAGGCGTGGCCAACGGCATACGAGACTTCCCCCGAATTTCCGCAACGTGTTATTTGTCATGCCCCATGGATCAAGTCATTTGCATCGCCGAAATTACGAGTGTAGACACACGGCGTTCATAAGTACCCGGAGGGTGGCATTGCCCGCCGACGATCTTTTACGACAGGCCCATGTTTCACTGATACTCTTTTGTCGCCTCGCTTCGGAACAAAGTGGCACCGAATCCCTTCAAACATGACTCGATGAGCTCGCGGCAGAACTTTGCTTGCAGTTTTTCTGAAGGGGGCGCTCGGAGGTGGAGCGTCAACGACTTCCGGCATGGCATTAGGTTTGGCAGTTGGCTCGGCAAAACCTAACCTCCGTGAAAAAAATCTTTCTGCCGTAGGTCAGTTTGGAGCGTGCCGATTCCTGCCGAAGGTCCAGAGGAGCGAGTTATCCATATATAGGCCCCCGCAGGTAGTCATCCTGGGTCGAAGATGATTCAAAAAAGTCGTGGTGCTCACTTGGGTTGGTCGAGTCCTTGATATGCTCGGACCATCATACGCGTATCAAGCATTTCAACGTACCTCGACATTTCGGCCTAAGAGAATCTGGTGCGGCGGCACTGGGCCCTACAGGAGTCACTTTAACTCACTTAAACGTCATCTGCTGCGTTGCATGTGTGTGGCTCCGGGCTGACCGGACCCATGATAGTCGCCACTAGCGTCCCGAGGTTAACTTCAACTCTAAATTTCATACTTGGTCTTATTAAACACTCGGGAACAAATAGAACACCGGATCTCTGACCACATGAACTGTTCTTTATTATTTCTTCTGTTTCGAGACTCCGCTAGGTCTTGCCAATACGCGACTGAGGCCATCTAGCTCAGTGGGACATGTCGAGCGCGTTCCACGAATACTGTGGCGGTGATTGAGAGCGCGCAGGATGCTAGGATTGGTGTGAACACGTCAAAAACACGCCAATAGCTTACATTCCTCGCCCTCCCCCTTCAGTTGACCTGTGAATAACCAACGTCTCCGTCGACGCTCTCCTGAAGCCGCACGATCCTCTCCAACATCTTCCGCCCGCGCGGGTCGAGCGTGTCTCGGAAGCGCTCCTCCTTCATCCACCGCAGCCCGTGCTGCAGGATGTTCCGGGCGCGCGCTGGGCCGCCGCGCACCTCCCCGATGCACGCGTGCAGCGTGATGCGCTCCTTCGTGTGGTCGTACGCCGCGCAGTGGAGGATGTTGTTGTTGTAGAAGACCGTCTCGCCCGGCTGGAGCGTCACGCGCACCGCGCCCGGCATCGCGAGCGGGTCCTCGGGCGCGTCCATCGTGCAGGACCGGGCGCGCTGCGCGGGCGTGCGCGGTGCTTTGTGCGAGCCCGGCACGATGAATAGACACGCGTCTTCACGGAGCGCGCTGCAGGCACGGCGGCGATACGGGTGAGGAATGCGGCGGTGCAGCGGAAGCAATGTGGACAATGGGAGGAGGAAGAACGTGAGTCTGCGGTAGAGGGAAGGAGGGCGTGGACGAGACGTACGTGTTCCATTGAACCTGAGGGTCAGAAGCCAAGTCAGAAGCCGTCACTGCAGGGGGCGAAGAATCGACGGAGTCCGGAGATTCACTCACTCCGTGGTGCCACACGGCGAGAGCCTCACGTTCTTCCTCTTCTGTCGCAGTCTCCCGTACATCGTCGCGGTGCCACCGCAGTGCAAAGGAGTGAGAAGTGGGGTTAATGAGCATATTGAATAGTTCTGTGTGCACTCCGTGTTAATATCCGCTTTTTGACGTATATCCAGAGGGGGGGGGGGGGGTAATTTGAGCGCATGGACCGATTGTGGAGTACGATAGAACTTTATCCACGCGCACCATGCAGACGCTTTGTCCACAGGCTCGAAGGACACGTACGATACCCAAGAACAACATTGAGGACTCACCCATCTGGAGGTCATCTTCTCCACACCCCATCAACTGTTCCACGACATCGAGGAGCGCATCGGAGGTGTACCAGCGCGCAAATACCGTTTCGCCAAGGTCGGGGTGCATGAGATGCTGCACGCCCCACGAATCCGTGTTGCTATCGTCGAAGGGCGGAAATTGGCGGCCGACAGTGCGGCGGTGTGCCCACTGGCCCGCACGGGTAAGCTTGATAACGTGCTTCGCGGCATTTTCGAGGTTAGAGAGGTGATCGGAGGTAACGAGACCTGGGATGATAACGAAGCCCTGCTCGTCGTAGAGCTGCCTGAGGGTAGGAGAGGGTCCGACGGTCATGGCGAGCACAGAGGAGCTATGCGGGAGGTCAGAGTTTGGTTCAAGAGCGGATAGCAGATACGTGCGCCCTGTCTAGCTTTAAAACTGGTCCGGCCCTGGCCTCGCGTCGTGGTTGGCGTGCGATAACGATTTGGGACTCCTTCACGCCACAAGCTCGAGCGACTTGCAGGATATGCCCCGCGATGCAGCTAGTGCGGACTGGCCGTGTCCGAAAGCTGAGCGCAGCCTTCGTTGACCGGTCGTTCCCATGGCTTGATTAGGGCCTCTGACGTCGGCGCAAAGGAGGGTGGAAGGTGGGAATGGACTGAAGTTTAACTGAAGGTTGATAAGAGTTTAATTCGAGACAGCACTGGCGGAAGGGTTACAATCCTCGATTCTGGTGGGAGGCAGCGCGCGGCAACCGAAAAAGTTGGCGGCAATAATTTCGGCGCTTTGGGTTTGATCAATGATGCAGCTCCGAAGCTTGAGCTTGAGGCGCCACTTGCAGAATTTAACCTGTCCCACACTTTATTCCCGCCCACTACCACCGTAGAGTAACGCGGCACGAAACTCGCGCTTCCGTGGGCCAGAGTGGACTTTGGGGTTTATGTGACGTTGGTGAGTGGTTCATTCCAATGTTCCTCCCTATGTGCATGCATCCGGTTGCTCCGAGTCCTTGTTGTGCGCATATTTCAGCCTCGGCGGTGCCACGCGTTTTTTGTGCGGCTCGCCGTATACCCAAACATATAGTCCCTGTGCGCCCCGTGCTGAGGCCACATCCCATTCCAGTTCCTACGCTAAGATGGCAGCCGTACTCTCGACCCCTGCTCCATCTTCAAGCACCGTGCATGCAGGCCTCCTCCAAACGTTTGCGTCAGTCACGGAAGGGTTGACGGGCATCGGTGCTGTCCCCGTGTTGCAGTACCTCAACGACGGTGTCCTCGTCAGCAACGTTGCTCCCGTCGATCCACCTGGCCGTCAACCGTCCTCGCACCCTCCGCCTTCCATTCCAGATCTCGAACGTCACGTCAACGTCCCTCGCGCCGTCGCCCGCCTCCATCAGGCTTGTCAACACACCTTTGGAAGCACTGATGCACTCAAGTTTGATTTTGATGAGGACGTCGCCACGCATGGTACGTCGTTGAGCCCTCTTACGCAACCCTTTGTCCAACTGGTTTCCAGCGAAACGTTGTGTTGTCACCATCACCCGTCCCAACGGCTTGTCTCGCACGTATGTCTCGTCGTCGGCTTGGGAGAAGAAGTACGATGCCAAAGCCAGTGCATGCTCCGTCGCCATCGAGAACGGCGCGATTGAATTCATCCAAGCGGGGGAGAATGCCGGTTCGGTTGACCCTACCACACCAGGCGTTCTCTCTCTGCCTTCCGAGACGGATGAAAGTGTCAAAACCATCGAAAAGTGCTGCCTGGAAGTCACTGCCGGAACGGTCAAGCCCCACTGGCGAATCATCAACGAGCCCAAATTTGGTAGAAGTACGTGTCCTTGTATGCTGCGGCTGACCACCCACGGCCGTCCGCTGACGCATGTGCTTTTCAGCGCAGGGCTGTGCACTACGGGTGCGCTTCAACGTCAAAGAATATCGCGTCTATTCTGCCAACGTGATATACAGCTCTCCGTCTGAGGCGATGAAAGCTTGTGCCGAGGCGGCTCTCGCTGAAGGAGTCCTCGACTTCATCAAGACGTGGTCTACCGCTGCTGGAAGCCCTCCCGAAGACCCTCAACCTCCCACCATCATCACGTTGCAGCAGTTCTTCGAGTCATTGCCCCAGCCCTTGCCCGAAACGCTGCCATCGAAGGTTGCTTCGGAAATCAACGGCCCCGCTTGGTTGAACGGGCTTATCCAGTCTGCGAGAGGCGGGAAGATTGTGCCCAATTTCGTTTGGACCGCTGACCCTGTACTCGGATGTGCGTCCACAGAAGCCTTGTGCGCTGTTCTCGTGACACTGACATGTCATCCTTGCAGTCCACGGGTGCCTCCTTCGTCTTGAGCGTCCCGGGGAAGTCAAATCATACCTCGTCGACCCACGCTTCTCGAAACGCACCGAAGCCAAGGCGGCCGTTTGTCTGCTTGCGATGTGGGAAGGCGTGGGTGCCCACATTCGGAGCATCGCCAAAGCCATTGAAGACAAGATCCCGCCCCAGGCTCGCAAACACGCGAATGAGGTGCTCGCGCCGACCCTCAATACCGAGTACCGCAAGGTCAGAGGGCCAGGTGTCCCCCCTACAATTGAACACGACCAAGATCTCGATGGTGTGTGCGCCTCTCCCATGGTTCGCCCCTATCTGCTTATGGTGATATGACAGCCTGCGGCGCGACGCTTGTCGTCGAACTGGAGGCGAACCCGGACCCCAGTTCGAGTGCTCAGCTGGTACGAAGGTACTCCGTGCCTGCTGAGTACCGCAATCGGGCGGATGCGAAGCTCGCCGTCATCATAAAGGCGGTCGATGAGGGCGTGATTGACTTCCTGCGTCTGCGCGGCGCGCCACCGCCGCCTGGATACGTCCCATTCACTTCATCTTCTCAGTACGACTTCCCCCGCAAGCGGAAGATGTGGGAGTCGGTGCCGGGAGCCGGGGGCGAGTGGGGATCCAGTCAGTATGGTGGCAGCGGCGCAGATGCAGGTGGACATGGGAACTGGGCGAATAAGAGGCATCGTGTGGATGGCGGCGTGGGGCAACGTGGTCATGCATTCCATCCCCACGGGAGGGGGCATATGACTAGTTACCATGCTGGTCGAGGTGGTTGGCAGGTGCCGTCCTTCACCACCTGGCAGCAGTCTCCGCCTTCATCTGGGTTCCCCCCTTCTCAGACACATGTCCAGCCTGGGGGTTACATGCCGCAACAGCAAGCGACTCCTTTATTCGGTGCTCCGACTCCCTTCTCGGGAGTGCCAATGGTCCACGGGCAACAATATGTTTCGACACCGGCTTACGCTCAGCCCCCAAGTGGCTTGGACCTGGGCATCTCACCCGTTGCAGGGTCCGGCTACTATGGTGCGGGTGTTGTGCCTCATACGGTCTCTCCTGCCCCCTTCCAAGTACTCCCTATCCCGGCGGCGGCCCCGTACGGCGTGCCCCCCGGGGTTGCGGCGCCGTCGCCGTACGCTAACGGGCCGTACTTCCCTAACACACCTTCCATTGGCTATTCGCCACAATATCCGAACATCACAGCACCTGCGTCGCAACCTTTCATACCACAACAACAATTCCAATCGGGTCTTGCCACGCCCTCCCAATATAATGTCGCGCCTTATAATCCTATGCTGCCGGGCGTCGTCCCTACCACCCCATCTTTCTCGAGTCCCTTCAGCACGCCATCCATACATCAGAATACTCCTGCTTCTCAGCCTCCGCCCCCACCCCAACCTCCTCACTTGCCATCACCCATCACCCCGACACAAGCTATGCCCCCTCCCCCTTCCGCCGAGACCATTGCCGCGGCAAAGGACATCCTTCCCGCCATCTCTGGGGACGGACGAGATTACCGTGCCGAGCTAGAGGGTACGTCTCCCTCCGCGGGTCTTTGTGCCCGCCCCCACCACCGACACTGACGGTCGAACAGCGTACTGCGTGAAGAAGAACATGAAGAAGCCTCAGTGGTACAGCAAGACCGAGGACGACCTTCACCACGCCTGGGTCGTCATCGACCGGGTCAAGTACGAGCTCCCGACGCGGTTCCGCAAGTTCGAGATGGCGCAGAGGAAGACGGCGCAGAAGGTGCTCGAGACGCTCGCGAGTCAGGAGCAAGCGAAGGAGTCGGAGTCGTCCAAGGCCGCTACTTCGAAGTTGTAGGCGGCGTGCTTGGGGCGAAGGAAGTCGAATGCCGGAACATGGGGCGGCTGTGATGCAGGACAGAGTGGTGTCGAGGTTCTTTCGTGCGTATCCTGGCTTTGGCGCTTTGAATGCGCGTTCGGTATTGTACAAATTTCTTGGTTATGCACACCTTTGTCTCCACCGCGTGACCCACGCTCGTCGCAGGTGTGGTAATATTCGCGGAGGTTTTCGGTAGAGGGCATACGTACATTTGGCACCGCTTCGTGTCCACGACTGGCAGAAGCCCGCCGCGTCGTTCTTGCTCGCTCCATTGCCCAGATGTCGCCAGATGGCGCGATCGTCGATATTTCGTGCGCCATTGAAAAGCTGCCCACCGCCGCTTTCGGGCGTCGACGACCCGCACCCCTTTGCTCCCGTCCACCATCATCATGTCCCATCGTTTCTACAAGTGAGCACCTTCTTCTCCCTAGGGCCACCCACAGGGTCGATTTCCGCGCCCCGCGTGTGGCGTCCGCAACCGCTGATCACAGCAAGCACCGTTGCAGGGAGCCCGAGTTCGAGACCCTCCAGCTGCACGCGGGCCAGGAGCCGGACCGCGCAACGAACGCCCGCGCGCCTCCCATTTACGCGAGCACCTCCTTTGTCTTCAACGACTCTCAGGCGCGTTTCCACATCTTCCCACCTCCCTCTATGCGCGCCCATCAGGAAAGCTGACACCCACAACTGTCTTGTAGCACGGCGCGGATCTCTTCGGACTGCGGTGTGTCCAGACGTCGCGCCACTTTGACGCCCGGAACTAAACGAGGACGGGGATGACGCAGGGCGTTGGGCAACATCTACTCGCGGATTGGCAACCCGACGGTCGTGAGCACCCCATTTTCTCATTCTGGCTTCCCTCTGTGGTGCTGAGTGCGCATTTTTGTGGTTGTAATCTCGTAGGATGTGTTCGAGAAGCGCATTGCGGCCCTGGAAGGGGGTGCCGCTGCTGTCGCTGCGTCTAGCGGACAGTCTGCTCAATTCATGGCGATCGCTGCGATCGCTAAGGCAGGGGACAACATCGTGTCAACGTAAGTGGCTCTCGCAGCAGGATTTTCCAGACTTCCCCACGCTTAATCCTCCGGCCTAGATCGTATCTATATGGTGGAGTAAGTTAAGCACTTTCGACGGTCGCCACGTGTGTAGGGTCTGATCGCCTGCCTAACTCCTACAAGACGTACAACCAGTTCAAGAGTGCGCTCTTCTTCGAGCTGAATGAAGGGCGGAGCGATGTCTGATCATGCTTCGTAGTCTTCCTCAAGCGGTTCGATATAGGAGTCAAGTTCGTGACCAGTCCTGAGCCCAATGCGTTTGCCGCGGTCATCGATGATAAGACAAAGGCCATCTTCGTCGAGAGCATCGGAAACCCCAAGTACAACGTGTCCCCGCTTCCTGAGCTCGCAAAGGTACCGCTCCTCTCCTCCTTTGACGTCTCCCAGCTGAAGGTTCGGTAGATCGCACATGACCATGGCATTCCCCTCATAGTGGACAACACATTCGGAATGGGCGGTAGGTTTGACGCTTTTGGCATGCGCTATCAGCGTGGTGGACACTGGGCACTGCTCATTCATTTTCGACAGGCTATTTGATCCGTCCCATTGATCACGGCGCAGATATTGTTGTCCACAGTGCTACGAAGTGGATCGGTGGGCACGGCACCACCATTGCCGGAGTCATTGTTGACAGCGGTGGGTGCACTTACGCATGCTTTCCGTTCCCTTCTTTGACGACGGGCTCTTACAGGGAAGTTCGATTGGGTGCGCTCTGGGAGGTTCCCCGACTTCACCGAGCCCTCCGAGGGGTATCACGGTCTGAAGTTCAGCGAGACGTTCGGCCCCCTCGCGTTCGCGGTGAAGGTCCGCGTCGAAGTCCTTCGGGATCTCGGATCGGCGCTCAACCCCTTCGGCGCGTTTCTGCTACTGCAAGGGCTCGAGACCCTCAGCCTCCGCGCTCAGCGCCACTCCGACAATGGCCTGGCCCTTGCGAGGTGAGCCATTTCCGTCTGTCCATTCCTTTCCCTATCGCTCGACATATGCATGGAATGGAGCTGCGAACGCTCATCACGTCACCTAGGTGGCTCGAGCAACATCCGAAGGTGTCCTGGGTGTCATACCTCGGTTTAGAATCGCACCCATACCACAAGGCGGCGCTCCAGCTCCTCCGTCCAAACGCGTTTGGGGGAATGCTCAGCTTCGGGATCAAGGGCGGCGACGCGGCGGCGGGCCGGGAAGTTGTCGACCGCTTACGTCTCGCCAGCAACCTCGCCAACGTCGGTACGTCGGCGCACCCTCCGATAAGAACTCTGAACTGTGTCTGACGTGGAGAACGGTGCTCACCCTACCGTCATCCTGCAGGTGATGCGAAGACGCTTGTCATTCACCCCGCAACGACCACCCACCAGCAGCTTACGGACGAGGAGCAGCTCGCGTCGGGCGTTACCCCGGACCTCATCCGCGTACGTTTTCGAGCCCTCGGCTTGCTCATATGATTGCCTGAACTCCTTCGTTAGGTCTCTGTGGGCATCGAGAACGTGTCCGACATCATCGCCGACTTCGAGCACGCCTTCCAGTCCGTCCCATGATCGAGTCATTCTCACAAAAGAGAAGGGAAGAGTGTTAGGCCAAGCGGCGCTTACGTGTGTAGTAGCCTATTTGGCAACTTGAGAGTATAACGACGAACTTGTTCACAACCTGACTCGCGCATGGTCTATTGATCCTGGCCGGTTACTAGAACCTTATCGAGACCTCGGAGCGCCGACCAGATTTGAAAGGAACCGTACGTACCGCCCCGGTTATGAATAAGCTGGAACCCGACCATTCCCGGGTCCACGGGCGAAACCGCTACGGAGGTGGTCTGCGGAAACGACGAAGGGCTTGCTCCGGGTCAGAACGCGATCAGTGTGAGACCTTCAAGGATCTTATATTTGTCCTCACTGTTCTAATATTTTCTAGTTCTCAGAGGGTACAGGGCGTTAGGGAATCCTCGGCGAGGCTGGGAAGGCCGCAGGGCCCCGTTCACCCTCTCTCACAAAGACGTGACCACGTCAGCCGGTTGAAAGACACAGCAGATCTCGTGCTCTCAGGCGCTCCGTTCACGGGACGTGGTCCGGATGTAGGCTGCTGCGTACGCACGCGATCGCCGACCCCGAGGAGCGTGGATGAAGACGTAGATCGCGAAGTGGTGAGATAATCTATTTATCATTATCCGCAGCACTCTCGGACGGTTTCCCGAGACCTGGTGGACGGCCTCACGCCGTCTGAACTCTTTCCTTGTAAGAACAAAAGGCGTGGATAAGCCAAGGACATATAGAAGGCGACGCCTATTGTCCCGTGTAAATCCTGCTGACTATACAGCACGCCCGTTCCCCCAGTACAGAATCCACACGTAACATCTAAAACGAAGAGGCTTCGGTGCGATTGTCTCTTCTCTTATTTTTACTTGCTCTGGCTTCGTTCACCAATCACTAGGCGCAGTCGCTCACTCTGAAGCAGTTCTATGCCGTTAGAAGAAGTTCACCGCGCCACCCGGGGCGACACGAGGTGAATTCTGCATTCAGCCTCGAAGCATCCTTTGCTTACTGAGTGTCACACCAGACTGCAGGTGTGGAGACAAAGGTCTTCTGCACACCCTGACAGCATCCGGGCAACACGCCATGGGCCCACGGCGCGAAAAGGTCTACGTCGTCGGCACTCGACTTCATGCATAAAAAGCTCCCTGTTGTCGCGACAAGGACATCAGTCTCATCGACGCATCCCCAAACATGATCCCTCCAAAGCAACCCAACAAGTTCGCCAAGTGAGTTGTGTGGTTCCCTCCTGGTTTTACGCGTCTCATCAATATACTTTTGCGCATAGGATCCCCGAGTTCGAGACGCTCCAGCTTCACGCCGGCTACGAGCCCGAAGGCACCACAGGTGCCCGCGCGCCACCGATCTATGCTAGCACGAGCTATGTCTTCAAGAACTCAGCAGTACGTCTGTCGTAGCCCTGCCCATGTGTTTTTCGAAGCGCTCACCATCCATTGCAGCACGGTGCCGACCTGTTCGGCCTGCGGTGAGCTCATTCATTGCAGCCCTGGCTGATCGCTGTCTCTGATGCTGATGCACATACACCCAGTACAAACGGTAACATATACTCGCGCATGGGGAACCCGACGGTTGTGAGTACATCGTCATGATTCTCTCTAGAGCGTCGGCTGAGTGATTCCGCAGAGCATGTTCGAACAACGCATGGCTGCACTCGAGGGCGGCGTCGCTGCCGTGGCTACGGCTAGTGGTCACGCAGCGCAGTTCATGGCTATCTCTTGCATCGCAAGTGCAGGCGACAACATCGTTTCCTCGTGCGTGTTCCGTTTGGTCTTAAGGTATAGATCCCCGGCTTCATTCTAATATCTTGACAGGTCATATTTGTACGGCGGGACCTACAACCAGTTCAAGGGTATGTTCCTCGAAAATGTCTCCTAGTAACGTCGGCTAAGATGAGGTTTGTAGTGTTCATGAAGAAGTTCAACATCACCATGAAGTTTGTCCAGAGCGAGGACCCAGCCGAGTTCGCCAAGGCGATCGACTCGAAAACAAAGGGGATCTACGTCGAGAGTATCGGCAACCCCAAAAACACTGTCGCTCCTCTGCCCGAACTCGCGAAAGTGAGCAATCTTGTCAGGTGCACTCTTGTTGGGCTCATGTCGCCATCCACAGGTCGCGCATGATAACGGTATCCCCTTGCTTGTCGACAACACCTTTGGCATGGGTGGTACGTGAAATGAACCACTCTACACATGATCGCGAAGTTCACGCGCACTCTTACAGGCTACCTCGTTCGCCCCTTCGACCACGGCGCCGACATCATCACTCACAGCGCGACGAAGTGGATCGGTGGGCATGGCACAGTCCTTGGTGGGGTCGTCATCGATGGCGGTCCGTCCCCCCGCTTCGCTGCCCCCGCGTTCCTTCGCTTATCTTTCCTATAGGCAAGTTCGACTGGGCCAAGTCTGGCAAGTTCCCCGACTTCACCGAGCCTGCGGAGGGCTACCACGGCATGCGCTTCGTCGAGCGCTTCGGCGACGCTGTCTTCGCCGTCAAGTGCCGGCTCGACGTCCAGCGCGACCTCGGGCCCTGCATGGACCCCTTCCCCGCATTCATGCTCATGATGGGCATCGAGACTCTCAGCCTCCGCGCCGAGCGCCACTCCGAAAACGCGCTCGCGCTCGCGCAGTAAGCCTCCTTCCCATCCCCTCCTTCCGCTCCCGAATCAAACGCGGTTTGACACGCGCGGTCCCCAGGTGGCTCCAACAGCACCCCGCAGTCGCCTGGGTGTCCTACCTCGGCCTCGATAGCCACCCGTCGCACACAATGGCGCTCCGCATCCTGAACCGCAAGGGCCAGTTCGGCGGCATGCTCAACTTCGGCATCAAGGGCGACGCCGCGGTCGGCGCCGCGGTCGTCGACGCCATGAAGCTCGCGAGCAACCTCGCCAACGTCGGTGCGTGACCCACTTCCCCCTTCCAGCCCGTCGTCCCCGGGAGTCCGATCGCTCACGCGACCACGCATGGCGGCAGGCGACGCGAAGACGCTCGTCATTCACTCCGCGACGACGACGCACCAGCAGCTGACCGCGCAGGAGCAGATCGAGTCTGGCGTCACCCCGGACCTCATTCGCGTACGTCTCCTCCCCGTGCGCTCGGCGTCTTGGTCGCACGTTTGCTTCCCGAAGCTGACGACGCCTCTCGGCTTGCAGGTGTCGGTCGGCATTGAACACATCTCGGACATCATCGCCGACTTTGAGCTCGCGCTCAAAGCCGTGCCTGTGGATAAGTGAATGAACTTGTTGCTGTAGACTTGTCCTGGACGCGCGTACTGCGATCCGCTCCATTCTTGTACTCTGCGTTGTAATTCTACTCGGCCACAGGGCAAGCCCGGCCCCGGCGTGTGATAAAGAGTCGTCAACAACTATCATTAACGGCGGTGACGTGTGGTTGGGGTGCTATGCACTAAGATATGTAGTTTCGTGCCGTAAGCAGCAAAAATTATGATAGTATTGACAGCCTCACAATTTTGCTCGGAATGAGGCTCGAACTCATGACCTCAGGATTGCCCGTCATCAACGGTCATACTTGTGTATGAGACCTGCGCTCTAACCAACTGAGCCATCCAAGCACTCCACCAATTACCGCTCGTGTATTTATGATCACTAACGGTGACCTACTGTCATCTGGACGCTCTGACTAAGTACGCGACAGGTGTCCGGAGTCCGGACTACGGCCTACTACGGCCCTCGTCGCCGCCGTCAGCGCGTACGCGTCAGCCCCATTCCCACGCTGCTCTGCATCTCTGAGTCTCAACGTCAACTCTGGCCCACCGCCCCGCTGTTCTCCCTATATCTCTTTCACCCTCCCGTGTGGCGTCCACTCATAAGTCGCGATCATCTCCAAAGTCGACAAACCAGCGTGCCTTCAAATGGATGGTCAAATAGCGGATGTGGACCACTGAGTATGTAGCGCGGATAAGGTGCGCAACTCTTGAATCTCTCCCGATGTCAAGCTCCTTATACATATCGCCAACCACCGGCTTTAGAACATAGTGTGCTGCCTCGACATATCTGCGCACACATATCCCTGTGAGTCCTCCAGTAGCGCGATGCAATGGGTAGCCTGTTCAGAGGGCGGGGAATACTGTGGTAGTCTCGGTTTCGCAATGAAAACAATGTCTGTCCCGAGTTGAGCGTGCGACGTCCGTCATTGCGGGTGGAAACCCCCACAGCGAGGTGATTAGGTTCGCGCTCTCCTTTGGTCTGCTCTATCACTCCGTCCGACAAACCTCCAGCGGGGGATCGAGCTTATAACGCACCATCGTCTTCTCTCCTCTATCGTCCTATCATGTCGTCCCCCCGCTTCCCTATTGAAGTCATCGAGAACATGATCGATGAACTCGGTGCAGCTGAGGAGACCGCAGTCCTCGCTCGTTGCATCCGGGTACACAAGTCGTGGATCACCCGGACTCGCATCCATCTCTGGCGCACGCTCACAATCTCTAGCCGTGAGCAACTCCCCATCATCTGCGCCACGTTCGACCGTTACCCAACTCTGCAATTCCTGGTCGAAGTTGTCCAGCTAAAGCCTGACCGCTCGGTGAAGCCTGATGTGCTAGGCTGCCATCCGTTCCCTCTCACTGCCCCGGTCGTCCTCCTCCCATACCTCATCCACATCCGGGCATGGGAGTTTCTTGCCCATGGATACACACCCTTTCCACTCCAGCGAGCGACATTGGTTTCCCTGGGCCAGTATCGGGACGTGAAACGGGTGATCCTCTGTGGTGTATATTTCAAGAACCTTTTCCACTTCTATCCCCTCCTGAACGCTTTTCCTGCCCTGGAAGAAATCAGCCTAGAGCAAATGGATCTATTTCCTCCATCAAATCATTCCCTTGTGCCTACTCATGGTAGACGAAGGGGCTTGCAGCGACTTCGATACTTCGACCAGGTGACATCTGTTGAATTCACCTCGTTGAGATCAAGCTGATAGCAACGCAGTCGCTGTGTGACCTGCCTTCGACTATCTGTGCTGCGGCAACCACGCTGCTCGTCAAGAACACTGCGACGCTTGTGGTTCTCGAATTGGAAGGCTCTTGGCTCGTGGGTACGAGAGCATGGCACTTGCTACGTGAATGCAGCTGACTCCGAAATGCATCCTCGGACCAGGCTTGGACATCACATTGTGTCACAACCTTGAGTCGCTCTCCGTCTGGATGAATCACTCGAAGATTAGCCATCACGTACTGGACCATACGGTATTGCGCGTTTGTATGAACCTCCCGGAGTCGCTACGCACACTCCGTCTAGTGTGTCATTCCGCGAGTGTGTACTGCGGGTGTGACGATAAGGAACAGAGCCTAGAAGCTATTGAACAATTCTCCCAGGCTGTATCTCGCCATAATGGACTCCGTCTCGTGTGTCTAGTTCACGACCCCCCACGGAATCACCTCGTAAGGTGGAATATTCTGTTTGTGCGATGGTTCCAAAATCTGCACGATCAAAACCTACTGCAAATTTTACCTCCGGATACCCTGGGCACGTTTGCTCGTCAATATCACAAACAGCAAGCACTGACTGCTAGAATGACAGGGCGGCGACCTATCGGCATCTCTGGAAGACGTTGCACACCTTACGGATCTGCGATCCATCTCAGTTGCCTTGTTGTCAGTTCCCGTGGAGACTGGGCGGCGAGCATCGCGCGTTCAGAGGGGACTGACACAACGGAGCTCACAATTTGGGACACCGAGCCGGGCATCCCCGTACTCAGCGAGTGGTACGAAGAACACCACCCCAGTGACCAGCCCCATTGCGTTGCGTTTTCTCCCGACGAGGCGCAATTTGCGTATGCTTCCAACATGGCCGTCCACATGTACTCTCTCTCCCTTGCCACTAGCTCCACAAAATCGAGCAAGATCCCCCAGAGAATCGGACGCCTTCCCCTGGATGTTAAAGACGCGCCTTTCGTCGGGGTGCTCTGGTCGCTGGACGGCACTCAGATATTTGTTCAAGACGCCCTGGCTCGGGTATATGTCTGCGATGCTTCGAGCTTCGCGCATCTACGCTTGCTCCTCGTACCACCCTCCGACCTGGCCGAGATTCATCATGGGTACTCAGAGCACCGGGCCATCCTCGGATGGGAGTATGGTTTATCTACAGTCGGTCATCATTTTCTTTCAAACCTACGATCCCGGCGGGTCAGAGGCAAGACCTACAGCTTTCTTTGGGATTCGAGCATCGGGACCTGCCGTTACAAGTTGACCGACAGCCAGAGCTCTATCTCCAGCAGCAGTGTATTGTGGAGCGGAACGAAAGAAGAGGATCAGTTGCATATCGTCTCGATATGCCAGGATGGAACTCTGCGCAAATCGAAGGTCACATCCGAAGCGGTCGATGATACACAGGCAGTGGCCCTGCCAATCAACGAACCCAACTCATCATTCCGCTTCCCTTCGTCACCCTTCACCGCCGACGGTGCTCGTCTCATGGTGCGGCCAGACCGTCAGTCATGGTTGGTGGTGGACACGATGACTGCGTCCACGCTTTTTCGTCTCGATTATGCTGCAGACGTTTATGATATGCAATGGTCCGCGGACGGACGGACGGCGATATTTGAAGCCAAAGAAAAGGACTACCGGATCTGGAACATCGAAGAAGGGACCACAAAGGCCGTCTTTCGGTGGCCAGACGGTCGCAAGTGCGGCAAGTATGGGATCTCGGCAGACGGGTCGATGGTCGGACTCTCGAGCGAACGAGGAGATGTGGTTTTCCGCCGTGTCAGTGACCTCATGGCCTTTGCTGTGGATCCGTAGATCAGTCATATTGACGCTTGATTCCTTGATGTATTTGTACATTTACCAAAAATCAAACGCGTCTTGTGCGTCGGAGTGCCTGCCAACAGCCTCCCAAGACAAACAGCTCGTGAAAGCCACAGTGTTAGACCTTCCGGCTTGGCGACGCTCATCGTTTACAGCGATGCCGGCGCACTAATTTTTGCACTCCTTCTATTCACATACATCATACAACACACGCCACTTGCGCTGGCATACGCCTACGGAGCATCGCTCGTGGGCGACAAGAACGCCCCGTTCTGCTCCGGGGTCAGTCCCTCCATCTTCCCCACCGCCGCCTCCACCGTCGGCACGACGACGGGCACCCCCTTCGCCCTCCACGCCGCGATCTGCGCGCTCATCGCCGCGAGGAGCGCGGGGTCGAGGTCCCCGGCGGCATGGTCGCGGTGATGTCCACCGTGCCCGGGGAGATGGTGGCGACAACGAAACCCTCCGGGGCGAGCTTGACCGCCCACTTGATCGTCGCGATGTTGTCGAGCGCGAGGAAGCGGATCGTGTCGGGAAAGTTGCCCTCGGTACTGATCACGACGGTCTTCGTAAGGGGATAGGGGGATTGAGATGCTGTGGATCGGGCCGAGCGAGTCGATCCTGAACCATGACGAGAGAACAGATGGGGTTGCACTAGGCCTGATTGGACCAACACGTCGTCCATCTCGTTTAGGACCTCGCTGCGTGGAGCATCGCGTCAGCAGCGAACCAAAAACCAAAACAGTTGCGCTTACAAGTCGTCAAAGCCCGTGATCACATAGGGGACGTCCGGCTTCGCGGTGTTGTGGATGAGGTCCTTTTGCCGCGCTGTGAAGGTCGAGACCGCTCCGGGACCCGCCGCACATCTGGCCCCCTCCCTCAGTGCGCGGCGTCACGGCATCTACTCGTCAGCGGTGCCGGAGGAGGCGACAAGGACGCGATTTTTCGGCCGACCAGACTCGGTGCCCGCGGGTTCAACCCGTCCAACGACGTCCCCACCGTCGACGACCTCGCCGAACACGGCGTGCCGGCCGTCAAGCCATGTCGTTACTACGGTTGTGACGAAGAAATAAAGATTGGGATAAGCATCCGTTCCACGCGCGAGACGAGCAAGAAGAGGGGAGAGACAAGAGTGAAGGATGGGCAGCGATGCACGAAAGAGGTATCTGGTAGGTATGACGGGCACGGACGCTCACCTGCGAGCCATGTCATGGACAGGAGACTAGGCTTGCTGTGCCTGAGCTTGAAGTTCTCGTCTGGCAGACGCAAGAGCTCGGTCAGTGAATGGGGGCGGCGCAGGCTATATGGCTATCGCGTACCAGGGAACTTGTCGCCATAAATCGACTTGCCTCCCGTGCCGCTGTGTCTTGTGAAGTCACCATCCGGGAGCATAAACTGCGCCACCAAAAGGCTCGGCTCAACATCCCGACCAAGCCGCGCGCATATATCTGGAACGAGAGACGTACGTTTGGGATGATGCGGTGGAAGGTGCTGCCCTGGTCGCCGAAGCCGTGCGCGAGCTCGCGAGAGTTCTGCGCGGTCTTGGGCACGATTTCATCGTAAGGTTTGAAGACAATGCGAAGAGCAGAATTCGAGTCGACCGTGATGTCAAACTGTACATATGCCAACTTTCGGTCAGCGCACTGTTCTCCGTACTCCTGCGTACCGCGTACGTACGAAGACTTTCGACCTAAAGCGTGACACGGCATGTAACTTTGTGATTTGACAGGGCACGCATACAGAAAGAACGGTTGCTCATGAAATGGCGAAGGAAAGAGGCCATGACGCAACAGACACTGGGCGAGGATGGTGGTGGGGGACAGATCGCAAATAGTGCAGGCGCCCAGACGGACATACCGGCACGTGACTTACGACCCAGTTCGCTCGGCGCAGAGACTCGACACCAAAAGGCGAAAAGGCGTGAGTGCGAGCGTATTTGTAGTGGCCGGCGCAGACGATATACAACACGGACCGCGCGACGTTACTGTTTCCGCCCCCGGAACGGGGATGTCTTCTCTCCACAGCGCGCGCGACGCCGGGGTATATTATATATCGCCCACCCACTGCGCAGTCGCCTGACAACACAGTCCGAACCGTGCATCCTCCGCCGCGCTCTGATAACTAGTAGTAGAACCCCCTGGCCACCGCCCGTCCCAGGACTAGCACGCGCACCCGCCGCCCTCCGCCTCGTCCGGCTCCTTGCTGAGGTCGATACTCCCCGGCATCGCCCGCTCCGCCGCCGCCGTCGCGTTCCGCCCCGCCCCGGCGCTGCTGCCCTTGCGCGCGAGCCCGGGCGCGGCCCAGAGCTCGGGCGTGTCCAGGATGCGCTCGACGACGTCCCGGAACGCGTCCGCGACGCCGACCGCGGTCTTGGCCGACGCCTCGACGAACAGCGCGCCCATCCGCGTCGCGAACGCCTGGCCCTCGCTCGCCGGCACCTGGCGCGAGAACTCCTGCTCGGCGGGTTCGTGGGTACACGGGTTCGCGGGTGGGAGGGGCGAGCCGCGCGCATGCGGGTGTCGGGTTGGGGAGGCGATCGTGGAGGTGAAGGGTTGTGGGCGAACCGGAGGCATTGTGGGCGCGAGGCGCAGGTACCGGCACGGTCGGGTGGCGGGGCGCGAGTCGAATCGAGCCAAAGGCGTGCATAGAGGGAGGGGGAGAACTTCGCATGAGCCACCGGCGCGGAATACTTGGCGCAGCATCGGCGAGCACGGGGAGACGCACCTTGTCGACCTTGTTGCCGACGATGATCTTGACGACCGCGCTGGAGACGTACGTCTCGAGCTCCGCGAACCACTTCGGGAGCGCGTCGAACGACTCCTTGTTCGCGACGTCGTAGACGAGGATGACGCCCTGCGCGCCGCGGTAGTACGAGGACGTGATCGTCCGGAAGCGCTCCTGCCCCGCCGTGTCCTGTGCCGCAGCAACCGTCAGCGCGTGCGCCCGCGGACACCCTCTGTGGATCCTCGGACCCAGGGCGGCACGAAGGGAGACACGCACCCATATGCTGAGCTTGACCTTCTTCCCCTTCACCTCCATCTTGTGCACCTGCGCGCCGGGGGTCGCATGAGCCCAGAGCCCGAGCTGGTGGAGCAGACCGTAAACTCACTCGAAAGTCGACGCCAATCGTCGCGCTCGACTCGTCCTCGGGGAGCCACTGCTCGTCCGAGAAGCGGAGCAGGAGACTGCTCTTCCCGACGGACGAGTTCCCGATGAGGAGCAGCTTGACGTTGATGGGTGCATTGGGCTTCGTCTGCGCTTGCGACATTCCGGGGACGGCGTCGGAGGTCGTCTAGAGCTGGGGTGTGTTCGCGAAGGTAGAAACAGAGTATTCGTGCAACGTGAGTTGGTATCGGGCTGTAGTCGTCGAGTTCAAGGCAATGTGAAGTAGGATATCGGGAAGGGTCGTATATGGATAAGTTGCACAGCCAGAGGATTAACGAGAAGAGCCCGAGAACGTCGTGTGGGAGCAGAGAGGCGGGCAAGTGGAATCTAGAGCAGAGAGACTGGACGGTGGAGGGAAGAAGGGGGCGGAGGCAGGAGAGCGGTGGGCGGGAAGTGGCTCGGCCCAGCGGCCCAAATTCACGCGTACCCCGCGCGGTCCTTGCCCCAAAGCGCCCACCCCGCTCGAGCCTGACATCATCTTCCCCGACTCACTCCGCCCGGCATTCAACCCACACCTTCAAGCCAAGCAGATACCCCGGAGGTCCGCACATCAACAACACAAGTAAATACTCAATAGCTTTCATAGTTTGGCAAGTTGCAAACACTTTTGTGGTCATATTGCCCTCTGGGCGACCTCAGACCTGCTTGGATGGCTCAGCTGGTTGGAGCGCAGGTCTCATACGCAAGTATGACCGTCGACGACGGGCAATCCTGAGTTCGATCCTCATTCCGAGCACTCATATTTGAACGTAATCTTTTGGCGAATCACCCAGGCAGCGGCCCGGCACCCAATCAGACGAGGACCGGCGCCGTTCGACACCCGGACGACACCTTGTCCCCAGGAGCGGACGCCCGCGCGCTCTCTGGGTAGTGCGTGCGCCCTGGGTCCCGCGCTATTTTCTTCCTCTCGCTCTCACTCTAGTGTGCTGCGTTTCTGCGAACTCTCTTTCGTGAAGACAAGTACTCGGACAGACCTCGAGTCGCGCGGGCGATTTATGTAACACCCAGCATACCAACCAATTCTATACCCAAGTCCTCAGGCCTCGGTCGTCGCAGCTTATTAAGAATGTCATGTCATATCTGTATGCAGCACTGTGTAGTGTGATAGTAGTGGTACACGATCATGGCCCAACCAAGCCAACAGATGAAGCAAGAGCGACGAGACGAGAATCCGCTTCGAGCTAGTCTAGAAGTACATGCAAGTGCCCCTCCTCCCCGCCGCCACGCTCAGATCGAACCCGACGGGGGGAAGGTGGAGAGGAGGGCGCACAACCCGAGGGGGACGGCGCTCAGAGCGGCCACGTCCACATGTAGGACGTCGCCTTCTGGACGACCCACGCGACCAACGGCCAGTCGTCGTCGTCGCCATCGCCCGGCGTCGGGTCGGTCGGCGCCGGCGCGTCGGACGTGCACTGCGCGGGGACGACGTAGCCCTGCAAGAGTCGCGAAAGACGTCAGCGTCCGCTCCCAAGCCAATACAAGGATGCAAGATGAGACTCACGTTGGTGCGCACTCCTCCGCCCCACGGCGTGCGGCCCTCGACCTTGGCGTCGACGCCGAGCCCGCGGCTCGCGAACGCCTCCCAGATCTCGCAGAAGTTCTCGCCGCCGGTGAGCGTCTTGTCCGCGGCGAGGATCGCGTCGCGGGCGTCGAAGAACGACGGCCGACACGGCTGCAGCTTCATGCCGTCGAGCACGAGCTGCACCGCGAGCGAGTTCCCGTGCTTGGGCACAAGCGGCGCCGGCGCGCCGAAGGCGTCCACCGACGCGGGCCGGTAGAAGTCGCCCGTCGGGATCGTGCCGTCCGCGAGGGGCTTGGGCGGGAAGAGGTCCTCCGCGAAGCCGTGCTTCGCGATGAGCCGGTTCGAGACGACCCAGAGCATCTGCGCCCAGACTTCGCCGATCGCGTGCACGCCCCAGTAGCCGGGCTTGTCGAGCGTCTTGTACACCGACGGGTTCACGGTCTCGTTGAGCGAGTAGGGGTAGTTGCGGATGCCCTTCTGCTGGTTCGCGGCCCAAGCACCCATGGGGAAGTCGGAGTACGTGGCGTTGCTGCGGATGGTCGTGGCGAGGAAGTCTGGAGAGCGCGTTAGGTGCGCTCGATGCATGATGCTAAAGGAAGACACGTACCGCCCCAGCCCTCACCCATACCACCAGACTCGCCCCAGCCCAAGCAGCCCGAGTTCGCGGGACCGCCAGTGAGACGGGTGCTCAGACCGTGGCTCAGCTCGTGGATGACGATGCCCGCCTCGAGATCGCCGTCGCGATACGGGTTGGCGGTGTTCCAGAGGTACATGCGGCAGCGGCCGTTCTGACCATCGGGCGGCGTCATGAAGTTGGCGTTGTTGTAGCCGGAGCCATCCTGTGCGTTGGCGATGACACCGTCGCCCTCCTTGCCACCACGGCCGAAGTTGTGCTGCTGGAAATTGCCAGCAACCTCGGTGAATCCGTAGCGGTAGTAGAGGTCGTGGACCATGTTCGACGTATAGAACAGCTGAGCGATGGTGGTGTTGATGTACTTCTTCGCCTCGTCGAGCGCATCCTCGGAATCGGTCTTCTTCGGGCTGTAAGGGTAGTCGAAGGCCATGCCCGAACCCGCATCCGGGCGGTAGTTGTTCACCCAGTTGTTACGACCCTCCCAGTCCTCATGCGCGAAGACGTTGTTGCCGTACGTCGTAGACGTGTTGCGGAACTTGGGCGTGTCCTTGCGGAGGCGCATGCTTTCCGCCTGAGGGTCGTTGGCGAAAGGAAGCGAGTGCCAGCCAACAGGGGACGCGAGAGAGTCGAAGTTCTCCTTCTCGATGGAGCGCCCGCCCTCAGACGGGTCGTTAAGGCCCCAGGCGAAGACGTTGTACGTCGCCGGCTCCGGGCGGTCCTTCGGGACAGGCGCAACGGGCATAGGGGAATCGGAGGCCCAGTCGACGACTTGGATGACGCGGTGGGGCGCCGCGGTGGAGACGGAAGCTTCATACCAGTTGTCCTTCATCTCGACCTCGAACTTCCAGACGAGCTTGAGGATGGTGCTGTCGCCGGTGGGGACCTGAACGAACGCGAGGCGACCCTTGACAGGGCTGACGGCGTCAGGGACGCCCTCGACAGTGAAGCTGGGGACGACGCCGCTGCCAACGAGGTCGTGTTGGAAGACGACGCGCATGTCGGAGAGGTACTTGGTAGGATCCTCGAGCATGTTAAGAGAGAGGGACGGGTCAGGGGTGGCCTGAGCCATGAACTGGAGGAGGGCGTGGGTGACATCGGTGTACGTGTCCGCGACCTCGGATTGCGCCGTCAAGTCGGGGTGGACGGCTAAGAAGTCGGGGGCATTGAGGAGGTCGCAGTGCCAATTCCTGAGCAAACGGAGCTGGAGTTCCGCCTTGCGGTCAGGGTGGTGCTCGGGAAGGGACGGATGGTCAAGAAGGTGACGAAGAGCCTCCGCATACTGACGGGAAAGCACGTCGCAGTACTCGCGGTGGGGGTCGACGTCGTCGGAGGTGGAGAAGACCTCGGCACCCTTGGGACGGAAGAAGGAGTCGCCGTAGGAGAGGACGAAACCATCCTTGATGTTCAGGTTGATGTCGCCGTCGGCAACTTCGATGCCGTTGACGTACTGGCGGACGTAGACGTGGGTGACGCCGGTCGCGTCGTCGGTGTACGAGTCCTCGCGGACCTGGAAGGAGCTGCCGGGAATGTCGCGGACGATGCTTTCAACAAAGACACGGGCAATCTCGAGAGGCTCGGTGGAGGGCCCGTGGACGCTCTCGTAGATGACGGGGGCGGTGTGGAAGACTGCGTCTGGGAGGACAGGGCCAAAGCCGAGGGTCTTGCGACGAGACACGACGTGTGAGTCATGGGCGAGGGTGCCGGCGAGGCCGGCGGCAGCGACCGCGGCGACGAACAAACGACGCATGCTGGTCAAAGTAAAGAAAGAAGGGATGGGTGGGTGGTCTGTGGCTCCCCGACGGTGAAGGGGGGGAGGTGATGGTTGGGAGGAGGCTCGGTGGCGACCCCCCACAGTCTTATCGTCTGCGCAGGCGCCCCACGTCACGCGAGGCCCGCCCAAATATGGTCATCTGCGCTTGCCGCCCAGAGGCTGCGTCTCCGAGCCTGCCAGCGACGGGAGGGTGCCCGATGGGGCCATCCGTCTTATCGAGCCGTCTACAGCACTACAGCATGATGTTCGCGAAATAGTCCCCCACACCTGCCCCGCCGTCCACCATCGCCCCAACATAGCCATCCGGCCGCACCACCACCACACACGGCGCGTCTCTGCCCCCATACCCACGTTCCACCCAGCCTTCCTTGTCGTGATACACCCTCGTCGCGCCCCACATCGCACTCGGCGTGCGCTCTTGGCCAACGATGACAACCTGTGCAGTCCCCGCCGGCAACGCCTCGACGGCCTTCACCACGTCCACCACCTGCTCACCGTCCCCGCCCGCGCGCACGAGCACAGTGTGCTCTGTCGACTTCAAGAGCGCATATAGCGACGTTTCGGCGCCGGTCCCGTCGACCAGCCCAGCCACCTCGGGCGCGCGGTCCCCCGCACGCACCCCAGCCTCACGGCCGTACCCCGCATATGCGAGCGCCTTCATGTCCTCGTCCGCTGCGCTCGGCCCACGCCGGTCGCGCACGGCGGCACTCCAGCGGTAGTTCACCTCGAGCTGCGTCAACGCTGCGTTCTGCCACTGGAAGTCACCGCCCTTGCCCGCCTCCTGGGGGAGGACGTCTGCCGCGGTCTTCGGCTTCGTGCTCACGTCCTTCCAGAACCCGGACGTGGTCATCAGCATCTGGAGGATGACCGGGAGCCGCTCCGCCTCGTACGAGGCCAGCAGCGTGGCCGACGCATGGCCCCTGTACGCGAGCGCCAGCTTCCATGCGAGGTTCATCTGCGTACAAGGCGGTGAGTACGGTTCCATGCCGGTCGTGATGCGCGAGGCTTACGGCGTCCAGGATTCCGGTGTTCAAACCTTGGCCGCCTGTTGGGGGGTGGACGTGCGCAGCGTCTGCGCACGCGTCATCGCATCTCAACACTCGACCTGTGGCTGCAAAGTCACCACGCACCTCCAGCGATGAAGACGCGTCCTTCGGACATCTTGTCGACCATGCGAACGCTCGGTCTATCTGTTTGTCAGCACTGGCCATCCGCTCGCGCCCGCGACACTCACCTCCAATACATCAACGTGTGCAGGTCCTTGAACACCAGGTCCTTGCGACCCGTCAGGTTGTGCACCGCTTCGATGAACTTCTCCGGGCTCTCATCCAACCCGATCGGGTCAAAGCTGAGGCCAATCAAGCCGATGTGGTACCCCGGCGCGCTTCCCTTGGGGCGCATCGACACCCTGTCCAGGCGAGGTCAGCCACCAGTCTTACGAAGCCACGACCCCCGTTCAACGTACGCGGCCTCTCCTGGCTTTGACCACATATGCCAATACTACCGCAAGTCTTGTCAGTGACGCGTCCTCGCCTCCACACTCGTGCTCCCCACGCACCTCCGTGGTGATGCCCTCACCCTCGACGTCCGCCTCCGCCCACACGGCTCCCGCCCCGTCCTGCGTCTCTCCTTCGAACTTTGCCCCGATGGCCTTGCGTGTCGGCCCTGTACACACATGGTCAGCCTCTACTCGACGCCCGTGCAGTCCACTTGCCTTTAGCCCCATCAGCGCCGACTACGTACGCGGCGTGAATTTGCTCCTCCACCGCGCCCACCCTGCGCACCGTCGCGACGACCTCGCCCTCGCGCTGCTCGAGCCCGACGAGCTCGACGCCAAGCTCGACCCGGACGCCGTATTTCTCCAGCTCCGCCCTCAAGATCCCCTGCGTCTGGAACTGGCTGATCATTGCGTGCCCCTGCAAGTCTCCCGCCGTCAGCCTCCGCCCGTCCACCGTCCCCGAACCGAAAAAACGCACGTAGGGCCGGTCCGGCGTGATCACCGGCTCCTCCAAGATGTGCCACTCGCGCACGACGCGGCGCCCCTCCGGGAGCGCGTACGCGCGGGTCGGCGGGTGGTGCGCCGCGGTGCGCGCGAACGCGGGGTGGACGCCGAGCAGGCGGAACATCTCGACGGTGCGCGCGTGCACGCCGCTCCCGCGCGACATCTGGTGGAACGCGGCGTCGCGCTCGATGAGCCGCACGGGGACGCCGTGCTGCGCGAGCGCGAGCGCGGCCGTGAGCCCGGTGGGGCCGGCCCCGATCTATCCCCTGAGTGAGCGGCCTGTGACCAGGTTGAATGAGGGGAGAGGAGCTCACGACGAGGATGGGGAGGGTGTTGAGGGACATGTTCCTGTTGGTTTGGACTGGGGTGTGTAGATTCGAGAAAGTGCTGTGTGGATGTGGTGCACGTCGAGCTCGCAGTGCATTTATACCGACCAAACCCCCTACGTTCACTGTTAGCACTCCCCACTAGATCTTCGTCATACTTCACGACTCACCTGCGACTCAGCATCCCATCGAGGTACGCGTCCCCGCGGCAATTTGACGTCGCCGTCCCTGCGCCGTCATGCAAAGAATGTAATTCGAGCTCCTCTCTCACATAACCCCGCCGAGTCCGCAAAGACGACCGCACAATTTCAATTTTTACGGGAAACTCAACCCCGCTAGTACCGGGATAACCGACGGTCGGGCAATGACCTCGCACACGTAGGTATGTCGGCACCGGGGAATGGCGGCTACAGTGAGTCGCAAGTCGTGACAACGAGCCAGAACTGTGTAACCACGGTGCATGAATTCGGCATCTTTGTCGCGATTGCTGCATCCACGTCATTAGATACCAGTGACATAGGTTCCTGATTACGTGTCGAGATGTTTATTTCATGTTGCATGTGCTTCTACATGTAACCTGCTCTACTGGTGATATATATTTTTAGTTGACTGCGAAGTATGCTTGGATGGCTCAGTTGGTTAGAGCGCAGGTCTCATACGCAAGTATGACCGTCGCAGACGGGCAATCCTGAGGTCATGAGTTCGATCCTCATTCCGAGCATACGTAATCATCGTGGCACCTTTTTGCACACATCGAAGGGCCACGCATAGTATTTCGCGCATGCCACGCATCCCAAATCAAGCCAAGATATTGCGACTGCGGTTGACCCAACCGACTACGTGGCGGTGATGGACTGAAGAGTTCGAGTATATGGTATGTAGTGGGCTCGTTTTACAAGCACGGGAATGAGTTCGAGTGCCCCAACAATTATGCATAATCGTCCCTACCCTCCTACGGATCTACCACAACGGATTCGCCCCGTCCGTCCCGCGATCCGCCACTGGCCGGTCGCGCCATGCGTGTACGCGAATCCGCGGTATCTCCGCCGTCGCAGTCTCTCCAAACGTTGGGTCCCACCCCTTCCTCCCCACCGCCGCCTGCGACGGAGGCCCCGCCGCGTCTGGAGACCACTTCATCGGCCAGAACACGGCGCTGTCGTTCGGCGACGGCACCCGCTGCTCGTCGAACCGGCGCAGCGCCTCGCTCACCGTCTCGCCGTGCGCGGGCAGGGTCGCGCCGTCCGCACTCTCAGAGCCGTACGGGGCGGTGCCCGCCTTCATCGAGGCCCCGTCGACCGACGTCGCGGCGGTCGAAGCCGACCCCTCGCCCTTCGTCGTCGACCGGCTGCCCGCCGTGTCGAGCTCCTCGTCCCCCGCCGGCTCCGTGTCGGTGGGGCTCGGGGGCTCCGGGTTTGGCGGACGCTCGAAGACCTTCTCTTGCTCTTCCACATCTGCTTCGCCCTCGCCCTCGCCCTCCCCATCGCTGCTCTCGGAGGGGTAGATCTGCGAGAGACGGAAAGGTGGCCGGCTCCGGCGCGAGCGGCGCTGGCCCTCGGCCGCCGGCGGGACGAGGAACTGCCCGAACCGCTGCGGCACGCTGCGGGGCCCCGCGGGCTTGTCCGGGCTCGACGGCGGCGGGGACGACGGCGGGAGCGGGGAGTCGGTGCGGATCGGGAGCGGGGAGCGGGGGTGGGACCGGCGGTGCTGTTTCGCGGGGCCGGGGCTAGAGGCCACGCCGGCGCGGCGGCGGCGTTTCGCCTGGTCGAAGAGCTCGAGGATCGGGTCGCGGTCGTCGGCATTGTCGTGGTCGTGGTCGTCTTCGATGGGGCGTGGCCGCTTCTGCGCACGGTGGGCAACGACGTGGGAGGTGGGCGACGTGGGCGGGCCCTCGCTCGAAATCCCGGTAGTCTCCACAGACTGATCCACCATGTCTCTGAAAGCAAAAAAAAGCGCCTCAGTGGCCGTCGAGAGATCCAGACAGGAACTACCCACTCGTCTTTGTCCCCGCTCCCGTCCTCCGTCGCCTGCTCGATCTCGATCCGCGGCCGCGCAAACGCCACCTCGCTATCCACGTCGTCGTATCGCGGGACCGCGACGTTCCTCGCCGCCTTCACGATCTCGTACGCCGCGTCCTCCCCCACAGAGTCGCTCAGCTCCACGAGCATCTCGCAGTACTCCTCCGTCGCCTCGTCCACCTCGACCTCGAGCAGCGTCGCCTCGAGCAGGCGCTGCGCCAGCTGGGCGCGCACCTCGGCCGCGTGCCGGTCGAAGTCCTCCGCGCCCTCCACCACCGCGGCCGCCATCGTCTCCAGCCATCGTTCGTCCGACGCGTCCTGGGGCGGGTACCGGAACTGCAGCCCAGAGCGGTCGGTGAACCACCGGTCGGCTTCGTACTCCTCTTCTTCTTCCTCTACCTCCCCGTCCTCGTCTTCTTCGTCGGCGTCAGTGGCGTCAATGTCTTGTTCATTTCCAGCGGGAACGGATCCGTTTGCGGCATGAGTCAAGGCGGATGAGCCATCTGTGGTCAGGGTGGTCAGCGCGCTTGTGTGCAGCGAAATCCTTTTCGAGGCACTGACTGGGAATACTTCCGCCTTTCTTGCGAGCCTTCGAGGCCCCATTCACATTCTTATGTTCTTCTTCATTGCGTTGGACTAACTTTCCCTTCTCGTTGTCGGTTTTGGGGAGCGTCACGGTGGGTGGCTCAGGCAACTTCGAGCCAGACGCAACAGGCTGATTCGTACGCCGCGTCGGCGAAAGACCAGGCATGTCTGCTGGACGGTGGTATATGTGGTAGTCGATAAGGTGGGTCTACGTTACGCGAGGCGCGTCAGTGGTTAGGGTGGCGGCCCGCGGGGGCGGCGGCGCTAGTGCAAGGATCTGTGACAGATATTCGCATGGAAAGCGCAGGTCAGACAGGCTCTGTACGCGCAGGATGCATGGGGACGTACAATAGGCGATAAAGATACTTCGCACTTCGGTGCAGGAGAGGGTGGTCGGGATCGTGCAGTGGCTCGTGGTGGAGGAACAGAACAAGGCCGTTTGGCGCTGGATGCGGCCCGACCATTGTTCTGTCACGCTCAACCATGTCACGTGACTCCCGCGGGACATTGACCGATGTGTCAAACGCTGGAAAGTTGAAATGCGTGTCTTGTGCGTGTCGAAAGTGAGTGAGACTGGCAGACGATCCTCGTGATAATAATTAAGCATTGCTGGTATAATGTTCCCTTTGCTAGGCATACAGTACGCAAACTCGCGAACGCGTAAATAATGAAACTAAGTACTATGCAACTATACACGACCAGTTGGTGAGAGATCAGGCCAGGCCATCATGCACTGTGTAGAAACGGGGCGATTGAAACACTTGTTAGCTGGGTGGTAACCATCAAAAGGAATGGCGATGGTTGGATGATATGTGATCGGTGGGGATCGTGTGCTGTAAAGATTGTCCAAGCCTAGGTGCTGAGCTCCCAGCCAGAGAGAGAAGCGCGAACCCGGATGAGGGAACCGAAGTCGGATATGTGCGAGGAGACCTGAGAGACCGACGCTGGGAAGTGGAAGACCGACACCGATGCAGAGAGGTGAGAAGCCGATACAGAAAGACATGAGGCTGGCGCCGAGAAGCATGACGCCGGCGCGGAGAGGTGTGCTGCCGACGCCGAAAGGTCTCCAGAGGACTCATACTCGGTCGTCGCAGGCTCTTGAGCAATGTCATCCTCGAGAGAGCTCAGCGAAGGAGTCAAGGAGCCGCAGGTGGGAGAGGAAGAGAGGGAGTCAGAGGACTCGTCGAGAGGCTCCATGTCGTCCTCGTTGCAGTCGCGCGGGAGCGACGCCAGCTCACAGAGACTGGAATTGGAGTTGCAGGCCTCCGGGTCCCAGCGTGCACTCTTGAAAGGAGCGAGTCCGACGGGCCCACCCTCGAAGGTCGGGTTGGTGCGGCGCTTGCCAAGGGTTGTGGAGAGGGGCAGCTGGCGGACGAGAGTGCGCTGGCGGGACATGAGTTGGGCGTTCATAGATGTGAGGTCCGAGACGCGAGTACGGAGGTTGCGGTGCTCGCGATTGTGCTCCGCCTTGAGCGCCTCGGACTCCACAGCCTGGGCGATCCACTTGAAGGAGTCCTCCTGGCCGCGAATGGCAATGAGAGCAGCGATGACACCGTGTTGATCCTCGTTGCGTGTCTGCAAGGATATGAGGATCCTGCAGAATATGATAGCGGAAACAAGAACATACCTCGACGGTAGAGTTCCACGCAATGAGCTGCTTGTTCTGGTTGCGGGTGTAGTCAAGCTCTTCCTCAGCAAGTCTAAGCTTTTCCTACATGGACGCGTTAGTGATATATCGAGGAGGTGATAAGCAGAGGAACTCGTACCTCAACCTCGCTGGCGTATTTGATGGCCTCCCTTTCAGCAGCTTCCAGCTTCTCATCCGTCTCAGCGTGCTGTTCAATGATACTGGCGAGCTGAGCGACTTCTTCGTCCCGCTGCGACGCGCCCTCCTCGAGAATCTCAATCTCAATCTCGAGGTCCTTGCACTTCTCGTGGGCCTGCGCGACGGCAGCCTTGAGGGTCTTGATCTCGCGGTTGCGCTTGTCGATGACCCCGTTGAGATGGACGAACTCCGCACACCGCGCTTCGATGACCCCGTTGAGGTAGTTCTTCTCGCTCGCGACCAGCTCCACCTCGTCCTCGAGGTCCTCGATACACCGTGTCTTCTCAGCGAGCTCGGTGCGCAGCCGCTCGACCTCTGCCTCGAGCTCGAGGACCTGTGAGAGGGGCTTGACTGTGGTGTCGGTATCGAGGTCGGTGTCAACGATTGTGTCGGTGTCGGAACCCGTGCTCGTGTTGGCGTCGACGTCGGTGTCGGTGTTGACGTCAGCGTGAGAGGGGGAGGGCAAGTCGACACTAAGGTCCGAGTCGAAGTGACTGGCATGGACGTCGACCACGACGAAGGAGAAGAGATGGTTGACGTCGGCGATGAGCTTGCGGAGGGGGGACTGAGCGGTGAGGAGCAAGGACCAGACAGAGAGGCTGATGTTGAGAAGGGACGACCGAATGGAAACGGCAGTATTGAGAAGAAGGGACGAGGCGGAAATGGAGGCGTTTGAGAGGAAGGACTGCCCAGTGATGGCTGCATCGTAAACGGAGGACCAGGCGGCGACGGGGAAGTCGATGATGTCATCGAGCACGAGGGATAAGGCGATGGGGATGCTGGTGCGGGAGTCCTTGACCGTAATGAGGAAGGCCGAGATGAAGGAGGCGGGGACGAGCACGGCGAGATTGAGCCAGAGTTCTGAGTAGACTCCAATGGACTTGAGGACGGGGTAGAGGAAGGGCGGGAGCGAGAGGGAGAAGAGGACGACGAGGGGGATGAGGAAGGGGTACATGACGAGTGCGGAGTATTGACCAGGGTGGGTGGCGTTAAGGATAGGTGGTGGTAGTGTTCAATGGGGGTGGGGGTCGTTGAGGACGAGTGGTGGAGGGCGGAGGAGGATGGCGGACGCGAGACAAGATGGGGAGCGGGGACGCAGTGGTGGGGGGAATATATACCGCTCTGAGGGAGGCTGAAGAGGAGGACGTACAGCTGCACAGAGGCCATCCCAATCCACACATCCACCCCCACGTTCGCCCTTCCAAGGCTGCTAGCCACCAACTTGACGTCGGATGTCAGCCTATACTCCGCCTTGGAGCCTGCAGCAGCGGTTGTTAGCGTCGACAGCAGCTTGACCGTACTCACGGCTATTGTATCCAGAAGGCTCGAGCGTCGATTCCGAGGGCGCGAACAAAGCGAACGGGTGGGTGATGTCGATAGGAGAGAGGGTGGGAAGGGGCCGAGCTAGAGGACCGATACTGGCGGCTGGACGTTGGGTGCCGAACGGCTGTTCGGTCCACATTCTAATGCGCGACTTGCTTTCCCCTCAGCATGAAGGGTTTGTGCCGATCTGCGGGCGTGAGGAAATGGCTTGAGGTTGCAAGACGTGCGTGTCTGAATGTGTAACAACATGGCTTGAAATTCCAAGAAGTGAGTCCATGTACAACATGGAGAGCGAGTTAGATAGCGATCGACTAGGCATATGGATCCTCTTCCGGGCCAGGGTTGTAAACATATGTGTTCTGTGCAGCCATGACGAGCGGGTTGGCGAGCTGTTCAGCCTGAGACCTGAACGTATTCCTGTGAGCAACCGCTGCGCAAAAAAGTGGGACCAACACCACGTACCCAAACTGTTTCTTCAACAGCGAATCCAACAGCGCATCCTTCCGCTCCTTCCAGCACTTCTCCTCATGCCTCAATGCCCGAAGCTCCTCCACCAAAGCCTCGTGCTGCTCCATCGCCCACTTGTGCTTCGCCTTCATCAGCATGTACCGCACATGCATATGCGACCGCCCCATGATTAGCCCCGTCCCCGGGTGCTTCTGCCCCAACAAATGCGCGGGCAGCTCGTCCTCCGAGTCCCACTCCGCCTGGCTCGCCGGCTCCGGGGTGTACTGCCTGACCGGGGCCGCGCCCAGCGGCAGCCGCGGCGGCAGGCCCTCGACGGGCGACAGCCGGAAGTCGTCGTCGTCCCCGCCCGCGCCCGAGGGCTCCCCGACCTTGAACGTCGTGACCCCGTACGGGTCCGCGGCGTACGCGGCCAGCGCCTCCTGCTCCTCGCGCTTCCGCTTGCGGTTCCCGCCGCGCCCGGGCAGCGGCGGCGAGATGTTGTGCTGGATGCGCATGTGCTTCGCGAGCGCGTCGGAGCGGGTGAACGACTTGTCGCACTCTGCGGGGCGCGCGCGGCGTGAGCGGGTTCGGTTCGGGGTGAGGCAGGGAGGGGCGGGGCGCACCTGGACGGGAGCAGGTGAAGGGCTTTTCGCCGGTGTGGGAGCGGATGTGCGAGATGAGGGCGAAGCGGGAGGTCTGTGCGATGCCTCTGCGGACGCAGCCTGCCCATTCGCAGGTGTAGTTCGACTTGTGGACGCCAATGTGATCTGCGGGAAGTTGGTTAGTATTGGTGAAGCCTATGAATTGAGACAGAGTGGAAGGGTATCTTGCGGATTGCCGTGATGATGCGTATGCAGCATAGAGCAGCATATACTCGATGCCAGGAGGGCCACAGCCGCATGCATAAAAGCAGGACGCAATGGCCCTCTGAACGCCTCTGTCTCCATTCAGATTCAGATGGCACATCTTTGTGAGGGATAATGCACATAGTGTACCGGGACGCTTTCCAAAGCCGTGTTGCAACAGTAAAGGCACGCTCACCCTGGTGTATATGGTCTATCAGGGTAGGGAGGTGGTTGAACACCCGCCCACAATCCTCCCATTGGCAAGTCATCGTATCTGGCCTGTTGTCCTTCACGACATTTGCGTCGCCTGCGGGAGAGCCTGGCCGTGACGCTGAGCCCACGGCCTCTCCACCCTCCACGAGAGGGAAGCCATATTCGCTGCCGGAAGAGTCGGAGAGGTCGATACTTGACCGGAGGCTGGGGGAGGGTGATGGACTGTATGCGCTCCGTGCCATGATGGAGAGTGGAGGAGAAGCGAGGGCAGATTACGGTGGGAGACAAGGGCCAGCGTACACAGAGAGACCGAGCAGGCTATGCGTTCAAGTTCTCAGCCCAACGTCACAAAAGCCACTCGCGCGTGGCGTCAAACGGCGGTGAGTCCTCGGCGCTTCAGACATGCCCCTTGCCTTCAGCCACCGCGACCATTCTTTCGCAACCTCTCAACCCAGCCTCCATTCAGCGGCCATACCTACACGAACGAACCGGAGGGCCTCTCCACCGCACAATCCATCGCCATGAGCTCCCCATTCGCAACCTACCCCGTCCCCGAGCGGACATTCATCCCCTCCACCTCCACACCCGCCTCCACCCCCGCACGCGGCGGCGTCCCCGCCGCCAAAGCCCCCGCGAAGCGTGGCCGCAAGCCCAAGAACAAAACCGCCCCGACGCCCGTCCCGAGCACCCCCGCGACCCCGGCCACCTCGCAGCAGCAGCTGTCGCAGGCGAACGGCCTCCAGTGGGTCGACGCGCAGATGGGCAGCGGACCCGGGCAGGCCCCTGCTACGAATGCGAGCGCAGGCGCGGACGGCGCGCGGGCGACCCCGGACCCCGTCGGGCTCGGGCTCGCCTTGCCCGGAACTCAGCCAGCGGGGGCGGGGGCGGGGACGGGCGCACAGAGCGGCACCCCTGGCCCGTCAGGCGCGACGCCGGCGCCGGCGGGGCCGCCGGGCGCGGCGGAGGACGAGGGCGACGGGGAGGACGAGGTGCTGCCGGCGATGGCGGACGACGACTACTCGGCGCAGCTGTCGTGGCAGAGCCAGTCGAAGGACAACTTGAAGTGGGCTTTGAGCTGCTTGCGTGCAGGACGACGAGGACTGACGGCGGCAATTGCGATGTAGGGTTCTCATGGACAACTTCAGTCCTGGACAGTACGACCGCTTTGAGGCGTACCGTCGACATGCTTTGCCCAAGCAGGCTGTCCGGAAGGTGCGTTTCTCTTGCTTAGGATATTTTTGCTGTCCTCATGGCTGCGTGCGCACAGATCATCCAGCAGGCGACAGGGCAGCAGGTGTCCCAACCAGTCGCTCAGATTGTCGCTGGCTTTGGAAAGGTGTTCGTTGGGGAGATCGTGGAGAAAGGTCGGTCCAGTGACTCTCCGCGAAATAATCTCCCTCAACCTCGATTTCTAGCACGCCAAGTACAAGCACGACGTGGCGATACGGGTCCCCTATCCCCAGACCATCTGCGGGAAGCGTACCGGATGTACCAGGAGGAGACTGGACGCGTCGGTGCTGCTCGACCAGTCAGGTCGAAACGTCTCTTTGTGCGCTGAGGTCATTTCTCTCCGTTGTTGTGTCTTGGTGCTTGTCCCGGGATCAGTACTGCTCTCCTCTCTACCAGCATGTTGTATTATAGCTGCTCAGCTCATATAGACCACCACCTGGTTTTTAATCGACCTACCCGCACGCTTGCCCCTCAGTCCACATCGAAGTACCGCGCTATCAAAACATCGACGATCGTCCCACCCGTCTGGCCGAACACGCGGTACCCAGCCAATGCGCCTACCAGAGGAGTTCTATTCATACGTCGTATATGCCAGCCACTGATCTCATGGTGAAACTGATTATTCCATTCTTGAACCAGGGGCCGTCATACGTTGGTGCACCCAGCAAGCGGTCTCTTAAAGCCGTGCGCGTCCACATACAGTAAGTATCGATCACCACCTTACCGCAAGCGACGTCCACCCAATGATTGATTCATCCGCCAGCCTCCAGGCCAATCGGGCGGTCTCTAAATTCAAGAGTACTATGTACGGCAGAACGAACAGGCTGCCGGTTCTACAGCAGTCGGTGACGTCCACATGGCGTTGCCGGCGGTCCGTAATCCGATCAGGTTCCACGACCGACGCTAGGACGCCTCGCCCGACGACGACGACGCATCTGCCTGAGCCCCGACTTAGCCTGGTTGCTCTGTCGGCTTTCAGCAGCTGGATCCGGTCAATCAATGCGGCCGTGGATGACTGCTTTAACGATTGCACCCCAAATACGAGCATAGAAACACGCGCAGTGCACTGGGTTCCCGAGGCCACAGCGGATCGTCGACGCTCGAAAGTGGAGGATGCACAATGTGCGGGTTGAAGCGCCCGTCTGGCGGGATCATCAATGGTCGAGGATCTGAGGTACCGCGCTGTACTTTCGAAGGTCCCAACACAGAACGTACTATCGTACGACGCGAATAGCAGTCCTTCACCGTCAGGATCGCCGAACATCAGGGTCTATCTTGGGTGGCGGTCCGTCTGCACCACGCTGCATTGTCTCAGGACCTCACGTCCGTCCCGACAGCCAAGAATGCGAATTACTTGAAGCTGTTTTGGTGTCAAGCATGCTTAAGCTTCATGTCTTTAGCTTCCGCTACCACCTGCTGCGACCCGTACTCATCTGCTATTCTAAGCGAGCAGCTGCCTACGCAGGTAAGTACTAATAATCTGCGGTTTCAAACTCGCCAGAAACTTACAAGACCACGGTCCTCCCAGCTTTGTGCGTACACGCGTCCATCGACCCAAGAAGCTCCGTCGACGGTAATACCCGTCTCGGACATGCACCGCACCCGACCCGCGATCTCCCAACGCCGACCTATCTCGCTTCCTGCGAAGCGCAAGCTTTCGGCCTCTCAGCCCTACAGTGCTTCTCCTCGCATGTGCCGCTCGCCCGGCCTCCGGCCTCTCCGTCCGCAACCCCTTGGCTGCCCCGCCTCTCACGGAGCCCGCCGCCCGCTTTCCGCCCCTCCCCCCGAACCGTCGCGACTATGCCGGCACTCCGCCCCACGCCCCTCGCGCACCCAAACCCTGCCGCACCGCCCGTTCCTTGTGCTTTCCCCATCTCCGCAAGGCACGCCCTCCGTCCGCGCCCCAAGCTCCAGCCCCAGCCCTCGGAGCCTGCAGCATCCCTTCATGACCATTACCGCTCCAGGCCTGAACACTCCCTCCATTCGAAGGTGCATCCATGCTCGAGCTCGATCTTGGTCCTTCGGACATGGCCCTCGGAGCGCCAAGGCCCCACGACGGAGCGCCCAGGAAGCGCACGCCCGGGGAGCCTCGTCGCACAGCCTCCTCCGAATGCCCTCACGGCGAACGGGGACTCGTCGGGGAGCGGCGCGTGCAGGATTGGGAGCGGCCTTCTTCGATGCTCTCGACCCCGAACATCATGGAGGGGCAGTACTCAGAGGCCCCGCGCGTCCGGCCGGATCTGCACGGATCTCCCCGACAGGACACGCCACGACACGCTCCTTCGCCTTCGCCTTCGCAGCTTGTGCTCCTTTGTCGGTCAACGCGTACGGCGGTGGTGCTCGCTCCTCAGCGCTCGCCATCCAGTGCGTGGCACTCCAATTTCCAAGCCTAGCCTCGTGCCGCGGAGCCAACATACGACATGGACATGCGCGCACGACCGCCCAGCTGAAGCGAGCGCAGCGCGTGTGCATGGGGCCCACGCCGCGACTGCCACCCCCGAAGTTGAACGAACCCAGCTCCCGAATTCGATATGTATCGAAGTCCAAACCCACAGCCAGACGTCGGCTTCTGATGGCCTCCTCTACGCACACGGCATCACGCACCCCAGAGACGAGTCAGAGCTTCGGATCGGGTTTAGGTCCCCTTCGCGGAGTCCTGTGCGCGTGGGCGGCCCGGCTAGAAGTTCTCGACTAACGCACATTAACGGCTCTTCGCGGCGAGGCACCGCTGCAGACGTTCCGATTGGCGGAGGTTCGGGTGGGCGTCGAGGGGAGGCGTTCGGCCGGCGAGCCATCAATTGCCCAGTGCGAGGATCGAAGCATCCACCGTGCTTTCCACGGTCTGGGCGGGACGCATTGAATTCGCGCGCGCCTTCCCCTGCCTTCCCTCCCCACTTCCCATCCCCCGACGCGTACGCCTGACGCGTAAGCCCGACCGAGCGACTCGAACGCGCTCGAACAAGGAGTCAGAACCCGGATCTCAGAGCGCACGCAATGCGCATCGCCCGCTCGAATGACAAGCGCTGGACGGCCGGCGACCAACTCGGGCAGCCCGATGCTCGCGGACCCGCCCCTGGGCCGCACAACTTTCACCCCCTCATTCTGCCTTCTCCGGAGGAGCACCTCCGGGAATACGGCAGAACGGATGAGCCCCCGCCTCCGCCGCGGCGCAGCGATCGAGTCGTTGTGGAGCACAAGGTGTGTACTGGCCCCGAGATCGCTTTTAGATTTCAAGGTTCTCTTGCTTTCCAACCCGCCACGTACGCTTGCAGCTGCGGTGCTCATACATCACCATTTCAAGCATGCTCAAGCATGCCCCGCAGCAGCCCCGCGCCGTCTTCCGAGTGGCACTGGCACAGCTCGCGATGGTTCTAGCGGCCCCGCGGCTCCCGCCGCAATTGTGTCCGCACACTCGTACTTTGCTTGGATTTTCCCGCGACAAAGGGAAAGGCACCGGTCACGCTGCACAGGAAATGGAGGACCCAGGTGCATCAGATCGTTTCCGCCATCCTGGGCTGTTCAACGCCATTCTAACCCCAGTGCACCCTTACCCACACCCGGAGTCCACGGACAGCGACGCACGCGACCCTATGCTACACATGCGCCAGGAGCGGACCGGCCCCGCGACGTCACGATGCGACAGGACGAGTCCCCCAGTTACACCGCAACGAACAACAACAGACGCGATCCACGCACGTCGCTCACGCCCAGCCACGCTCGCATCCCCGCAGGGACCCGAGCACTCTCGAACCCTGGATCCTGGATGCTCGGAGCCACCCCGACCGGCGCACCCTCGCGTGGCACGGGGCGCCCATAAGTCCACAATCAAACCACCCAGGCGACGGTTCCACATGCGCCCCCGCGCCAACCGCCCTGCACCCTTCCCCGCTAGCCCCCATCCGCCCGGCCAGGCGCATCACCCCGCGGGCCCGCGCGCGCTCGTCCAGCGCGGACGCCCTCGCGCCGTCACCCCTCACGCCCCTGCCCGCGTCACCACCGACGATCCCGAGCTAGAACTGCACGTCGCGGGTGCGTTCCTGCCACCCCCAATCGACGCCCGCCCCCTAGAGGCCTCCCGCTCGCCCGCCACGGCGACCTCAACGGCATCTGCCAACGTGCCACGCCCGCCCGAGCTCGCCACGGCGACCGTCGCGCCGCGCGCGCGCACACTACAACGCAAGTGCGCGCCGCCGCGCCAGGCAGAACCCTTCTCTCCGCGCAGCCTTCCCTGCACCCGCCGCGCCGACGCTTGACGCACCCGCGCCTGCGCGCGCCGTGGCACGGCCCCCGCCCCCCGCATCCGTCCGGCGTCCCATGATCTGCAGGCGCGCGCTCGTCCGGACGCCCGCCTCGGCCCTCCAGCCTTCGAGCTTCGAACATCGAGGCGGCCAATAGTCGCACGCCCACGGAGCGCGCGCACGCCGAGCTGCACCGCACACGACGGTCCCACCGCGCGCCCGCCGCGCCGCTGCGCTGTTCGGTAGCACTCGTTCCAGGTGTATATCCGACTGCGCCCGACGCGCCCGTGCGCACGCTCCGGAGACGCCCCAAGTGCCTGCGAGAGGTGTCTGAACCTACTTGCGAGAACGCCGCTCGGCTTCGAAACAGACATCCGCACCCGCCCGCGCGCCTCCTTCGATGCGCTCACGCGCGCTAGGTTCCGACGGAGAGAGAGAGAGGGAGATTTATAAGCCGCCTATGCGATGTAACGCAGATGCCTCGTGGTACGTATGCTTCGATGCACGAAGCGCCCGTCCCTCCAGCTGCATGCAGTGCATCCGCCCTGGCGGCCGCAGGATGCTGTACACGTTTACACATCACCTGCGCAGGCTCCGAGCTCCGGCGATCCCCCAACGCCGGCGCGGATGGACGGATGTGGGCGTGGGGGGGCCGGGAGATAACCCCAGTTCGGATGAGATGTGGACACTGTCCGCGGAACGCCGGCTTTTCCGTGCTCCGCGCGGGCGTCGAGTTGGCGAAGTGAACGGTGCTGCACGTATGCGCTTGGTGAATCAGCACGCGCGGGCACGAACCACGGTGGGACCGCGCGCCACGCGGCGTTCGACGCATGACTTCGCGTCTGTAGACGATTCATTGTACCTGTACGTGACTACGTCAATCAAAGGCGTGCTGTCTCGAACGGCGCCGTGTACCAACCTCTGGCGTGCACACGCGCGGTGCTGTCGACGGCCCCTCTCATCTCCGAAAATAACGGACGCTGAACCGTCCCCAGAACGATTGCTCGCTTGTCCGTACGGTGATCGTCGGCCGCGAAGGCATGCGACATATGTTCATTTGATGGATCATGGCAGTAGGAGCAGCGGCAGC